ACGATTTTCTCTGCAATGAAAAACACTGTATATACCTAACCCACCAAGCACCGACCTCCTTTGCAGAGAGGGTTTATAAACGCCGAGTTGATACTCTCCCCTCGTAAGGGTACCTGTCGTGTTTCCATAGAGACATAAAGTTGAATATCTGTCTATCTGTTTGCTTGAGAATCTGGAAAGGAATTCAATATATCGCCTTCCGTACGAATATAAGGATCAGAATTCTGAAAAGTATACTCTGGTCAGTTCTCTCTGCGGATTTTCTGTTCGGTCCGTCTTGACTGGATGGTTTACTCAAACTTAGTGGCAAGTATCAAACACTTTGCTTTCTGTCTGTTTGCTTGTTAATCTGGAAGAGAAATCCGATTTAGACTGAATTCTTGCTGCATTACCGAAGTTTTCGCAATATTTTCATAATGAAACAATTATACTATTTCGTATTATTCCACTGCTGAATAACCCATTTCAATTCAAAGACCGACAGAGATGTCAAAAAATGCCTGTTTTGTTTCCATGGCATTTCTGTTTTGTCCACAGCTATCTAAATGTTATTGGCAACTTTGATTCAATCCCAAATGAGTGAAAAATGGTTTCAGGAAAAATTTGCAAACTATACAGGATGTCCGGAAACGTAATGATAGGACTGATAGAGTGAGCCAAAATAATGTTGGTACTTCATATAAAAAAAAGTATATCGCGCTTCGTTTCGGAGATATTGACCTTGAAAGTAGGATAAAAAAAAGAATTTCATGTATAATTTTCCAACTATCATTATTTTTTGAAATACTGAAAATGTAACAAGCACTTGGAAATATCTAATTAACAATTATTCTATGGAATGAAAACTATCGATAGTTCACCTAATTTGACTCTAATGAAGTTGAACTTTGAGGACTGATTATTTTTTTGTGATAAAATTGGACTTTGAATTAGGAGTTCAACAAAAATTCTATTTCGAAAAATATTGATGAAAAAAAAAGTCAAATTGGATGCACCCTGTTGAAAAGTAGTAATATAAGTTGAATATACCTATCGAGTATGAATCGATTATACACCATGGTTCAAAAGTTATGAGCTGACCAGAGAAAGATTTTGCCAAAATCAAGATTACGTTCTGTATCACAGTTTATAAAAGATGGTAGACACATCGATGTATGTACATTTATATCTGAAACACCCTGTATAGCCATAAAAATATGTTTTCATGAAATTATCTAGAATCGTCTTATTTTCTTCTGGTTTGCTCTTTTCGTATTATTTTCTTCTGAAAAAATACCGTTCTGAACGGAAAGTACGAAAATCAGAAAAAAGTATATCTTCATCGTAAAATATTCAACAAACGGTACCTTTGTGATTGTGAAAACATATAAGGTAAAGAAGTTGAAAGAAAGGATGGAAATATGAGGAAAACTTGAGAGAATTTCTCTCTACTCACCAGCGTGTGAACATAAACAGGGAAATATGAGGAAAAACAGAATCTCTATTCACTCACCAACGTGAAAAATGCGAAGCTTTGATGAAACAACACGAAACACCAGAACAGCACACGATCGCGATAATGTAATCACTGAACTGAATGTGGAATACAAAACACAATATTTGCACTCATTTTCAAGTGAACACTCCGTTTGGAATGATAAATAATTCCTTTCGTGTATTTTTCAATTGTAATCACAAAATTCGACTGTACGTGATGACATCTAATATAAGACTGTCGATTCACCACCTGGTCTCGAATGAATGACTAATAGGTTGAATCATTCTGCTAACCGATTAATCTCCGAACAAATGAGTTATTTATTAATAATGACGATAATGAAATTATACAGGGGGAACAGATATATAATTTTGGTCTTTATTTTCTAACCACTGTGCATAACTCGAGGCATAAGTGCATAATCAAATTTGTGTTATCATTATTTTTTGAAATAGTGAAAATGTAACGCGAGTACTCGAAAATATCTTAACTATTTGACAAATTATTCTATGCAATGAATTCTATCGATAGTTTACTTAATTTGATTCTAATGAAGTTGAAATTTGAGGACTGATCATTTTTTTGCAATAAAATTGAATTTTGAATAACGATAGCTCATTAAAAATTCTATTTAAAAAAATAATGATGAAAAAAATGTCAAATTGGAAGCGCACTGTTGAAAATTATGCCAATTCATTAATTTTTTCCGCTCTTTGCAAATATCAAAACATATCTACAAAATTCTGATATACAGAGTGTTGTTTTTGAAAAAGATGAAGTTTTCTGTTTTTCCTGAAGACGGTTCTGGATTCTAAATTTGATTCCTATTTAGTATTGATGAATAATATAATTTGATTATCGATTATACAGATTTTGCCAAATTCAAGATTACACATCGATAGGGGGTGATCTACAGGTATAATATGTATGTACATTTCAATCAGAAACACCCTGTATAGGCAAAAGGTATTTTTCCATGAAAATATTTGGAATCGTCTTATTTTCTTCTGGTTTGCTCTTTTCGCATTATTATCTTCTGAAAAAATATAGTTCTGAACGGAAAGGATTAAAAACAGAAGAAAGTATTCCTCATCATCGGAAAATATTCAACGAACGGATCTTTCTTATTTTCGAAACATACAATGTAATTGAGTTAAATATAAACAGGGAAATATGAGGGAAATTTTAGAGAATCTTGATTCACTCACCAGCGTGAAAAATGTGAAGATTTGATGAAACTGGATTGTATGAGGAACACAAAAACACAATACTTGCACTCATTTTCAAGTGAACACTCCGTTTGGAACGATAAATATTTCCTTTCGCGTGTTCTTCTTTCAATTGCGATCACAAAATTCGACTGTACGTGATGACATCTAATATAAGACTGTCTTGATTCACCACCTGGTCTCGAATGAATGACTAATAGGTTGAATCATGCTGATAACCGATTAATTTCCGAACAATGAATGATTTATCTATGACCATGATGAAAATTCCACCTTTGATCTATCAGTGTGCCTTTCCCCCTCAGTGCTCATGTATACTATTTTTCCCTGAATTATTTCACAAGATATCCTTCATAAAAATTAACAATTATGAATGAATTTGAAATCCAGGATACTTTCATTCATGTAGAAACAAATTAACAGTAAGGAAAAGTTGGTATCTATACCTGCTAGGTAAGAGGTAAGTCATATTTGTACCTATTTTAAAAGGCATCAATGAAGATTATAAAGGGAAACTTTAAAATTGCATCAATAAAGAATGAGGTTTTGATTGAGGTAGTTGCGGAATTGAAATATGAAGTTTGAAAACCTACAAAAACTTGAAAAAAACTAGAACTGTTACTTACTTATGAATAAAATACCACTTAATAAAAACATATACAACCAGCAAAATTATAAATAAATATTGCCAAGATACAATTTGAAATGTCATGGATATGTTCATAAGTACCTAAATAATCAGTGATATATCCTTAAAAATCTGGATTCAACTTCAAGGAATGAATAAAAACTGTATATCATGCTATCACTTGAATCTGGGTTTTGGTTTCAATTTGTGTAGCTATTTGAGTCAATTGCAAGTACTGCAAGATACCCTGGATGGCAACTCTTCCCCTGCTGAAAAATTGAAGAAATGTTAGTATAGGTAACTATAAACAAACCATATCTATGAATTATTACACAATATGAATATTCAAATAGAAAATAGATTGTGTCACTTTGATGTATGTTCAAAGATTCAATTCAAACTATGAAGTAAATACTACCTATTAACTGCTGAATAATTTGTTCATACCAGCAAAAAAAAATTGTTATGTGTATAGAGGGTTGAATATGATATATTTTTTTTCGATAGGGGTTGCGGGGATTTTTTCGATAGGCAAATCGTTCCTCAGATCTGTTTGAATGATTCCTACCATATGTCATCGCAGCAGTTTTTCATTTATTTATACACTAAAAAAAAATTTTTATTTGTAGGGTTGAATATGATATATTTTTTTTCGATAGGGGTTGCGGGAATTTTTTCGATAGGCAAATCGTTCCTTGGGTCTGTTTGAATTACTCTATGTCAACGCAGCAGTTTTTCATTTACACACTAAAAAAATTTTTCATGTAGGGTTTTGAATATGATATATTTTTTTTTCGATAGGGGTTGCGTGGATTTTTTCGATCTGCCCTATGTCATCGCAGCGGTTTTTTATTTACACACTAAAAAAATTTTTTTATGTGTAGGGTTGAAATATGATATATTTTTTTTCGATAGGCAAATCGTTCCTTGGGTCTGTTTGAATTACTACCTATGTCATCGCAGCAGTTTTTTCATCAACACACTAAAAAAATTTTTCATGTATAGGGTTTTTAGAATATTATGATATATTTTTTTTCGATAGGGGTTGCAGGGATCGATTTTTTCGATAGGCATATTGTTCCTTAGGTCTGTTTGAATGATTCATACCATATGGCATCGCAGCAGTTTTTCATTTTCACACAAAAAAAATTTTTTCATGTAGGGGTTGAATATATATGATATATTTTTTTTCGGTAGGGGTTGCGGGGATTTTTACGATAGGCAAATCGTTCCTTAGATCTGTTTGAATGATTCCTACCCTATGTCATCGCAGCAGTTCTTTATTTACTCCCTCAAAATAATTTTTTGTATGCATATGTTGGGTTGGATTTATTCATATAGGTATTATTCTGGATAGGTGTTGCAGGGATTGTTTCTATGGTCAAATCGTCAATTACTTCATTGGGTATGTTAATTTTGTCCAGCAGTTCTTTATAATTATATAATACCCTCAAAATATTGTTTTGTATTTGAAGGCATGGAAATAAAACATGTTGTCCGCCACTGGGTCTTCGGCAATGTTCGGAGATTTTTGCTGCTATCTTTGGCTGCCACTTTCACACAGCTTCGGAATATTACAGACTCCTTCAAAATTAAATAGGTGGATTTCTGTAACTTTCTGTCATTCAATTGTCAATGTCAATCTCATCCAGTTTGAATAGTAACCGCTAGATGATGGGAATTTGGGCAATCCAATAATAATCAATAAATACAAAAATTTTGGTTTTTCAATTCGTAGTGACTTGCTTTACGAAAATTTTGTGCAAATCAAAGGAACTGTTTAGAAAAAAAGTCGGTATCTTCAGTTTGAGACACCTACATTGTAATCTCCAGAATCTCCTGAGTGATGTACACGAAAACGGGGAACAAGTCATATCCACAGGATGGTGTAATTTAACCTCTTTTATTTGAATCAAAAAAGCAAAATTCACCCCCAAAAAAATCAAATCGGTGGCAAAATGCCGGAACAGAGCAACGACTATAGAGTGGTAGTGTTTGGAGCTGGTGGAGTTGGGAAAAGCTCACTGGTTCTGAGATTTGTGAAGGGCACATTTCGAGAAAGCTATATACCCACCATTGAAGACACCTATAGACAAGTAAGGCACTCCGAACTGGGTTTTGTTCGTGAACGCTGCCTGTTGTTTTATATTTTCTTTGCTCCATTATGTTACTTGATGTTTTTATTTTGGCTTGATGTTGCTTGTCTCCACAGGTAAGTAAGCTGTATGTACTTTTTAGAAGATTATCAATCATAAGGGGGTTTACTGAATTACAGACCCTAGAAAGACGATCAAATATAGGAAGGCTATTCCACCTAATAGAATGTTATAGAAGATATATATATTTATTTAAATAAACAAATCTACTCAATGCACAGATTAACTTGGTAATCTTTGGTAACAGTAAACTGCCTTCTGGTGATTGATCTAAAAAAAAAAACACTGGACAAAACAGTAGGGGGTCTTTCACCTACCCATCTACCTAATTGTTTTGGACTGGTCAGGAAACAGTTCACAAATATATTGATAGATACCTACTAAGATGGTAACAACTCTACTAGACCATTTCAATTATACAATACACCTAAATCAATGGATAATAAAAATTATTGGCTTTCATATCCTGTTATAATTCCTTTTAATTTCATATAGAACAGCACTAGGTAAATACATAGATTACTACAGTGTCAAATGCAATCTAGAGTAAAGTAGTGAGCAATCTTTGTATAGGTATTTCATGTAGATATTAGTCATATAATAATAGTATATTTCAGAAGGTATAGGCATGCATATATTTGTTCCTCATTTTTTCCTCTTAATTGTACTCATTTTTTATTTTTAGGTCATCAGTTGCAACAAGAATATTTGTACTCTCCAAATCACAGACACAACTGGCTCACATCAATTCCCAGCTATGCAAAGGCTGTCAATCAGGTTTGTAATATTATGGATTCATAACTTCCACATCCAAATATCTGAGCTTGATCTGATGTTATCTTGGCATACATTTTATTACTACTTTTTCACATGCTATACTTATGATATATTCTTCATGTAACATAATTTATTCACAGCAACATTTCCATAGATTCAAATGTGTTCTAAAAAATTTTCCTGGAGTCTTGCCAATTGGGTTTTGACATGGCATTTAGCCAAAATGGTAATGAATCATTGGTTTCTTATTGGAATAAGCACAAGGTATTTAATCCTCACTAAGCATATGGCAAAAATTCAAGTGGATATATGTTGGGTCAAAATGAGAAAGAAAGTTTATATTCAAAATACAGGCTGTTGAAGTTGTTTTGAAAGGTCGTTTTTTTTAAATACTATGTGGAATTTGCTTCAACCTGCCTAGGGGCCAGGGCGAGGGCCAGGGGGATTGTTATTTTCTGAAAAATAGCATAAAAATTGTTTTTTAGTCAGAGCATTCAAAAATGCAACCTACTTAATTATATGAAATACTAGCTGACCTGGCAAATTATATTTTGCCATAAAAATTATTTCTAGGAAATATTTTTGTAGTTGAATATTCATCAATACACTTATATTATTTGATTTTCTACTTCTTTTTAGTTTGGCTATCTATTAAAGTGTGTTTCATAAGTTCTGCAAGTTACTATTTATTATGAAGCTCGTTCGCTATATTGGATCCGCCATCTTGAATTTCTCAATTTTGACCAAATAATCATAATCTACGATCTCAAAAACCCCCAGATACAAATGTTGAATGGAATCAAATCATATTCACAAAACTCGTCCGTCATATTGGATCCGCCATCTTGAATTTCCAAATTTTGACGAAGGAATCATAATCTCCGATTTCAAGAACCCACAGATACCAATTCTGAATAGAATCTGATCATAATTAAAAAACTTCCGCCATTTTGGATCTCCCATTTTGAATTTCATAATTTTGACGAAGGAATCATAATCTCCGACCCCGAAAACCCACAGATACCAAGTTTGAATAGAATCGGACCATAATTACAAAACTCGTTCGCCATATTGGATCCGCCATCTTGAATTTCCAAATTTAGACGAAAGAATCATGATCTCCGACCTCGAAAACCCCCAATATTAAATAGAATCCGTCTGTTATATTGGATCCGCCATCTTGAATTCCCAAATTTTGACGAAAGAATCATAATCTCCGACCCCAATAACCCCCATGTACAAAATTTTGGAAAATGGAATCGGATTATAATTACAAATCTCGTCCGCCATATTGGATCTGCCATCTTAAATTTTCAAATTTTGACGAAAGAATCATAATCTCTGACCCCGGAAACCCCAAATATCAATTTTGACTACAATCGGATCATAATTACAAAACACTCCTGCCATATTGGATCTGCCATCTTGAATTTTTAGTTTAAAAAATTGCTTACGGTCGAGTCGTTTGGAGGAGTTTGGCATATTAGATTTAACACTTGAGCTACGCTCTGGCGTTGAAAATTTCATGCATGAATAAAATGCTAAAATGCTCATAAATTAAATAACTATTATTCCACCAGCAAGGGGCATGCTTTCATCCTCGTATACTCAATGTGCAGTCGACAGAGCCTTGAGGAGCTCCGACCCATCTATGATCTGATCAAGGAACTGAAAGGACCGGATCTCAGCCAAATTCCGATCATGTTGACTGGCAACAAGTGCGATGAGAGTGCCGAACTAAGAGAAGTGAGTTTGAAAAATTATTGGCTATTTATATGATAGAGCATACCTAGAAACATACTCTGAAATGAATATTTACAGAAATTCAACAATGTGAGAAAATTCTGAATATTGTCATAAGAGTGCTTTGGATAATTATTTTGAATTTCATAATTGAAAGGCAAGTGGTAGAAGGAGTTATGTTACAAATATGAGTTTGTGAGTAAAATTAGCTGGCATTTTTTAACGGAAGCGGTCGATTTTTTATGATTTACAGCATTTTGCTATCATATCATTTTTTGATTGACATATGGATTTTTGCATACATAACCCCTTGTTCCATGGGTTGCGTGCAAGAACTGTCAGATGACCGACACTGGAGGCAAAACATTGATACACAATGTCACTTTTCTTATTTGTTTACAAGTGATGGAAATAGTTTTTCACGATTATTTTGGCATACGAATCGTATTTTTTCACTATTCATCAATTCGCTCATGCCATCACATTGTGCTGTTGTAAAATGCACAAAAACTGCAGCGGAAGATGAAGGAATCCGGATGGTACATTATGATTAAAAAGTAAGTACCTACTATAGTCACTCACCTATAGTTTTCATTTTTGAAATTTGGTAATTTCTCTGATTTCTCATCGGAATTCCTTCTGCGATAGGAGCTAATAGAAATACACCTGAAATTTCTAAAATAATGCAAGAAGATTGGATTCATGCAATCAATCGGGAGGACTGGTCTGACATGCTGACGATCGTGTGTGTTGTAGACATTTTCAATCTATTAGCAGTATTAGCTTGTATTGCAGGAGTGGCAGAAGGCAGAAGGAATTTTAATAAGGAATGACAACATTTCATAATGATAACTATGTGAGATTACTATTTACCTGAAAAATCATATTCCTTAGTCTCTTGCTGCATTTTGAATTAATGAATAGCGCAAAAAAAACGATTAGTATGCCAAAATATTCTGAAAAAGTATTTCAATCCTTTGATTCCTCTGTAACCAAATAAAAAAGTGAGGTGTGGTGAGGTTGTGTTTCCATAATTTACAGAAGAATGAGGTTGTGTTTCAATATTTTGCCTCCAGGGTCAGTCATCGTGCACGCGACCTATTTCCTGACATGTAGGCAATGGGCATATAGCTCTTTCTTGTGTATCTGCTCAGATTTGAAGAATAAAAACAAATCCTGATGGGACAAGTTATTTACATATGCACGTAACACCTTCTTCCATGACATAACCTAATATTTTCAAAAAATATTACTTGAAGCCTTCTTCCACTTGCCCCTTCAATTGACAAATAATATGAATGTGTATAGATTGACAGATTAATTTGTCATTCCATTTTGGATATTACATGATCAATTGGTATTTGAAATAGCAAAAGTGTCAATGGAAATATCATACATCCTGTTCAACATTTTGGAATGCTATGAAGGGCTACTCATAGTGCACTCTTCATCGTCACAATTTTTGGTTATACAGCCATTTCAGTTAGTCACTCCCATCTGTCAGAATTTTTTGAAAAAAACTCGGAAAAAATGAATATCGTCCAAACCCTTAAATAGTTATTTTCGCATCTAGTACGCGAAATTCTGCACCTTGTTGAAAAAATCAGTTCCTGATCACGTAAGTATTTCGCGCACTAGTTGCAAACAATATTTTTATCTAGTAGCGTGCGGAAAAGTTCACTTTTCCGCACTCATTTCAGCGTTGAAACAGTCACTTTCTCGCACCGAGTGCGGTAAAAAGTTTTTTCCGCACTCAGTGCGGAAAAGTAAATTCGTTAAGTTTTGAGGGAATATACTGAAATTTGAATACTCAAGATTTATATTTGCATGTTAACACTTGTTTGTTCGTTGAGAAAAATAGACGAAATAACAATAAATATTCATGTTTACCTCTGACCAACCTCTGGGTTTTCCTGCAATAACTTCTTGAAATATGAACTTTGCATATTGAAACACTAAATAATTATTCAATTCAACTCACGAGACTGATTAGGGCAAAAGACAATTCAATTACAAGTGATGTAAAATCATTGTTTGCCAACCAGACACCATCTTGTCAGCTGAAATGTCACGTGGTTTGGATTGCCTAATATACAAAAAAACGTCAAAACAGCAGTGTCAAGTACATTAAGGAACTCTAGGTAATAGGACTTCCCCTTTAAAAGTGTCCAATTTGGCCCACCCTGTACAGAAGAAAATAATCTGTCATTAAAAACAAAAAACGTCCAAATCGGACAAATAGTTTTGACGAAAATGTTTACTAAACCCTTGACTACTTTTTGGTGGTGCGTTAATTTCTTAGAGAAGTGTGAATACAAAACGTCCTACTATATGTTCTTCGTCTTTCCGGCCTCCTACCAGGTGAGCACGTCAGAGGGACAGGCGCAGGCTGCCGAATGGGGCGTCGGCTTCATGGAGACCTCCGCCAAGACCAACCACAACGTGAAGCAGCTGTTCCAGGAGCTGCTCAACCTCGAGAAGTCGCGCAACGTCAGCCTGCAGATCGGCGGCAAGGCGAACAGCCGCGTAGCCAAAGATAAGTGCGCGCTCATGTAAGGGGCAGGGGGGGCAGAGACGATTTTTTTAGTTTACTATGGGTTGGCCGGGGCACACTGAGTTGATATGTTGATTTTCCAAGATTGTGTAACTTGGCACAATTATCTTAGTACATATTTTTGCCCGCTGAGGAACTAGTTGGAAAGAGGGTTTTATTTTGCTTATTCCTTTGGCCACTGATGGCTCTATAATAAGCCACGGTGAGAGAAATGCAACACCGCATCTCCGTGATCCGAAAGTCCTACTCTCGATTGGCGACCACGGCGACTTGGACAACCATTGCTAACCCGTAACCACTGAGGTGAATTATTTTCCTTTAACTTCTGAGGTAGAGTCATACAGACTCCGACTATCAAATAGGTTTTATCGAAGAATGGAAATTGAAATAATTACAATCTAAGTGCTAAATTACTACTACGCTTCAAAAGCCACCTCCAACCTGAGAGACACCGGACTACGTTGTACCAGAAAAGTTTTTATTATACTGGCTGTAAACTATATAACTCTCTTGATGAACAACTTAAGAGCTCCGAAAACTTGAATATATTTAAAAAGAGGCTTAAACAACAGCTAATTCAAAAGGCGTGCTATAGGCTGGATGAGTATTTTATATAATTCTATGTAATGTTAGTAACGTGATGAATATATTGTATTTAATTGTGATGCTGTGGCATTGTTTGTTTGTTATATTTTTTTTCTTTTTTTTTGACGTACTTTACTGTTTCATCTTATACATTTAACAGAAAATAAAAATTATTATTATTATTATTATTAGGATCGATGATTTTGGAAGTACTTATCGCCAACTTTAATAAAAAACACCATGAATGTATAATGATAAAATTCGCAAATACTGTACAAAAAAAAACACATTTTACTTTTTAGACCTTTTCTGATCTTGAAACGAAAAAATGAATTTCATAATTTTGTACACATGACATTGAAGGTTTAAAAAAAAGTAAAAACGTTAAAACAAGAGAAAACATTTGAGAAATCGTGCAAGTGGTTCTTATTCCCTTAGTTCGATACAGGTTGCACAGATTTTTCAGGAACAGCCAAGACAAATTTGCTTCCTGCATAGGTATTTTGTCTCCTGTGTAACTTGGATGACCAGAGGAAGCAAAACCGTTTATTTCAAGGCCATTTCCTCAGCAGAAACGAGATTGGCCAGTTTCACTCAGATCGTTGTCAAGTTCATCAAACAAACCAATCCCAAATTCTGTAAAGTGATTATCGAAGGGATTCATTGTTTGTTGGCAAGTCTCAGGCTTGGGAATCATTTCTATTCAGTTTTCATCTCATGAAATTCATTGTCAGTGAGGAGTGAAAATAATGAAGTTATGTACTCACTGTGGTGGAGTCTGTGAGTCTCCTGATCTACTTCAACTGCTAAAAACAAATCATGCAGTTATAGTATGGTGGGCGATGGAGTAGGGAATTCAAAAATAAGGGTGGGGTCAAGAGTTGAAGGTATTGCGGAGTCTGAGAGACCTCAGACGTCATTTCCAGGTTTTGAAATAATTGAACTTCAATAAAAAAAATAGCAAGGAATAATGGGTGAGGTCACAGGTCAGGTTTTATGTAGTTTCCTATATAAAATAATTAACTGTCAAGTCCCATTCAACATCGAGGTGAGGAAGAATCCATTTTGAATCATTGAATCCCAACTCATTATTATCTTGTTATACGACGCTATACATAGTGGAGTATACTACGGCCGTGCCAAAAATGCTATCTCGGAAACTAAGCGAGATAGAGGTATAGTTGCTTTGGAGAAAATGATCCCCATCGAATTTTGAGCAACTTTGGTTTTTGTGTGTGGTCTGTCTGTCTGTCTGTCTGTACTCTGTGTTAATCATAAATCGATATATCTCCGGAACCCTTTGACATATCGACTTGAAATTTTGCCATCTTATTGTACTCAAAACAATATTATGTCATTAAAATATGAAGGAAATCGGAAAACTCTAAGGTGGTTTTTCCGGGTTTTTTCGATTTTTCACCGGAAGTTCCTTGTAATCACTCTACAAATCGCAAAAGTGGTCCGATCGATTTCATTTTTTGTGAAAAAAACCTCTATCAGGAAGAGACGAAGCCTATTGAAATTGAGCAGGGTCGGAAAATTCCAAGTGGGTTTTTCAAGGAGATTTTCCGAAAAACACGGTTCGCTTTAAAACGACATATCTCGTGAACAAATAGACTAAATCCAAATTTGAGAAATGCACCGTATGCCTCTTTGATGACGCAACAAATTATCATTCAATCATTTTTTCGTGCATCCATCGGAAACTGGAAAAACAAATGAAAACCCAAACATCAAAATTTGAAATCCTTTTAATTCAATATATATCGAAAACAAATGGAAAAATCGAAAATTATCAAGAGTGCAATGTTATCCACTGGAACATTCCCTACAAATCATTTTCCATAATTTTTTCTGTAAACCCAATAGTACAGGAAATAAAGTGAAAAATATGAAAAAAAAAATTTTAACGACCCATAGGGTACTATGAAGATATATTGAAAAACAAAGATTATCGATAGATGAAGCCCATCGACTTCCACTGAACCATGAAATATTTTTTCATTTTGTTGATTGGAAGATGGAACAAAAGTGTTGAAAATTTTATTCTCAGATAATTCCAAATATCTCGAAAACAACTGAAAATATCTGAAAATGTTATTGAACCAAAATTATTCCTTTTGATAAAATGTACAAAAAATTCAAATAACATTTTTCTCTGAATTCAATAGTTCGGGAGATACGATGAAAAAACTAAAAATATTTACAAGTTCCTAGATAATCACTTGCCAATAGAAAACAAAACAAAAAACAAAAGAAAGTGAAAAAAGCACACTCCACTGTCTTGATTTTTTTCTCATAAACTACGTACCTAGCTCACTCGACTGTGTGGAGAAACCAAGACAGTCGAGTGGGCTAAGTACGTAGTTTGTGGGAAAAATCTCCAGTTCTCCGAACTTTCATAGCGTCGTATACACATCCTTGGTGCCCAATGATAGTTTCAATATAAAAATATACTCATGATATGGTGCCAAGGCCTCTACTTCCATCTTACATGAGCAATGATAAAATATAATCTGCTTTTATAGCGTCGTATAAATTATCTGACCTCTAAATAAACTAATACCTTATGAAAAATGCATCTATACTAATCTGATACCTTTTAAAAACTACGTACCCACTTGTTAAACTTGAACCTGCATTTCATTCAATACTAAAATTAGGTTAAGTTATTTTCAATATATCTGACAGGGAACCGAATTGATGGACTCTCCAATTCCAACTATCAATTTTCTGCATATTCCCCAACTAGCTGCTCATAATTGAGAATAAGGTCGGATGATTTTTCAAAATTCCATTGGTATTCAGTTCCTGTGTGGTAAGATTAATATTTACGAAAGTTGGACCAAGTATTGTATTATATCAGCAAAATCGTGAATATTGAAATTGACAAAACTATAGAACACTTATCTTTGTTGTCGACTCAGTGTGTCTCGGTTTCATTTCGCAGATATGCAATAATTTTTTTTCTGGATTATGCTCATCAGAATTTGAAGTTGGTCTGTTGAAATTTCACTCCACTCAGAAATGTTGCTTTTGAATTTTGTTAGCAATAGTCTAAACAGTGTGTGTTTTATTACAGAAATGGGAGGGCGATCAATTTATCATTTATCATCATTTATCACAATTTAGTCAATGAAAGAGTTTTCTTCTATATGGAGAAAATTGCATCAGGATATTTCAAGTTTTTTTTGTCGATATGGGAGTGAAATTTTAAGTGTTTAACAGTTTAAATCAGTACTAAAATGCTTGAAATCGGAGTAGGGATATTCAGAATAGATTGCATATTGGAGTGATGGAGCTAATTTTTTTTAGTATACACACCTTAAGTCTAGGCATAGATCTAAATATTTAGATCTTTGGTCTAGGTTAACATAGGCCATTGCCTCGAGAAAAAAACACATTGAAATCTTGTAGCTGAAGATTTACCCACTTGTTCTAGATATTTCCGCATTCACGAAAAACAAATATCATGCAGCTCCAGACATTCTCTTGTCAAGTTGAAAACATCTCTTTCGAGTTTTCTCTGGATAATTGAGTAAACAAAAAGCACAATCTTATCGGTTTTCACCGGAAAAACTTTTTTTACATAGTCAGCTTTTTGATTCCGCGAAATATGTGAATTTTATAAACATGTTCTCAGTGCACATCTTCAGAGGAAATCCAATGACATAATATACACATATTTTTTCTGTAACCCTTCATTTTATCATAGATAAATAAAATTTCCTGTTGAATCTGACCAATTTCTACTACCATTGATGGAAATAATTTGTCCTCTGTTAATGAAATCACATATAAATATATATTGGGTTAAGGCAATGTCCTGATTCATCCTTAAAACAAACCACTCAATATTGTGAAAAGTACACGAGAAATAAAATAGAACCTAGTTATTAAGGCTTTAGACCGAGCAAGTGGGAAAAAACACGGGCCAAAATATCTTCCATAGTTTTCTGTATGAACTGTTCCAGCCCTCGCATTGGCCAGACTTGAACCTCGTTGACTGTTATTTCGATAAAGTGCCCATCCGCGGACAATATATTAGCTACTCCTTTGTTTATTTTCATCTTGTATATATCTCACTTGGCACTCGCTTGGTTCCAAACTGTTGGAGGATTGGGTTTCATACACTTTCATCCTTCATCAACCTTCATTATATAATTTTCTGAAAGAATGTAGTCTTCTTGTTGATATTCGGTGTGAATGAAACATCTCAAATTGGAAAGGTGATTACAAAATATATGAAGTTTCTCCCCTGATATCTGATATGGTTCACTGACACCGGACTCTATTGTTTCTTCCTGAAATTATCACGTTTATTTGACCTGCTGATCTCAATAACTAATTTTTCAACATTCCATATCTTTGTGGTACAAACTTGGTTTGAGATATCTATAAAATGTACTAGTAAAAACATATTTTTCGAATCTTTGAAGGAATCTCATCTATTTATTTTCTCTGGATATACATCCTTGATCCCCAATTCATTATTGAACGAGATCATTGAATACAGTTCAGAAATAATTTTATATGAGTAATATTCTTTCAATCTGAACTAACTGAAATATTTCACTAGAACTGAACTGAATCGTTCTTTCGAATGGCGTTCATCATGTACAATGCATGTCAACTGATTCAGTTCATGTGAAATGTGTCAGTTAGTTCAGAATAAAAGAATATCACTGTGATCTCATCCAGGGATCAGTTCTAATTTTGGGGTTCTGTGGAATAAATGGAACTTGAACACTGTTACAGGGGGTTGCCAGATATTCCATTGATTCCCGAAGTTTGTCATATTAAGACTTACTGACCCTACATATTTTCAACTTAGTGTAGGATGCTAGAGAAATAAAATCTTATAAACACATTGTCATTCCAGCGATCTCAATGCATCCAAACATTTACCCATCAATTCTTGATAGATATTTTTTTGATCCAATATTAATAAATAGCATATCAGTCATAGTTATTTACGATACTAGACACTAGATTGACATTAATATGTAGTTGTTAATTCTTCTGTCTGAACACTTTGGTAATTTCGTTCGTATAAAATGTTATCGATTAAGTTTTTGTTACTGGTATAGTGGACCACCCTGTTGATTGTTAAGTTTTTCTCGAGTAGGCCAGTAGAACTAGAATTGGATGACCGCTTACCCTTAGAATTTTGGGAATTTGATAATAATTGTGTAAGTGAAGAAGTATAATTCTGATTCGGTTCAGTTTCATCTGTTTCATCTTAATTCACAGTGTTCAATGTTATAATCAGACCTGAAATAACTTTAAAACCATTCGAAATCATGAAACTAATTGGAAAGTAGGCTGTGAAAAAAAATGGATTGTCAAATTGTATATCAATTCCTGAAGTAAACCATGTGCTCTTTGAATCTGATTTCTATATCCTGGCTTGTTAATCCAATGTATTATTTGCTGCTATAATGGCATAGGATTTCATATAGCTGAATTGGAGAAATATTTTTTAGCAAGATGTCAGAAATATACTTCCTAATGCATACAGGATGTCAATTTGAAAACTTACAATAGGGTATTTGATTTCCTAATATCAATGATCTAAAAATTTTCTAATAACTGTTCCTGGGGGTACTAAGGCAGAGTCCTTCAATAAAAATCTTGTGAAAAATGTTTTCCAGTGGCATGAATTATACCTTATATAGGTTGTTTCAAAATTTCTGTCATTCGGAGGTATATTTGCAAACTTTTCAATGACACAACTAGGCTATTCAAATGATTTTCATTAAGGTTGAGAAAAATCCCAATGTGAGTATTTAAATTGATCCCCTGTCGATGCTAGAACCTGTTGTGTATAGTGTTGAGTTCGACTGTCCTACCTTCACAAAGTGTTTTGACAGGCGCCATTTGGAGATCTTAGTATGGGTGCTACAGCAAAAAATTGTTCGTGTTGAAATTATATTTGTTATATTTCACGCTTATAGTGTTCACTATATGAACTGCAATTATTGTGATGACTTTATATTGTATTTATGCAACGAAGTATGTTAAAAATTTAAGTAAAGGTAGCGAAAAAAAAAATTGTACTCAAATATCATTTGATTCATTCAATTGCTCTTAGAGGCTTCTTTAAGAGGTTTTGCTTTGAGCTAAGGTAACAGTTGCTGATTTAAAAAGGTTATCTTTATGATTGGAAATGGTGCTTTCAGAGAAGTATCTTAGAAAAGCACCCCACTTCTGGAGTATCTTGTAACTTATACTGTATGAACAATAAGAGTATTGAAAAAATTCTATGAAAACTTTTTTCTTCAAAAAGATTATTTTTTGTGTTTATTTTCTAAAGTCCGAACGTATGTTTCCATCCATTGACTTATTACATAAACAGAACTATGAAAATATGTATTCTATATGAGAAAAATAGATAGGGACTATTTGAATAAATGCAAAGAACAGAAACCTACAAAAAAGTTTCGATCGAATTTCTTGGATACTTTATTTTTATTATTGTAGTGAAGTTCACTGCGAGATAAATTAAATTATTCCTATTCAGGCAAACTATTTTACTGAAACGGTCATTTTATACTAATTCAGTAAAAAAAAATGTGCTACACATAGTGAACTTCAATAAAACCTGTATACTTATATAATTTAACTATAATGAACATTCCATGTTGACTGTACTATCAAGATGTTTTGGAAACAAAGTGAATAGAATCATACCCATATTGTGTAAATTTACGCCCATATATACAGGGTGATACGGAAAATTGGGCTGAATTGCGTTTTTTCCATCTGATATATTTTGTTAAACAACAGAATATTTTTCCCAGAACTATTTTGTTTCTTCAACAAAATCTATATAGTGTCTTGATGGTTTCGGTCATTTTTCAACAATTCCCAACTTTTGTGTTTGATAGAAATTTTGTAACTTTCAACTAAACTATCTGTCTGTCTATCTTTCTAACTCTAACATAATTGAACAACGATATAGCGACATTTTGCATATAGTATTCTAAAAAATCGAATAATGTTGAATTTGAATAGTTACAAAATTAGTGATTCCTCTTTTTCTACACCTCTTATTATTGATGACGTTAATTTGTAACAAATTTATATCAAATAAAATTTATTATTACGAACATGTGTTTATATATCTCTTGTCATCAATAATTTATCTATTTTCTATTACAAAATAAGAGATTACTTCCAACTATGTAGTAACTAGAATTTTCAAGGTTTTTCTACGTGTTTCTGAGTTCTTCTCTTCAAAGGACTAACGGTAACAAAGTTATATAAAAACACTCCTTTCTAATGAAGAATACAACTGATTTTCTAAATAATGTTCTTTTCCTGAATAATATTCATTGTCTGGAGTCCCTGTTGACCTATGAACTGCTATCAGTGATAAGAAGATGCATTCTCATTATAATTTAAAAATATCGATTGTGATTCAGTGATGTCCAAGAATACCACACAATAGATTGATGCAAAATGATGGTTTACAACAACAAATCCAGTGTTTTTGTGCATACCCTTATGTACATGTTGAACCAAAGTGTGATTCAAGAGGAAAATTCCTACAATTATTATTATTTGCAAATCGGAAAGGGTAAATATTTTTTATTTATTTGACACTTTCCTCTAATGCCCTAAGAGTAAATTGATGATTTTTCTTTAGAATCGAATGCTACAAAGTGTTATGGAATTTATGGCTGTTTTCCTCTAACTCCCCCTTGGACATCAGAGCACAGACCAGTATCTTTATTTCCCGAAGATATACACAAGGTGAGGCATGGTTTATATTTACAAACTCAATAAGTCTATTCATAGTCTGCATTTTTATTTTTCATGGGATGATTACATACTCCATATATTTTTATTCAATGTGTCCCAGAACAACATACCATAAATAGGCCTTTTTTTCAATTCAACTTACCTCTGTACGCCACTGATCACATTTTGATATTTCAATGAATGACAAAATCGATTCTAACTACGGGTTTTTAATATTTTTTCTTGCTTTTCGAGATAGCTAACAATTAATTTTGGTGCTTCTTCATTGTTTATGGTGTGCAGAATTATCATGTTTATGAACTACTTCAGCATATGATAAGGCTGTTGGTCATCTTAATTACGGCTCACATGTCCCTATCTCAACTTTTGATCAACTATCTACTGACATTTAATTGAAACAAATACAGGGTGGTGCAGAATTCAGAATCTTGATCACCCGGTATATGTCCCAATTAACTATCAGTAGATAGTTAATCAAAAGTTGAGGAAAAAAAATTCCTAAAGTTGAAAAATGACGATTTTTCACACCCTTTATCTCTGTAATCATTTCCGCTAGACCCCAAGTGTGATACATCGATAAAAAAAAATCAGCTCTTCAGAGAGAATCTGAAAATGCAATAAAAAACAGGGTGTTCCATTCAAAATAACAAAGTTGTTGCTACTTTTCGATAGAAGCGGCAACGCCGCAGAGCTGAAAATATTTTAGATCGATAGACCAAGAGCAACTACGTGAGTAACCAAAATTTTAGAATGATCCTATGTCCCGTTCTCCATAAACGTCTAACGTACCATCGACCGTGAGTTACCCTGTATATAAAGAAATATATTGAGAATTCGCATTCTCTATGTAATGAGAATATCAATTCTTTCTCGGTTAATTCAACAATAAAAAAGAGGATATTGTTGTCAATAACTCAACAGAAATGAGGTTGAAATTTGCAACAAAATATGACAGGTAATCCTGACAATATAAACAAGTATAGAGAACGACCAAAATTATTTTTGTTAGATATATCGAATACTAAGATGAATTATAAAGAAACTGCAGTTAGAAAAAGTTAGATAATCAAATTTGTCGTTCCTTGAAATGTCGAATGCTCCAAAAAATCAATGTTCATCAAAGAAAATGTGATATATCTATATCCCTGTATATTGATTCAATTGCTATAACATGGTTTTCATGCACATTCATGATAGTTAATAGGCGAGTAGACTAGTTTTTTTTTTTATTTCTCAAATAGAATCATCACTCAAATTTTCTAATAACTTATTGTCTGTTCTCATTTTGATTTTTCAGATAGAACCAAAATATTTGCTCTACACAAGAAATCATTACCCCAAAGCATATTTCCTAGATATCTACGAAATCGAAAATTTGCATTATCAACCTATCGGTGCTATCGATTTCGATCCCAGCAAGCCTATCTACCTAGTGAGTCATGGATATCTTGAAGGGGGTACAATAGGATGGGTAAGGAATTATGAAAATGATTATCTATTATGCATTTCAGACACAAGACACACTAAGTCATCTCCACAAATGTATTCTCAGAATTACCTTTTTTTTACCCCTTGGAGCGCACAAAAGGAAATTCCTATAATGTTCGTGAAACATCGTGCGTACTTAGGGAGGATATTGAGAAGTGCTAGTATGATTTGAGAAAGTAGAAGTGAAAAAAAGAAAGCAACAGCAATATCCAGGCTGTTAAAAAAACTGCCTGGATGACCAAGGGTTGGTACCCTCTTTTGGCTATGGGCACTTTGCCCTCTATCAATATTTATATTTTATTTGATAACTAATATTGCTGTTGCCCCTTTTTCTCATTTCCACACATTTCTCAAATCATACTGCTGATGATGGACTAACGATAGTCCGAGAAATGTTCAGATAATTATAGGATAGGGAGAGGAGGTAGGTATTGATGATATACGTTGGTATATTTCAATGTCGTGAAAGCCTAATAATAGATCACGAACATGTCGAAGGTCCTGCTGCCTTATCCGTACCCTATTTCCTAACTATTCATTGTTAATGCTCAATAATTATTGTTGCGAGAAGTGGTCGTAATTTTACCAAAATCGGACAACCATTAAGTTTTTTCTGGTTGTTTTCAATGTGCCGGTGGATGAATTTCTTGATGAATCATAACACTTTCTTGAAACATCGTAGATCACGAACATGTCGAAGGCCCTCCTGGTCCAACAGAACTGCAAAGTGATCGTGGTGGACTAGCATGGGGGTTCCGGGCCCCCGTACACACAGGCCGTGGCCAACATATACGGCTGGTGGGGTCGATAACGGCGACCTGCTGGGGGAGAGAGGGAACAATCGCAGAGTCCACAATAAACGATCAGAACCGTTTTCACGAAATTATTCACGACTTCAATAATTGTTCTACATATTTTTAACAATTTGGTCCTTCGAGCCGGATGGTCCACACGCGATTGTAGTTCCTATTCCAATTGTTCCTGATATCGGCACTCCGGTGAATCTGTTTCATATTCCCATGCCTTATCCGTACCCTATTTCTTATCATACCATTTGCGAACATAGGTCGGGAAAAACCATTTGTTGATCTGTTTTATAGGTATATGTATATAAATATCTTCATTGTTTATGCCCATTAATTATAGTTGCAAAATGCAAAAAGCAGTAGAGACATCGTCAAGATGGAACGATTGCTGTAGTTACAATTAAAAACAAGTTTCATTTTGTTAATTTTTTTAACAATCTTGTACAGTCCATAATAAATTATAATCAAAACTATTTTCACGCAATTATTCAAGACTGCCATTGCTCTACATATTCTTAACAGTTTGGTCCTTAAAGCCGGATGGCAGCCATATCTATGGTGCACATGCGTTTGTAGTTTCTATTCCAATTGTCCCTGATATCTGCACTCCAGTGAGTCTGTTACATAGTCCCATTCCTTATCCTTACCCTATTTCCTAACTATTCGTTGTTTATGCTAATTAATTATTGTTGCAAGAAGTGGTCGTAATTTTACCAAAATCGGACAAGCATAAATTTTTTTCTTTGTGCCGGTGAATGAATTTCTTGATGAATCATGAAACTTTCTTAAAACTTCGTAGATCTCGAACATGTCGAAGGCCCTCCTGGCCCAACAGGACTGCAACGTGATCGTGGTGGACTGGCAGGGGGGTTCCGGGCCCCCCTACACGCAGGCCGTGGCCAACATACGGCTGGTGGGGGCGATAACGGCGCATCTTCTGGGGGAGATGGCGAACCACACGGGGGGCGCGCAGCTGGACCACGTGCACGCCATCGGGCACTCGCTGGGCGCGCACATGTTCGGCTATGTCGGCTATACTTTGCAAAACGTGAGTCATATCATATCAATTTTGGTTCATCATCAATTTTATTTATTGGGTATAATCCATCAAATTTGAAAAGCTCAACCAGAACAACCTTATGTCGCCCTCAAGGACTCACAACTTGTGAGTATGGGAATGGTGAACTCGAGGTACCCTAGCCAGATATTCACCAAACTTTAACTTGTCTTGGGTGATATCCTCTTCTCTCTTCCTTTTCCAATCTATCCTATCGGCCTTCCTTGGCCAACTTCTCTTTTCCTCTTCCCCTTCAAGCCCAACCTCACCATCAAGTGGGGTGGGGAGGACAGACCGTGGCCGCTCGACAGATGAAGCATTTTGGGACCATCTTTGCTATCTCCGGGCCAGATGGATATACGTGGTGAGGATGGGGCGATTTGCTGATATCTGTCTAGGTGGCCAAGGACTGGTCAACGAGGCACTGGCAACCTAATTCGAGCTGTGGGAACCCGTGGCGATGGATGAATGGCACCGAGGTATGCATTGATCATATATGCTAAAACTGATAGCAGCATCTAGGTAAGATACAATGAGCCACTAGGCCCAAGTGTTAGTGGTATACCCTGAGGTATACCCTGAGGACTCACACATAATCAAATGGGGGATTAGCCCAAATGATGTCCATAAAAGATTCCAACCACCTGACGAAAAAAACAACCTTATGTCGTCTACTCTCTACTAAAACTCGTGTATCTATACTCTATAGAACTGCAAAATTTTGGAATTGCTAGTCGACTATTTTTTTTTTCATTTTTCAATTTTAAACTTGCCATGCTCGGAAGAAACTGAAAATGAAATGAAGATTAGCTGATTCCATAGTATCTTTCGAGACAAATTACCAGTGAGAGTGATTGTAGATATTGGTGATATCCTATTCAATTACTGTTTGTAGGTTAATCGAGGAGGTGATACCTACCTGTACAACCCCTCAATCTGAGCCAAATCGACGGCACAGCGATTTATTTGCTGCCATTATTCTAGACATACTTCTGTCATGTGATAACGAGTTGAAACAAAAAGCAAATGAGAGGGGATAATTTTCTCTTTAAATTATCCAAACGCCTTTTGAAATCTACAATTGAATTGGCTCGAAATTTACCATTGTTGTACATTTTATGAACATTGTGTGGATATGACTTTGAGGTTTTTGTATTTATCTTAATTATCAGTACAATTGACAGATGAATGTTAATAAACCCCTGATGGCTCTTTCGTAAATTTATCTCTCCCAGCGTTGTAGTAATTTCGAATGAATCGTCCATGTCCACCGATCCTTTCCAGACCTTCAACCTCACCCTGGGCAGAATCACAGGTCTGGACCCCGCCGAGCCCCACTTCTCCAAAACCCGCCCACCCGTGCGGCTGGACCGCTCGGCCGCCCGATACGTCGACGTCATCCACACGGACGCCAGCCAGTTCATCAGGGGCGGGCTGGGCATGGCGGAGAGCATAGGTCACGTGGACTACTACCCGGACGGGGGCACCGACCAGCCCGGCTGCACGAAGGGCGTGCTGCAGTTTATCAGGGATAGCGAGGGCAGTCTCTTCAACGGTGGGTGACTTTGACTTGAGTGACGACAATAGTTGTCCACTTTTTCATTGGTCAGACTTCAATATGGAGGTGCATCCACCTGTCTTGTTTTCTCCATTCAGTTCTACGCATTCTATTACACATTGGCTTTGGATATTAACTATTAGAATCCATCTTCTGGGACTCCTAAGTCTCAGATAATTCAGGTGATGAATTGAAAATATCAAATATCTAAACTATTCTAAACCCAACATCAGGTGGGCACTTCGAAGGCGCAAATTCATTACTGCATGGGAGATATCCCTTCAGATTTATAGCTATTCAGTGACTTGACCACAAATAACATTCCGGAAACGGCAGCCATTTTGAGGTCTATTGTCGTCCCTCTATTTAATCTACTCACTCTACTGTGACAATTTTTTTTTCTAATTTTTATTCTTCATATTCACACTGATGCTTTCAATTTTATTATTTTTCATGTAGTCAAAGAGCTGACAACAAATGTCAAGAGATCTCGAATAATGTATCGACATCTCCTACTTTATTGTACGGCCGTAACATCATTGAAAACTGATCGGGATGTCTGGCAGGTTTTCAGTGGTAGAGGCGGCCGCGGTTTGACCGTAAAGGATTGAAAAATAAATCAATGCAGAATTTTTATGGGGTGGTAGCCGATTATGTTTGCTTTTCAATAAAAATTATACCAGACCAGAGTGGTGGAATCATACTGCCAAAAAGGCACATAGTTTTGAAGGTACTTGAAAACGACCCTCCATCGTTATGTAAATAGAGACTCTGGCCAATTTTTTTTCATGACTATAGACCCTCGGTATTATATGTATATATATAATGTCGAAAGACGTACCTGATCGTCTTATATATAGAGCATCCACTCAACGATTCTTTGTTACTTGGGACCCTCTGTATTATACAGGATGTTATTTAATTGATGGCTGAAAATATAGGATATATGCCATAAACCACTTGAATTTCGAACTAAAGGGTGTTGAAATTGAATTTTCTCTTTATTGAATAAATAAACTATTACAATGTACAAAACTTTCACGTTTATGAATACTTCTCAAATGCAAAGTAATTGATCAAATGTCAATATTTCAAATACGAAATAGGGCACTAGCCTGCTACTACTTCAGAATAATTTCGTTATACCAGGAATGCTTGAAAATTGTTTTTATTTTTCCACGCGTAAACGGTTTGTTGGACAAAGAAAATTCAGGAAGTTAAATTGTTGCAATTGTTGCAAAATGAATGAGAATTTCAAAAATTATTTTTATTCTCGGAAAAATCAAGGGTGTACAATATATTTTTTAAATCTCCAGGATACATCCCATACGGACGACACTGGTAGAACTATCAAAAAATCTCCTGCATCAAAAAGTGCCTATTGGTGCTTAGTAGGTGCATGTCAAATTTCATGAAAATATCTAGAACAGTATTGAAGTTATATTAAGAAAAAGGATTTTTTATTAAAATTTCAACTCGAAGTTAAGAGGTTTAAGGCATATGTTCATGTGGACTTTTCTTTTTAAAATGTTCTAAGAAACCATATTCTTTATTTACAGCCATCAATTAAATTACACCCTGTATACATACAATGCCAGACACGAAATTTTGAGCAGAACAGCCACCGAGACAACAACGAAGATGAAAAAATTCGCAAATAATGAGGTTCTATTATAACGATACAAAATTGTTCCAAGACCCTATTTATCGGACGATGGAAGATCGTCTTGTCGACCTAATAGTTTGTGACTCAAAAAAAAAACATTTTCCGGGTTTGTTTCGTGCACTATTCTTTCAGCAACCAGTAAAGCACGTTTCGTTATTATATTTATTTGTTGGACAAAAATGGGAACAATCTAATCCTTATTTATATTAATTTTTATGTCGAAATTCGAACAATTGTTTAATTTAATTGGATTCAACTCGTTTCAATGGCTTGGTATATCAAAATGTCTGTTGTTGAAGTCAGAACATGCAGGAAAGGTGTGCAATTCGTGTTGATGTCCGGGAACGTGGCTATATTTCCATTATTCTTCCCTCTGACTGAAATGATACCTACTTTCCAGCATAAAGTATCGCTCCAAAGGTTAAAGGTTCAAATAATTCCCGATTGTTGTGAAGACTAATCCAAAAATACATCTTCTGTAAAAGTTATGTGTTCTTTCATATCCACCTATTTCTATTTTGTGCACAAGTCAAACGGTTTCGTACTGAGCCTTTGGTTTTTCTGGTTATAATCATGATGTAACATCTGCTGTTTCATTAGAAATTACGTCAGGCACATCTTCTAACTCTCTTTCAATGTTATTTTCCATTATTTATTAGACTATCGCATGTAAACTTTTTGAAAGAAAAATGAATTTCAACTATTTTGATGACTCTTTGCTATGGTTATAATCAAGAATAACTATCACAACAATATATTTCTTTCCGGCATAGTCTGTGAGAAAAAATCTTGACATTTTCAGAAAAAGGACCTTGAAATGTTGAGATTCTGATAAAAAACAAATGAGTTACTATGGTACCAATACCTCTTCGAAGATATGAGTTCTGCTGATGACACAGCAGTATTTTGTGGAAACTGAATCGCCATTTCTTTTTCAGGGGTGAAGAAATATTTGAGTTGCAACCACCTGAGGAGTCACGAAATTTTCCTAGAAAGCATAACCCCGAATCCCAAGTGCAAGTTCATGTCGGTGTCTTGTTCATCATTTCAGGTAATCATAATCGAATTCCCTTCGAGATTTCGAGTTCAAATACGACGATGATTTGTCTTGTAGGATTTCACTAGTGGAAAGTGTTTCGATTGCGGAAAACGCAGTGAAAACTGCATACCGTTCGGATTTCACGGAAGAAAACATTATGAAAAAGTATTGGGCAATAAGTTGCGTGGGAAGAGTAAGATTCAGTATTTAATCACCGGTGAAGGAAGACCACATTGCAGTAAGTTAAATACAAAACCCAAGAAGCCCCCAAAAAAAAATAAGATAAGCAGGATTCAAGAACTCCCCTCTCCAAAGTTAAATACAGGGTGTATCATCCTTGCAGAAAATAAGAAATTAGATTCTTTGAACTGTGTTCCAAAGACCTGTAGTTTTTGTGATACAGGTTGTCAATATTGAAAAAAATACTGTCTTCATCAATTCCTAAATAGAAAACCTTTTTTGAGTATTTTTTCAATACATATTCAGGGTATCTCGAAATTACATAGGTAAGGAAAATAGTGCTTTTTCCTTTTAAGGGTACCGAATTTTTCCAAAAACTGGTTTGATGGAAAATACCTCTTATTTTAACATCTACTTTTGATGTTTGATTCAGAATATGGTAAATGCAATAAAAAAATTTAATACTAATATGGTAGATACCCTTTTAAGAAAAAGTACTATTTTTATGACGCAGCAGACTTTTAAAATCGGTTTATCTTGAAAATGATGAATGCTATCGAACATAAACGGGAATACTTTTTTACGTGTTTAATAAATCACAGATCGACAATCCGTGATTAATCTATCATTTAAGGTGGTACATATCCGTACGCTGAATACCATTTTAGTTATGTGAGTAGAAAAAATTATTTAATGCCCTTCCTTATGAACTGAAAAACATCTCTTGCTACGAGAATTCTCAATATCTGGCACTTTCTACACAGTAAATGAGTTTTTGGACAGGAATAGCCTCTAGTCAATTTACAGATAATTTTATATTGCATATTTTATTTAACCCTCGTTTATTTGACTCACTGTTTTTTCAAATCTACTATAATTACTGTATTGTATTGTTCTGATATTTTATGTATGTATTTGAGGATGTTTTGATCCAATTTATTTCAATTTCAAACGTGATATAAACAACGTGACTTGTCCAACACCCTTATAATTGTGGTAATTTATGGATCAATAAAGTTTCTATTTCTATTACACTTCAGATCTTCTAGGCACTCTAGTAATAAGTAAATGCGAAAACTAGTCCACCATAACCATTGACTAATTTTTCTAGAAAGCCACTACAGGATCATCGTGCAAATATCCGACTCGAATTCCAGCCGCCTCCACGGCGGCGAGGTGGGCCAACTGTTCTTCACGATGCACTCCACCAGTGACGGCAGAGGGCAGAAGACCGCCCCCGTCGGCTTCCATTCCGGCTTCCACCGCCCCGGGGAGGCGCACATGGGGGTGGTGGCGGCCGAGGGGGTGGCTCGCCTCAGGGCGGTCCAGATAGAGTGGAGGTACGACCTTGATAATAGATAGACACAGCGATTCATTCATAAATCATCAAAAAGTATTCGCGAACAATCTAGTCCAGTCATTGGAGATTTTTACCTGGAAAAAAGTCCGGAAGTTTTGAAACTTTGTAGGATTATAGTTTTGGGTGTCCAGAACTAAAATTCACAAAATGCACATTCCGGGACATGCCGCCGGCGCCGCCATTTTGCCAAGATGGCGCTCAAAAACGGTGTTTTGGAAATATCTCCAAAACGGTGCGTTTTTAGAAAAAATATGAGAACATAAAAATTTAAGATGAAGAAATTTTCTACAAGAAATGTTCTTAGTATATTTTTTCTGAAGTGAGCCGTTTAGGCCCAAGAGCTGATTGAATGACATCATATTCTGTTAATTTCAATAAACTGCCCCTAACTATCTCCAAATATGCGTATAAATTTATCTTTTATAATGAAACGGGCTATCTAATTGGTTTCTCGTTATATTTATAGCTTGCTGACAGAGGATATTTCCTATAAAATATGTTCTTAGAATATTCTCGCTAAAGTACCCTCGTTAAGGCGCAAGTGCCCTTACCAAATTACAAATGTTGCGTTTTTTTCTGTAGTGGCGAGTTTCGGAAATAATATGATTGTGTATTAGGGGTCCCCAAATCTGATATTTAACGACTTTAAAAATATTTATCACGAAACAGTGGATATCCATTATTCAATTAATCGATGAATTCATCAATTAATCCATGTTAATAATTTATGATCAATCAATTTCGATTTTAAATGCTGTACTTGTTTCCACATCACCCAAGAGGCTAAGTACACGGCGCGTTTTTTTTAACGTGGTTTCCCCTGTAGTCCTAATCCACTCAGGTACTGAAATTATTTTTGGCAAAGGCCAGACGGACCTGGCTCGTTGATTTCGATATATTCAACGGGGAAACTGGTTACCTCAGCTCCAGAATCGATGTTAATTTCCTTCAACTCGTCAGATTCTTCTTCTGCAGTCGATAAAGAATCATCATGCAGCGAATGGAGGTCTTCTTCATCGGATTCGTCCAGTGTCACTTGGCTGATATTTTCACAAGTTTTCCCGTTGCAGACACCGCAAATCATCGAACATCGCAATCCTGCTCTCCTGCATCCGCAGGCTCTACCACAAGCCGCCTTGCACTTACAAGATAAAAAAGCAAGTAGTGCTTTGGAAGCAGAATCTTTCAAAGTAGTTATTGGAGTGAGGCCAGTTTGTGTTTTCTTCCAAACCCATTCTTCAACTACTTTCGGACAACCACGCCATAGTTGAACCTGATAGTACGTTCTCAACGAATGCTGTCGTGCAGCTGCGCTTGTCGGTGGTAAAGATGCCAAATTGAATTTACTTTTTTTTACCGACTTCACGAAACACTGGTATAGATATTTATCAAGATTGGTGTAATTTGTGTCTTTGAATCCATAGAGTGCAAGGAAAAATTTCTCACCGGCAAAGGCAACTTGATCAGGGGTGGCATGTTCATTTTTAAAAACTTTAATATGATCTTGTAACTCTTTATGTTTTCCTAATGTTGTTAGAAACTTCATTTTTCCTTGGTTAAATACGGTCTCGCAATTTTTTCATGTCCGTTTTTCTCGTAAAATTACTGATTGGCAAATTGTGTTCGTTACTACTAGGTAATTTAGTTGATGAAAAAGTTCTTGTGTTTTTACCGTTTATAAAAACATCTCATCTGAAATATATATTTTGTGTATTTACTCATATTGGGATGGAGTGGTAAAGACAAGAAAGCGAAATTTCAAATTTCTATGAATTTATGGGCGGTTTTACTGTACGAAATTTACTCATAACCATCCTGCACCCACATACTTCTGGAGCAAAGTCGCCAGATTCGTCGATAATGCAATTTTTATATCGCCCAAATAATCGCAAGTCACAAATGCAAAATTTTTGTCGCATAATTGATCTGAAAATCGTCCAATATAACGAGGAATAGCCCGTTTTATTATAAGATATGAATTTATACGCATATATGGAGATAGTTAGGGGCAGTTTATAGAAATTAACGGAATATGTTGTCATTCAATCAGCACTTGAGCCTAAACGGCTTTCTTTAGCAGAAATATGCTCGGAACATTTCTTGTAGAAAATTTCTTCATCTTAAATTTTTATATCTTCATATTTTTTCTAAAAACGTACCGTTTTGGAGATATTTTCAAAAAACCGTTTTTGAGCGCCATCTTGGCAAGATGGCGGCGCCGGCGGCATGTCCCGGAATGTGCATTTTGTGAATTTCAGTTCTGGACACCCAAAACTATAATCCTACAAAGTTTCAAAACTTCCGGACTTTTTTCCAGGTAAGGCTTATTTTGGATCCCCAATGACTGAACTAATCCTGTACGCCAAACACGGATGATTGGACGAAATCGCGAATAGTGGGGATAATAACATGATAAATAACACCGCGATTCATTCATAAATCATCAAAAAGTATACGCGAACGATCCTGTACGCCAAACACGGATGATTGAACGAAATCGCGAATAGTGGGGATAATAACATGATGAATAACACCGCGATTCATTCATAAATCATCAAAAAGTATACGCGAACGATCCTGTACGCCAAACACGGATGATTGAATGAAATCGCGAATAGTGGGGATAACAACATTATAAATAACACCGCGATTCATTCATAAATCATCAAAAAGTATACGCGAACGATCCTGTACGCCAAACACGGATGATTGAATGAAATCGCGAATAGTGGGGATAATAACATAATAAATAACACCGCGATTCATTCTTCAAAAATTGAACAGTTTACTACAGCAATTCTTGACGTCAAACACCATAGCCATCCTTAAAGAGGAAAGCAGCGGTGAGCCCAGTCTGGCAACATTGTTCAAAAGGTCTACCTCCAGCTATTCGCACGAATACGATATATGGGTTCTGGATGTAACAGAGTGATTGTTTTTATTTTTCGAGAGTAAATTGATGTATTATCAATGTGAAATATTGTTGAAAGTCAGTGAAAAGTGTAAGAAATATTATAGTGATCGAGTTATAAGTGAAAGAGTGTTTTTGTATGTCTGAAAGTCTCATCAAGAAATGTTTTTGAATTGAGGATATGTTTCATGTTGACTCATTTCTCATAAGAAGATGCCAAATAATTGCTGTGTGACAGGGTGTAAGTCAAATTACGCTTCGGAAAAGAAATATGTTTCGAAATTTGTACATTCGTGGGTAAATGGTGAGGCAAAAGAACAAGAGATAGACACCGTCATTCTTTCATGAATCATTAAAAAGTATACGCCAACAATCTCAAACGACAAACATGGATAGATGAATAAAATCGCGAATATTGGGGATAATTTCATACACTTGTGCGTTCGTGGGTGAGTGCTCAGACTGAAGAACATTAGACGGATACCGCCAACAATCCCAAATGCCAAACACTGATGAAGGAATGGAAGGAGATAATAACAGACACTTGTACCCTTGTAGGTGAGTGTTCAGACTAAAGAACAAGAGATATACACCGCGATGCTTTCATGAATCATTGAAAAGTATACGCCAACAATCTCAAACGCCAAACACGGACAGATGAATCAAATCGCGAATGGTGGGGATAATAATAGACACTTGTACATTTGCCGGTCAACAAATCATTGAAAACTATACGCCAACAATCCTAAACGCCAAATACGGATAAACAAATGAAATCGCGAATGGTGGGGATAACCTCAGACTAAATAACAATAGATAGACACCGTGATTCATTCATGAATCATTGAAAAGTATACGCCAACAATCCTAAATGCCAAACACGGTGGAAGGAATGAAATCGCGAATGGTGGGGATAATAGCAGACCCTTGTACATTTCCGAGTGAGTGCTCAGACTAAGTAACAATTGATAGACACTGTGATTCTTTCCTATGTTCGTTTTATTATTATTTTGTGTATTGAAACTGCAATATTCTATTGATTTTTATAGAGTAACAATCTTGACAATAGTTTTTATATCTTGACAGCTTTCACTGACTTCTCTAGGTATACTGTGTCGTGCACCCTAACAATCGAAAAATGATTTGTTACATTTAACATCCTAAAACATTAAAAAGTATTCGCTAACAATCCTAACTACGGAATCATCACCAGAGATCGATCACAACAACACATACGAGAAAAAATCTAAATCTAAAAATAGCAATGCAATAAAAAATATTTTGCATAAGCATCATAAGAATGTGTTTGAAATAGATCTCAAATTCGATCATATTGGGAGCATGAAGAATTTTTCAATATTTTGCAGAGGTTTTTTTGTCACCTTGTATAACGAGATGTCACCATCTATTTTTATCAGCTGTCTAGTAATCATATACAAAATGGATTCTTCTACAAAATAAAAAAAAAAATCCGAATATTTAGAATTATCTCGAAACTTTTCAATGTTGAATTTAGTGCAAATATTATGTGCTTGTTGTGGTTCTATATTGATCAGTAGTTTGTATCAACAACTGAATAGGCAGAATGCAAGCACATTTCTTGATTTTCATTTTCTGTCGATGTGTTTTTTTTATTTTTCTGATGTTCTTTCAACCTTACTGAGAAAAATACTTCGTTTTGTTCTAGTATTTTGATTTTTTCAAGATGATTTTTTGCTAAATGTAGACATCTTGAATTAATTGACCTTTATGAGTGGCCCAAAAAAAAATTAGGTGTTCTAGAGCTTAGAATGTGATCTTCTTTCCACAGAAAAAAAAGCAAAATAAATATTTCTTTTCAAGGTACAACAGCAGCTTCGTCAACCCGCTGACTTGGCGGTTAATGTCAACGCCGAAAATTTACTTGAAGAAGGTTACGATAGAGGCGTTAGAAATCAACGAGAGGTATGTTGTTTTTTTTTCAATAAGAACGACTCGTCATAATCTTTCCAACATTCAGCACCGGTTGTATAAACTTCTTTGTTATCTTCAAGTGAAAATAATTATCCTAACTCATCATCATTATGAGAATAAGGATTATCACTTATATACAGGGTGTTCATTTCAGGACTTCCCACCCTAATTTTCTCGAAATGTGTGTATGTTTTTGAAAAATCCCGAGACACGTCAACTACATTTTCGAGGGGGACATGGTTCTAAAATATTTTCAGCCCCGCGGCGTTGCCGCTTCTAACGAAAAGAAGCAACAACTTTGTTATTTCAAATGGAACACCCTGTATTTTATTGCATTTTTAGATTCTCCCTGAAAAGCTGATTTCATCAATGTATCACACTTGGGGTCTAGCAGGAATGATTACAGAGATATAGGGTGTTCAAAATCGAGATTTTACAACTTTAGGATTTTTTTGAGTCGAAACTATTCATTATTGGTCAAAACGGCTTTCATGTCCCTATCTCAACTTTTGATTTACTATCTACTGACATTTATTTGAAACAAATACAGGGTGATCAAAAGTCTGAATCTTGAACCACCCTGTATTTGTTTCAAATAAATGTCAGTAGATAGTTAATCAAAAGTTGAGATAGGGACATAAAAGCCGTTTTGACCAATAATGAATAGTTTCGACTCAAAAAAATCCTAAAGTTGTAAAATCTCGATTTTGAACACCCTATATCTCTGTAATCATTCCTGCTAGACCCCAAGTGTGATGCATTGATGAAATCAGCTTTTCAGGGAGAATCTAAAAATGCAATAAAATACAGGGTGTTCCATTTGAAATAACAAAGTTGTTGCTTCTTTTCGTTAGAAGCGGCAACGCCGCGGGGCTGAAAATATTTTAGAACCATGTCCCCCTCGAAAATGTAGTTGACGTGTCTCGGGATTTTTCAAAAACATACACACATTTCGAGAAAATTAGGGTGGGAAGTCCTGAAATGAACACCCTGTATATTATATTATATATGCATCTTTATATGAAGGAGAATGCAAATTCTCTACTTCAGAAGATTTTGTTTTCAAATTCTTATCGTGTGTGTTCAATAGATATAATTCAATATTCGTCGTGGCATATAGCCAGGAAAGTAGTTGTTTTCTGTTGAATAAACCGAGAAAGAACTAATATTTTCATCACATGGAGAATGCGAATTCTCAATGTATTTCTTTATATGTATATCCATTTTCATGTGTTCATAAATATATCTGAGAATGTTCCTTTTCTGTATCACTTATAATCTCCATAGTAGGAGAATTCTGCTGAGTGGGAGATTCAGTAAGAAAATTTAATGAATTGGAGTTGCTTTTAATATGATCACGATCTATTCTGAGTAGATGTCAATTAAATAAAATTTGACACTATAACTCGTTTTCATTACTAAAATGTGGGATACAGACACATTAAATAACAAATTTGTAATCTGAAATCCAATGTCTTTATAGTTTTATTTCCAATGAGCAGTTCAGTTAAATATGTTGATTCTACTTGTTAGTAAGTAAGGTTTATTACTAAAGTTTCAGGAGCATTAAAAACATTGATTCGTTTCTAATCATCTGACACGTCTACATAGTTTCAAATGAAACAGAGTAGTTTTTACCAATAGATATAAGGCGCTTTATTTTTGACAGAAAAATCATCATTTGTCAATTCCAAGCGATAAAAAATCTCAATCATCTCCCGTTGCTATAAGCAACGTATACAATAAGGAGCCTTCTAATTGGTCGAGAATTTCCAAGAAACTTGATTGACTGACTGACTGTCTTTATTACCCCAAGAAACATAGTTGTTTATAATAGGGATTAGATTAGATTAGATTTAGAATGGGGCCTTCGGGCTATCTGCCTCCACACCGCGACCTTTTCAGATCTATTGTGTCTGCCCTCAAAATCGATTAGAGTTCTTCGGCTAGCCCCGTCTTCTCTATGAGACTCCATAGGCTAGCTTTCAGATCCCCTGTGTATCTCTGGGCTTCTGGTTTTTCCTCACCCAGCGTAAGGAACCTTAGTCTTGACAAGCCCTCACAGTGGCAAAGTATGTGTACTGCTGTTTCCTCCTCTTCCTGACAGAACCTGCACAGCAGTTCTTCAGTCAGACCTATCGTACTCATGTGTTTGTTGAGCCTACAATGCCCTGTGAGAAGTCCCACTAGTATTCTAGTTGAACTTCGTTTCTGGCTTAGTAGATATTCTGTGAATGTTGGCGATGGTTTTTTAATAAACTCTTTTGCCTGTCTCATTCCTGGCGATTTGTTCCACCATTCTTGAGATTTGGTTTGCATCCATGATTTGATACTAGTCTTTTGTATAGCTTTCGCAATACCACAGAAGGGTTCTGGGCCATTCAGAGCTTTGTTTGCTCCTGCTCGGGCAAGTGAGTCTGCCTCTTCATTGCCCTCGTACCCTGTATGTGCTGGTACCCATGCTAGAGTCAGTCTGTTCTGACTGCCCAGTGCATTTAGGGTTTCTAAGCAGTCCCATACTAGTTTTGAGTTAACTTGCATAGAGTTGACTGCTTTGATTGCCGCCTGGCTATCTGAATAGATTGCAATGGTTTTGCCTTTAAACTCTTGCCTTATCAATTCTTTCACGCAATGATGTATTGCAATAATTTCTGCCTGAAACACCGTCGCGTATTTACCTAAGCTCAGTGAGATTCTTGTCTTTGGCTTGGCCCCATAAATACCAGCTCCTGATCCAAACTCAGTTTTGGAGCCGTCCGTATAGACAGCAATGTCTGCATTGATAGGAGGTCCTTCCTTCCATGCCTCTCTGTCCGTTATACTTATTTTAAAAGTTTTTTCAAAGCTATATTTTGGAATTATGCCATCCGTTGGCATTCCCATGATGGGGTCGCTTTCCAACTCTTCATATAGCTTTCTATAGTCTTTACCGTGCGCGTTGCTTATGGGTGCTTGACCCCTCGACAATCTACTCACGACTGCTCTGGCTTCGCCTTGAATATATGTTTGTAGTGGTGGTAGGTTCAAGAGGACCTCTAAAGCGGCTGTTGGAGTGGTTTTCATTGCACCAGTGGCACTCAGGCAAGCTTGTCTTTGAATAGCACTGAGCCTTCGAATCACTCCAGCCTGTTGTGTCTTTGGCCACCAAACTACTGACCCATATGCTATCATAGGCCTGATGACGCTGGCATAGAGCCATGTGGTCATTTTTGGTTGCAGTATAATAGGGATACATAAACAATATACATAATGTTATACATACAATTATGAAATTATAATAAGATATAACAAGTGAAAAAAAAAATGCAAATAATCATGCAATGTATTTTATAAGTAGGTATTCAAATAAGAAATGGAATTATCAAAGTCTCTGAAGCAGATATTCTTTTAAGTTAATTTTGAATCTAGTTGCTTCCTGTATATTCCTCAATTGACTTGGTAATGAGTTGTATAGAACGATTCCTGATATAATTTCTGGAGAACAATTTCAAAGGGACTATAGACAGATACGAGTATACTTATAGACAGAACCAAAATTTCCCATTCACGAAAAAAAAAAACGCTACTTTCTGCTTCCTGGATCTCAGTGAAATGAAATTTTCCTTTTTGGATTCCAAAAAACGATATATCTAATCAACCATGGTTATGTCATAGGAACTGGGTGAGTTAGAAATATTTAAAAAATAAATGAAGATATAATTGAAATAATATAGAATGAAGGAATCATGATGATGATAATACAGTGTCACCTTTGACTTTAACTTATCTCTGCTATGTAGAGACAGCTAATCTAATTTTGTTTTCAGTTCTACTGAGGATGGCAATTTAGTTGCCGAAATACACATTCAGACATTTCTGAATATCCAGGTTTCAAACCTTCATTGTAGAATAGGTCTGAAGTAGTTTATTTTTCTCCTTTTTTTTCAGAATCACTGTTTGCCCAAAAGCCCAAAAACCGCTAATAAACGGATCGCCCCAACTGATGATCTCTTCATATTGTTAGGTTATATCCCATCCAAAGGACACTCCAAAAATTTGTGATAATGATGTTTAAATATTGTAGAATAAATTCTTTGTTCAGCATTAAATGATGATTGAAAACGATACCTACGTTAAAAGTTATTTTAATACAATGAAACATGTATGCTGATTTATCTTGGAAATTAAACAGTTCTGCTTAGAAAAATATCTTCTGTAACTTGGTATGTAATTTAAATTCAAAGTTTTTTATTTCAATGTTTCTCATTTACAGCTCACAGTTGATCACTGTGAATAGCTAAATGCGAGTTCTCAAGATGTACAAATAAAACATAAAATTATCCCAATAGTGTTTCATTGAAAATTCAGAAAAAAACGTGTGTATTGACGTCATAAAATCATTGGTATCTAATGTTCATTGCAATCCCCAGACATAATAAGATAAACCATATTGACGACTATTATCGGAATAATGATCGAAGGTCAGAAAAGAATACTTCGCAAAATTTTGCAATAAAAACTGTTAGTTCAATGCAATTAAACATATGTACTAGGTGTTATTTGGGTTAATATTGTCCTGGAAATTACGGAAAAACAAATGCATCTTGGCCTTCATGACAAATAGCTCGTTTTAAGGATTATAGACTCCAGTTGTTTTCGGAAATTAAAAATGTTTTGAATATTTCTCTGACCTATGGACTTTGATAAAGTGAAAAATGTTTTAAAAATGTGCGTACAAATTACTACGAAGGCATGTTGCTATTCTATCATTCGCGCACAGCCGTCTTGTGAACAAATTACATCATAGAGAAGTGAGGAAAAAATATTGAAAATTACGAAGATGGTAGCAGTGGACAAGAATACCAGTGTTATTATCCAAACCATGGTATTCATGATGAATCAGAGTATAATCCAGAAAGAGGATTACTATAACAAATATTCTCCACATCAAGGTGAGTTGTGAATATTATTAGTGCTTGAGTGTACCATCAAATTTTAATACAGAAATTTGTCTGTTTGAATAATTATTAATAGTCCAACAGCCGGCTGAGAATTTCACTGGATTTCGCGATTTGATAATGAAATAAGAATTATGCCATCCGATACCAATTGAAATGTATATTTCAAAAACCCACTTGTACCACCCCTCAGTCTCAGCGATTTATTTACTGCTATTATTCCGGACATTTTGTTATTGTGATATTGAGTTGAAACAAAAAGGAAATAATAGGGAAAGATAATATCCGATGGATCAGTGTAAAACTCAACATGTGGATCAGAATACTTGAAGTGTGAGCACCACATGAGTTTCAAACTGGTCCATCGGATATAATCTTTCACGAGGGCGAAATATTCACGGAAATATTCACGCTCTGCCACTAACTTAGATCGTTTGGACATTCGCAAAGGAGACATTTTCCCCTTTCATTTGCGTTTTGTTTCAACTTGTTATCACATGACGAAAGTATGTCCGGAATAATAGCAGCAAATAAATCGCAATAACCTTTCTTGGGAAAATCACGTGAGATCAATTGCTAAAAGTGCATCCCAAAAACTTGGTTTTCTGTTTCGCGCCAGGATCTCTTTCACTTCCAGTCAGCTGCTTATGATCTATAAGGCACAGATCCGACCTGTCCTGGAATACTGTTCCCATATTTGCAGTGCAGCACCCAACATACCCTGAAACTGTTGGATTCTGTCCAAAAAAGGGCAATTCGTCTCGTGGGTGATGCCTCGCTCACAAACTCACTCACTTCTCTGGAACACCGTAGACAAGTTGGCGATCTGGCCCTATTTTATAGATATTTTCATGGACGATGCTCTTCTGAAATATCAACATCAACAATTGTTCCTCTACTGGCAGTTCCCGCGAGATTAACCCGTCGAGTTGAGGCTTCGCACCCCTTCGTGGTCACTTTGGAGACCTGCAGAACATCTCTTTCCAAAGACTCGTTTATCCAACGAACAGCGAGGCTCTGGAACACATTGCCAAGGGAGGTGTTCCCCGAGGCATATAATCTCCAGAAATGTAAGAAGAACACCAATTCCTACCTTATTTTCCTTGGATCTCACGATGTTCTCTGAACATTACAGGATATCCCTTTTCGTGGGAACCATAACATAAAAACAAAAATCGCGAAATCGAGTACAAATTTCCTCATAGGAAAGTGCAATTTTTCAATGATTTTGCTCTGGATAGTGATTAGCACAGGTGCCGTTCGATGAACTACAATGTTTTTACTCTACTTTTGGGACAAATATCATTTCGTTATCAGATGACGCTAGAAATCTGCAGTCGGCTCTCCTACTTCAACCCTTTCACAAGATCTAAAATAAGCTTTATAAATTTCACCCAAGATATTCGACATCAACACAAATATTTGCTTTCAACTTTTGCAGATTCAAATGTGAAATGTTATGGTACATACGGCTGTTTTGATGTAGGGCCACCTTGGACATCAGATACCAGACCAGTGGCCCTTTTCCCAGAAGACATAAAGAAGGTATAGATATATACTGGGTGTCCCAGAGGGGTAGCTCACCCACTTGAATTTTTTCTTGAAGACATAATAATTGTTTCTCATAATTTTCTTGGAAACTTTGATTCAAACTCAATAATTTATGGTTTTGAAAAATATTCTATGAATAAATGATCTATTATTCATACAAAATTAGCCTGTATCTCTCATTCTGATCAAAATGACAAGAATAACCAACAGTATCAAATAAATATCAAAAATCACGAGTCACGAGCTTCTTTGACCAAGATGAAAAGTTGAAATGAATTGACACCACTCTAGATTCGAAGAAATCAGGAATATACATAGTGGTGTCCTTTTTAAAAATCCAGAGTTCTTATCGTTTCCGTATGAACAAGTTGAAGAAATGTATCCCCTAATAGATTTCAAAACTGGAATTGAAATCACATATATATTTTTTTATAGATAGAACCAAAATTCCACTTATACACGAGAAAAAATCCGCTACGTCCTGGGTTTCTCGATGTCAGTGAAATGGAATTTTTCGACGAAGAATCTTCCTTTTTGGATCCCAAAAAACCGATATATCTAATCACCCATGGATATGTTGAAAGTGGATATAGGGATTGGGTGAGTTGAAAATATGAGAATATAAATTAATGAAGATATAATTGAAATAATATGGAATGAGGCCAATGAGGGAATCATGATTATAAGACAATGTCACCTTTGAACTTCAAATTCTATCGCTTGTTATTTAGTTTACCCAGATTTAGGGTTCTTCCATTGAATTTGAATTATTTTTCAAGAATATCCCAAAAATTTGGATCTTTCTCAAAATTTTGTGAAATTGTGAATGGAAATGTTACTTTCATGGCATCCCATCCACCTATCAAATATTGTTTCGCCTTTTCTTAATTTAACAATTTCTATTTGGTGTAATTTGATCATCGGGCTATTACTTGCTATTACTCATACGCTGCAGTCCATAAAAGCCTACTTCACGCCCTTGATACATAAATAACTATTATGAATGTTTGAAGCCAGACCATTTTTGTCAAGGGTGATTGTTTATATTTTACCCAATAGCTTTCTCAGTCAATATAGGTTTTACAGAAATGTTCAAATGCGTGAAAATAAGATTTTTTTTTATTGGGCATTCACAATTTAGTACTAGAAAATGCAAATGCATCGTCAACCTAAAAATGTAACATAAACTTGTATTTTTTTAATAGAACACCCTGTAACTTATTCTCCTAATCGATAGAGCTTCTTCTTCTGATTTCAAATATAAACTGCTCCACATTTGAAGTGAGACAAGCGAATAATTTGTTTGTTTCCGAACCGTAATAACTTTGGATGAGATCAACCGATTTTTTATTCTTTTTGGGATTCGGATTGCTCAGTCAATTGGGTATAACATAATTTCTTAGGTTTCTCCACCTTTCTGGAATCATGACCTACAGGATGATATCTGAAAATGTGATAATTTCAGAAAAGTTGGAGGTCGCCCCGTTAGTAGGATACTTTTTTTTTCACTGCAAATACCCAGACAATCAAGGAAAATATGCATTATCACGACTGATAGAATCCAACTTATTATTTTTCCAGATCGGCTGGATGGCTCGCGCTCTCCTGGCCCGCGAAGACTGCAACGTGATAGTGATCGACTGGGAGGGCGGATCGGAACCGCCCTACGGGCAGGCTGTGGCCAACATCCGGCTGGTGGGAGCGATAGCGGCGCACCTGCTGGCCGAGATCGCCCAGTACACGGGCGGCCTGAAGCTGGATCACGTGCACGCCATCGGGCACTCTCTGGGCGCCCACCTGTTCGGCTACACCGGGTATACGCTGCAGAAGGTACCTCAGACTTGAAAACAATCGATAGACACCGCGATGCATTCGAAAATCGAAAGCCAAACACGGATGAATGAATGAAACCGTGAATGGTGGGGATAATAACAAACACTTGTATATGTTTTGCGGATGAGTGCTCAGACTAAATAACAGTAGATAGACACTGCGATTCATTCGAAAATCAACGCCAAACACAGATAAATGAATGAAATCGTGAATGGTGGGGATAGTAACAAACACTTGTATATGTTTTGCACGCCATCGGGCCCTCTCTGGGCGCCCACCTTTTCGGCTACATCGGGTATACGCTGCAGAAGGTACCTCAGACTTGAAAACAATCGATAAACACCGCGATGCATTCGAAAATCAAACGGCAATCACGGATGAATGAATGAAATCATGAATGGTGGGGATAATAACAAACACTAGTATATGTTCTGCGGATGAGTGCTCAGACTAAATAACTGTCGATAGACACTGCGATTCATTCGAAGATCAAACGCCAAACACAGATGAATGAATGAAATCGTGAATGGTGGGGATAGTAACAAACACTTGTATATGTTTTGCACGCCATCGGGCCCTCTCTGGGCGCCCACCTTTTCGGCTACATCGGGTATACGCTGCAGAAGGTACCTCAGACTTGAAAACAATCGATAAACACCGCGATGCATTCGAAAATCAAACGGCAATCACGGATGAATGAATGAAATCATGAATGGTGGGGATAATAACGAACACTTGTATATGTTTTGCGAATGAGTGCTCAGACTAAATAACAGTAGATAGACACTTCGATTCATTCGGAAATCAAACGCCAAACACGGATGAATGAATGAAATCGTGAATGGTGGGGATAGTAACAAACACTTGTATATGTTTTGCACGCTATCGGGCACTCTCTGGGCGCCCACCTGTTCGGCTACACCGGGTATACGCTGCAAAAGGTACCTCAGACTTGAAAACAATCGAGACACCGCGATGCATTCGAAAATCGAACTGCAAACACGGAGTGAATGGTTGGGATTATAACAAACACTTGTATATGTGAGTCATGGAAACCATCCATTCTCAAAGTGGTCCGGTATTTTTCAACAGGAGAAAATAAACGAACTCAAAGTCGATCGACCACAATATTTAATATCAAAAATATAATCAGTGTGACTAGTTTCGGCTCTACGGCCATCTTCAGACACAATTAAAAAGTACCTAGAAAGTAACAAGTAGTACAGGTGTTAAACAAAATGAAGGTTTGATTTGAATAGATCCGGCTCGAACGACCAAAATGTTCGATGGTAGATAGATAGAGGATTGTATTTGTATGGTTATATGATATATGATAATGAAATGAAAATTGATATCAGAATTGAAATTTGTATTGCAATCCTTCTCCATTTCGATTGTGGACCTGTATTTAATCGATCATTCAGCATGGTACATCGAGTAGAAAAATACAATTTTGTGTCTCAAATCGCAGGAATTCAACCTGACTTTGGGCAGATTCACCGGCATGGAAATCAAATTTTCGATATTCATCCTGTTTATAAATTGTGGCTCTATATATCGCTCTCTCTCTCTCTGTCCGTCTCTCATTACAATTCTGTTAATTCGTAGTAAATCTTCAGGTTTGAAGTGCACCTAATAGAAATTGTTGATGCTACCTGTGAAAGCTCCAGCTGCTTTATTATTCACTGTTACTCCAGGTAGTTTTGAGTAATGTTCTGTATTCTTTGTTCAGAGCTTGGCAGTCTTGAAGGTTTGATTTGAATAGATCCGGCTCGAAGGACCAATATGTTCGAAGCTTGATAGATAGAGGATTGTATTCGTATGGTTATATGATATATGGTAATGAAATGAAGATTGATATCAGAATTGAAATTCGTATTGCAATTCTTTATCATTTGAATTGTGGACCTGAGTAGAAAAATACAGTTTCGTGCCTCTAATCGCAGGAATTCAACCTGACCTTGGGCAGAATCACCGGCATGGACCCCGCCGAGCCCCACTTCTCCAACACGGTCGCCCCGGTGCGGCTGGACCGCTCGGCCGCCCAATACGTCGACGTCATCCACACGGACGCCCGGGGGTTCATCAGCGGCGCGGGCGGACTGGGCATAATAGAGCCTATCGGGCACGTGGACTACTACCCGAACGGGGGGAGGGACCAGCCGGGGTGCACCAAGGGCATCTCGCAGTTCATTCGCGATAACAACAATAGCATTTTCGATGGTGAGAATTTAGTTGGGTATAGTGAAGTTTAGTGGCCGTTGAGAGGGATGAATGTATCTGCTTTTAAGCGAACCTACGTAAAACAATGGAAATTTTATGTTTGTAACTAGGGACAGGCCCATGGTGGACTGGGGGGTCATAATGATGAGTTGACTCATTATGAATAGAGTAGCTTGATCATGAATAGAGTAGATTCTTTATGAATAGTGATGTCGGTGCGGGAGGATTTTGAAAAATATATCAATCATGTTTATCGTTGTTTTTACTTATTCGTCCAATTCTACTTCCATTGTGTTTTTGTACAAAAACCTACTTGTCCTGATTGACCGTAATTTATTGAAAATTTATTTCAGTATTGAAACAAATAATAAAATAAAATTGTATGTTTTCAGGTTTCAGAAGATATGTGAGTTGCAACCACTTGAGGAGCCATCAGATTTTCTTAGATAGTTTGAAAAAAGATTCAAGATGTAAATATTTGACTGTTACCTGTACTTCTTTCAAGGTGATATTTTTAATTATTGCCATCTAGGCATTTTTGATATCGAATAAAAATTTTAGGATTTCATGGAGGGTCAATGCTTTGACTGTGGGAAAAATAGAGCAAATTGCATACCGTTCGGATTCGATGGACGAAAACATTATGAAAAGTTTTCGAAACATAAATACCAACATAAAAGCAGAACACAATATTTGCTAACAGGAGCAAATGCACCCTATTGTAGTAAGTAAATACAAGAATATTTTTTTAATTTAATTTCCACCTTCTCCATTGGTTATTCTCTCTACGATTTATTCATTCATATATTGTGCATGAAAACGAATTTTTTGTGCAAAATGGAGTATGTCCCCATATCAACATAATATATCAAGTATGATAAATACAAGAATATTTTTTTTATTTAATTTCGACCTTCTCCATTGGTTATTCTCTCTACGATTTATTCATTCATATATCGTGCATGAAAACAAGTTTTTTGGGCAAGGTGGAGTATGTCCCCATATCAACATAATATATCAAGTATGATAAATTCATGAGGTATACCTATTTACAGAGAGCCAAGTGACCAATCAATACTGTAGTCATGATGACTAATATTTTGTGTTCTTATTATCATGGCCTCATCAGATTCGAAAATATAGGGCAGTTCAATTTTAAGCCGTGACAATCATCAAATATTGAACAGCAAGTTTCTAAAGCTAAACGAGCCATTGGAGCCCTGTATCCATTTCTAAACAGGCGAAGTAAATTGGGTTTGAGACAAAAATTGAATATTTATATCATGGCTATCAGGCCAATTTTACTGTATGCCTCAGTAGTCTGGGGCCACACAGCTAAATCTCATATCACCAGATTACAAACATTACAAAACAAAGTCGCGAGAATGGTGACAGGATCTCCTTGGTATGTTCGGAATAACCAGATCGCCAGGGATCTGAAACTCCCTTCAATCGTGTCTGTCATTAAAGAACGAAACATCAAGACTTTCGAAAAAGCTGAGGTTCATGAGAATCAGCTTCTTCGAAATGCAGTTGATTATGACCCAGGTGATCAATCAAAGTTCAAAAGACCGAGATTGTCCATAAACTAGAGAAAATATCGACATTATGACCAAATTTACTATTCTCAAGTTTTTGATATTTATTTTTTCCGTTCGATCTCTTTCAATTGTTAGAATGAATGAAACTTATTTGGGGCAGAAGGGCTGTTCGCATCAAACTTCAATACCGTTTTTATTTTGTTCCATAATAGATATCAGGATAAGAGGGACTCTTCCCTGGTCTGAATAAAATAAAAGAAAGATTCAAAAAAAAAAATCATCAAAAAATGATGTCGATATGGTATGCATGGATATAAAAATGGCATTAAAAACAAAGATGAGGCGCATAATAGTTGCATAGTAAATTCCTGAAATTAATGAAAATATAATATTTCTGACAGTCCCAACTTCTTTGTCATGATTAATCACCTGCTTAACCTGCTGACGCAATTTTTTTTTCATTTCATATTCATATTCCAGGAAGGGCTGAAGTTTTTTCAAACTATACAACGTCATATTGAAAAGGATTAAATTACGCAACTTTTGTCTGATTTGATCAACTTTCTATCTCTTACCGTTTAGGAAATAGCACTATATTTGATGGAGAACATGATCGGACATTTCCTACCTTCGCAAATTCGACAATGCGGTGTTGCCACTTCCATCGAAAAGTAGTAGCAACTTATTGATATTTCCGAGGATATTTCAAAAGGAACACCCTGTTTATCATTGCATTTTTAGTTTCTCCTTGAAGAGCTCACTTCATCAATTTATCACACTTGGGGTCCAGTGGGAATGATTACAGATTATATAGGGTGTTCAAAATCGAGATTTTTCAACTTTAAGATTTTTTCGTATCCAAACTATTATATTCATTATCGATCAAAACGGCTTCCATGTCCCTATCCTAACTTTTGACTCACTATCTACTGAAATTTAATTATTGGAACAGATACAGGGTGATCATGATTCTGAATCTTGAATCACTCTGTGTTTTCCTATATAATGTCAGTAGATAGTAAATAAAAGGTTGGGATAGGGACATGAAAGCCGTTTTGACCGATAATGAATAGTTTCGACACAAAAGAAATCGAAAGTTGAAAAATTTTGATTTTGAACACCCTATTATATCTCTGTAATCATTCTCGCTAGACCCCAAGTGTGATGCATCGATGAAATCAGATCTTCAGAGAGAATCTAAAAATGCAATGAAATACGGGGTGTTCCATCTCAGAGCAATATAGAAATATAGAGATGCCTTTGGTATCCAAAAACTACACAAAGTTATGATGCGAACATATGTCTATCCCTTTTCACTTTTTCTATGTCAAAAAATGGGGAGGGAGGAGAATTAATGTTTATTTGTCAGTCAGTAGCAGTAATTTCTGCATACATTTTCTTTGATTTGAAAATGAAGTGTTGGGTGTTCCACATGAAATGAATATTATTAATAATTTATCGTTTTCGTTTCATATAAAAGTACTGTATCATCTGCATACATGGTATATTCACTCGCTAGACCAATTTCACTGATATTTTGAACATAAAGTAAATATATTATAGGTCCTAAAGCAGGGCCTTGTGGAACAGCCTTATTAATTAATAGGTTATTTGACACAGGACGTTGATTTCGTATTGATTGTTCTAATTTCAAGATATGAATTCAAAACATTTCTCACAGTGCCTCTGAGTCCCATTGTTTCCAAGTTTTCCAAAAGTGTTGTATGATCATTATTCCAGATTTTTTGGGATTTTTATCTCCTCGTTTCTATAAAATAAAAATATGAATATTATTTCAATATACGTGTAGTAAGGACAAATCAGATGATTTGCCCCAAAATGTCACTGCGTTTAAAGAATGTTCCTATCAGAGATCCTTGAAGAAACATTCACTAGCTTGTCAGTGACAATGGGCGTGTACACCTTAGTAGAACTTTTAACTCAAACCATGTTCATAATGATCCTTTTATACATAAATAATGATTGACGACATAATTCGATCGAAAAATTAACTGGAATGTTTTATTTTTGGACATAAATAATAGTACCATCTGAAAACGGACCCTCTTATGACGTAGAAACCTCATCTCGCCATAGTTAAAAGAAAATACCAAAAGCCCGACGGAGACTGAGGCAACTGATATATTAATTTCTTCAACTGTGATCTCGCGCTAATTCACTCTGTCAGTAATCCTGTATCATTCATCTCTGTCTGGAATAGTCTTGTTTCAGTATTAGGGTTTTGACGTCACATCATCGCCTCGTTTTCAGAGGTCCGAAAAATCGGGGATTTCAATAATTTTTTATAAAACGTAGGGAGCTCACAGCAAGAAACGGTTTGCGGTGGTGAGCTAGTTTGGGTGAGTTCTATCGAATTATGAAATAAAAATTTTTTTGTGATATAAGCCCATTTGTATTTAAAAGAGTTTGGAGAAGAGAAATAAAGATATATAGAAAAATATCAAATTTTTACTTAGCTTTGGACGTTTAGAGAACGAATCTGCTCCCGTTTTCAACATGAAAAATGGATTTTTCGTATGGCAAATTCGTATTTGTCCTGACACCTTTGAATCTGCTCCGGATTCCAACATGAAAAATGATTTTTTGGATGCCAAATTCGTATTTGTCCTGACACTTTTCACGCCAGCAATTTGAACACTTCTGAGCGGTTTGTTTTGATGATATGACAAATAAGCATAAATAAAAAACAAATGTGAACCAATGAGAACAAAGTAAACATGCCGCTTTGACAGCTTTCAAGAACTCCGATAGGTGGCGTACGTTTATTTTCTATCGCGAATAGGAAAATTCTTTAAACGCAGTGACATTTTGAGGAAAATCATCTGATTTGTCCTTACTACACGTTTATTGAAATAATAGGACAGAAAATCCCAAAAAATCTGGAATAATGTTTGATCAACTGTGCGTTTGAATTTGCCAAACTTAAAACTTTCCAGGAAGCCACTACAGAATATCAGTGGAAATATCGGACTCGAACTTCAGCAAAACGGAAGGCGGCGAGGTGGGTACGCTTCACTTCACCATGCACTCGTCTGAAGACGGCAAGGGAGACAAAACAGGCAGGGTGGGCTTTTTCACCGGCTACCACCGGCCCGGCGGAGGGTACACGGGGGTGGTAGCTACTGATGGGGTGACCCATATGGGGGCCATCGAGGTCGAGTGGAAGTACGAGACGAATCTGCTAAATCCGCTGACTTACAGGATTTTGACTAGTCCGAGAATCTATTTGAGGAAGGTTACTGTCGAAGCCTTAGATATTGATGAAAGGTGGGTAACTATTAACAGTAGACCATTTTTTTCAGTGGCACACCCTTATAATTTTTTATTATTGTAGATGGAAAAAGGAAAGTTGGGGGTGTGTATTCATCACCCAAATATACCTTTCAATTTTATATTTTTTCAGAATTTTTCTATCGATTTTGAGGTGCTGAAATAATAATAATAATAATAATAATAATTTATTTCCAAATTCAAAATAATAACAAGTTATCAGCATCATTTCCAAAAGAATTGAATTGAAAATAAGAAGAAAATCCCACTGAAGTCTTTCGACTAGTTCGTGGGTGAAAACTCCGTATACTCAATACTTTTTTTCTTGTTTTTGATGTGAATACATGTATATATGAAATGAGAAAACATAACATTATACAACAAAACTATTATAACATAATCAGTTAAGATATTTAAACATAGATTAAATTGATACTATAGGTACGTTAATTTTTACTATAAAATTATCTAAACCACAACATAGTATAAATACTCACACAATACAATGAAACTTCTAAAATTACAATAAATAGAGTAGTGAAATCAGTGTAGGTAGGTGAATGTTGATCGACAATCAAAATTATAATATAATTATATAAAATTATTATATATGCAATAGTAATACAAACTCATGTTTTATAGGTATTACTCAATTATTTTTGTATGTCTTCTACAAGTCGATGTAACAGCGACCTAGAAGAATGTAGCAACCATTTTTTCAATTCTATTTTGAAGTGTTTTTCATAGCATATGTCTTTTATTTCTGTAGGCAGCATTCGGTAAATATATGGAGCAAGATAGATATATGACTTTTGTGTATTGGATTTTTTAGTCCTCAAGGTTTGTGTTCGCTTCGATTTTTTCTGTCTAGTATCATATTTATGTTGGATAGTAATCAGTTCATTTCTATTTTGGTGTTGTATCAAGAGGATTTTTTGAATATAGAGTTGTCTGATATCCATGAAACCACTTTCTTTGTAGAGATGATCACTTGAATAGGTTTTTTTTTTCCGTATGCTATTTTTATAAATTTTTTTTGAATGACTTCTAGTTGCTTCAAATGATTCTTGTATGTACCACCCCATCCCGCGATGCCGTATATAATATGGGATTCGACTAGTGAGTGATATATTGTTCTCATGCCTGAAATATTCAAAATGCTTTTGAGTTTCCTGTATCTGAAGAGTATCGATCTAAGTTTCTGTACTAAATATTTTATGTGGATATTCCACTTCAAGTTTCGATCAATCTCTACCCCTAAATATTTCAAATGATTGACTTCTTCAATGGTTACTTTTTCATCTTTCATTTTGACATCCAATGTTTTATAACTTGGTATTCTGGATGAGTTGCAGCTGAACGGTACATATTTTGTTTTTTCAAAATTAATTGTAAGGGACATTTGTTGTTGTTGTTGTTGTTGTTGTTCTTTATTACCCCAAGAAACATATTTGTTTATAATAGGGATACATAAACATATGATATATATATATATATATATATATATATAAAACAATAAAAAAAAAAACGAATTAACAAGTTATGTCAATATAACATAATAATTAAAATAAAACCAAGTTTTTATTTTTATTAAATCTCTTTCGGCGATTTCTTTCACTTTCGTCCAATTGTCGGATTCATACTGAATAACGGTATCATCGGCAAAAGACGACACAATTCCAGTGCTATTTAAGTTCAGGAGGCCATTTATGTAAATAGAGAAGAGGACTGGACCTAAGACTGTGCCTTGTGGGACCCCATATTCTATACGAGCAGCCTCACTCAATGAATCATTGATTTGAACATATTGGACTCTATTTTCGAGGTATGTTTTCAATAAATCAAGTGCAACACCTCTGAAACCAAGGCCCTCGAGTAGGTTGATCATAATATTATGATCCACCGTATCGAAGGCTTTAGCTAAATCCAGAAACACACAAAGAACTGATTTATCCTGGTCCAACTTCGAAAGGATATTGTTTGTTAAAAATAAGATTGCATTTTCCGTCGATACACCTTGTCTGAAACCAAACTGTTTATCTGAGAAGAATTTATGTTTATTCAAAAATGCCACAATCCGTCTTTTAATTATTTTCTCTACAACTTTAGAAATGTTGGATAAAAGAGATATCGGCCGATAGTTCGACACTTTTACCTTATCCCCTTTCTTGAAGAGGGGCTTGACCAACCCTATTTTCAAACTAGCAGGGAAATATCCTTTTTCGAACATCTTATTGATAATGTAGGTAAGCGGCTGTCTTATATATTTGGATATTAATTTCAGTACATTAGATGATATAGAGTCAAAACCTGGAGCCTTATTCGGTTTCAATTCTTTTATCATACTTTCGACCTCAATTTCATCTGTGCTATGGAAAAATATTGTTTGGTCGATGAATTTTCTTTCTGTAATCGATGTAGCTGATTTAGGAATATTATTTGCTAGTTCTTTACCAATATTCGTAAAGTATTTATTGAAACAATTAGCCATTTCTTTTTCATCCGTAACCATTTTTTGTTCGAAACTAATTTTTTCTATATTTTGATGATCTTTTTTTTTATTTGTGTATTTATTGATTGTATCCCATAATGACTTACTATCATTCTTATTTTTCTCGATTTCATTCTTGAAATAATCTATTTTAGTTTGTGACAAAAGTTTATTCAGCTTATTTTTGTATGTTTTGAATTTTCGCTCTTTTATTTCATTTCCTGGATCCAGTTGAAATTCTCTGTAAAGCTTTTGTTTGGTATGCGAAGAAATAACTAACCCCGATGTTATCCACGGTTGACGTTTTTTCACTTTGGTTTTATATAATATTTCTGTGGTAGCAACTCTAATAGCATCCTTTATTTTAGAGATTAAAATTTCTGTTGCAATGTCTAAATTCTCTGTTCTATAAATGTTATGCCAGTCTTCTCTCTCCATCATATCAATAATTTGTTTTTCATTCAATCTCTTGATTTTTTTCGTTTCAGGTTGTAATGATAATAGATCTTTTTTTATGTCTATTGAAGCAATGATAGGGAAATGGTCTGTTATATCAACTTCCAAAACAAATGATTTACATTTAGGATTTCCATTACTTTTTTTCAAGAGAATATGGTCTATACAACAATAATGCCAGGGTAAATTTCAAACAGGTAAAAATGTACCGCGAGTAAAAATAAAAAGTATGGGGAAGCAAGTAAATATGTGAAAAAATGTAAATTGAACTATAATACATAAGCCCCAAATATTGTTTTTCTATCTTCCATAATAATAAAGTTATATAAGGGTGAGCCAACTTAGAGAATCACCCTACACTGAGTGCATACTTTAAAATTAGTGGAAAACAATATACCTATTCTATTAACTATATTAAAAAAATCAGGAGTATAAAAACTGAACTATGGATTTTGTCACAATAATGTTGTCCTAAGGTATATTGGTCAGACAAGTAGAATGGGTAAACAACGAATTTTGGAACATTATAAGATTTTAATATTCAATATGCCCAAATTACTCTTGTTTTCTTAAAAAAAAAATGTATACTGTCTCATAGTAGCAAACACATTTCAAATGAATATCTGATCGTTTTTTTTTTCAGAATTACTGTTTGTCCAAAAGGTCAAAAACCAGTTGTGAATGGATTGCCTCAGCTGATGCTCCCATCATATTGTTGAAGTAAATAATTCTTGGCCGTGCCTTTCTGATTCCGTATTTAGCACAAACAATGCAAACTTTAGTATGTATATTAATATATTTTTTTAAGTTAGTGAATAGTATTTTATTTGACATAATATATGAGTACATATTTATACCATTATTTTAGGCAATGTATATATATTAATATATGCTAATTTTGGTCTACCCCTCAAACTTTGTTAACTCATCAGATGACAGAAACAATAAATTAATTCCTCATCAATATGACTGAAATAGCTTCTGAATAAAATCACTCTGAAATGAGGAATGTGATATGTTTATTGAGACAGTCATATAATACATCAATAAGATGATAAACACACATATATAGTTCCAGGTATCAATAACAAGACTAGGAAAAAATCAGATGATTATTGATCGAATTGATAAAATTAATATGGGCACAAACCCTGATTGATTTTTGAGGTAATTCAAACTATAATAACATATTTTTAAAAATATTCAGTTACCTATTTGAAAATAACTATATCTATACAAAGAGATCCAAATGCATCACAGTCAAGAAAATATACAGTGCCAATAGGTTTAGTTTTTTTCACATAGAGCAATAATCAAATTTGAAGCTTTTAACATTCCATGAAATTCCATGTCAGGACTCCAAGTAGGAAAATTGGTACTTGAATGAATAATTTTTTTCCTAAAAATTGGAAAATAAAAATAGAAAATACCCAGAGCCCTGTGTTATTTATGCAATACAAACAATGGGTCTTAGCTCTATTCAGAAACAGTTATGGCAATATTTTTTGTCTTATGGTTATCAAACTTATCCATAGTTTTTATATCCATCATAGCCGTCAAAGCTACAATAAAACCTAAGCCTAAAATACTTGTGACAAACAAACCAGACCAAATGGGAACTGTAGTGAATGTGACACAGTCATTAGCATCTCCAAATTTACCATTCTGGGAGTCAATCTGAACCTGGAGATCATAAATAAACAGCTCAGTTCCATTAGAATCAGAAAATAGTGTGTAACCATTACAGTGATAGGAAAAATGTGCAGGGGCATTTATATCTTCCTTGGTTGTCAAGTTATAATCTCTACTAGTCTCTGTATCCCTTATTTTAACAGATGACATGTACCAGTAACCATTGAGCCAAGTGAAGCTAAATCTGAGAGTGATTTTGCCGCCTACTTTCACTGGAATGATAACATTTAAGCGGGTATCATATGTGATCATATCCTCATCAGTATTGCCCAAATATAACATCAATGGCTCAGTATCATTTCTTTTTAGCAACAATGGTTTAGAGGAATATAGCAAGGCATACAAGTTGTTATTGATGTTCTGTTTCCTATAGATTACAGGACCTTTGGGTATGGGTTTTGTAGATTTTTCTATATCATTTTGTTCAGTAGTATTGTCTCCATCAACAATTTGTCGTTTAGGTCTCTTTCCTGGTTCAGGTATCAAGATAACTGATAAGATATTATCAGATTTGCGTTCACTAAGAACTTTGAGAATATATTCCACATCTTTTTCAGCATCTCCAGTAAGATCTTAAAAGTCCATGATGAGCACAATTTCTCATAATTGCAATAATTAAATCATACTGACCTGTAACATTCTCTGGGTCCAATGAAGCATTTGGGTTGTAAGTCGAATAGAATCCTTCTTTAACAACTTTGAAATCATCAGATAAAACCACTGGGCTTCTGAAAATGTATACTTCTGGATCTGATAGAGATGCTATCAACTTTGAGAAATCTTCAGAAGTAAATGATTGTAATGGTGAAATTAGTATATGTTGATTGCTCCAGAGGAAAACAGCAGCATTTGAATAAAAAATATTTAGAAATACTAGAAATATTATTCGTTCACTTTCCAATTTCATATTTATTTTATGATATTCTCTAGCTAGTCTAGCTTGATAATCAAATATCAATGCTTCAGTTTAAATCGATTTTTCGCGGTGTGTCATTTGCATTTGTCAACGATCAAAACTGTCTAAACACAAAACTCATAATTATTTCAGTCCTTAGATCATAAAAATTAACTTTCCCAGTAGGAACACTTCGTGACACTACGAACCTTGGGGAAATATCATCACCCATATATGTTCAAGAAAATTAGAAGTCGATTACACTAATAAATATATGAGAAATAATGAAAATAAAAAAATATGTCAACAAAGAAAGAAATTGAAGTAATTCTACACCTGTTACTGAACAGCGAACTAACACTGAACCTGTTCCGGACAAACCAACTGAACGTCGCTAGTTTCATGCATATCAAGGTCATGCATATGACAACGATCAGCTGATCATGGTTCAGATATAGGCGGCAAATTCAAAATAATGCAGTAGAGTACAATAAATAGAGTCAGATAAGGGATGAAGTTAACTTACCGACCAGTATATGAAGGTATTTGGGCTGTTTTTATTATTTTTTTCTTCAATTTCAATTATCTTTATCACTTCAAAACAGATAATTTCGAAAATACTATGTAATCTACCGCAAACTCAAATGAATAAATATGTTTTGGTTTGTTTGTGAACAAGTGTGTGAATAGTTGTGTTGTCTAGTGATAATGGCGCAGCATTGTTGCTCGATAGTGGGACACAAAGCTTGATTAAATAATGTTATCATCCTTGAAGATATTTGCCTGTATAAATTTGAATGTGACTTGGAAGATAATGTAGTTCAATTTCAGCTGTCGCTGCTGAATTTTTTTGTGAAATTCCCTGAAAACTCAAAAGATGTCTTCTTCCTCTTCATTATCAGCTGATCAAAGGCAAGCGTTGGACACGCAAGCTGTCAACAATTTTCGTGAATATCTACAAATTCCGTCGGTTCATCCTGATGTGAATTATGGTAAGCAATTTCTTTATTCCATAATGCTTATTAAATATCAAATTGTTCTTTTCATTTCATATCAAAAATAATAGCTAGCATCATCTTGTGTTGTGGTACTTATGTCATTTATTTTTTATTTACTACATTAGGAATCCTTTTGGTTGGCTTGGCTTCGCTTTTTTTGGGTGTGGACTTTGGAGTTTGCTTGATATATGATTGTAAAATGGGTACTTTTCTTAACTTTGAATTGTTATCCTTTAATTAGTGTTCATTTCCAAAGGTATGTTGAATTCTAGTTGTATTTATTTTCTATATTGAAGACAAAACTAGGAAGGACCTTTGGTGCTTCAGTTTAATATAAAGTACAGAGTACAGGTTTTCCATTCATTGTTTTCTGTTATTTTGATGAACTAATGAAGGGCAAGATATGGATTAGCTGAAAATATCTTTGAATCAGGTTCCTATTCTGACCATTTTCTCCTAATTCAAAATGGGGTTGGAGATGTAGTTTTATGTGTCTAATGTCTCAATGAATCAGCATTCAACTGAAGTACTTGGTAATAGCTTACAAAATTTGAAATAAGGACATGTTTGTCCAGCCATCTTAAATAAATATTCAATTGAGAGGAAGTTCCAAAGATCAATGCCTTTATTATACATTATCTCCACAATATGATGTGAATAGAATAAAATTATAATAAGCACTTCATGTAATGTATAGCACAATGTAATAGGTAGATGATGGGGAATACCTCTGTTCCTACCAATAATGCATGGTACCCCAATTATACCCCTATTTGCCTGATCATACAGTTATTTTGTGTGGAAAGACAATATCTGGATTCATTGACTTTCAATTGTGATATTTCTCATTCCCACAAAGTATTATGGTCTTGGTGTCATACATATACTTTACAATATGCTAAGTATTAACTCTGAAAATCATCCATTTCTTGAAGTAACTCAAAGTAGTCAGAGTCAGTCTACAATCCTTTAAGTACTCATTGTTGTATTCCTACCGAGATTCCTACCAAATTTTCAAGTTTCTGCTTTTTTTTTTTAGATGATTGTGTCAAATTCCTGGAAAAGCAAGCAAAAAGTTTGTCTCTTCCTTTCACGGTTGTGTATATCACACCCAAAAAACCAGTTGTGGTATTAACATGGACTGGCAAGGAGCCCTCTTTACCAACCATATTACTTAACAGTCATATGGATGTAGTACCTGTTTTCGAAGTTAGTCATCATAACCATTCATAACTTCTGATTTTTTTGTTTTTTCATTTGTAATAACAGAATTCTCGTCAGCAAAAGTTCATAAATACTTGAAGATCCGAAATTCAGATCTAATCTAACAAATACTCATTAAAAAATCATTATTTCATTGACCAGGAACAACACTTCCAAAATATGTGTCATAAAAAAACATAAGAGTTTGCAATCATTTCTAAATAACTTTGTAAACTTAATTGTGAATTCAATTGGAAAGTAGTATAAGTAGCATTTTGTAATTTGGTTTGGGGCAGGAAAAATCTCTCATGTTGGAGATTTTGTTTGGTCCTCTAAGTAAAAAAATCTTCATGTTGGATTTCACATTTTAGGATAAATGGACTCATAAGCCTTTTAGTGCCCATGTAGATGAAAAGGGGAATATTTATGCTAGGGGGGCACAGGACATGAAGTGTGTTGGGATTCAATATTTAGAAGCAATCAGAAGACTGAAACAACAGGGTGTTACTTTAAAGAGGACAATACATGTCACATTTGTACCAGGTAGGAACATTTATTGAAAGATTCAAGGATTCAGTTTATATTCCATTTTGTGTATCTTATACTTTTTTCATCTAAATAATGTGTCTATGGGATGTTTCAAATTGTTGAATTTCAAAGCTCATTTCAAATGTCTCTATTTGGCCATGTTATGTTTCATTATTGGTCAGGTAATCTTCCATTTCCATTTATATTGACTCCTTAAACAACTATATCAACTATGACTTTGTCAATGAGAATTTTCTTGGGACAATAAAGTATATTTTGATTGATTGATTGATTGATTGATTTATAAGGCAAGGTGGTCAGATCACCAATCAAGTTATTAGAAAGTTGTTTAAACCACTATAGTTGAATTAATCTACATCCAAATAAAAATTTCATTTGACCCTCTAGCAAACAGCTTGTTAAAAAAATTCTTTTACTTCATAACAAAACATCATGTAAATATTGGCCATAGACACTTGGCAATGCTGTGCTGAATGCTGAGAATTGACAAGCCACAGTCCTTTGTTGTCATGTTTACTATACCAAATGTCCTCTACTGTGAATTATTAATATAATAATATTATTATTACAAATTCATAATAAGCAATAGGACACAGGGACAATTTTGAGGCAATGGATTTTTTATATCTAATTACAAAATCAAGAATTTATGAATTATTGAATAAATAATATTTCTCAAGTTCCCATTTGTATTTCAACATATGGCAACGCTGCTATGGTCTGCTCCTACTTATGAAAACGTGTGATGATTTTAGCCCCTCGAAACCAACTGAAAAAAGAAAAATAGCCCAACAATTGAAGTTACAACTGTTTTGTTCCATGAGTATTTTTGTATCATGCTTAGTTTCCAAGAAAAAAAAATGTAGACCTGATATTAATCCAAATTTGGAGATTTTGAGAATTTGTCATTGTTAGATCTGATATAGGGTGATAATAGAAAAAGTCAAACAATATTTCTAATGTCAACAACCAGTATGTTGAAAAGTAGGTTCCAAAACATACAAATTTATTTGGTAAAAGTCACTTATCATGCGATGGGGTTTTTTTCGAAAATTTTTTTTGGTACGTATTTTCGTCTGAAAAACATGAATTTCATAATGAAAATGTGAACAAACCACTATTTATCGAGATATTTCACTATAAAGTTACAAATTTCACCATCATTGGACAATTTATATACAGTATGATGCAAATGTATGGAATAAATTCATTTCAAAACAAGACGACTTCCGAAAAAAATCCAAAAAGTAGAGTTCAGAACTTTTTTATCGATGTATTTTTTCAACTAGACGACCCTTCGATGTTCAATTCTCAGTAGAAGATCTCTGCAAGATTCAGTAAACCAAATGATAATCCATTTTAATTTCAATCTTCTTTTGCAAAATTTTGACTATTGGATAGACGATCAGTAGACTTTTCAAACGAGGTGTCACATGACCCCTGTTTGTATTTAAAAAAACCGTCCATTACGTCATTACTCCAACACCGTTGACGTAACATCAACATCTCTCATATGAATGTCATGAGATGAGGTTTCAAAAATTAAAACACGTGTTTTTTGGAATCTCTTCAAATGTCGCCCATTTCTGAAATAATGAATTTATTCCATACATTTGCATCATACTGTATATCACGCAATGTTGGACACATTTTTTTTTATTATATGAGTCAACTAGAAATATGATTTTCTTGTGATTTATCCATGTTTAGTGAAAAGAAGGAAGAATATGATTTGAAATAATGGCGTGTGTGATGTCATTCCAAAGCAATCTATTGACATTTGACATCTCGTATTTGGATTGCATATGGACTAAATGGCCGTCATCTGGTATGCTTGCTCACTAAATAGGAAAAACTCGCCATAAAAATCATATTTCCTGTTGAATTTTCTATCTTAAAATGTGTCAGTGAAGTACATCATGAGTATATGAAGTGTCCAATGACAAAATGAGAAGAGCAAGTACAGGGTGATTCACCATAAATGTCCCCCCCTCTAGCTCACTTATTTTTGAACCGTTTCAAAAATTTGAAAGATAATCTAAAATGATTTTTCTGAAATTTTTTTCCCGCTGCATCAGAAAATACAGGGTGCTCGGAACAAACGATCTACAGAGTACTAATTGATTTTTTTAAATGGAACACCCTGTATTTTATTGTATTTTTAGATTCTTCCTGAAGAGCTGATTTCATCAATGTATCACACTTGGGGTTTAGCGGCAATGATTACAGAGATATAGGGTGTTCAAAATCGAGATTTTTCAACTTTAGGATTTTTTTGTGCCGAAACTATTCATTATTGGTCAAAACGGCTTCTATGTTCCCATCCCAACTTTCGATTTACTATCTAGTGAAATTTAATTGGAACATTTATAGGGTGGTTCAAGATTCAGAATTCTGGTCACCCTGTATCTGTTCCAATTATTAAATGTCAGTAGATAGTAAATAAAAAGTTAAGATACGGACATGAAAACCGCGTGACCGATAATGAATAGTTTCGTCACGAAAAAAATCCTAGTTAAAAATCTCGATTTTGAACACCCTATATCACTGTAATCAGTCCGGCTAGACCCCAAGTGTGATACAATTATTGATCAAATCAGCTCTTCAGGGAGAATCTAAAAATACAATGAAAAATAGGGTGTTCCATTTAAAAAAATCAAATAGTACCCTGTAGATCGTTTGTTCCGAGCACCCTGTATTTTCTGATCTAGCGGAAAAAAACTTTATCGAAAATCATTCAAGATGATATTTCAAATTTTAAAATCGGTTCAAATATAACTGAGCTAGAGGGGGGGACATTTATGGTGAATCACCCTGTACCTGTAAATGCATCCAACACAAGGGGGAAAAGAAGGCAAAATTTCGAACTTTTCCTTGAAATATCTCGATAAATAGTGGTTTGTTCACATTTTCATTAGGAAATTCGTGTTTTTCAGACGAAAATACGTAAGTACCAAAAAAAAATTTCGAAAAAACCCCATCACATGATAAGTGCACTTTTACCATTTATTTGATTTTTTTCAAGTACTATTGCCTATTAAATCTTCCTGTTTAAAATCTGAAATACCTTGTATATAATATGATTTACTTCAAGTGTAATCTCTCATATTTCAGATGTAACAATGAATCCAAAGATATATTTTTTTTACTGTATACTGTCACACATTTTTCAATTGTTCCTTAAAGATAGTTTTACTTTCAGATGAAGAAACTGGTGGGGTAGAAGGAATGCAACAGTTTGTCAATACAAACCATTTTAAAGATATGAATGTTGGATTTTCTTTAGATGAGGGTATGGCCAGTGAAAACAATGAATATGCCTTATTCTATGCTGAAAGATCCATATGTCGTGAGTCAAAATATTATTTAGTTTTTTTTTGCAAGTAACACTTTTTGTGGGGTATTTGTAAGCTGTCGCTTTTCCAGTGAAATTGTTAAACTTGACCATGCATTTTTTTCTTTTTTGTGCTGAACTGTTCCATTTTTGTTTTCATGTAAATTTCAGAAATGCGTTTTTACTGTACTGGCAATCCTGGCCATGGTTCTTTATTGCTTAAAAGTACTGCAGGAGAAAAAGTTGCTTACATCTTGAGCAAAATTTATGAATTTAGGAGGCAAGAAGAGAAAAAATTGATTGATAATCCTAGTTGGACTGTTGGAGATGTAACTACTGTAAATTTAACACAATTGAAGGTAAGTTGATTATTTTTTATTGAATTGTTTCTACCATGTTGATATGAACTGAATTTGTACACAGTACTTTTTGCAGTAGGTATTGGTATTATTGAATATTGCAGAATATTGGTATGTTTCATTGTTTTGCATTATCAACTGGGTTTTACAAAATTTCAAATTATAGAATATCTACATACATTAATTGGAATTTATCTTTTTTTTTCTCTACATAAATAATATATTTTTATACACAGTGTGTTTCCAGATTTTTAAAATGACTGAAAGGTGAACAATGTCAGTTGGAATTTTTATGTTTATGGAATTAATTTCTGCTTCATTGACTAATTTCTAACATAATTCAAGTTTTGAAACATTAGATACAGTGTGACCCATTTAAGATGGAAGCACCCTTATAAAACTTACATTTTTCAACCGATTGGAATGATTTTTTTTTTGTTAGGTAGATATTCAAAAAGTCTATTAGGACACCAAATATCATGAATAAATCTCCATTTCCAGGGCCAAATAATCTGATTTTTCAAGGTCAAAAATCTAAAAAAATTACTAGCGATTTTTTTAGAAAAAATCTGACTACACCACTGGATTTGTGACATTTTCAAATGGGTAACATGTAAATTATGTTGAAATGCGTCAATCAATAAAAAAGTTATAAAGGAATGAAATTTGAAAAATATGCCGTTTAATCAACCCACCAATTCATGTTCAGGAATTTTATGAAAATTCTGTATACTCCACTGGATTCAGGATGTCTTGAAATATTACTGATCACAGTTTCATCGAAATCTGTTCAGTAATAAAAATTGATGGGTTGATTAAACGGCATATTTTTCAAAATTCATTCCTTTATAACTTTTTTATTGATTGACGCATTTCAACGTAATTTACATGTTACCCATTTGAAAATGTCACAAATCCAGTGGTGTAGTCAGATTTTTTCTAAAAAAATCGCAAGTAATTTTTTTAGATTTTTGACCTTGAAAAATCAGATTAGTTGGCCCTGGAAATGGAGATTTATTCATGATATTTGGTGTCCTAATAGACTTTTTGAATATCTACCTAACAAAAAAAAAATCATTCCAATCGGTTGAAAAATGTAAGTTTTATAAGGGTGCTTCCATCTTAAATGGGTCACACTGTATATACACTTTATGTTGCTTGTTTATCAGGATAATTCTCCACCATTGTTATTTTTACAAGGTTTTCATTATTATTAATTTTTCTTTGCTGAAAGCATTCTGGTTTTGGAGCATACAATATGCGCCTGCATCCAGGTGAGTGTTGTGACTAGCGGCTTCTTTTTAAACTGAAACCAAAATCACAATTGACCAATTCATGCATAATAATGTAATAACACTTGAAAGATGTTCTTGCTATTTGTGAAATAAATAATTGAAATATATGCCAACAAGTCACCAATGCACTAATATTCTGGATGGATTGGCCTGCAAAATCACCCGATTTAACTGCTACAGCCTACAGGCTTTCCTGTGGAGTTTCACACTTGATTGTACATAATGTTTCAGTAGGTAGAAAATTTATTTCATAATGAAAAATACGTATTTTTATTGGCGAAAATATGTTTCGTCATGAAAATCTATGTTAAAATGAACAATATCAAGAAATTGGTTGCAAATATTTAATTCGCCTATAGAAAAATAGTGTTTTATTAAGGTCTTTGAAACGCATGCACTATTGAGCAAATGTTTTAAAGACCAGTTATTCATAAGTACTTGCTATTTTTTTCATTGGTACACTTTGAGATCATGAATATGAAAATAACAACTAATAATGTAAAATAGTTCAAATAGTTGAACATTTGTTAGTGATATTTTATTTGATGTTACATGGTTCTCCTGTGAGATCGATAATGGGCTTATATCACAAAAAAAATGTATTACATAATTCGATAGAACTCAACCAAACTAGCTCACCACCGCAAACCCTTTCTTGTTGTGAGCTCTCTACGTTTTATAAAAAATTATTGAAATCCCCGATTTTTCGGACCTCTGAAAACGAGGCGATGATGTGACGTCAAAACCCTAATACTGAAACAAGACTATTCCAGGCAGAGATGAATGATACATGATTTCTGACAGAGTGAATTAGCGCGAGTTCACAGTTGAAAGAATTAATATATCAGTTGCCTCAGTCTCCGTCGGGCGTTTGGTATTTTCTTTTAACTATAGCGAGATGAGGTTTCTACGTCATAAGAGGGTCCGTTTTCAGAAGGGACTATCATTTATGTCCAAAAATAAAACATTCCAGTTAATTTTTCGATCGAATTATGTCGTCAATCATTATTTATGTATAAAAGGATCATTATAAACATGGTTTGAGTTGAAAGTTCTACTAAGGTGTACACGCCCATTAAAACGTTCTCATGGGAGAAAATTTGAACTCTAACTAAACTGAATGTATAAACAATGATAGTAAGTATTAAAATATGATAATTCAGTATTTTAAGCATAAATACATTATATTGACCAAAGATCACGTGAGCGTGCGAGAATATTGTCACACTGATAGTTTTCACTTTCACATTGCTATGGTGATATGAGATACTTTCTGAGCACCAACATAGTGTGCTATACAGGATGTTTCCTAATTGAATGTCAATATTTGAGGAGGCGATTCTTGGGCCCATTTTAAGAAGGAAATTTCATATAAATGTATGACCTAAACGTCTTAACTTTTGAGATACAGGGTGGTAACGTTCTCAAAAATATACAGGGTGTTTCATTGGGAAAGGTAAATAATTCAACTGTGGATAGGGTTCACTGAGGTGATTTCAAAAAACCCATGGTTGATGGGTCTTCGACTTCTTATAACCGAGATACAGGATGTTTCATCAATTTTGTCCATAACTTCATTGTCTCATAACTTCATTGTCTCATAACTTTCCAACCAACCTGTATATATTTTTAAAAATTGGTACACTTGCCCAATCTACCCTGTGGGATTGATTGAGGCAACAACAAAAGATAAAATCCAGGTCCGGCTTCACTTAAAATTCACAAATTCTTTCTGCCAGAAAACACCACCCTATACATTCGAATTTCTAATTTTTTTTGCCATATCTGAAAAGAACATCAAAATTTTTATTCAACGATGTGCTTTTTATTCGTGCACAGAAGATTTTAACTGTTCATATTATGTGCTGAAAATATTATTTTTGCTCATTTTGGGGTACAAAATTGGAATCAGACAAGATTTATTAATTTTATTACTTCCTATTCAGTATACGTGAGTATCACATTTAGAAGGAGTATTCCATATCGTTCTTTGTTCCAGACTTAGTTGCAGGTCCGTCATCAAAACTATACAGGGCTTTTCACGATAAGCGTTAATTAGATGTTTCTGGCAAACCAGGCAACGGATGAATCTAAAAATTCGAAGGTATGTATAAATTAACATGATCTACACGTCTGAAATATTTGAAACAATCCGGCGTTGCCGCTTCTACTCGAAAGTAGCAGTAACTGATTTTTCAAATGGGACACCCTGGATGCTTCCTGAAGAGCTGATTTAATCGATTCACAAAGTTCGGGGTCTAGTGGGACTAATAACTGAGATATTTGAAGTGAGAAAAATCGAGATGTTTCAACTTTAGAATTATTTTGCGAAAATATTTATTATTGACCAAAACGGCTTTTATGTCCCTATCTTAACTTTGTATCTATTGACATTTAATCCAAACAAATACAGGATGGTTCATAATTCAGATTTCTGTACCACCCTGTATCTGTTTCAATTGAATATCGAATGGAAGGTTGAGATAGGGACATTGAAGCCGTTTTGACCATGCAATAATAAATAGTTTCAACACAAAACATTTCTAAAGTTGAAACATCCCGAGTTTCCACATCCTATATCTCAGTTATCAGTCCCGCTAGACCTTGAATGTTTTGAATTGATGAATTCTGCTGTTCAGCAAGAATCCAAGAATGTAATGAAATACAGGGTGTCCCATTTGAAAAATCGAAGTTGCTGCTACTTTCTAGTAGCAGCAAGGCCGGATCGTTTCAAATATTTTAGTAGTGTAGATTATGTAAATTTATACATACCATCAAAATTTCAGATTCATTTGTTGCCTGGTTTGCCGAAAACGTCAAATTAACGCTCATCGTGAAAAGTCCTGCATAGTTTTGATGACGGACCTGCAACTAATTCTGGAACAAAGAACGATATGAAATACTCCTTCTAAATGTAATACTCACGTATACTGAATAGGAAGTAATAAAATTAATTAAAATGGTCTGTGCACGAATAAAAAGCACATCGTTGAATATAAATTTTGATGTTCTTATCAGATATGGTAAAAAAAATGAGAAATTCGAATGTATAGGGTGTTGTTTTCTGGCAGAAAGAATTTGTGAATTTTAAGTGAAGCCGGACCTGGATTTTATCTTTTGTTGTTACCTCAATCAATTCCACAGGGTAGATTGAGCAAGTGTACCAATTTTTAAAAATATATACAGGTTGGTTGGAAAGTTATGAGACAATGAAGATATCGACAAGATTCATAAAACATCCTGTATCTCGGTTATAAGAAGTCGAAGACCCATCAACCATGGGTTTTTTTAAATCACCCCAGTGACCCCTATCCACAGTTGAATTATTTACCTTTCCCAATGAAACACCCTGTATAGTTTTTTTATTAATATCTCTAACACAACTTTAAATATTTCAATGAAATTTGGCAAACGTACTGTACTATGTATCAAGAGGCGTGTACCACTTTTTTTTGCAACCAGTGGCGTTCGTATGGAATTTCACATACCTATTTTGGCCGACATTTATGGTACGCCACTAATTGATCACGAAATTGAAATCATTACTGAAATTCTCAATCATTTCTGAGCAAATTTGATTTCAATTTTTTTTTTCAATCTGATGCACGGTTTTCGTTTAAAAAAATAAAAACCTCACCCCATAATCATAACAATATCGTTAATATAACAATATCACAATGCAGAGAAATATATTTTATTTTTTAGATCAAATTTCATTAGAATAATCAAAGTAGTATCACAGATTTCAATAAAACACTATTTATTTTTGAGAACTTTAACACCCTGTACCTCAAAAGTTGAGACGTTTAGGTCATACGTTCATATGAAATTTTCTTCTTAAAATGGACCCAAGAATCGCCTCCTCGAATATTGACGTTCAATTAGGAAACATCCTGTATAATCATAGGTGGTCGTAGGAAATAGTATATTGTTTAACGAGCACGGAATGATAGTGATTTTCCACGAGAATGAAGTTTGCAGCATGAGCCATACACGAATGCTGCAATCATTATAGCGGGAAATGACCATTCCGTGCGAGTTATATACTATAATTTTTCTACGGCTGCAACAGATAACAGCGACATTTTTTATTTCTTCGTCTTGCAGCCATCTGATTTCCTCTCAAGTAATGCTCATCTATTAGTCAGAGCTGTCATTGCTTGAAATTTAACATTCTATGGGCGATGAGATTTTTTTGAAATAACACAATGGAGTCAATGTGATATCAGATACGGAAATAAGATTGATGACATACAAAGTACCTCATTGATGTATCGAACACAGTAAAACAAGAGCAATTTTGTGTTATAGCCCTATAAAAATACTATTTTTGAACAAACGTATGCCTCAAAGTGCTTAGATAGAAGATGCTAGGAAGTTGATTGTTTCGAAAGAATCGTTTTGCTACAGGGTGATCGAATAACTCGAAATATCGATTTGCATTCCCGATTAACACCGTCCGCTGTACCCTCGTCTTCAATGAACATGTCGCGGTTGGACGGTATGAGTGCTCTTATCGCAGCGGTGATTAAGAGTGCTGACACCGTCCATGTGCTACATGTTCTCTGAATACGACTGTACCTTTCCAGGGAGGCGTCCAGGAGAATGTGGTGCCCCCCGAGTTCGTGTTGACCGTCGATTGTCGCGTCGCCATCAACGTCGACCTGGTCAAGTGGGAAGCCACATTGAAGGGGTGGTGTAAGGAAGCCGGCCCTGGGGTGAGGCTGGAATTCATCCAGAAACAGGACCAGATTGCTCCTACTAAACTGGATGGGTCCAATCGGTATTGGGTGGCGTTTAAAAAAGCTGCCGACGAGCTGTGAGTTGAACTAAATTTTTGGTGTTGGTGATGGGAATAATTGGCTAGTTAACAAATTCTTTCAGTATTTTTCAATCACACTTATGCTCTCAGTTTTATTATTTATAGAATGTTTTCTGAATGGTTTCAAGTTCTCGAAAGTCAGAAGTGAAGTCACAGTTTCATTCAAACTGTCGAAATTTGCTACTCATAACTGCACGAATCCGTTTGGCCCAAACAGCGATTCCTGAAGACCATGGCTATTCAAGGTGTCCCTAAAAGGTCATTACAGAAACTCACCACATATTCCTCAAACAAAGTTACCTTGGTACAAAGTTAGGGCGCTATGGTTCTGAAATTAATAAATATTAATTAAATATTCGCGTACAACGTACGACAATTTCGAACCAACTGAACTTTAATTTGTGACTTGGCAACGTGTTAGCCGAGTTCGACCGACTTTTGGCGACATCGGCTTAGCAATTGAGTTGGTGTTAGGTTCCCGAGAAATATGAAGCATATACGAATTGATATATACTTGCATGGTTTGGTGAGGAGCTACAGGGCATTGAAGTGCATTAGGGCGGATATAGTTTTTTATGATATATCCCAAAGTATATGCTGACATTCTACTGATTCTGATCATATCTTCCTGTTTTGTATACCTGACTATCAATTACCAAGAATACACATATAGGCGTCGATGAATGAGAGTACACACAGATTTTTTATAGAATTTTTTTCTGGTAATTTCTTGGCAAGCATTTATTTAGGTAGGATATTGATTTCGCTATATTTTTGGGTTTTTCTCTCATAAAAATGTAAGTAGTATCATTTCAATATGAATGTAGTATGGGCGAATTAGATGATTTGTCCAAAATGCCAACGCATTTAAAAATTCCATTATTAGAACACCAAAGAAGAAAAATTCAATGTCAGTCAGTCCATTTTGATGCTGAAAACGGGAGCAAATTCGTTCCCAAAACTCCAATGACGAGTAAAATTCTAATTTTCACATTTTTCAAACAAGGTCACTGACTATCGAATTGAATTAAATTAAAAAGCGTACGCTACCTATCGGAAGGTACTGGAAGCTGGCAAAGCAGTCTGTTTACTTTGTTTCCATTGGTTCACATTTGTTTTTTGTACAAACCGCTCAGATGTGTTCAAGTTGTTGGCGTCAGATGGGGCGACGTGTTGTTTTCTATCTCGAACTGTGGAAGAATATCAAGGGAGCATGGAAATGTTATCATAAAAACATAGTATGAATAAAATGAATATCTCAGAAAATGAAAGTATACATGAAGAAAAAGTTTGAAATGGCCAGGTGCCTTATTCAAATTTGTCTCTGTAGTATTCTTGTTATAGTAGTGTTTTTCGTGTTGCAAGGTTGAGATGACCCATTCTGTAACCACACTCTTAACTTGATGTTCTATGTTGCATGGTGATGTATGACAGATATGACAGTGTTCATTTTTACTATTCAGTTCTAGAATAGTCTAGAAGCGTCATTGTTCCGATTATTATCATCTTGATCATTTTTCATTACATTAAAGAAACTAGTAGACAAGTGTTGCTGTATTCTCTATATTATTCCTCTTGACATTGAATCGCCAATAGGTTATGGGCCTAGCACGCTTTCCAGATTGTAGTATACTTTCAGAAGCAGTAGTTCTTTATCAGATTGGCGAAATCATATCTTACGACGAACTAGATCTCATATCTAAGAGATATAGGATGAACAGAGTTGCCTGAATTGCCAGAAAGAGCGGATACTATTTCGGCCCACCAGCCGCTCTCGGTCTGCTGACAAATGGGACAACTCAACGCTTCGGGTATATCGCCCATATCGAAGACATCAGATAATACATAATGATCTAGTCAGGTTATCGCCATCTAAGTGGGCTGAAACAAACAGTCTCGCTTCTGCTTACAATTGGGGCAACTCTGCTCTGTTCATTCTAGATCTCTCATTCATGAGATCTAGTTCTTTGAATAGGACTGGTGGATCATTCCACTCATGTAGTCAGGTAGTGCCATCTGTCATCAGAGAGTTCTACTTGTAGTACAACTTTGTAACGTGTAGATGTAGACTATAAATGACAGCATCCTACTGTGCATGGCGAAACCTACCTTAGAAATATGCCAGTAGATGACGATAACATGACTATATCATCATGTGTTATCCAGTATCTTGCGACTCTCGAATATTATAGACTTTTTTGTTAACGTTGAGGATGGTTTTGGCAGAGGTATGCTTATTTTGTCACAGTGACACTTTTGGACAAATCATTTGATTTGTTCTAATCACAAGTATATTCATTTATACATTTATTTATAGAGACGAGAGCAGAAAATCCCAAGATATTTAGAGAAACTCTATAAACCTATTGATTAATTTTCTTTTCAAAATTGGAAGAGGAAGGACCCCGCAGTCCGCACCATTTACATTGAAATCTTGTCTACGGTGAAATTTTGTGAAAATCTAGGATTGGATAGATCAAATCATGCTGAACAAGAAATGTCCTTTGGTCCAAGGTCCGTTATGCCCGTTAAAAGGTGGGTTATGGCTAATATGATATTTTTGAGTTGTCAGATGATGGTCATTCATGTTATGTAAGTGAGTTATTGAGCAAAAGCGTACATATAAGATGGCTTATCAGAATAGGTTTCGTTGCTTCATATGCGATAGCGAATGTAATATTAATGCTATGACAGGCATTGATCGAGATCAAAATGTTGAGCAGCAAGCAATCGTAATACATTGTTGACATGTTCTAGGGAGAAAAGATATACCCGTAACCGTTCTTAGTCGTTTATTTCTGAACTGTAATTGATCCCTTATAGAGGAACTTGGAATTTGGTATAACGTTCATTCTATGAACCTGAATGTTGTCTTTCCCATCCATGCAAGTGTGCATATTTTGTGGCGCAAATAATAATTCACCTATCAGTAGTTGCTAGAGTCAATGTATTTTTTGGAAATAATATTTTTATGCCTGAAAATGCCCAATCTTGTCGGGAACATGTCAACGCTGATGGTATAATATTGCGACCATTGATTGGTGGTTTACGTTATACGGAAAGGCCACTAATAGTCTCTGATCGAGACTTGCAATGTATTTGAACGAAGTTATACGCTTTTGCTCAATGCATTTTACTGACATAACATGAATGACCATTACCTGACAACTCAAAAATATAATATCAGCCAGAACCATATTATAGACAGGATGTGCTGTTCTGGTAGAGGTTATCTCGTTTGGCTTCAAGAGCTTTTAACTTTTTTCAACGGGCCTAAAGGACCTTGGACAAAAGGACATTTCTTGGTCAGCATGATTTGATCTGTCCAATCCTAGATTTTCACAAAATTTCACCGTAGACAGAATTTCAATGTAAATAGTGTGGGGTCCTTTCTAAAATTAAGCATGTATTAACAAGTTTCTGGCCAACAGTAGGTAAGTACTCTTTGGACTTTGTTTTTCTAGCGGCCTCGCTTTAAAACCCCAAGTGTTCCCGGCGGCCACTGACAGCCGCTACATCCGCGGCCTAGGGCTCCCCGCCATCGGATTCTCCCCAATGAACAACACCCCCGTGCTATTGCACGATCACGACGAGTATCTGAATAAAACCACGTTTTTGAGGGGCGTCGACCACTATTGCGCGATTCTGGGCAAAGTCGCTAACGTGGAAGAAATGTCCGGTTGACGCGAATGGGAATATCTTAGAATGTCTATCGGTAACGGAAACTTAGTGTCCTTTCAGTCATTGTAGGTCTAAATGAAAACCTAGTGGGCGAGATAAAATGTTGTCTGTGTTCGCAGAAATGTAGAAATCATCCTTAATGATAACATTTTTCCGGTAAGTCAGTGACCTCTACAGGGTGTCCCAGAATGACGTTCTGCATCAAAAATGACTCTGTTTGACTCGCAAAATTTTTGATCTCGGCTTAGCGGTCGCTAAGCCTCGCAAACGCAATTATCGCTTGTCAAACAAAGCGTCACATTTGATCCTAATAAAAAAATATACTGTTATTGGCAAAACATATTTATTTTATCCTTTCTGGTTCAACCGGAAAAGGGAACCCCAACTTTTAATGTTCAATCTTCTAAAGTAGTTCATTCTCATGTTAATGTTTAGGTAGGACACCCTATATATTTCGACATTTTGATCAAAATAAATTTTTGGTGTGTGTAAAACGATCACCTGAAACCAAATATGAAACAATATACCGAGTGTCGTATTTAAAAATCAGAAGTTGGGGTGGCTTCTGGTTAAACCGGAAGTGATAGGACAAAAATGGTTTTGTCAATAAATGAGCAATTTAGTATACTTGCTACCTACCAAATTTCAGAATCTGATCGCGAATGATTCAGTAGTTAAAGCACGGTTCTTGTGCACTTCTCTGTATGTAGAAGCAGGAAGGTGAGACTCAATTTGGTTCTTGGTCATTGATATTTTTGCTTCCTACATAAAATATTTTTTTTCTGTGACGGAAAAAGAGTTTGAAATTTCATCTCTGTTGACAGGTTATGAAATGTCACTTTTCATAAATTACTATTTTTCCCACGGGAGTACTTTTTCCCCGGATATATATCACATATATATACACTGTTGATTGCTTTCGTTGTTCTTCTTTCATTCGACTTCACGGTTATGGTTACACTAAAAGTTCGCAATTTTTTGAAATTAAATCACAGAATTAAATTAACACATACTCGATCACTTCTAAATGTTTCTATAGCAACAATAAATATGCCTACAAAAAGATGCCTGCAAACACAGGTGTATTACTTCAAATTTCACATTGATAATTTTCAGATTTTATTATAATGTAATATCTTCTCAATACTAAATCGTCGTTTTTTTTTTGTCACACGGGATAATATTAATGTTAGGTCTCGGTTTTTAATAAATAACTATTTTTAGTTCAAACAGTCAAAGAAAATCTATATCTCTGAATAAGTACAAATATTTGAAGAAATAGAAGTTGAAAAATTCAACCTAAAATTATTGTCCATATTGGCAAATATTCAATTGAAACAAATAAAGTATTAACATTTTTCAGTAAACAAACAACATTATACCTCTCGCCTACTATGTTTTCATTTAGAATGACACTGTTCCAGTATCGTCAAATATGAACTTTTTATACAAGGTGTTTCAGTTTTCATCTGCCACACTACAAATAGTCCTGTAAAAATAGGCCCCAAAACTGCTTCGCCCAAGTTCTTCAAAAAACTTCGAGTGAAATTTGTGCAAAAATTTTTAGATAAATTCAACCTTATGTTCAGCTCAGATTGTACCGTTGTGTTAGTTTGTATAATTCTTTCATGCAAAGAATCCAAGAGATGTAAATAATAGATTTTATACAATGGAATTGAGTCAATTAAAATGTTTCATTAGAATACGTGAAAATAATCCAATAAAATACAATTGTTGATTTTTCTCCGTGTTGTAATATACGTAAATATTATTTTTGAAATGACTTGTCTGCTAGTTTGGTGATGAAAAACTGAATCACCTTGTATAATAATATTGTGTGTTCAGAATGGTGATAGTGTATTCTTATACTCAGAATTTTGAGAGCGAAAAATCCTTTAGAAAGTCGAAGACATTAAATTCACCCCAATGAACATTTGAAAAAAAATCTGGAACACAAGTTTGTATTCTTAGATAGATATTCTATGCCTTGTTAGATTATAATCTGAGTATGTTATTTCTTTGTTGTTGTTTTCTTTTTCAGAGTTTAAATTTCGGTTTTTGCCGGTTAATAAAAACAATTTTGAGAAGTTCAGTATTGTTCCTTTTTTTATTCCAGAGAAACATCATTCTGGAGGCAAGTAAAAGTAACTTTTCCAAAATGCATAGAGAATATGATTGCATGGCCATGCAACACATACCTATATACTGCTCAAAATTTGAAATAGAGGTTGGCATTCTACAAGTTTTGGACAGTATACAAATATATATTAAATCAAGAACACATTTACAAAAAAAAAGTGGTGCTATTAGATTGATCAAAAGTAAATAGATGATGTAACATTTTTAATTTCCAAATTTCACATCATCATTTAGCTACTCCAGTTGTAATTCATAAATAGCTATTCATTTCACTGGACAGCAAAGCACAAGATTTAATGCCGCGGTTGGCGTTTTATAGCTAAGGCATTGAATCTTCTTTTCTGCCATGTGAAACATATAATTTTTTCTCCAAGCTCGTTCAAATTTCACGCAAAGTCAAAATAATTGATCATTATATATTCATCCAATGTCATTGTCAATTTTGATTGCCAATTTGATTCAAATTATTACTCTGAACGTTGCCTGCTGGAAACAAACTTTTTCTGTCTAGGCAGTAGAAGTGTACCATTTCTGCCTGGTAACATTAAAAAGACACTCTTAATGTCAATTGAAAAAAAAAAACATTTTTTCTATGTTGAGAAAAAAGTTTGACATTTTATAATATGTGTTAATTGGTAACGAAATTTTACTTCTCGTGAATTATTTTTTCTTCAAACGACATAAGTGGCTTTTCTATGGTACTTAACAGGCAGTAAAGGTGTAATTTCTCTGTCTAGGCAGAAAAATTTGAATGAAATTGGTAATTAAAATTGACAATGGCATTGGGTGAACACAAAATGATAGAGTTTTCAATAAAAAGTTACACAAAATTGGTTTTATAACGTTTGTAGAAAAAATTATATGTTTCACATGGCAGCAAAGTTGGTTGATTGCCTTGGCTGAATTCCTAGCCGAGCTACGCTTGGCTCTATCAGCCGCGGCAGTCAGTCTACTAACTACTTTGCTGCCTACAAAACAAATAACTATTTTTCCCCTGGAAAAAAGTTGATATTTTTTCCCTAGATATAGAATACTGTTGATGGCTTTAGTTGTTGAGCCAATTCCGGAAAATAAGCCAATAACATTGGCTCCGAGAAAGAACTGCATGTATTTTTCATCTAACAGTCCATAAGTCTTGAATACGCGTTTTTATAATTTTTGTGACGCTACTTTCGCTTCTTCTGACTAACTCCGGTGGAGCCATTTTCAAACTTTATATTATTCAAAATAACTACTAAACAACCATTAAGTTCGCAAATCACATTATTTCTCGTGGGGAGACAACACAATCTCGAGAGAAAATCTAATACTTGTTTCCCTTGTATAATAAATAACTGATGTTAACTCTTGAACAATAAAGTGTTAACCCAGGATCTAAGATATGAATGATAACATAGAATAATGGCAATACTAACAGCGATGATCTAACAGCTTTTATCATAACAGCATTTTGGCTTGCTAAGCAATCTATTCTTTATTTTTGACATTAATATCTGCGATTTCATTCATTTTTATTTTTTAGCGGTCTTAAACTGAAGCATGTTTGCTGTCCGGGCTCTACGGACATCCGTTATCTGAGAGCCCTAGGACTCCCTGCCATCGGGTATTCGCCCATGAATAACACTCGGATTTTATTGCATGATCACGATGAGTATTTGAATAGAGACGTTTTTTTGACCGGTATTGAGATATACTGCAAAATATTATCTGAACTCGCGAATGTACCCAACTAATTTCGATTTTATTTAGGAAGGTGCATGTTTTGCACGTATACTATTATCTGGTGATATATGGTGTATTTTACAGGGGGCTTGAAGATTTAATTATATGTTTACTGGGAAAAATGGAAGTTTTAACTTTTCAGCTGGATTTTGTGACTTCAGTGGAACAAAAAATCAGAAAATAGATTATTTAGTTACCATTGTTTTGAAATAAATATATTGATAGAAACGGGTGTATTTCTTGGAACTTGTTATATGTGCCGAGAAGGCACAGATGCTTGATTTTATCAATTATATCATATGAAAATCTATGTTCACCAATGTCTGAAATGGCAATTTTTGTACAAATTCAACGATTTATTTAATAAGATCTATTGAAAGTTTTACTTGAATTTTTCCTCATGAAATGAACATTCTTTTGAATTCGAGCTAATAAAAACAAACAAAATTGAGAGAAAAATCAGTTTGACGAAATGTCTTGTTTGTCGCTTCAAAGTTGGAATGAACCAACTTCTCAAAAGTTTTGTTGGTCCATGGGTTAAATTAATTTGGTCATTTTGTTTTCTATTGCAGTTTTTTTTTGTACTCCTATTGATGCATATCGTGAACGTTTTCATATCATTTTGTATCTTCCTAACGACGTCACTGGGATTTATATTTACTGTAGGTACAGTACTTACTTCTCCTAGGTAATTATACAGGGTGTTTCATAATTGAATGCTGATCCTTAAGGGCGATAATCCTTGGATGATTTCAAAGAGAAAAGTTCATATCAACATATGTCCTAAACCTCTTAGTTATTGAGCTACAGGGTGATGAGATTTCAAGAAAAAAATGAGTTTTTCTTCATAATTTTTTATCACTCTTAGATATTGTTATGATATTTTGTATACACATTTTCATTATTAAGGAGCATTTTTTTACGTGAAAGATTTTAAAAATTCTCACCAGTGGCGTCCGTACGGGGTTTGAACTGACAATTTTTGAAGAAAAAAATAGTACGCCACTGATTTTCCTGAGAACCAGATTTTTTTTTCAATTCTTATTCATTTTGGAGCAAATTTGGTTTCGAGACTTACTTTCATACAAAGTACCGTTTTCGCGTAAAAAAATAAAAACCAAAGAATTTTGTTCCTTCAGTTCTTGGATATTGTTTTTGGTAATTCAGTAGACACCCACTATAAGTGGAAACACATTTTGTTTTGGGACGAAAATCAAACTTTTACTTGTACCAGTGATGTCCCCGTAGACCTGATATTGAATGTTCAGTTTAAGCTGTACGCTTCTGATTTCAACACCCTGTAGCTCAAAAACTAAGAGGTTCAGGACATATGTTGATATGAACTTCTCTCCTTAAAATCATCCAAGGATCATCGCCCTTTAGGATCAGCATTCAATTATGAAACACCCTGTATATGTAGGTAGTAGGTGGATATGTAGATACCTAGGAAGATACATACCAAAACTTACAGTAATTCACTACATTAAATCTAAAGTTTTCATTGAGCCGTTCTACTAGTCCTTATCAGTCTAGTAAGTATAGGTGGTATAGGTATAGGTACCTATTACTTTATGGAAAATACACCTTAGCTTTAAATCTTCACCACAATATAGGGAGTGAATCCTACAGATTTTTCAACATTTCAGGTTTACTGAATTTTTATCGAATGTCTATTTGAAAATGCATCGATATAATCACATTCATTTGAAGATAGAACACTCGAACTATAGAGAGGAGGAATTCTCAAATTTTCATTAACATTCTTCGTTTTTTTATGGCGAATTGAAATCAGAATATCGTATATATCGTCGACTATTATTGGTAGTACTCCTACCACAGTATACCTATCATCCTTTTAGGATGAATGCGCAAGTAAATTACCTATATACTTATAACACCTATATAGGTATAGAATACTATACCTATATAGGTATATTATCTTCACAGGAGCCCCCTTTAAGGGTGCAGTAGCTCCCTTAGGAGCGAACTCATGTTCCTTAGAACATTTCTTCCTATTTTTGGTCGTAGCTGCCGTGAAGTTTGGCAGGCTAATTATATGGGGCAGCCTGTATACCTATGTACTTTGGTATTTATGAAATAAAAGTACTTTTACCTACACCTCTGTACCTGTTGACTCATTTCAAATTCTAATAAAATAAATAGATAAATTGAATAACGATGGTCTTATTTTTATTTTATTATCCCTTCCCAATCTATTTTTAATTATTTATTAGGTTTAGGTAAAGTTTAGGTAATTATACCTATTATAGGTAATATTATTTGTTTTTACGGTCCAACAAAATGTTAGCCCAACCCAACTCCCCCTGTAGCTTAAATAAAATGGACTGGACCAGATCCCGTATCGATTATTTATTAATTCATTTCAATATCGAGTCTTCAAATCTAGCTTGAATACTGGAAAGAAGTAATTTTTAACGAATTTAACTCGAGAAATTACGGTTCTGTAAGTTTCTAAACATTCCCGGCAAAATAACCTTGACGCGCTGCAAATAAAACACGATAGGTTTTGAATTTGCGTCGCTGCCATGACACTAGAAAACAGTTCCCGGCAAAAACCAATCAAAATCGAAATGAGTTGCACTTTAGTATTGAACTCTTGTAATGTAATGACTAAAGAAATAAGTACCAAAATGATTGTCGTAACGTGGAGACAAATTTCGCAACGCTATAAAAATTCGAAAATGATTTCTTCGTTTACAATCCTAGGTTAAATTAAATGTCGGCCGCCATTGCCATGTGCATGGCAGTTCGATGTTGAAGATGGTTCGTTCCGCTGAATCTCTTGGCCAATGACGATCGCGCGGGAAACACTCGTGACCAGCGGCAACCAATAAGCTGAGCGCGATTTGAATTCCCTCTTCGTTCTTTGTGGTCTCGCTAGAAATTTTGTATACATTCGTTGGGTGTACAGTGCTGTCAGTGTTAAAAGTCTGTTTATTACCGATTTTGATGAAAATACATACGGACATATCCAATAACCTGTAAAAAATCAATCGGTAAGTGGAATTTTAATTATTGAAAAATTTAGTGTGATCATTTCTGTTAAAAAACGAGAGGAATTCTACAAATTCGCTTCTGTAAAGATTACGTCGAGAATGGACTCGGCCCGACGTTACGAATCCCGCTCTTTTGATGAAGCGCATGTTTTTGTGTGTTTTTCCATTTCAAGCACCAAAATGTTTTGTCCATCTATATAATATCTTTCTTTACCGGAATAGACAATTTTAGAAAACGACTAGGTACCTACCCATTTTCTAGGAAAAGTTACAGGAACACCCACTTGAATTTCTCCATGTTTCCCACGAATGAACCCGACTCAAAAGTCAGATTACCTACCTATCTGATGATTCGACAAACACATCTCTGTTTACCTTCATGATCAAAATAATTAGAGAATTATTACCAAAATAAATTGGTATTCCTTAAAGTTTACTTCACGAACTAGGCGGGAAGCAAATGTTATGAATACAGTACCGAGTTCAAGACAGAATTCAAGGTCAAATAGAAATAAGTTTTGATACACGATGTGATTCCGTTGTGATTCACGTCTATTGCCCTTTCGTGTATCATAAATGAGTTGAGTAATTATCATTGGTCTAGCGTAGAACTAGTTGATAGCAGTTCATTTAAATTATTATTACCTCTATTATGAGACGATAAGGATAAGGCAAAAACAACCTGTTAACTTTGTTTATGCAATACGGTAGGTGGGTATTCAGGGCAGGTGTTTTGGAGAAATTACTCGATATTTTCATGCTCCTTTGAGTCCTTTGTTAACTTTTTTCTTTGTGTCAAGACTGGTCACCTTTGGTCAAGACTCGAGACCAACGAGAGTACTGTGTAAAGAGTAGGTACTATGGACGTCAACGTTCATTGGAATTCCTGATTCTTGAACAATAAGTAAAAAATGTTGATTGTGCTTTCGAAAATTTATTCTGGTCCTTTTGAATTCATTGTTAGGTACAGGTTGCCGTTTGGATTTTGTTACCTAGGTAGATGGAAACTCATAGCTAGTAAGGTATACTGAATGCTCTGATGATACCTACATAAGTAGGTAAATATACCTACCTACCAACCTTTTAGTTGGTCTGCTGAATTGGTAGGTATTTGCATAGTGGTATTTGAATTCTATCAAAAGATTTTCCCAGCTAAACCGTTACCACAGTACTGTGCCGTTACCACCGAACGGCTAAACCCCACAATGATACAACATGATGATGGCTACGAAAAAACGGAAACGTTCGATCAATGTCATCTAGTGTAGCGAGAAACTTGATTAAGACTCCTATATAGGTAGGTATAATAATAGGTATTAGTAAAGGATCTATTTATGAAGTAAATTGTATAAAAAAAATGCAGTTTGGCAGAGCTAACAAGTTGAAAAACAAATGTACCTATGTAAATTAGTAGGATATGTTTGTGCATAAATACCTACACCTACCTGGGATCTGATTTTCAATAGGGATGTTAGGTACCTATATTTACTAGATACAGAGAGGTGGGTAAGGATATAGATACCAGAGCAGAGAGTACCTTATCTGTCTATTATTTATTCAATGATTCGTAGAGGTAGGTATTATTCCTATCATCATAATAGGTACACTCGTCTTCAGAGATCATGTCGCACATGGAAGGTGTCAACTCCCTTGATCACTGCTGCAATAAGAGCGCTCATACCGTCCAACCGCGACATGTTCGCTGAAGACGACTGTACATACCTACCTATCAAGGTAGGTAGGTAGGTACAGTCAGATGCAAAGAACATGTCGTGGTTGGATGGTGATGCAGAATTGACTCGAGAATTGATAAGAAGAAGTGCTATCAAACGTCCATGTGCGATATGTTCGTTGTATCTCACTGTACGTAAAACCTATAGGTATACATTTCCTATCCGACTTTTTTCATACATTTTATATACACTTCTCCAAAAAGTTGACGCACCACCAACATCCAAAAGTTCAGAAAACATTTTCGTCAAAACTTCTTATCCGATTTGGACGTTTTTAATTTTGAATGACAGGTTATTTCCTTCTGAACATTAGTGTGCCAACTGTTTTCGCATAAAAACCTCTTTTTTGTGAATACCGGGTGAAGCAATAATTATAGCTTGAACTTGAAAGTACACTTTTTTCAACATTACTTTTTTGAATAAACTGGAATTATCAAGAGGAAGTCTGTATCGCTACCAAGACATGGCCAGCTCAGAGCCCGGATTTAAATCCCATGGAGAATCTCAGGGAAATTCTTGGGTTAAGATTACTAGAGGAACGTAACTTCAATACTTTGTAAAACGCACGGCAGAGACTGTCGAGACTGATAAAATGATTCAAATTTGGGAAGACCTGGACCAACATGACATTATAGGTCTCTTATTTTGGGTATAGGTCGTCTTTGCCAAGAAGTTTTTTGTGCCCGCGGCGGAAATAGTCGGTACTGACAGCTACTAACCCTTTCGTTCAACTTGTGACTTCGCATTCTGTTTCGTTCTTTCGTTATTCAATTTGGATATTAATTTTCCATAAAATCAGGTTATGCTATAAAAGGTGTTTCTCGAGTTATAGGAAAGATAATGGTGTGAATTCAATAACGCATGTTGAAAAAAGATGAGGCTAAAGTGTACTATCAATGTCAACTTGATAACGTAACTGTTACACTCCACAGGGTATTACAAATTTCAGGAAAAAAAACACGCTATAATAGCTACACCGAAAAAAAGAGGTTCGTACTTATGCGAATTCAGCTCGGAATTCAGTTTGCATAAAACAAACACAAAACGAAACAAAAATCGTCCAAATCGGACAAGTAGGTACTTTAGATAAAAATATTTCCTAAACTTTTAGCTACCTTTTGGTGGTACGTTAATTTCTTGGAGAAGTGTATTTTGCAATTCATAATTATATGTTCGAATATCTATCTACTACACCTACGTCTATATTTATGCATTGGGATGTTATAGTTCATTTTGTGAAAATTATAAAAAGTCCCTTCTGTTCACCCTTCTGGTATCTTTCCGGTTCCCCTCTATAGAGTGTCGTAGCCGACCAGAGAATCAAAGAAATCGACCATCGTACGAGCCATCTGCCATGCCAGGTACAGTACAGGGTACAGTGTCGGCCATGAAATTTTACGCACCTAGTGCGCTCGCCTCTCGAGAGGTTGAAAGATTCATACTTAGATCGCAGAGAATTTATATGATATGCGAAAGATGATGAGCTAGCAATATGAGCTTCAGTGTTGCCACTGAGTAATTTATTCAATTTGGATTGACATGAAAATCATCTAGTATTTAATAACTATAATGGTGTTGGGCCAGCTTAACCTCATGCTAGCACAACCATTTCACAATTTTCCACCCAATTAAGTTATGGACATGATTTAAACGCTAACATTTTTTACTTTTTAATAACTTTCGAATGGTGTATCAATAATTTGAATTTGAGCAAATTCGAATGTTGTTAAAAGGGACAAATATGCATTTAATGCCTAATTTTTCATGTAATTCTCAATCGTATCATTGCAGCAACAATCAACAGATTATGATAATAGATTATGTATTTTCCAAAAATAGTACAGTTGTGATGAGAAATAATCAGAAGAACATCTATTATAAGGACAGAAAACACTCGTTAGTCATCATATTGCCATTTTCTGTCCTTATAATAATTTTTTAATTCGAATATTTCCTATCACAACTGTACTATTTTTGAAAACTATATATCATCTGAATTCACATTCTTCCAATTTCAACTGATTGTGCTGGAGTTATTAAATAGTAGATCAATGAAAACATTCGTTAGTCATCATATTGCGATTTTCTGTCCTTATAATACATTTTCTTTTGAATATTTCCCATCACGACTGTACTATTTTTGGAAAATATACAGTATGATGCAAATGTATGCAATAAATTATTTCAAAACAAGACGACTTCCGAAAAAAATCCAAAAACTAGACTTCAGAACTTTATTAATTGATTCATTTTTTTGAATAGACGACCCTTCGTTGTTCAATTCTCAGTAGCAGACCTCTACAAGATTCAGTTAATCAAATGATAATCCATTTTAATTTCAATTTTCTTATGCAAAATTTTGACTGTTGAATAGATGATCAGTAGACCTTTCAAACGAGGTGTCACATGACCCCTGTTTTCATTTGAAAAAATCGTTCATTACGTCATTACTCCAACACCGGTGACGTTACATCTCTCATATGGATATCATGAGATGAGGCTTCAAAAATGAAACCTCACGTGTTTTTGGAATTTTTTCAAATGTCGCCCATTTCTGAAATAATGAATTTATTCCATACATTTGCATCATACTGTATAATCTATAATCTATTATCATAATCTGTTGTTGTAGCTATAGGAATTAAAAGAAAAAATGAACATGCATTTTAGGTATTGAATGCATATTTGTCCCTTTTAAAAACATTCAAATTTCAGAGAGAATATGGAACATTTTATATTAATCTGTGGGATAATTTCATATACTCAGGTGTCAGGTGGCAACACTGAAAAACTTACAGTAAATATCATAGGGAATGGAGATAGTGTATAACCTATTTCTGCCTTTTGCCTGTTGCTTTAATTTCATCGATTTGGAACTTTTGAAACGTCAACGTTATGAATATTCATATATAGTTTATGATCCCGAGTAGGTATTATCTTTATGTAAATTGAAAATATTACCTGTCTATACCATATGACCTATACTTAGGGTATACCTGCTTCCTCTATCAGGCCCTGATTCTATTCTGCCTAATATAGGTATTAGGCAAATCAGTTGAGAGAGAAGTAAAGAAAACTGTCCTACCTAGTTTTATTTGGTACTTTATTGACTTGGAATTTTTTGAATTTGCCTTCGTTGTCTATGGTAGACACAATTCACTATAGAAAGACAATAAGTAATAGGTAAGTATTTAGTTGTCACCAATCAATTAGTATTTTTGAGTAGAAGAAAATTCCTTCATCTAAAACTCAATTTGGATGACCCTCTGTTTATATTTGTGTGTCCCTCGACACAGGGTGAGCGAAATTGAATACTTCCAAAAGTCCCATAGGGAAATCGATGTCGTGATATTCTGGTCAGTCATGAGCTGGACTATCAGCCCTCTCCAATAAAGGATGACGCTGAGTTTTGGGACACCCTGTATAGACATTTTCACAAGAACGAAATCGAGCTGGTAAATGAGATTGGAAACCAGGAGCAAGTAGTAAAACATCCAATAAACATTAATGGTGTATAGCTACCGGATATTATATAATGATGTTGATTATATTTTCATGTTTAATTTTAACTTGGAACTTAGGGTATATTTAGACTTTGTTTTCTTCTGCGGAATAAGGTTATTCCTTATATTAAAGATTGTTGTGTAGGCATAATATCATTTCGCTCGGCTGCCAAACTCACAAACAACAAGCCACTAAAAATGTCAGTTTATAACCATATCAAATTTCAGGTCATGAATTTTGAAAAACAAGAATAAACAAAACCTGAAATTTCCACCGAATAAATTTTCATATGAATAATAGCTCTAATTGCACCATGTTTTCGGCTATAATTATTTTATTCATTACAATAATTTGCAAAATATATCAACTTGCCTCATGGACATCGAGAGTTCTCTACTGTTAATATACAGGGTGTCTGTAAAATGTTGGGACATGGCTCAGCAGTGGACTCCTGGGATAAGGAAAAGTTGATTTAGGCCAACTTACCTATATCCACAATCGTCTCGTTGAGTTGGTACAAGGCGTTGAAGTTCCTCCTGGAAAAATAATTTTGCTCATAAAAAGAGTAGGCTGAGATCGATTTCGATAATTTTTGGCATGAGATGTTCTGTGACTGTGTGTCACGTTTTCAGATGTTTTTGATCATCATCAGTGACCTGCAAGTGTTTCAAACAACCATGTTGCCGTACAAATTTGGTGATAACTTTTCAGAGGTCATACTGGAAACTTCCACCTTTTTTTTTCAGAAAGATATTTCCTTCAGAAATATTTTTTGATAAGTTTCGAGGTTCATTTGCAAATAAATGATTTCTGATTTGATGCATCCTGCGCATTTCTGGAAATTATTCTAATTAGAATACAATGTATTCTTATTGTGAATAAACTGATATGTTTCTGGTCCTCGCGGGCTTTACAAGAACTCTTGCGTTACAACTTTAGTGATAATTATTCAGGACCTAAGGTGAGAACTTCAACGCCTTGTACCAACTCAACGAAACGATTTTGGATATAGGTAAGTTGGCTAAAATCAACTTATTTTTATCCCAGGAGTCTACAGTCAAGCCATGTCCCAACCAGATTATTTTTCAAAAATATGCATAAGATGCCTCAGATCAGAAATTATTTATTTGAAAATGAACCTCGAGACTTATCAAAAAATTAACACGATACAAAAAATATTTCTGAAGGGAATATCTTCTTGAAAAAAACAACTGGAAGTTTCCACTCTGACCTCTGAAAAGTTATCACCAAATTTGTACGGCATCATGGTTGTTTGAAGCACTTGCAGGTCACTGATGATGATAAAAAACATCTCAAAACGTCACTTAGTCACAGAACATGCCATGCCAAAAATTATGAAAATCGATCTCAGCGTACTCTTTCTATGAGCAAAACTATTTATTTACAAAAAAACTAACGCCTTGTACCAACTCAACGAGACGGTTTTGGATATAGGTAAGTTGGCCTAAATCAACTTGATTTTATCCCAGGAGTCCACAGCCGAGCCATGTCCCAACCTTTTACAGACACCCTGTATTGGTCGAGCTTTGCACTCATGTGAAGTTGGCGCCGTTTATTTTGGAAAACAAAATTTTGTTTGGAGTTCTGAGTAGATTTGATGGAATTCTAGAGGTTCTGACTGAATTTTTGTATAGTTCCAGCAAATCGTAGATGTAAATGGAAAAAGTTAGTTTTGAGTGTTTTCTCCAAAAAATGAGTTCTTGGAGTTCTAAACCTATTTCATCAATAGTTCTGATGAACTAAGCAAATCATTGAATAATTCAAGGAGATACAATAGGAAAATGTATTTCTATAGGGGACATTTCTTGTTGGAATGCTATTCCGTTCTCTTTCGTAGGGAAGAAAAAGCTTTCGAGAAAAAAAAAATGGTAAAATCATTAGAAAATATCTCACAAAAATCAGCTGTCATGAGGTGCTTTAAAAAATAACAGTTTCGATAAATAATCAATTCCAAAGAACATAACAATTCTGATGGAAGTTCTGAGTAGCGCTCGACGAGTTCTTCAAAATATACGTATTGTGTTTTAGTGACAAATTGATGAAATACAGTATCCAAAACTTTGAGATGCATTTCCGTCAAAACTACTTGTCCGATCTTGACGTTTTTTGTTCTAAATATTGGCATGCAAGCTATATTCGCATAAAAATATCTTTTTTATGAATACCGGGTGTACCAATTATTGTTTTTTTCATGAAATTTGAAATGTCCTGTAGAGTGTAACAGTTACGTTATCAAGTTAGATTTGAAATTTCACTTTAGCCTTATCTTTTTTCAACATTCTTTTTTTGGATTCTCTCCAGCTTTGATAGCTGAACCTCTCCTTTTCATCATCTTAATGTATTATATTTCTAATTTGTTTGTGTAATTTCCTTATTGATGATGAATAAAGACACATTATTATTATTATTATTATCTTTCTTATTACTCCAGAAACACAATTTTATAGCTCATGAGCACGTAACTAGCAGACTACGGTCTGGTGAAACATTTCTTTGACTGATCGCACGGAACTTGTGATCATAAATGGAAGATGGAAGCCTTACAGCTGATAAGTACATATTGGAGATTTTAGAACCACATAGTCTAAGGATTTTTTTTGATGCAATATAATGCCAGGCCTCAGGTAGCTTGAGTTGTGAGAAATTATCTAGAGGAAGTCGGTATTGTTACCATGGTATGGCCAGCTCGGAGTCCTGATTCAATTCAAATCCCACTGAACATCTCTGGGATATTTTTGAGATAAGATTACAAAAGGAACGGAACTAGAATACTTTGGAAGACGCACTTCCAAATTTGGGAAGACCTGGACCAAAATGACATGAAGTCCATGGTTTTAAGTATATAGGCCGTTTTTTTCAAGAAGTTATTGCATTCCACTTTGAGTATTTGGCTTTTTCCTAGTTGAAAATACGCAAGTCGGGCAACCAGTCACTCCCATTTCCCCCGAAATGGGATCTTGTTTTGAAGTGTTTTTTTCCTTGCCCGGTGGCGTTCGGCGTTCGCGTTTCATTTCGCGGACGTTGAACGCCTCATGGGGTATAAATGCTGAGATGCGTTTACGTTGGGTCAGGTTCGCATCAGATAGCGGCCAAGAAGCTATCTGGGACAGCCCTGTTCTGATGAGAGCCAACAGCTCGAAACCGGTCTTCAGGCAGTCAGGCGTTCCTGAACCATTTAGGCGCAGCTCGGCGTTTAGGAAGGAAACACTTGCGATTTTATTCGTATATACCAAATATTGCATAGACTTCGGGAGAATGTAATCCAATGTTCTGCGTGGCATATAGAAAGTAGTTGTTTTTTCCCGCTATCTACCATATTCGTTCATTTTATGAACTATTGTGGTAATGCCTTTGATTTTCACTCTATTTGTGACCATTGCATTCCACTTTGAGTATTCGGCTTTTTCCTAATTCAACAAGGTAGTCTTGCCCAAGGCGAAAATACTCGCTACTGACCTTTTCGTTTAACTTGTGACTTCGCAATCTGTTTCTTTTTTTTTTTTTTCGTTATTGTTAAATTTGGATATTAATTTTCCATAAAATTATTTTACAATATAAAATGGTGTTTCTCGAGTAATAGGAAAGATAATGGAGTGAATCCAAAATAGAACTTTTGAAGAAAGATAAGGCTGAAGTGTCATTTCAATTCTAACTTGATGTGGTAACTATTGGTGTAACTATTACACTCTACAAAAATCGTCCAAATCGGACTAATAATTTTGACGAAAATGGATCTCAAACTTTTGGCTACTTTTTCGTGGTCCGATAGTTTCTGGGAGAAGTGTTTTTCCTAGGCATATTCTGTAATGCTTCTATAGCTTTCTTTTCTGAGTTAAGGTGGAACAAATGTGGCTGTTATTGTTTCTTGTACACTATTGTACTATATTTGGTTTAAATTTATTTCAGATAGTACTTTGTACTGATGTCGACAGCGATGGACATGTTCCTAAGCGCCACCGATTCGCTACCCTTTCCCGACATCCTCGACATCGACATCAAGTCTGAAATAGACACGCTGGTGGGCGGCCACAACGACTTCTCGGGGTTCAATTTCAACGACATGCCAGCCACGTTCGAGATGATGGACGAAGTCAAGTGGTTCGGCTCGAGTTCCAACCATTCGACGTTGGATTTCGGCGGTGAAGATGGGCCTACTATGGTGAACCCGAACGCGGTGATGCCGCTGATGTCGTTGGCTCAGAGTATTCGGTCGCCCTCGCCTACGTTCAAGGTGAGTCATTTTGATCTAGCATAATTTGGCACTACCACGCCACCTGGCGAGCTAGACACATTAAATTCGCAAAGCGCTTTCGGCTAAAAAGCCATCATCAGTGCTATACCTGCGAGTAAGTTACATTTATGAAATTTCAAAAAGACAAATCAGAAAGTGTAGATTACTTACTTGTCAAGTATTTACAAAATGGTTCAAAAATTAGTAATCGACGACATCATTATGGTACTAACAGAATTAGGAACAGACATATACATTTAACAAAAAAGTTCCCTAATGGGTTATTGTGAAATTTTTCAAAAATACATGTTAAAATTGTTTAGTTCAGGTCCAGGAAGAGCCCGAGTAAGTAATCTAAACTTTCTGATTTGTCTTTTTGAAATTTCATAAATGTTACTTACTTGCAGGTATAGCGCTTTGCGATTTTATAATAAATTATACAGGAAATACAAAATCTCTTCATTCTATTGATCAGTTACGTGTATGCAGCTAGTACAAACCTTCACTTCAAATTACCAATTCCATGATCGGCTCTAGAATGATGGAAGTCAGATATGGTGTAATTACTGATGCGCTTTTGTTTCAGAAATTTTACTCGACCTCTCGAGAACAGCGAAAGCAATGGTTCCGTCGATCTTCTAATAGATGGCGACATTTCACAATTATGACATCTGTCAGTTTTGAAATTGTCGCAGATTTTTCGAATTCAGAGTTGAATAATCCCACTGTTACATATGTTCCGCGTACCTAAAATGCCATTTGCCATTTTATTTCCACTCGTCACAGCAGCAATAGCAGCATCACCATCTAGCGGGAAAATGTAAAATCAACGTCTCGCTCGTTGTGACGTAGAGAATGCATAGTAGGCGGTCGAGTGATTTTTCTGAAATTTTCGATACATAATAATGGCCGAATACGCGCACCATATCTTACTTCCATCCTTGGCTCTAGTAAGAGATTCAGTAATTTATGAATACTGTGAGATGTTCAATCATTTGCCATAAGTCAACAAAGAATTTAAGAAGCAGAATAAAAAAAAAAACACATAATAAAACCACTGTTTTCGGATAAACACTATTATAGTTTACAAGAGTTTTTTTTCAATAAACTACAGCAAAAGAACAAACATAAAAATACACATACTTTTTTAACCTCAAATCTCAATCACTAACTCCAAGATGTGTATACTCATCTAAAGAATAGAATGCATGACAGATTAAAATTTGTCTCAGGTAACAGATTGTAAAAATAGCATCCATAATAATATTTTGTATTTCAAGGAGAGCCATCTGACTTTTTCGCCTGCTACTATCAAGATAACCTCTAGCAAACCTGAGGTGACTACTGTCAAGAAGGATCTGACGATGAAATTGGAAGAGATCGTCGACAAAAAACCAATTTTCAAGACCATCACCAAGGTGACCCCTATTTTGGCTAAACCGGTTGTCAAGGCGTTAGCCAAACCCCCAACAATACTCACTTTCAGGTGAGTGTACTAGATATCAATAAAAAATACATCCATGTGCTTTTTATCAATAGTTTCACAATTTCTGTTTGCAAATAATATGGTTCTAGAGATTCAAAAAAGTGGAATTCTGATCATCGATTTTCAGCAATATGATCAGTCAATTTTTATGACATCTCTGTTGTTTCCTTGCTTTCCCGGTAATATCAATTTTATGGCAGTGAATCCTTTATTTTTGCATACATTTTTTTTTCTGCAACCGACACAAAAGTCGTCCATTTTGATACCAAAATTAGCTCTTAAATTGACGTTTCTATTACTGACACAAAAATAGGTAGGTTGCTAGGCAACATATTTAGTTCCAAGGAGCTAAAGTTGAATTTTAGTTCCTAGGAGCTAAAGTTAAACTTTAGCTCCTAGGAACTAAAAAGGAAGTACTGGACGTCATCAAGAATGAACAACATTGTGACGGTTGGTTATTTGGGTTGAGACGCATACCTGATTTGTTTCCGATTTCAGCAGATTTGGAATTTCATACCCATGCTGGAGATATAAATACACCTTATTATAGTTTAGTATTGGAATTATGAACATTTCAGCTAAGTATTTTTGTTTGATCAGGGAAGCCTTCAAGATTCAAATACTTGCTTGATCTGTATTTCATTCGTTATTCTCGGGATGGATAACTTGTTTTTATATAATCACGGCAAGCAATAGTTTTTTGTCTCAAACAACGATATTGTTTAGCTTCATTTGATTATTAAGCGAAAAACATTGTATCATAGAGAGGAGTAAATAATCGCCATTATCATTGTTGAATGTTGATATGCTCATTAACCTAACATTTTCCACGTCTTGTTCCTATAGCTGGCACTGGCGCGGTATTTGCTATTAGAGCATCTGGTCCATACACAAATATGTCACTCTGTGATTGTACTTATATTGAAACTACAACTCGAACAACCTTGAAAATTGAATGAACCTGCTGTTGATGCAGGTAGAATGTTCTCACTACATGGATTATTTGTCAATATTTGCTGCATTGCATACATATGGCACGGCATTGGTGGTAACTTCACATATTTATTTGAGTTAATTGTTTCGGTTGCAGAAAAAATAGCATGTTTCATTCGGATCAAAAGTGACTTTGTTCGACTCGCAAATTTTGCTTTCGCTCGGCTTCGCTAAACGCTCCGCCTCGCAAATGCAAAATTCGCTTGTCAAACAAAGTGTCACTTTTGATCCTAATAAAGCAATCTACTATTAAGTGTTGAAAAAATTAGAATATAGTCGACAGTGAAAACACAGGAGCTTTTTTTCATTGGATAAATGTCTCTTGGTAACGAAAAACATTTGCCGATCAGTAATTTTTCGGGAGAAATAACTGATGGAAAATGTTTGAGTTAGTGAGAAAATTTATCAAATTAAAAAAAAAAGTTTAGTGTTTTTCGGAAAGATAAATCAACGACAATATACAAATAAACGACAATAATGATTACCTTTATTGATGATTCCGTGTAACTGGTAGCATGCGGAATTGATTTTCTCATATTTTCGTGGTTTCTTCAGACGAAATTTTCCTAAAACGGCTCATCTTGCTAATTTACGCGTGAACCATAACCATCAATCAAATTTGACACGACAGAAATTGGAGTGACATCAGGCGCAAATAGCTACTAGATCAAAGGAGCAGGCAGTTTATCAGTGATAACCCTTACCTCCGTACCCTCACAATCGTACGGGCATTATCTAAGTGATTTATAAGGATCAAAATATCATTTTGCTGGATTGAGAACCAGCCACTATGGTTGTGAGTGTTCTATTTGCACGCAACAAACCGCATTTGCTGCTTATTTGATTTTCAGGCGGCGTAAAAAAAATAAATCATCGTGTGGTGCAATTGGTCTCGACTGAAAAATGTTTCCTGAAGGTGAGTGAATCGAAAACATCAACAATATATGATATTGTGAATGCTTTTATGCATTGAATGGCAAATGAAAACATGATTCAACATGGTGGTTCACAGTGTCTGTTTCCAAAATGTTTTTCGGGATCAGATTTCAGGACATATTTGTGTACCATCACATTTGTGTGCTCCGGGAGCGTACCGCTACAGAACGATGATCATTATCGATTTCGATTCAAACATTCCAATGTGTCAAAACTGTCCTCCATCCAAGAATTTTGAATTGCAAAAAGATCAAGATGAAATTCACGATTTGTTGGATCGGATAGGATCAGATCTGGAAATCGATTCCGATAAAGATCACCAGTGGAAGTTGAATGCACATGAACAGGTAGAAGTGCTGGAGGAATATTTGTTGGGTAAGTGGATGAAAATGCTACCTAACCAACCGTTCTTCTTGCAAATAGAGAAGCTTCTATTTCAACAAATGACAAAAGATATGATGAAATTGACCACTGGCCTGTCATTGATTCTCCGAAATCACCACGGACTTGCTGACTGGAAAGTTGCGGTAGCCGTTCAAGGACGAGATGTTAAAAATGTAATGTACGTCTATGCCTGTGCTTGAACATTGAAAGTGATTGTTTCGTCACTTTTCATAACAAACCATACACAATAATAGACTAGACAAATTTTTGGGATATTGAACTTTAAGAAGCATTTCGTATTACTTTTTGGTAAAGGGTGTTTTTCTACTATTTCGACCCTGCTGAATTCGAAAATTCCGGTTGCCAAAGTGAAATCGCAACCGGAAGTGAGATCTTCAAGATGGCGTCCGAAATGGCATCAAAACAGAATTTTGCTGCTAAATCTCCCTTGTTTGAGGTAGGAACGCGACCAAAGGGTCTCTTTATATGTTTTCAGACATGAAGGAAACAATAACACACAAACTGAACTCGTTCGTTGAATATAATTTCTAAAAAATATGACAAAAGCGGTCAAAGTTGCCCTTTTTGGTTTTTAGCAAACAATATACTTTGACTAATGTATTATATCGTTCTATGCACATTTGAGACATTTAATGTAACACTCAAAACAAAAGGTATTTCTTTAGAAAGAAGTGAAATTATTGTGTGTCTCCAGAGTTCAGGCAAGAACGTTTACAGGGAGTGCACAGTTTGATGCAAGAGACATTGGCTTTTCTACAACTGCAATTTTTTGTATTACAATGTCCTTTGCAATGACAGACAACCGAGCAGACAACTATTTCTGGGCACGTCTTAGGAATGGGATCCAGTGTTATTGAACGAGGAACAACTTGTTCTCTCTGCACAATCCAGCCACAGTCCTGCAGCCTAGGTAGTGACGGTTTGGGGATATGCGCAATCTCCCAAACACACACCTGAGATAAAAAAATTTATACATTATATTCATTTCGTTTTCATTTCTGTCAATTTGCGTTTTAGGTACGCTTACCTGGTAGTTGCATCTCTTAATATGGAGACGAAGTGCATCAGTTGTCGGTGGGAGAAATTCTGGCTTTCTTACAGCTCCAAATAAATAACTTCGGGCATTGTTTGAGCATGTGATGCTGGAATCAACCTGTATGAAATCAGAATTTCTGTGTTTACTTCATTTTAATTCAATATCATCTGAAAGATATTTAAGTGTAAGCATTTTTACCTTATACAGTTTGACGACAAATTTCTCGACATTGCTAAGGACGTCCTCCTCAAGTGGCGACTGTCCGAGGCGTCCCAGAAGATCGCAGTTTGTCCCAGAAAAAGCCTTCCACGCTTCAACTTTCGTGATAGACGCCAACTCAGACGTCGAATCGCAGCCGGTTATTGCATGGAAAGCAAGAAGATGGGAGACTTGGTCCGGCATAAGCTTTCTGCATATATCATGTACAGGAATGTACTTGGTGTCACGTGCAGTGCCACTCATTACCCACAAATAGGAGCATTTCATTTTAGCGAAGTGGTAGATAAGAAGAAGAACAACGTCGTTGTCCCTCGTCATCACAACAACGTTATGAGCTGTGGTGTGAACGGCATGAAGAACCATGCGCGTGTCAGCTTCCTCGTGTGATGATTTCAGGCAATCAACATTTCGACGCAAATTCGTGGACTGAGCATGTTCTTCCTCAGTGAAGCCGCCGGAGATAACTACTTCAAGATCGCCAAAGTTATGTTGCATAATTCTCTAGGACAAAAACCTGCATAAATCAGTTTTGTCTTCTGATAAAAACAACTCCAGTTCTTTGGCAGCGGCACGTTGCAGTCCTCAATGTCTCTGCGCACGAAAGTTGGAGCATGGAAGGCTTTCTCTGGGACAGACTGCGAGCTTCTGGGACGCCTCGGACAGTCGCCACTTGAGGAGGACGTCCTTAGCAATGTCGAGAAATTTGTCGTCAAACTGTATAAGGTGAAAATGCTTACACTTGAATATCTTCCAGATGATATTGAATTAAAATGAAGTACACACAGAAATTCTGATTTCATACAGGTTGATTCCAGCATCACATGCTCAAACGATGCCCGAAGTTATTTATTTGGAGCTGTAAGAAAGCCAGAATTTCTCCCACCGACAACTGATGCACTTCGTTCTCATATTAGGAGATGCGACTACCAGGTAAGCGTACTTAAAACGCAAATTGACAGAAAAGAAAACGAAATGAATATAATATATATATATATTTTTTTATCTCAGGTGTGTTTGGGAGAATGCGCATATCCCCAAACCGTCACTACCTAGGCTGCAGGACTGTGGCTGGATTGTGCAGAGAGAACAAGTTGTTCCTCGTTTAATAACACTGGATCCCATTCCTAAGACGTGCCCAGAAATAGTTGTCTGTCATTGCAAAGGACATTGTAATACAAAAAATTGCAGTTGTAGATGAGCCAATGTCTCTTGCATCAAGCTGTGCACTCCCTGTAAACGTTCTTGCCTGAACTCTGGAGACACACAATAATTTCACTTCTTTCTAAAGAAATACCTCTTGTTTTAAGTGTTACATTAAATGTCTCAAATGTGCATAGACCGATATAATACATTAGTCAAAGTATATTATTTGCTAAAAACCAAAAAGGGCAACTTTGACCGCTTTTGTCATATTTTTTAGAATATTCAACGAACGAGTTTAGTTTGTGTGTTTTTGTTTTCTTCATGTCTGAAAACATATAAAGAGACCCTTTGGTCGCGTTCCTGCCTCAAACAAGGGAGATTTAGCAGCAAAATTGTGTTTTGATGCCATTTCGGACGCCATCTTGAATATCTCACTTCCGGTTGCGATTTCGCTTTGGCAACCGGCATTTTCGTAATCAGCAGGGTCGAAATAGTAGAAAAACACCCTTTGCCAAAAAGTAATACGAAATGCTTCTAAAATTTTAATGGAGGCCTTTTTTGGATTTTTCGACTAGACTATAAATGCATATTTCTCCATGATTATCGTTTTCTTCATTCTGAGTTGAAATCCCATTTCACTCCCAAATAACACAATTGTGAGGGTCCTGAAAATGATATTACATCATCCTGAAAAAATTCGAAAAAAATTCAGGAAGTTTCTGAGGTTACTCTGAGTCACACCTGCTAGAAAAATTCCGGCTATTCTTTCCAAATTATCTTTGAGAATGGTTAACGGTTATGGAACAAGAAATCCCCAAGAAACTATTGATACAGTGATTCTTAATTTGCTACCAGTGAGATCTAGAAAGTATGAAGCAGCTTATACTCGCTTCAGAGAAGGGTGTTCCAAAAAGAACTCCCTAGGGAGAAAATATTTTTATTAACATTATCTCCCTAGGAAATAATACGAGACTTCTGCCCCTCTTTTGTTACTAGATAAACTAACTTCTACTCCCGCCGGCGTAAAAATTGCTATTATTCATTATATTATCATTTAGAAACGCGGTGGCCAGACAAGTCGCGTCCCCCATAAGCGTGACGCACCTGAGCAGCGTGTCGACGCTGCGAACGGCGCAGACGCATGCCGCCCCCCTGAGCCGCAAGACCGCCCCCCGCGACTCGTACATCGACGTGGACGATCGCGCCTACCCGAAGCCCGCCTACAGCTACAGCTGCCTGATCGCGATGGCCTTGAAGAACAGCCGGTCGGGCAGCCTGCCCGTCTCGGAGATCTACAACTTTATGTGCCACCATTTTCCTTATTTCAAGACGGCGCCCAACGGGTGGAAGGTGAGCGGGCGATGATGCGGTTTTCGAGTTGTTTTCGTTGAAGAGATAGTAGACTGGCCGGCAATGGCCGACGCCAATCAAATTTGAATTTGCATTGAAAATTGATGATTTTGATCGATTTGTAAATGCATGCGAATTGGTTTTTGTTCAAATTAAGAAAGGATGATACAAGTAACACAAATAATGAGTGCGAATAAGCGGACGTTAAATTATTGTTCAAAAATAACCTCTTTATGACATGTTCAGTTGATAATTTCGTGACTTCCTACACGAGGGCAGAGTAAGTACATTTTTCCCGCGGTGTAATTTTTTCAAATTTCAATAAAAACCAATTTGCATGCATTTACTAATCATACAAAATCATCAATTTTTAGTGCAAATTCAAATTTTTTTGTTCTACTTCATTTTATCATCGAACCAAATCCCAAGATACTTTTCGTTAGGGTTCCTTGATGTAAATTGACGTATTTGTCATCTTAACAGGGTACGGAGAGATCCTCGTCTCATCTCACTCTGGAGTGTTTGTGAAACAGTTATATAGGTCCATCTTTATTCATTTCTGGAGAAAAACTCTAGATCTCTGACATTTGTTGTTTTTTAGGTTATATTGAGGACATTGGCGTATCATATGTAATTTCTTATTCAACTCTACTTATTATATCCAAATGATGATGATGATTTTCGAGTTTTTGATTTTTCAACTCCAGCATAATCTTTGTGAGACATTGATCAATTTTTTCTGAAAGTTCAATACGTTTCACCAAATGGGACTGTAGTTAGGCAGTACCTAGGAACTTTTTTCAATATTTTATTTACGAATTAAATATTGTAAAGTTTCGGAGCATCGGCTGGGGGGATAGTCCTGCACGATTCGCTGTTGCGTTCCAATAAACAGTGCTGCTCCTAAAGTGGCGCATGGAGTTAGTAACAAAGCCTACACAGAACACGCAGAAAGATATGATGATGTGGTTGTGAGCATCAGAGAAGAAGTAGGACGGTGTATGTATGTGGGTGTGGAAAACTACCAGCTGAGCGTGAGAGCGGGCCAGCTGCTTAAGTAGACCTCGGTCTCGGGGGTTAACGATGATAGTTAGCAGGCCTGCCAATGCGCATATGGTAGTGAGTACATTACTAGCCTACAAAACACAGCTGAAAAACTCTGAAAAGAGAGCTGATGGGCGGTGCCTGAAAAGGATGTTAGCCAGCTCTCTTAAGCGAACCACATCAGTCATTGAAAACACTTGGGGTTTGCAAAAAGGTCCCATTGGGGACTAGTTGCTGACGTGGAAACGTCCCCCACCAGTACCAGTAGTACCAGTAGGCAGTACCTATCAATAAATGAATTTTGATCTCGTACTAAGCCTTATGGTTGAGAAATGGTGAAAATTTTTATGTAGGTATTCAAACTAATGTGCTCATGTCATGTCGTTTAATCCTCCGTTTTAATCAAAACTGTTTTTACTAAAATGCATTCAAAAACTTGTAGAGTCGATAATTATAGGCACAATGAGAAATTATAATATGTTATTTTGTATTAGTTTACCTCGAATATTTTGCTGATGTATTTACCAATTTTCCACATTCGGTCACTTCACTTTCCATGTTCTAAGTTCATTTGCATTTGATGGAAAGCTGACAAATAAAATTTGCGATCCAACTGATTGATACAGCCTTACGCAGCACATTTGACCATCCTTCCAAAACAGAATTGAATAATGTCGTATTAAGATAAAGTATGAAATTAAAATTTGTAAGATCTCTTTTAACGCCTATGAATGTGACGTGACAGCAATGTCATGTCAGGGACGCCAATACACGAAAACAAAGTCACTAGATGATTGAACGAGAAAGGAGCTATGATCTGTCCATACCCTGTTAGATGACAAACACGTCAGTTTGCATCAAGGGGGAGCTATGATCTGTCCGTACCCTGTTAGATGACAAATACGTCAGTTTGCATCAGGGGATCCAACTTTTCGTCAGTTTAAATCCTAAAATTTGAAGCATTGGTGTAAAGATGTCGAATAAAAAGAAACCCATTAGATAATTTCTTTGTGTGTATAAAGCTAATGGAATATGTGCCTTTTCAGAACTCCGTGCGGCACAATCTGTCGCTGAACAAGTGCTTCGAGAAGATCGAGAAGCCGGCGCTGAACGGCGCCCAACGGAAGGGCTGCCTGTGGGCGATGAACCCGGCCAAGATCGTCAAGATGGACGAGGAGGTGCAAAAGTGGTCGCGGAAGGATCCGCACGCCATCAAGAGGGCCATGACCAATCCGGGTGAGACTTAATACAAGAATATTCGAGAAACATTCTGGAATATTTTAGAAGAACTTCTTAGGAATATTCTGAAAGATTTTTCAACATTCTGAATAGGGTTGCTACGATTTAAATCAGGAAATTATTCCAATTACAATCGTGATTTGAATCTAATTATAAATTCCTGTAAAATCAAGTAATTGAAGCAAATCTCATCAGATAAAAAAGGAAGATAGTTTATTCAAATCAAAGTGTTATACATTATGTAAGTGTAAAAACATGACTAATCATCATCAGTCCAATGTAGATATTCATTCAACCGCAGATAAAGACGAACGAATTTTTTTGTTAGGACGAGAAAGCCGAAGCACGCTGCCAAGAATGTTAATGTCAACACATACAAAAAAGTATGTCGCCGAGAAGATTGTCTAATTAGTCCAATAAATGAGGGAGGAAAAAAAGGCAAAGTTAACGTTAATTACGCACTATTTTCATCTTCCGGTTGGAAGTAGCTTTTGGTACCTCATTAAACATGAGACAAAGTTTGACTGGAAAACGCGTGCGATGGCGGAGAAAATGGTCCCATAAGACCAGGAAAATAGGTTTTCAGCCAATATCTCCTAAAATATGGCAGTTAGAGATCAGGTTCAGATAAAAATTGAAGTTCAGTTAATTTTCTACAAAAATTGTCCTTATCATTTTTCTCGAAAATTTGCCCGGTTTCGAGAAAAACGGCATGAAGCGTACCTCGAATAATGAGCTTCTGTGTTGTATGCCGGAGAGCACAGTCCGTGTATTTACACATCGGCGGGGGGACAAATTATTCAATAACTTTGTTAAAAATGCATATTTTCTCATGATTCAAGGTTCATGTGAAAGAGGAATTCTGCTGCTATCATACCCTGCGTGGCCGCATGGTTTGTAGCAGACGACCCGAGCGCCACGTAGAGCACACACGCGGCGAACGACGGAGGAACGAAAGTAATGAATTATAGCGTGTACATTTAGATATACTGGTTTTTTCCCGGGATATCAAAGGTATGACTTATATACATCGATGGAAAGGTGGGAAATGCCCCGTTACACTAGTTAAGGTGTTAAAATGTTAGAAATAAATAGCTCGGAGAAAAAAACCACCGAAAAAAAATGCGTTTTTTCCTTGACCCCGCTTTTCCTAACTTTATTGAAAAATGGACGACTTCGTCTAACAAAGTAATTGCACAATCAAAAAGTAGACCTTCTTAGCTTTCAAATGATGTATCATAGAAACCAATCGGATCATGTATACATTTTTAATTGATGGTTGTTCACGAAATTTCCCCGCGCGTCAAAAACAGCAAAAAATTGGGGTTCAATAAACAAAGATTAATTGAAAATTAAAAAAAATTAGGGTATATAAATTACAGGGATGACGAAGGACCTTATGAGGACCCATAATCAAGAGAATTTTGAGTAAATTAGTGCAATACAAAAAAAATTGGAACAAATTCCTGGCGAGGTCAAAATTGACCGGGAGCAGAAAGTTTGACCCATGTTCCGATATGGCCAAAAGAGTCAAGCGTGACTCAATTCACAGGGTATGATAGCAGCAGAATTCCGCTTTCACATGAACTTTGAATCATGAGAAAATATGCATTTTTAACAAAGTTATTGAATAATTCGCCCCCCCCCCCCCCCCCCGCCGATGTGTAAATACACGGACTGTGCTCTCCGGCATACAACAGAAGCTCATCATTCGAGGTGCGCTTCGTGCCGTTTTTCTCGAAACCGGGCAAATTTTCGAGAAAAATGATAAGGACCATTTTTGTAGAAAACTAACTGAACTTCAATTTTTATCTGAACCGAAAATCTCTAACTGCCATATTTTAGGAGATATTGGCTGAAAACCTATCTTTCTGGTCTTTTGGGGCCATTTTCTCCGCCATCGCACGCGTTTTCCAGTCAAACTTTGTCTCAAGTTTAATGAGGTACCAAAAGCTACTTCCAACCGGAAGATGAAAATAGTGCGTAATTAATGTTAACTTTTTCCCTTTATTTATTGGACTAAATTGTAAATTTAGAGAACAGTACTGATCTGAATTTCTGGAAGAATGTCTAATCTTGGTTTTCGCATTTTTAGAAAACTTGGAGTCATTGGAGAGGGGCGAAATGAAGTTCGCGAGTTCCTACGACGATGGCGACAATTTCGGCGATTCTTGCGGCAGCGCCGAGGAGCAGAGCGAAGCCTCGGATTCCGAACAGGAGCAGGAACAGGAAGTGGAAACCACCAACCATCAGTACCAGTTCATCCACGTCAAAGATGAGGATACGTCGGATCTCGACATCGAGGTGAGCCTCCATGTGGTTAATTACTATTATTTTCATTTTGGATCTCCAATGAAACTCTCGTTATTGTGGTTCTTATACAGGCTGATTCACGGTGGATGGCACATTTTCGTTTCTGGAGAACATAACTCAGCATTGCGACGTTGCCGCTTATATTGAAAAGTAGCAACAACTTTGATTTTTTAAATGGGACACACTCTGCATTCTCCAGAAACGTCTAATGTGCCATCCACCGTGAATCAGCCTGTATATATATATTATTTTGGAAAATGGGAATTACACAATTCAAATTAGGTTTCTGAAAGTTGAATTTTCAACACAGTGCCGTACTCCTACAAATATATTGATAATATTGCAATGTGTTGTTGTTTTCATTCATAAATATTATGAGGATCGGTTATACAGGGTGGGGCATATGATCCAAGTGTTTTTGGTTTGGGCCGTTGGAAGAGCGCGGGGCGCGCGGTTTATCACAATCCATTCCTTGACTGGAAGCATTTTGTATTTCATTTTCTCAGTTGCCACTTGCCATCATGGAGCGTTGGACGCTAGAGTTCATGCCCCTTCTTTTAGAAGTATGCAAGAAAAACACATTGACCAAAGAGTTCGCTGAAAATAATTTTTTTTATCGCTTGGAGCGCACGAAAGGAAATCCCTATAATGTTCAAAGAACATCGTGCGTTCCTAGGGAGGATAGGGACAGGAGCTAGGTATTGGATTATTTTTTTACTTTTGGTTATATGTTGTTGGGAATACTTCCACAGGCAATGAATTCCAGAGCCTAGCCGTTCTATATGGATGAAGGAGTCTTGATAAAGTGCTGTTCGACATCTTTCGAGGTTGACAACGAAAGGATGTGCTGACTGGGCTTGTCTAGTTCGTCTGATTGGTATTGCTAGTGAAGGGATGATAGATTCCGAAGAACATTTCCCGTGGAAGTATCGACCGCCGACCTTTCTACGGTGTTCCAATGATGTCAAAGAGTGAGTGAGTGTGGTGTCACCCACCAGGCGAATGGCTCTTCTCTGGATGGAATCTAAGAGCATCAGCGTATGTTTTGGTGCTGAACCCCATATGTGGAAACAGTATTCTAGAACAGGCCGTATCTGCGCTTTGTAAATCATGAGGAGCTGTTAAGGTGTAAATTAGCTTTTCGCACGGAACAAGAATCCGAGTTTTTGTGAAGCAGCTTTAGCGATGGATCTGACATGATTATCTCATGAAAGAGTGTTGCTGATAGAAATACCGAGCATAGATATGGTGGGCTTGGTGGGGATGGTGGTGCCAGACATTACAATATCGGGCATACAGAGTTCCGCCTTTCTAGAGAAAATACAGGCTTGAGTTTTGGTGGCGTTGAATTCAACTAGGTTGTTGGTTCCCCAGGCTGTGATTTCAGCAAGGTCTTCATTGACAGCATTGAACTCCTGCGCCGTGAGTTCTCAGTTTCCTGTGAAGAAATGGGAATTCTGGAAGAGAACGCAGTATGGAGGGTACTATCATCTGCAAAGCTGTGGATGGGGCACGTTGTTACTCCCAACAGATCATTGATATGAAGAAGGAATAATGTTGGTTCCAAAATTGATCCTTGTGGAACGCCGGAATTGATACCAATGGTATCAGACGATACACCGTCCACCACCACCTGAAACGATCTGCCTGAAAGAAAACTCGATAAGAGATGGCATAGCTGAGGTGGTAAGCCGTATGATGGTAGTTTGTGGAGGAGTCCTTTGTGCCAAACACGGTCGAATGCTTTCAATATGTCCAATCAAGTGGAACAAAGACTCGCTATTTTCCTAACCAAAGCTTCTAAGCGGTGCAATAGAAGACTGTTGGTAATTTATTATACAAGGCATATGAATCAAGTGTTTGTGAAATAACAATAACAAACACGCGTTGCTTTAGCGTCCATCAAGGAATGAATTGTAATAAACCGCGCGTCCCGCCTTTTTTCAATGCCGAGTACTACCCAAACCAGAAACACTTGATTCTTATGCACCACCCTGTATTACATGTTTTTATTCAATAATTCTTGATGATTAATTTGATCTTATTAGTCTCATGAATTTTTGCGGAAATAATTGAACATCCAGCGGTATTACAAGTGACAACACCCTGCATTATAACCAAATGATTATACAAGGTGTCCAAAGACACCAAATTAGACTGATTGAAATCAACTTACCTCTATACGAAAATCTCCGTTGAGTCGGGAGAAGGTGATGAATAATTTTATTTACAGATTTTCCTGGATATTAGAAAATCCTTGAAAGGTACTGCTCTAAGATTCATCGAGCAATTTACTAACATGAATATGCATGAACACCATGTCATATTCATACCAATTCAATCAATAGACAGACAGATCGATTTTTCACATTCTTTTTGATGAAAATTTATGTAACTTTTTTGGAATACGACAAAAACCATATTTTGATATTTCAATGGATGATTAAATCAGTTATATAACTTTTTCCTAACTGCAATTTTTTTTTTCTTAGTTTTCGAGATATCTGACAAAATTCATTTTGATGCTTCTTCATATTTTGCAAATTTTTACCTCATGTGTGTCGAGTTATTGACCACAATATCCATGTTAACAATTTTGCAAGCTCATCATTATATGACTGGTAGCTGTTTGTTATTTCTGATTGAAGTATTCAAGAAAATCTGGTAATAACATTATTCTTTAACGCCCTCTCACGGCTCATTGCTGCATTTTCGTAAAGAGGTAAGTTGACTCCAATCGGTCTATTTTGGTCTCCAGCTCACCCTGTAGAATTTATGGTACGTTTTTCTGGGACACCTTGTATAAAAATTTACGTATGCAGTAATCAGGATGAACAGAAGATGGTGTAGAAACTCCTATCAAATCCCATCTACTGTTAGTTCTTGACCTACGGCCTACTTGACAGAAGGATTCTTTTCAATATCGCGGAATATAGGTCGCATTTTACCCATTAGATGGCGAAATCTCAACCAAAATTCAAGGTTGGTATAACTGATGATAATTAAATATCCCCAACATTACAGTTTCGTATTTTCAAATTAAATCTCATTTGATTTGAGGTTATGCTATTATTATTTCTGGTGCAAGCCGTGTGTAAGCGCCATTTTCTGTTTTCTGTCATGAAAGAAATCTGTAAGACGTCTCGCCATCTTGCGGACAACTGAGAACTAATATGCCATTATTGCGGAATCTGCGGTCAAGCGTTTTGGGAGAAACACAACACTGTCTGTGATTACACCATATTCTATCCACCTTGGCAGTAATGTATTGTATGGTTTTTCTACTTCAGGTTTCCGAAGATATTGGTTATGAAGAGATGGAAGATGAACAGGAGCTTCTCAGAGTGGAGATGGCGCTGGCACAAAAGGAGCTCCTGCAATATGAAAGAACGATCAACAATAAGAGGAGGCGGACGTATTTATTGCAACGCTAGATCACATTCAGCGAATCTAGGTATATACAGTATGAATAAATATGTGTGTGTGTGTGTGTGCTGAGGGTTCGGGATTAGTTGAAAAGGTATAACAAAACAAAAAAAAAAAGCTGCGAGAGGAATTTCTTCGAGACAGAAAAGTGAAGCTGTGTTTGATTGGTGATATAAATAGAAATTGTACATATAGATGTAATTGCTCCTGCCCGTGTATCCCCCCCTAGTTCTTAGAATACGAGTTAAGAGTTTGATTTTCATTGAAGCATATTAGGGTACTAGAGAAAATACTAGGTTGAAATTTTAACTCTGTATTTTCATTATTTTGAAAATTCAGTTTCAAATTTTAGCTTTCTTGAAAAGTCAACTGAATATTTTGAAATTTCAACTCAAAGATGTAAGTCTTTCAAGATGTATGTTCAATGATTCAAATTGCAAGATTTTGACATTTTGACTTGAAATTTGAAGATAAATCTTGAAATGTTGACTAAAAATCTTGATATTTCAATTTGGAGATTGACGTTTCAAGAACGAATTTCAACATAATGAATCAAACTGGTATTTAAATTTGCAATAATTGTGAAATGTCGAAGTTTCAACATCTGAAGCAGGAGATTGTACAGGGTGGGCCAAGTTGGTCACTTTTAAAGGGAAAGTCCTATTCCCGTACTAGATAGAAAAAATATCGATATCTATCTTCTTTTCAGAGGTGTTCTTCGAAAATTGGCATTTTTGAAAAGTGGCTACAAATATTTTTTTGCAAGAATTGTATTTTCTCATGAAAATAACTGCAAAGCATTGAGTTTGAAATAACAATCATTCCTGAGGAACTGAAACCGGCCTTCCTATATCTTGTTCAAGAATATAACTTGTTCTTTTTGAAGGATAAGTTCTATTTTGAAACTAGGTATATGATGACTGATTTTAGTGCCTGAGGATCAATTTTCATGACAAACACAATGCTTTGGAGATGTTTTTATGGAAACGAAAAATTTTTGCGAAAAAATGAGTTTCAGCCACTTTTCGAAAATTCATATTTTTGAAAAACATCTTGTAACCCTCAGAAGAAGATAGATATCGATATGCAGTTTTCACCATTGAGTTTGTTATGTGAATTGATCAACAGGCACCCTGTACAAGTGGATGAAGGAAAACAAATTAAGTTCAAACTTTCAAGATTTCAAATAATTTCAAAATATTTCTAGTTCAACTTTCGACATCTCAAATAATTTTAAAAATATGTCTTGAACTTTTGAATAAGTCAAAATTTGAACTTGTCGAGTTGAAATTCATTCAACTTATTGGGTTTGAATTTCAACATTGTCAATTTCAAGATATTACTCATCAACTAGATCAACTTGTTAATATCATGTTATTTGTTGAAATTTCAACTTGATTTTTTTCATGGTGACCCTAATATGCTTTACTTAGATCCTAATATATGCGACAAGACTGCCGATTTACTTTTTCGTAATATTCACTCCATTGGTTTTTGATTGTCCTACAGGATGTACAGAAATTGTCGGACCGCGACATTTTTATATCTAGAAAGATGAAAGTGAATTTCAATTTGCGGTATAGGGAACCTAAAAATGTTCGTATTTTTTTCTTTTTTCGTGATCTGATTTTATTTCATCTGTGAATGGCCGAGTACAGTATTTAGCAAAAAAAAGCACCGATGGGCGTTTATTCTTTTTTGTGGTGGTGGTTTGAACACGCGGGATTTTTTTTGTTTCATCGAATTGTCTGACATTCAGAATTTCCTTACTGAATTTACTTGAAAGTTTAATTTTTTCCACCTTCATATCAATTCAAACCACCATCAATTTTTCGTATAGCATGTATGAATGTGCCTTCTCTCCAAATTCGACAACTTTTTGGTGGTTTTCCTGAACACATAATGGGACCAGCAATTCATGTTTATTTGCCGTACACGTTCATCGATTTGTCAACTTATTATTTTTTTGTAACATTACAAAATGTGATATGACCATGTTTTCATGGCCTGTTTTGCGAGTTTGAGGAAGAATCATTTTTGCTTTCATTCATCAAGTGGAAAAGAACTGAGATCGAGAAGGAATGTTAACTTTTCTTAGTTTCAGTTCTTGTACTCACACAATGCTTGAAAATCAACTATTTTCTTATAAGAAGCTCTGCGACTTTCTTCAACTTAATTTTCATGCACGTTCTATTGAAATTATATTTATCTTGTGCTCAGAAAACATTCACACTAGTGCCAATATGGAAATAGTATATTGTTTAACGAGCACGGAATCATGAGCGATAGGCGAATGCTGCAATCATTCGAGTGGGAAATCAGCATTCCGTGCGAGTTATACACTAATTTTTCTACGGCTGTAACAGATAACAGCGACATTTTTTATTTTTTCTTCTTGTAGCCATCTGATTTCCTCTCGAGTAATGCTACTCTATTTGACAGAGCTGTCATTGCTTGCAATTTGAAAGGACCACGCACACATTATATGGGAAAATGTCTTTCGGGTGAAAATGGCTCGATTTTTGATATGTTGTAGCTGAAGTCATTCTGAGAAAAAGACTCCATTGGCCCAACTCGATCGTATGACCAGATTCAGCTTCAGCTACAACATATCAAAAATCCAGCGATTTTCACCGAAAGACATTTTCCCATATAATGTGTGCGTGGTCCTTTAACACAATGGAGTCATTTTGATATCATAGGGATATAAAATTGTTGACAAACAAAGTACCTTATTGATATATTGAACACAGTAAAACAAGAGCAATTTTGTGTTATAGCTGTAGAAAATAGTTATTTGTTTTACTAGACAGAAAAGCACAAAATTTAATGCCGCTGCTGGCGTTTCATAGCCAAGGCGTAGCCGAGGCTAGAAAATAACTAAGGCATTAACATTAAATCTTCTTTTCTGCCATGTGAAACATAATTTTTTCCCAAAATTCGTTCCAATTTCACGCAAAGTCCAAATAATCGTATCATTTTATGTTCACTCAAAGTCATTGTCAATTTTGATTACCAATTTGATTCAAATTATTACTTGGAACGTTACATAGCAACTAACTTTCTCTACCTAGACAGAAAAAGTACACATTTTATGCCTGTTGAGTGTCAAAAAAGCCACTTTCAAATTCGTATGGAAAAAATACTAATTTTGCTGTTGGAATAGAAGTTTATCTCTTCATTTTTTTGAATTCCTGCAAAAAAGACGTACACGGTGGTCGAAAATCGTCTCTCAATATTTTTGTGGCTGATAGTACATTCAACAATAAAGTTACCTATAAACTTATTCCCGAAAATATAAATCCAGGAAGAAATAAAGAATGAGATGATAAATATAAGTTAAACAAAGTGTCTTGTGTCATAATAAATTTGAAATAAATTCCAATCCATTTGTAATTGAGCAATAGGCATGTTCTTCTATTCATTAATGAATCATGGGCATGAAACATAAATTCATCAAGTAGTATTTCAATTCACCAATCCGAACATCGCTCAAACAGCTGATAGTTCTCAAGTTCAGCGGATAATTCAATCTAATATTCATCTGATACATCGGCATCAAGGATTGATTTATCTTTAGCGTGATACAGTGATCAATATAATGATGAGACTTAATAGTTAATTTGCAACTACAGTATAATGATGTGACTTTTACGTGGAAGTTAGAACACCTTATTACTATCATAACTCCGATATTTGCAACATAATTCGTGTTCGAAATGCTAGTATCTTATCTTTTTAAGAATTTTGCTGATCCTCAATGATGCTGACATTAGTCATTCATTTTTGTACACATCAAATCGTTCCTATATTCAGTTGAAATCTACATTTCATCGGGACGTCAGGACACATGCATCAGTAATCATCAGATGAAATTCATCATATGAACACGCCAAATGTTCGAAAAATTATAAGCTAGGGGTGAAATACTTGAATAACTGAGAACGATTCCGTTTAAATATCCATCAAGTGAAAAAGAGTGTTGACTGGTGTCTAGATAACTCTCACCTGAGTTAGGAATATGAATTCGATATTTCAGAACTGTCGGAAGATGATGCTAACTGATATTTATCATCCCTCTTCAAAGGGATATATTATTATCTCCCTTATTATTCACCAATTCCTACCTTATTTCCCTTGGTTCTCACGATGTTCTCTGAACATTACAGGATATCTCGGAACTGAGTTCATAGAGAATAGTATCTATGTTTTTAAATGAACTATCAGTTGAAAAAATATCGGGAGACAATAATTCTGTACCACCGTGTATAGATGATTCCTAATCTCGAGTTTAAAATAATATGATGACTTTCATTTCCCTAGATATTTTGTGATTTACTCTCCTGGTATCTACAAATAAAAATATGAGTTGTATGTCGATATCCAATAAAATGATTTGTCCTCAATACATGTTTTCATAAAACCGATATACGTGTTACGGGTTCGATTTTTGAGATATTGAAATGATACTAATATTTTTATTTCTAAAAACAAGGAGAGAAAATTACAAAAGATCTATACCTCATCGATTAACCTACAAACAGCGTGATTGACTATATGAAATTACTTATCACCACTAGTTGCGATATAATTCGACGAAATCAAAAAAAGTTATGTATACAGCGAGTTATTCAAGTACGTGGAGGTAAGTTCAGGGGCTTGTTGATGACGTCAAAACAAAAAGGAAAGTTCCCATAAGCGATTTCCAGATACCTAACTACAAGGCGATAAGCTTGATGTAAGAAATGGGCCCACGTGTCATACTAATACTAAAAGGCAGTTTTTTGCTCGCGTTTTCGAAATATTAGCAAAATCAAGCATTTCTCATATTAATTTGTTCGCCCTATATCACAAAAATGACGAACTTACGCTTACGCCCCTGAATTTCCCACACGTTCTCGAAAAACACCTTGTATAACACTCAGCAAAATAAATATAAATTCATATTAATCATGTCATTATGGAGAAATTCAAGGAATAAAAGTTGACAAAACTGTCGAAAATAGTTCATTTTTGATACGTTCATCTCTTTTTGGCCTTTAGTATGATGTAAAATAATATAGACAATCAAAACCATAGCTCGGAATAAGTACAAAAATGATTTTTCTTCAAGCAAAACCAGAATTTGGGCTTAGTTTTTGGTAGTGTAGTTCCCAATGGATGGTTCTTAGAGCAACTAGAGTGAATTTTTCATTTGTGATATATTATCATGTTTGATTTTTTTCTAATTAAGATTTTCCAAGTAACGGATCATTGCATTATTCTACAGAATAATCAGTGTTACTTTGTAGAAAACTGACTGATTATTGCTTCATTGTTATTTACAAATCACAATGTTTCTGTGGTTGGTTGAAAGCTACTAATTGATTAATGTTATCTTTCGTGTAAATTATTTTACTATTTCTTTTTATTATAGTGTATTTAGTATTTGTAATAAGTCCATGTACAAATTTTGTTAGTTTTAAGGTTATATTTGGTAATGAAATGTGATTTTTCATAGAAATCGTTGTTTCATTTCTTCAGTTATACTTATCCCAATTCCCTCTTGACTAGAGGCTGAAAGTGATGATTTTAGTAACTCATTTGTAGACTAAAATCACTCATTCATATGCCAACATCAGTATGACACTGAAAGGTGTCAAACTATAAGCAGCACAACTTTCAAAGAGAAATATTTTGCATTTTACATGTTGAGAACGGTAGCAGATTCGGTCCCGAAACATCCAAAGATGAGTAAAAATTCGATATTTTTTCAATATATCTATATACAGGGTGTTTCAGATTTAAATGTACATACGATACCTGTAGATAGAAGATACTTTGGTGGTTCCAAATCTCCCCCTATTATTGTGTCTACTGTCTTTTATAACTGAGATACAGGACGTTATCTTGATTTTGGCAAAATCTTTATGTGGTCATAACTTTTGAATCACTTTGTATAATTCATTCATACTTGGTAGGGATATTCCATCCATGTTACACAATGGAATTAATTGGAAATTGAAATCAGAATCCAGGTCCGTCTCTAGGAAAAACCAAACATTCATAATATTCAAAAAAACAACACCCTGTATATAAAATATTTGTAGAAAAAACTTAATTAAATGATCTACTCTTTACCAGTGCGCATCCAATTTGACATGTGTTACCAGTGGCCACAAATCGATTCATTTTAGTAATCATATCGATTTTGAGGCATTTATTGATCAAACATTCAATTTGGATATAAAAAAATTGTCTCAGATTGTAACTCCATAGCTGTTGAATCAAAGTTGAACTACCAATGAATTTCTACATTGATAGAATATTTTTTCAATAATTTTACATCTTTTTGATTGCCTGTTTCTCACTAAATACATTCATATATTGAAATAATACGAATATTTTTATTGTATAGAAACGAGGCGAGAAAATCCCAAAAAATCAAGTGAAATTCGAATATTAAATTTTCATCCAAGCAATCTGGAATCAAAGTAAATGTGAATACTCAATGGTATGACTATAATAGTTTTGTACTTTGAATTGCGAATACTTGATCTTAAATCGTACAAACACTTTAATGTAAGTAGATATAGGTACTATTTATCATCATCATTTTATGCAATCGCTTGCATTTTGATGTAAATGACACAATTCCAACCATCAGAATCAGATTTCTCATCAGTTCATATCCATTTCATAAACAGCAAGTCTAAGCCTAAATTTCCCGCAAACACCATTTTATCATCGTAACGGTACCTAATTCCTTGTTTTCGGTGAAAAAGCAAATAAAAGGTGAGGTCAAAAGTATAATCAGGTGTCGGTTAGTCGCGGTTTGTCACAAATTTATCATCTCTTTTTATCAGTTTTAATCTATTGATTAGTGTTATCAGTCGAATCATCGCGTCCGTGGAATCGGATATCAGACATCGAGTGGGCACATACAGTGTCATTCATAAAGTCGGCATCATATGGAAAATAAATTTCAATAATGATTTATTTCGAGATTCGATTCGGACGTTTAGTTTTGCTTCAAAAAAGATGGAAATTTGCCTACTCGGTCGGTGACACGTGGCTTTCGATACATCTCAAAAGTTTCATTTTTTCAAATTAATCCCTGGAAAAATAGCTAGGATGATTTGTACGAATTCCGGAAAAGTTTAGTAAGAAAAGTTTTTTCTATTGCAATTTTACACTCTGACGACGACCGCGTTCAAACTTCACTTGTTTCGCGAGATATACAGTGTCATTCATGAAGTCGGCATCATATGGGAAACACACTTTCAATAATAATTTATATCGAAATCCGACTTGTGCGTCAAGTTTTGTTTTACATAATATAACAAATGGATTACTCGGTCGCGGGGTCACGTGACTTTCGCTGCATGTCAAAATAAATAACTTCAATTTTTTGAATTAATCGCTGAAAATAGGCTTATTCGAATTTCGAAGAAGTTTACTGAGAATAGTTGTTTCTATTTCAATTTAACTCATGTATATATGTACAGTTTCTCGAATTTGAACGTTCCTTACCAACTTTCAGTTTTTGTTATTTTTTCAATCTCTATGAAATGTCTGTTATATTTAAAAAAATTAACACATAAGTATCCAACCAAAGTTCTCGCGAAACAAGTGAAGTTTGAACGCGGTCGTCGTCAGAGTGTGAAATTGGAATAGAAACAACTTTTCTTAGTAAACTTTTTCAGAATTCGAACAAATAAGCCTATTTTTCCAAGGATTAATTTGAAAAAATTAAACTTTTGACATGTATCGTAAGTCACGTGACACCGAACAAGTCGGAAAATTTCCGTCTTTTTTGAAGCAAAATTCAACGCCCAAATCGAATCTCGAAATAAATTATTATTAAAAGTTATTCCCATATGATGACGACTTCATGAATGACACTGTATATCTCGCTAAACAGGTGAAGTTTGAACGCGGTCGTCGTCAGAGTGTAAAATTGGAATAGAAACAACTTTTCTTAGTAAACTTTTTCGGAATTCGAACAAATAAGCCTATTTTTCTAGGTATTAATTTGAAAAAATTAAACTTCAAGTCACGTGACACCGACCGAGTAGGAAAATTTCCATCTTTTTTGAAGCAAAACTCAACGTCTAAATCGAATCTCGAAATGAATTATTATTACAAGTTTTACCCATATGATGATGACTTCATGAATGACACTGTATATCTCGCGAAACAAGTGAAGTTTGAACGCGGTCGTTGTCAGCGTGGACTCTCTCAGAAGTGGACTGACACTGAACGAATAAGTAAGACAGTAAGTGGCAAGTGTGTGTTGTAAGTCCATTCGAACAGGTCCATCATTTCAAGACAATCTATAATATTCTACCTGTTGCCGCAAAATAATAAAAATGGAAAGTTTCAAGAAGGTTTTGGTAGTTTTAGTGTGCGTAGGTAAGTTCATTTCGTTCCAGATATTAATTCATTTTCATGCAATATTGTTGCGCTATTTACGATATTCGATCATCAAAAATTGGGTATTATTAATCTTTGACCCTTTACATCAGTTAATTACCGAGGATAATTGAATTTTTGGTAGTATTATTTATCGGTGCTTCTAATAAATATTCATGCTTAATATGTACAATTATTATTTTTATACGTACTTTTATTCAGGTACATATCATGAGTCGGTTAAATTTATTCATAAAAAAGTGAAGATAAAAATACACAACAACAATAAAAACTGCAAACTGCTTTGGTATTTTGTATGTTGTACTTTGAAACTAGATATGGATGATAGACGACAAAGAATCTCTCGTGATCACAAGGTTTTTCGTTGAGTTGTAAAACATGGTAAAACCATGAATTAATAACGAGTTTTTCAGAGGACACCGGAAGATATTTTCAAAGCGAATCAGCTTATCTGTGACTATGTACAGTCATCTTCGCAGAACATGTAGCACATGGACGGTGTCAGCTCTTTGCATTAAGATCGCTCATACGGTCCAACTGCCGCGACCCTAACAACACGAGTACATCCTAGGGGCTTTCCATCAGGGACATCCCTAATTTCATACTAGGACATCCCGGGGATATCCTGTGTCGGGACAAAGTACATACTAGGGACGTCCCAGGGACATCCGCTTTCAGACAAAAAGGACATCCAAGGGATGTCCTGCTGATACGTCCCTGGAATGTACCGAGTACGAAGATAGAATATCCCTAGGACGTCCCAAGGATATCCCAGGGACAACCCTTCGACAATAGACGTTAGCTTATAAGGCACGCACCTTACTCCATTGGCTAATATGCCTTCTGAAGATTCATGTATTGAACAGATTTATAAACAGGACTAAACTACAGAAACCCGAATGAATAAAACTTTGTTAGGATTCGGGTATAATTATTATCATTCTTGGGTGTTTAAAAATGAGGGTTATTGTACATTTACGATTTCTGTTTGCGAAAAATGGTCATTTCTTGAGAAGATTTATTTTCATTACAATAATTTTTCGGAAGAAATACATTTTCGAAAAAATTCGATAAATATTGAAACTATCGCATTGAGTTTGTTCACTGAGGCAGTTAAGGTTAGACTTTTGACAGCTTTATTAATTTCTCCTTTGTCACAAATATGTAAAATTTCTATGTTAGAATTGGGATCAAAAGAGTGTTTGTCATTGATAATATGGTTAGGGAAAACAGTATTGGACTCAAAACAATCTTTTTCAAAATTATTTTCTATGATACGATTGTGTTCCGATATCCTGGTTTTGAACTTGCGACCTGCTTGACCAATGTAGCACACTTTACAATCATCATTTTTACAATCTAATTTATAAAAACCAGATTTTTCTAGAATATCAATATCATCTTTGTGTTGACTAAGGCACTCCTTATTTATAGAGTATTGGCGGTTTCAAGAAATTGAAATTACTGATATTATTGGTATTGCGTTTTTTTCCCAGAATCTTCCTGATGAAAATGTTCTGATTTATACAATGGGTTTTACTAAGTTTCGAAAATAGGAAGTTATGCTGCCGCACCCTGTATATCAAAGAAGATCTGATAAGCGGTAACATTATCAACACAAATATTGTAAATCATTGAGGTTTCTGGTAGACATGTGAATTCATAACACAAATTATTCTCAAGTTATATCATCTAGAATAGTATTCATGGAAAATATTCACTTACTTACGAGATTACTTATTTACAAAGGGGCGTGGATGTTATCACTCGAGAATAATTCGTGTTATGAATTCGAATGTCTACAAGAAACCACAGTTGTGTTGAAAATGTTGCCGCTTCTCAGAATTTGTCTGAAATGTTAAAAAAATGGTTTATTACCAAAGTTGATGCATGATGTTATAACTTTGTGCTAATCAAAATGTTTCAATAAAATTTCGCCATTAACCTGATTGAAGGATGCTGAATCCAGTGGTGGTGTCGAATTTTCTTGAAAAAAAAAAATCACTATGATATGATAATTATTTTAACATAAAAAGAAAACATATAAACTGTGACCAAGATAAGGGGATAGGCATCTCGGAAACTAAGAGAGATACATATTTGGTTCAATGGGAGAAAAAAATCTCTGATTTGACTTCGTTTTTGAGTTTTCCAAGAAACTTAATATCGGGATTTTTCATTTTTTATTCTCGCGTTAATACTGAAGTTATGACAAAGAAGAAATATCTTCATGGCAATTTTTGATGCCATTATCAATTTGGCATCATCGAATTTCTGATCAAAAGTTTCGTTTTTGAGCAACTACCATCAACTTCATTTTTTCAAATACGGCTCTGATACTTCGATATCAGATTCGATCAGCCCTTTCCATTCTGACTCCGACGATATGCTACTTATCGTGGTTTTGATGCGTTTCGACTTCAAATTGGCTATCATCAAGTAATTTCTGGAATACGTACCTGAATTTTTCATAATTCTGTGGAAAAAGGTTCATTTGATCAGATTGAACATTCAACAATGCTACATCAACATCAATACGCATTTTAGAATACGTGAATAATCAATAATTTCATTAACAAATAACATCAGTAAAAAAATAAACAGATGCACTCATCAAAAACTTAAACTATCAGAAACGAAACTGATTAATTCACAATAAGAGATGTTCAAAAAGATTGTCATTGCTTTCTAAGCCTGCATAACATCTTCTTACTGTTGAATTTGAAACAATGTCCAGAATTTCTACCATTATTCTCTGAAATTCTTTATAAGAATCAGTGTTCTGGGTTCTTCTTCTGTTCCGAGAATTATGAGAAATTCAGGTCCGTATTCCAAAAATTACTTGTTGTTGGCCAAAATAAGCTCGACACCCATCAAAAACCACAATATGTAGCATATCGTCGAAATCAGAATTCAAAGGGGCTATTCGAATCTGATAACAAAATATCAGGGCTGTATTTGAAAAAATGAAGATGATGATGGTTACTAAAAGACAAAACGTTGGATCAGAAAATCGATGATGCCAAATTGAAAAGCATCAAAAGTTGTCCTGATTATGTTTGTTCAGTTTTGTCATAACTTCAATATTAGCGCCAGACAAAAATTGAATTGAAAATCCGAAAATTCAGTTTTTTGGAAATAACTCAAAAACGAAAAATTATATCAGAGATTTCTGGAAGTCATTTTATTGGTCCTTCACTCGTGCATCTTTTGTCCCATTTAACAAAATCAATATATTATCTCGTATTTTCCGAGATTCCCATGCTGTCCCTCCTTATCTTGGGCAAAATGACACAATGTATATACATATATGTATGAATAATTTTTTTTTTGGGTTTTCTTCGAATATCTTTAGCCAGAGACGCAAGAAATGGATGAAATGTGGTATACAAGGGTTTTTTATCATGCTAAATTCAAATATGATATTAGTTTTGTGATGACTGATAGAGGGCGCTACATACAGGGTTCCATCCCTATTGAATCGGTCGTAACTTTTTTGCTATACACTGTATGTCATTTCCGTCGGAAAAAATTTGTCATCCCTTCTTTTATACTCAAGGTATACTTTGTCCAAGTCGCTATAGAAGCAATGGTTCTAGTACAAATGCATCTATAAAAGCCGACAATGCACGCAAATTATTCAAAAAGCGCCAAAGTAACTTTTGCAAAAACAATGATAAATACTTCAACAATCACATTTTAATGGTATGATGAAGAATATGATTAATTAGAACAAAACATTAAGTTTTTAGAAGATGTTCAAATTGTTGCCCTTCCCATTAAAATTCAACACCCCGTATCTTTTAACCGAAGGCCTTGCGGACCCATGTTCATAGGAACTTTTTTCCTTATTTTAGTGTCCTCTATTGTGTGGCACTATGCAATGTACTTTTTTCTATGTCACCCTGTATGGATGAGGTAAAAGGAACTTCGATAGTATGATCTTAAACAAATATACTTTCAATTATGAACCACCTCATCCATCCATCATCAAAATGTGTACTTTAATTTTTCATCTACGTGAAATTTTTCTTGAAGGCTATATCAGTTGTCAAGGTTTCAATGACATAGACATCGATGATGGACTGAAGGACTTGCAGGAGAACATCCCGGAATTGGGAAGCCTCAACAGAACCAACTTGCCAAATGCGGAGGACGTAGAAAAAGTTCTGAGGGATAAATGCGCCCAAAATGGGGCTACTGATGCAGTCGATCTCTTGAAGGTATAAATCCATTATGGACTGTTGGCCCGCGACACAGGGTTTATCGATGTTCTAAGTCGGTATGCCATTTAAGGGACCCACTCACTTAGTTAACAGGAAGGAGTGCCTCGGAGAGTCGCAACCCAGTCCTTGCCCCGGCCCTGACCTCACATTTCGGTTGGAAAATATTTCAAAATTTTGTTTAAGAAGAAGCTCGGCAATGAAGTGCAATGATCTTATCTCACGAAAATTGGGGCACTTGCCGCTTTGCATACGCCTAGGTCACTCCCCGAGGGCGGCATACAAACCGGAAGTGGCAATTTTTCAGTGTTATAGCCGATGATCTAAGAATGTATGCCTTTTGGCGAAACAATGAATTCGGACCCATTAATCAGTTTCCCGACATTTGCATACGATTCCGGAGAGGGGAGCTCGACTTGTTCCAAAATTTCTCGCCTCATCCATGGTAAACCATGGACGTATTCGCGAAATTATTAGGCAACAAGCTGTCGTAACAATCGCCGAATATTTCAGGCAAAATAATATATCACCTGTGGTATTATACAGGGTGGGCCACCAGTAACGCCTCGGTCTCTAGAAGGCTAACCACTTATCTTCTTGGAATTCTTCCTCTCTAGGAAGTTGCATGTCAACATAGGCTACCATTTAAAATTATTTCGAAACATACAGGGTGTCCCCAAAAACCATAAAACACTGAAGTTAAACTTTTTTCTATCGAACACCCTATATATTATTTCATTTTGAGATTCTCCCTGATGAGCTGATTTCAACGACCCATCATACTTGGGGTCTAGCAGTTATAATTACTGAAATATAGGGTGTGAAAAATCGAGATTTTCCAAGTTCAAGAATTTTTTGTGTCGAAACTATTCATAATTGGTCAAAATGGCTTACATGTCCCTATCTCAACTTTTGATTAACTATCTACTGATATTTAATTGGGACATACACCGGGTGATCAAGATTCTGAATTCTGCACCACCTTGTATTTTCGTCGTTGAAATCAGCTCACCAGGGAGAATCTCAAAATGAAATAATATATAGTGTGTTCGATTCAAAAAAGTTCAACTTCAGTGTTTTGTGATTTTTGGGGACATCCTGTATGTTTCAAATAATTTCAAATGGTAGCCTATGTTGACATGCAACTTCCTAGAGAGGAAGAATTCCAAGAAGATAAGTGGTTAGCCTTCTAGAGACCGAGGCGTAACTGGTGGCCCACCCTGTATATATGATAATTTTATAGGGCAGGAAATTTCAGTTTTAATCTGCCAGACTTTAATAGGTCACAATACTCCTCAAAACAATGAGAACAGTTCAACAAAGGTTTGAAGAAGCTTCGTTTTCAGTATACGGAGTGTTGAAACTTTTCAAATAGTCGTGTTTTCTAATTAACCCTCGAATTTTCCCTTGTTACCCAGTTAAAGTAATAACTAAGTTTCGAGACCAAAGTAAGAATTTAACGAAATATTATTGAAAAAAAAATGCGGTCAAGCTATCAGATTGTTATTTTTGAAGCATCGTCGAGCTATCAGATTGTTATTTCTGAATTATCTTTGGTTTGTAAAGCGATAAACATTTTTCCCCACGTGTTTACTATTTTTTCAGTTTTCTAATCTAAATAATCTACAACATAATACACTTCTCCAAAAAATTAACGCACCCCCAAAAAGTGGCCAGAATTTTAGGAAACATTTTCGTCAAAACGACTTGTCCGATTTGGACGTTTTCTAATTATTTTTAATTAAAAGCTTTCATTTAACTTGCAATGTATGTTATATATATTGTTAGTTCGGGTGGAATCTTTGAACTCAATTTTGAAGTAGATATCATATTTTCAGGCAGAACAAGAAAATGCAAAACTATGCATAGAGGCCTACGTGAACGTGACTGTAGTACAAGAAGAACTGGGAGAAGCTGAAAAATCCGGTTCGATGGACGAAGTTTTCGGAAAATATTGCAAACTCTGGCCCGATATGTACGCTTGTTTTGAGAATGCCACTAACATTGCCAGACAGTGTATGGCTGGACAAGAAGAGACTTCTTTCAACCGAAGTTTGGTCATTTTGAATGATCTACAAGAATTCGTGTGCTTCAAAGATGGAGATAGATTAGCTAGTGAGTCATTAATTGCCTTTATATTAAGTTAAATTATCAAATTTAATTATTAAAATGAGCGCATGGAACCAGTAACAAAGCCTACAAAGAACTCAACACAAGGGCTTCTCGTAAGGTCGTTGTTATAGAAGGTAGAGCCTTACGGTTTTCACGTTCCTCTCCTGTTTTTTTATTTGTGAAACTCAATATTTTCTTGATATAAAATTACCTTCTTAATCGGTTTCTGAGTAGTGCTTACTACACACAGACATATAATTGGAAATAGGTTTCCCAATTTTTGAAATATTCTCCACAATGCTTTGCAACTGCGGAGAAGCTGTGTATTGATAAATTCGTACTTTTATATATTGATTACACTGAGGCACCGAACAACACATCTTGCATCTGATGGTCATTATTACAAACTAAATAAGTCTTCTAACACAATAAACTTCACCAAATTCCTTTCTGTTCGTTAGCAGCGTGATGTAAGCGTGACACGCTGCAAACGCGAATGCCAATTGCAAACAAGAAGAACAAAATCGAAAACAAATCAGAATTCATCGTATTGTGACGTAAGCATGAGACGTTGTGGTGGGGCAAACAAAGAAAGGGCACAAAAGAAAAAAAAACAATACTTTCGATATCCTTCTAAGACCTCTTTGGGAGGTGCATATTACGCCTCGAAAAAACATCCTCATGGCTATTATTTCTGAAACATCCCAAAACATCCCAGGGATACCTATCAGTAGGCAAACAAAGCAATGCCACAGAAGAACAAAAACAATACTTCAATATCCTTCAAAGACCTCTTTGGTCAGTGCATATTACGTCTCAAAATAACATCTTCATGCCAACATTTTCAAAACATCCCAAAACATCCCAGGGATGTTTGTGCTCGCTGGGGTAGATATAGAAGGGGTCTAAAAAGTATGAATTTTCAAAATCGCTCTGTGTCTCATAAACGAAAACAGTTATGCAAAATCTTATCCTATTCCCGTACTAGATAGAACAAGATAGGAAGCAACGCCAACCATTTAAGTTTTTCAGAAAAAAATTGAATCACCCAGTTAAATTCTCTGTTTGCGAGGCACAGGACATTAAGAAATTTGTTTTTAGTGTTTGTCGCTGAAGGTGGCGTTGAATGCGTGAAAGAACGGAAAGATGAAGTCCAAAGATGTTTCAACGAGACTTTGGGATCCAGGATTCCGAATTCCGATGAACTTTCAATCACCAGTTTGCCTACGTTCATGTTCACCCAGAGAGATTGCGAGTAAGTATCAATGACAGACAAATCACCTAGAATTTATCTGGTTGATTTCACTAGGGTGTTTTTTTTATTCTTGATGCCATTATGAATTTACCTCAAATGAAAACGTATTAAATGCTATAGACACTCAATTGTTAATTGAGTAGATGAAATGATTCATAGTTTCCACAACAAAGTTGTCAGCATCTCTCATCAGCTGAATATTTCAAAACACACTAATCTGATTAAGTTCAAGTTTCTGACTGAGACATTTTCAAGGCACTTTTTTCCTTCCAGTCAGAAATGTCTAGGTCTCTTGGTTTCCGCTTGAAGAAATAAAAACGAAAATTATAAATCCTCGTTTTCTTCCAATGATTCGAAAACTAAAAATGACACATCAAATTTTCTTGCAGATATATGTTCAGCATGAAATGCGCAACTGTACCCTAGTTTAACCGACCTCGTATCTCTTATAATAACTGAGATCCCCATGGTGGAGCTCGAAAAACGGGCACCCTGTATATCTGAAATTTGGAACATCGAATATGCTCCTAGAAATGATTTCAAGTTTTGATTTTCAAATGGAACACGATTTATTTTATTCCATATTTGGTTAGAGATTAGATTAGAATATTGGGTTATTTCAAACGATTTCGCTTTCGAAGTTTCCATATGATCAATGGGTGTGACGGCGCAATATCGAAACTTCTATCTCTGTCACACTTATTCATATGGAAACTTTGAATGCAATTATCTTCGTAATCGTTTGATATAACTCGATCAAACCCGTAATCGTTGAATATGTTATAATAATCACTAACCAATTATGAAATAAAATATAGGGTGTTCCATCTGATAATCGAAAGTTGATGTCATTTCCAGAAAAACTGGAAGATGAAGAAAAATCCTAGAATGTGAGAAAGTGCCCTCTAGTGAACATATTCGATGTTTCGAATTTCAGAAATATAGCTAGAAAAACAAAAGAGAAAAGTATACTATGAGTCTGTGTTACCCGGTATATTGGATCTAACTTTCAAGTTTAATTCCTGAATAAATCTAGAAACTGATCTCTTATGCGTCTACCTTGTATGTCATGGCTGTTTCCAAATTTTTATTAATTATTTTCTAAATTTTTCAGTGATTTTGATAAAGTCCGCACTTGCATCAACACAGAACTAGAAAAATGCAAGGAAAGCACTCCTGCCAACATTGTCGATGCATTCTTCAAGTTTTTGAAGAAACAAATGCCTTGCGAGAAAACGACTCCTTCGGATGAGAAAATCGCGTCTCTGGGAAAATCTGAGAAAAGGAAAACTTCTACCAGTTCCTCTAGTACATTCTCAGTAACTCTTTCAGTATTCATTTTTACAATTTCTTGTGTCAGGTTTTTCAGATGATTGTTTGTATTTTTTAAGACTGAACTCGATATGTTTCCTTTAGAGGATTCTCAGTTTAGCTGGTTTTTACTGAAAATGATACCGGTGGTGCTCTGGTGCTCAAACATATCTTGAGAATTATTATTTGGATTAGCTGATGCAACTATGTATCGATAGGTACTTCTGTTTTTCATTTTATACTGATACTTGATTTCATACATCGTTTTTATATGTCGTTTCTCAATCATGAGTTGGAAACAAAACTAAAGAATCATATGTGATATTTGTGTAGGTTCTATAATAGTAGATATCTGGAAACTTGTATTAATTTGACTTTTATAATGGATGATGTGGAATGTGGAAATAAATGATGATTTAAAAGATATCCGATATTGACATGATTTTCGTGAGATAAATAATTCCGAAGAGTTATATTATTTGTTTCATCCACTTGCCCAATTGAGAGAGTAGGTGAACCCTCAGAAACTCAAAAAACGCCTGAAATGTTTTTATTATTGAGATAGGTACACTGAGAAAAATTCCTATTAACCATAGTCAGAAATCGAATTACCCCAGCAAGAAACTCTAATAGCATAGGGGACAAGCGAGTTATCACCTGTGATTATAAAGTCGACTTTGCTGATTATAACCCACCTGCGATGATTAGATATAGAACCTTGCTGCCACTAGCGAGTGCATCAGTATATTGCTATTAGACGATGTTTGTGTAGTAGGTATCTAACTTTGCTACCGCTAGTGAGTGCATCTAATAATGGGAGTAGGGCAATGTAATAATCGTAGGTAGGGAACTTTGCTACTTTTGATGGGTGATCATATACAGTGTGACCCACTTCTAATGGAACCACCCCTGTATCTTACGTAATCGTTGGGTAAGGATCCTGAAATTTACTGGAGCGAGAGATATACCAAAAATGCACTCTATGACCAAGTGGGATCATCTTCAGTTATATCCACTGCTCGCCAACAGTCATGAAACTACCACAATTTCCGGATATTAGGAGTCAAAATAGGTCGAAAATCACTTCAGATTTGGAATCAGGACGTCCAATTTACTAACTATTCGAATTTTTCCTGGAAAATTTTCAGTTCGGAAAAATGAAATTTTGTCGCATTTTTTATGGAAGCACCCCCGTATCTCACGTAATTATTGAGGTAGGGTTCTGAAATTTGCCGGAGGGAGAGAAAGTCCAAAGATAAAGTCAATTACGTGAGATACGGGGGTTCTTCCATAAAAAATGCGACAAAATTTCATTTTTCCGAACTGAAAATTTTCCAGGTAAACTTTGAATAGTTAGTAAATTGGGCGTCCTGATTCCAAATCTGAAGTGATATTTTCGACCTATTTTGACTCCTAATATCATTTTCCGGAAATTGGGGTAGTTTCATGGCTGTTGGCGAGCAGTGTATATCACTGAAGATGACCCCACTTGGTCATAGAGTGCATTTTTGGTATATCTCTCGCTCCAGCAAATTTCAGGATCCATACCCAACGATTACGTAAGATACAGGTGTGGTTCCATTAGAAGTGGGTCACACTGTAGATAGTTGCATGACCTTTTTACTGTAGTTATTCAGTTATTTTCCAGAATTGTTGTCATCAAGAAAGGTGAAATTTTGACTGATATCCAATTTCACATCCCATAATTTCCACCCTGATGTTTGGTATGAACAGCAATTTATTGATTCCTAAAGTGAATTTCGGACCAATGATCTTTTAAATTCATCTGATTCATGCACCCTCAGGAAAAAACAATAGGTTTTTGAGTAATTGATGAAAAGAAGAATTTTTCTGAAACTTTCTGAAACCATTGTATTTCGAAAACTAGTCAAGTTATTACAGATGCGTACAGGAAAACAAAATGTTACCAATAAACTCATTCAAATAATTTCATAACCTGGACATTTTTGCTCACAATAAGTTTTCAGACCACATTCTATAGAGAAGTTCTGTAATATGAATGTAAAATATTTGAATTTCAGTCGAAATACCTCACAAATTTAAGTTTATCATTCCATCAATCCTGGTAATAACTGAAGCACTCAGATCTACGGAAGCACTGAAAGGGACACAAAAGATTTTTTTATTTGTTCAAAAATGTTTCCATTTTATATTTGAATTCAGATTTTAAATAATGAATTGAATTCAACTTATTGTCGTTTGATCTTTTGATTGAAAGAACAGAAAATGTTCATCAGGCATATCCCGAATTTATTTATGTCTCCCAACCCTGATCAAGGAGTATCTGTTTCTTTCTTCATGGAAAACGTTCATCTTTGATACCCTCATATATTGTTCATTTAAAAATAATTATACACTTTCCTAAACGCTTGAATAAGATTGTACGATCTCATTTTTTATTGACGCCTAAATTACAGCCTTTCTCCCCCAAAATTAGCCCCTGTTATTATGTTATAACCATATCTGATTGGCCCATCCTGTGACGAATTAGAAATATAGGAACTGATGAGAAAGGTAGATGTATAGTCTATGATAGGTAGGTATACAAGAAAGAAATCTACCCTACACATAAGGACCGAAAAAAGTATTCACACCTACCTCCTCTCCCTATCCTCCCAAGTTACGCACGATGTTCCACGAACATATTATAGGAATTTCCTCTCGTGCGCTCCAAGAGATAAAAAAAAGTTTTAGGTGCATATGATAAATGATACGATGATTGTTGAATTTTTTATAAATAGAACAAGTTGATGTTGTTCAGATTTTTTTCTTGAAATTACTCCGATTTATCTTCTCGAACAATAGGTCTCTGATCTTTTCGTTAATCCTTTGATTACAATTTTAGACAGACACTCTGGATAGTTAAGTTAAGTAAATGTTAGTGACAACGTTAATTTTGAAGATGAACTGATTTTTTAACCTTCCGAAACAAAAATGATGAAATTAATCCTTTGATTACAATTTTCGACAGACACTCTGGATATTTATGTTAAGTAAATGTTAGTGACAACGTTAATTTCGAAGATGAACTGATTTTTTAACCTTCCGAAACAAAAATGATGAAATTAATCCTTTGATTACAATTTTCGACAGACACTCTGGATATTTAGGTTAAGTAAATGTTAGTGACAACGTTAATTTTGAAGATGAACTGATTTTTTAACCTTCCGAAACAAAATTGATCCTTCAACATTCTTGGACCTCGGATATGGGTCAAATTTCAATTTTGATGGAGCATTTTTCAACTAAAGTAACATAGATTTACTAAATAGAGTACAGGGTGAGTCGGCTTTGGGGAACATTGGATTCACAGGTTATTTAATGATCAATTGACTACGAAAATATTATGTGAAGAATAATAATTATTATTATAGTATTGTAGAAATGTATCATCAATATACGAGTTGATGGAATGTTCAACTGATTAATAAGTTATACAATGCAATACGGTGATTCATTTTGGAGCCACGCATTCCTAGACGGGATGATAAAACTGATAAAAGTCAGTATTCACTGTGCAGGGTAACGAGTCGGTCGAAGTGAATAAATTGTTAAAGCTCTAAGTGTTTGATTCGTTAAAAAGACATATTATAACAATTAGCAGAAATTGAAATAATACATGTTTCATTGAAAAAAATTGGCCCAAAGATTAGAATTGACATATCCAAGGTTTCCTCAGAAATGATTATGCTTTGGGAGATGAACGAATTTTATTCTGAGAATTCGAAATATATAAAAGTGAATGCAATTTTTTCACATTTCTCAGTGCATCTATTTTTTTTATTTAATAGTTAATATCAAGATTACTCACCTCATCATTCCATCATCATCAGGCCTTCTCTGAAGTAGCACAACAAAACAATGGAGAGCAGAATAGAGCTAGCAAATAGGCACATTCCTCCCAAAGAAATACTCTGAAATGAATAGGAAAATAGTGCAAGTATAGGAATTGTAATAATAACAACTACGAAATAGCCACAATGCTCAAAGTGGAATGAAATGTAAAATAAATACAAAAAGCTCAAAGTCATTTCCACACAATGTTCATAAAATGAACCACAATGGTAGTTCTCGGGAGAAAAACAATTACTTTCTGGCTAATACCACGCAGAACATTCAATTACATCCTCCCGGAATCTATGCGTCGACTCGTGTAAACGAATACTGATACAAATGATTCTTTCCTTTATGCCTATTGATTTCGATTTAGCCAGACCACGCTAGACACCTACAGTTCCGAGCTCTTTGACTCTCATCAGTGCAGGGCAGTCTCCAGCCAGCTGACTGAGCGTAGCCTAGCCAATCAAAAATCAAGTCGGCATTATATCCCCTCAGAGGCGTCCTCCATAGGCAATATGAGAGCAAAGCCATCTGAGAAGAAAAGAAACACTCCAAAATCAAAATTCCCATACGAGAGTGGCTGGTTGCCCGACTGGCGTAATTTCAACTACGAAATTGCCACAATGCTTTGAGTGGAATGAAATGTTAAATAAATACTCCAAATCAAAATTCCCATACGGGAATGTTTTTCAAGGCTACGCTTAGTCGGCGGTCTCAAGACTAATGAGTGTCAAAGAGCTCGAGACCGGTCTGTAGGTGTCTAGCGTGGCTTGGCTAAATCAAAATCGATATGCTTCCAGGGCAGCATCACTTCTATTAGTATTAGTTTATACGAATCGATAATCGATGCATAGATTTCGGGAGGATGTAATTCAATGTCTGCGTGGCATTAGCCAGGAAAGGAGTTGTTTTTCACCAGAAATCTACCATTGTTGTTCATTTCATGAACATTGTATGGAAATAACTTTGAGTTTTATGTATTCAATTGTGATAATGTATAAGTACCTTAATCAACCTGTAACTTGTACAACCCAGTAAACCAGCAGTCAAAAAGATGTGCACAAACGTGCCGAATTCAAGTGGCTCGTTGACCATTTCGGACATACTGAAATGAAAATCAAATGATGAATTACCAAAAAAAAAAACTAAGAACTATTAACTATTACTTAGAATAAAACGAATGAAACATATATGCTTTTCTACTGACGAGAGATTCCGTCGACATTGAGGACATACGAGGATCTTTGTACTCGCGAGATTTTTTTCAAATCTCTTGAAGCGTACGAAATGGAATCCTTATAATGTTCGAAGAACATCGTGCGTACCTGGGAAGAAGAGGGAGAGTAGGTAGGTAGTGGATTTTTTCCTTAACTTTTGGAGGTTATTGGTTCTTGAGAATACTTCCATTGGCAAGGAATTTCAAAGCTTTGCCGTTCTATAGACGAACGAGTTTTGGTAAAGTGTTGCTCGACACATTTCAAGGTTGACAACAAAATGATGTGCTGACTGGGCTTGTCGAGTACTTGACTGGTATTGCTAGTGCTGGAATAATAGCAGATATTTCTGAAGAACATTTCCCGTGGAAGTATTTATGGACAAGTGAAAGGTCGACGACTTCTCTACGGCGTTCTAATGAAGTCATAGGATTAGTGAGTGTGGCAGGCCACCAGGCGAATGGCTATTCTCTGGATGGAGTGCATCAGTGTATATGTTTAGGTGCTGAACCCAATGTGTGGGAACAGTATTCTAGAACAGGCCATATCTGTGCTTTGTAGATCATGAGAAACTGTTGAGGTGTAAAGTTGATTTTCGCACGGAACAAAAATCCCAGTTTTGTAAAGCAGCAGCATGAGTATTGCTGATGAAAATACCGAGCATCAATATATTGTTCTTTGTGGAAATGGCGGTACCAGACATTGTCATATCAGGCATACTGATCGAGTTCCGATTTTCTAGAGAAAATACAGGCTTGGGTTTCGGTGGCGTTGAATTCAACTAGGTCGTAATTCTTATATTCGCCATTTTACTTGGAATGACAGATATGAAAGCATACTTCCAATGAAAATAATGTTTCCGCTAACATACCGAATCGTTGCTTTATGGTATTCAACGGCAAAACAGAATGCTTCTTTTCTTCCTGTGTCCATTTTTTGACATAACGCGAGTAGCAGAATATGTTTGACTTGTCTGAATTTGACAAGGAGGTGGTCCACTGTTTCCATGACATCGAGGATTACCACTAAAAAATATATCTATTACGTAACAAGTCTGAAATAGTAAGTATAATGTTTAACGAGCTCGGAATGATAGTCATTTCCCACGAGAAATAAACTTACAAGTGGAAAATTAACATTTATACACTATACTTTTTCTACAGCTGTAACCGATAACAGCGATTTTTTTTATTTCTTCGGCTTGTAGCCATCTGCTTTTCTCTTAAGTAATGCTCATGTATTAGACAGAGCTGTCATTGCTTGTAATTTGACATTTAATGAAGATTTTGTGAAATGATAACACAATGACGTGATATCATATAAAGAAATAAAATTAAACAAGAACAATTTTGTGTTATACTTAGTCGTAGAAAAGTTACAAGTAGACAAGATTCGACGAAAATATGTATGTACAATACACAGTGTTTTACCACTAACCAAACCGATTTTTTACACCTCGACACGAGTTTTGCTAACTATGTTAGCATCTTCAGGAGATGATTAAAATTGAATGCTCTATCCTAGTGGGCTACTTAAATACTAAGAATATTTCCACCCAACCGTGAATATAGACAATAACCGCCAAGTTGATGTTATTCAGGTTTGTTAATCTGTGGTTGAGTTCACATGTTATATTACTAAACCATACAGAGAGTTAAATGGGATAGGCCCATTATCCTTATTCATCACTCTATTACTATTCTTTAATATCTCTAAGCTTTCATATGCATCTATAATTTTCTATCATTATTAACCTGCTTAAGCTTAACTAATTTGAGGTTATTAATATTTGTGTTATGATTGTGATTGAACATGTGTTCGGCTACACACGATTTATCTAACCTACCATATTTCAAATGTGCTAAGTGTTCTTTGAACCTTGTTTTTATGGGACGCCTGATTTGTCCTATATATGTTATATCACAAACATTACAACTAATTTCGATATATCAAGAATGTATTTCTTTATACCCATTTTTTTCTATTTTGTGAAAATGGTAGACTTGGCATTTCACATTTAGTCGATTATGTCAAGAAAAAAAATTCTTGGATATTGAAATTGTTTTTGCGATTACGTGCTCAGTTGTGGTGGGTAAATTTGTGTAGAGACTCACCTATGATGTTTTTCATCGAGTGCATACTTGGTCCCAAAACAATACTGATTATGGACATCAGTAAATGATATTTGAAGAAGATTTTCCTGGTTTTCTCCAAATCTTTTTCTGGAGGACATATCGCTCGCCTCAAATACTTCAAAGAGATTTCTAACAACACAATTTTAAAAATATTCATCATCATAAGTTGTGAGTTAGCAAACGGAGAAGCAGAAAAAAACTACATTCTCTATATTATCGTGTACCGCCTTTTTTATCCCTGAAGTATGGATGCTCCTCCCACCTTCTTCTGGTATCAATAAAAAAATACCGATTTCATTGGTTATTTAATTGTCACATATTCCTCGGAATGGAAATTAATAATAGATTGTGGAATATTCTACTACATTATTGTACGTAGTGAATATCCCTTCAGATAATTGAACGTCCCATTAATACACAGGGTGTTTCAAAAATATGTTGACATCTCTATATTTGAAATATGTTATTTTTGAGATTTTCATTAGAAATCGATAGGTTTTCATGAAAGAAACACTCCTTATTCATCAAAAAGCAGAAGTTGATTTACGAGTAGTTATTGATATACAGTATGATGCAAATGTATGGAATAAATTCATTTCAAAACAAGACGACTTCCGAAAAAAATCCAAAAACTATAGTTCAGATCTTTTTTTATTGTGTATTTTTTCAACTAGACGACCCTTCGATGTTCAATTCTCAGTAGCAGACCTCTGCAAGATTCAGTTAACCAAATGATAATCCATTTTAATTGCAATATTCTTATGCAAAATTTTGACTGTTGGATAGACGATCAGTAGACCTTTCAAACGAGGTGTCACATGACCCCTGCTTGTATTTGAAAAAATCGTCCATTACGTCATTACTTCTACACGTGTTTTTGGAATTTCTTCAAATGTCGCTCATTTCTGAAATAATGAATTTATTCCATACATTTGCATCATACTGTATATTATTTCAAGATTTCAGATCGAAGAAATCCTTGATAGGAAAACATTTCAGGTAAGTATAATATGTTAGGTATGTAAAAATTCCATCACAATATTTCGATACGAAAATTTTAGGTAAGTTCGAAATCATTGTTAGTCAAAAAGAACAATTGAAGGTGTATTTCTATGGATCATTATTAACAATATCATTTTGAATGATCATATGCAAACATTGCAATTTTTACTCAGTGAGATGGTGTAGAAAAATAAATAGTTGATAATTATTGCGCTGTCCAGTTATTTACATGGTCTGCTTCAACAATGTTATGTAAGAATAGGACGTTTTGAGGATCTAAAAAAAAATCATATTATTATTATTCACCATATTTCGACCACCCTCTCGAGGGATATGATAAATAACCGTGTACAAGGTGATTACTTCAACTGATACTAACCGTCACTATAGTTGAATACCTCATAGTTCCAAAAGGTCCAGCTCTGACCAGAACAGGTTTTTGACATCTCATCATCACTATCATCAAATCTCTCTGCAAATCTTTTTCCAGATTATACCAATCCATCGAGTAAATCACATCACTAACTGAAGTGCTCTAAAATATGAGTAGGTATACTAACCTAAGTATACAGGGTGTTAGTGAAGGAGTGCGGCAAACTCCAGGGGGTGATTGCTTGTGATAGTTTAAAATAGTTATTTATTATACAAGGGAAAAAAGTAGTAGATTTTAGCTCCAGGTTGTGTTGTCTCCCGACGCGTAGCGGAGGGAGACAAAAAACCGTGAGCTAAAATCTAATATTTTTCTCGTGTATAATACACTATTTTTTCTGTGACAGAAGAAAGGACGAATCAATATTGAGAAGATATTACATTATTTTGAAATCTGAAAATTATCGACGTGAAATTTTTAGTTTTTAACAGTAGGGACACCTGTGTTGTAGGCATCTTTATCATTCTTTTGAAGTAATCAAATATCTGATGTCACTTCTGTCAGTCTAATTCATTGATTTGATTTCAAAAAATTGCGAATTTAGTGGTTGTTTGGTAATATACGTAACCGCGAAGTCGAATGGAAGCTAAAAGGACTTGCAGTCTCGCTTGCAGTTCTTTCTCGGAGACGGTATTATTGACTCATTTTTCGGAACTATAGCACAACAAAAGCCATCAACAGTGTATATATATGTGATATATATCCGGGAAAAAAGTACTAACTTTTTTCCCACGGGAAAAAAGTAATTTTTGAAAAGTGACATTTTATAACCTGCCAACAGAGATGAAATGCCAAACTTTTTTTCCGTCACAAAAAAAAAAGGTTTATATAAACATGTGTCCTAACTCGCTTCGTTTTCGAGATACAGCAGGGTATCAATATTTCCATAAAAATTCGTTGTTTTAATCATTCTGCCGTGCTAAGCAAATTGATCGTATCTGACAAATTATTGATTCTGAGATATTGCCGTTTTTTAGTTTCGATCATACCATCATCCATGATTTCTATGTGAAACTCCAAATAATCTGCATGAGAGCTTTTTTCGATATCATGAATTATATCATCGATGATATGCATGCCATTGTTGAATTACTTTTTTTCCACAAAAATCGTTGTAGTGTTACATTCCTTGTAGATACGACAAATTTGCTCAACATAATGTTCGATACGACATTATTTGAGCTTCTGGTAAATGTCAGATACGACATCTGAGCTTGGTGAAGTGTTGCAGATATGACAAATTCAAAACATAATTTGGGCTTTCATTTTAGCCGCTACGACTTCGAAACCTTACCAGAAGATGTATGCGTGTTTCGATATAAAATAAATATAATTTTCTCAATCTCGACGAAGATGACAGGTACGACATTTTTGCTTAGTACGGCAGCATTACCCAAATAACTTTCTACCAATATCAATGAAACTTAGTGATTTCGTTGAATGTAACATGGAGCTTTTTTTGATGTAACCAAATTCAAAATAATATTTCCAGTGGAATTCTACTTAATTTTTAATGAACAAAAATCAGGTCGCATAATCAAAAATCATAACATACCCCATCAGTTAATCTTTGTCCTCCTCTACAAACAATGAATGTGGAAAACATCCATCCAAAAAAGAGACTAGTAGAGTCCAAAGGAATTTCCTAAATAATCAAGTACCTAATAAGGTTTTCGTTCTAAACACCATCAGATATATGGATTTCAATCAAAGTATGAATGTTCATTTAATATATTCGAATATTAATAAACTCACTGTCAGAAATCTAAATCCAGCAACACCCAAGACTGGGCCTGTCAAACTGATATGAACCACCATACAAGGACTGAAGCATTTGTTCAACAACTTTCCCATTCTGAAATTGATAAAGTAGAAACTAATTATTCATGCACGAGGTTTCATTCTATTGCTAACCCAAAGTCAATTGGAGCGCCTCGAGCAAAGAATGTCGGCCACCTGCACGGACTTCAAACGAACTTCAAACGAACCGACACCGCACGGCGTATGGTTTTTGCTGGAGGCGCTCCAACTAACTTTGTATAGACTATATCAGTCTATAGGGTGATTGAGGTTTCAAGGTACAGACTGAAATGGGTGATAGATCTCCTCATTTTGATCAAAGGAGTTTATATAAACTTGAGTCAGGTCTCGATCATTAGCGGAGCTATAGAGGGGGTTATAGTTTAATTATTTTTTCCTAATAATTAAAATATCTCGCTCACTTTTGAAGACATCAATTTGAAATTTGGTGTGGTTAATACTTCCTAGAAGATCATCATTCGAGATTGTTGAATATTTTTGATATTTACATGGTTATATACGTTTTCGGTGGTGAAGGCTTCTTTATAATCTCCCCCAAACATTTTCGGAGAACACCTCTGACATTTTCCAGTTATCATATTGGTTGTTGGATTATTCAATGGGCTTATATCACAAAAAATTTTCATTTCATAATTCAATAGAACTCACCCAAACTAGCTCACCATCGCAAACCGTTTCTTGCTGTGAGCCTATGTATTGATAAGAGTTTTGATCTATTCTTTTGTTCATATACGGTGGTATATATTTGTTTCGTCTTGTTTCGTAATTATGAGTATATTCATTATCTGTTTGAATTTGTATAAAACACAGCGCAGTTTACTCACTAAGAAAGTCATGTGCTTGTCCCAATGGAGATGACTGGCCATCATTATGCCCAGATATTTTATTTGGGTTTTAGATTTTATTTGCAAGTTGTTGTCGAGATCGATACTTTGGAATGGAGGTTGAGAAGATGAGCTGTGAAATGGTAAGTAGGATGTTTTTTATAGTTGATGGATAAGAGTCTGTTATCAAACCATGTTAATAATTTATAAAGATGACTATTCATTTTTATATTTAATTCAACCCAGTTATCACCTTCATAGAGTATTACCGTGTCATCGGCAAAGCTGACTAGATGAGCTGTCCCTTGATTAAGGAAAACGTTGTTCAGGTATATAACGAACAGCAAAGGCCCTAATACAGTACCCTGGGGCACGCCGCATGATATAGGTTGCCTTCCACTTAAGTGATCATTGACTTTAGTTTTTTGATATCTGTTTGTTTTGTATGATCTCATAAGTTCATTTGCCGTGCCCCTAATACCAATTTCTTCAAGCGTATCCAATAGTATATTATGGTTTACCGTGTCAAATGCCTTTGCCAAATCTAAGAATATCCCTATAGATGCCTTTTTATTATCAATTGCTCTGTACATTTTGTTTGTTATGTGTCTTATGGCATCTCCAGTAGATTTTTTTTGTCTAAAACCATATCGACTGTTGGATAGTAAATTATTTTTTTCTAAGAAAACAGTAAGCCTTGCTTTTAAAACCTTTTCCAGATCTATCACCCATTTCAGTTTATACCTCAAAACCTGAACCACCCTGCATAGTGAGCACCTACTCTATGACCGCCTTGTGATATCGTATAGCCGCATGGATTTTTTCCCTTCTCAGCAGAGGATTTTTTTCGGCAGCGGCTGCTACGAAAACATCACCTACATGCTCGAATCTGACCACCAGATGTTCAATCGTTTCCATGATCACGTACGATATGAAGCCAGCACTTTGATAGACCAGAAATGATGAATATACCTGAAGAATTGCAAGAGAGGATGAAACAAATCCACAAACTGAAAAATTTGGCTTAGAGATGTATAGAAATGTAACTGGTGCGCTTTTGCTCCCAATTGAAGGTCGTTTGCAAGTTTCTCGATGGCGCCTACTCTGATAAACATACTTGACGTGGGTAAATCTCGCTAAGCTCATCCTGGTTACAATCCATATTTACAGGAAACATATTACCGACCGATAAATATTTGGATACGTATATGATTTGGATCAGAGCAGTGAACTGATTCCTGATCAAAGGATCGAATCACGTAGTTTCTAAATTTTGTGTATAATACCTAATCCACCATAGAAAAAAGAAAATCTCTGTTCTACAACAGTATTATTTCAGTGATTTGAAATATTAGCGTGAACTGGTGTGAATAAATTCTAAGGTGAGTACCAGTTACCATATCTGCCTATTATGATTTTCGATATTGGTCTATTTCAATAGTTGATACATTCTTTGTTGTGGTTCTTCAAAGAGGAAATTCATCAGATTTCATGCTTTAAATAGGTTCATGTCATGAAAGAAGTGAAGCTTATTAAAATCGGCTACAAAAGAGATTTCTTGCTTCTATTTCAAATTGAAATTTGAATGAAAATGTTGAGCACAGTATTTATTCGACCACAGAACAATGATGGAAATAGATTCATCCCTCACACAGAACCAAGGTTTTGAACGATTTTCCGATTATGGCGCCTCTATCGCAAATACCTGAACCCCACGTCCAAAACTCGCTTGCAATTGTTCCATATCGAGAGTTAGTCTGACGAAACAATTGAAGAGTGAGCCCACCAGTTAAATTTCTATACATCTCTTTTGGCTTTGTTATCAAACAGCGCTCGACCAAACAGCGAGAGACAAAATTGCTTGGGACAAAATAGCGCTTGGACATTTCACAGAGGGTCGAAATCGACTTTTGGGAATGGGACCAAATAGCCCCAAAACGTCAAAACGAATCGTCACGTTTCTCGGTCGGAAAAATGTGGTGCTATTTTGATCCATGAAGGATACAAGTGCAGAAAAGATAAGGTACATCTCAGTAGTTTCGAGAAAATCGCAATTGTGAATTCAAGTCATAATAATTTGAATCTAAAGTGGATGTCTCAAGAATATGAAATGGTAGCCCTGCCATAGTAGTTTTCTATTCACTTCCTAAATTGTACAAATTTAGAAAAAAAACTTTTGGTAAAAAATTATTTTGTTCGGACTTGTTACACTAAATTATACAGGGTGATCCACGGTGGTTGACCTATTAGAAGTATCTGGAGAACGGAAAGACAGAACATTCTGAAAATTGGGATGCTTTGATAATTGAACATTCTCTATCCGTCTAAAATATTTTCATCGATACAGTGTTGCCACTTCAGAAACAACTAGTAATTTTGTTATTTCAAATGAAACACCCTATATTTTATTGCATTTCCAGATTCATCCTGAAGAGCTTATTTCATCAATGCATCACACTTGGGGTCTAGCAGGAATGATTACAGAGATATAGGGTGTTCAAAATCGAGACTTCTCAATTTTAGGATTTTTTTGTGTCGAAGCTATTCATTATCGATCAAAACGGCTTTCATGTTCCTATCTCAACTTTTGATTCAATATCTACCGGAATTTAATTGGAAAAAATACAGGGTGCTTCAAGATTCAGAATTCTGATCACCCTGTATCTGTTCCAATTAAATGTCAGTAGAAAGTGAATCGAAAGTTGAGGTTGGGACATGTAAGCGGTTTTGATCGATAATGAATAGTTTCGACACAAAAAAAATCTTAAAATTGAAAAATCTCGATTTTGAATACTCTATATCTCTGTAATCATTCCTGATAGACCCCAAGTGTGATGCATTGATGAAATCAGCTCTTTAGTAAGAATCTAAAAATGCAATAAAATACAGGGTGTTCCATTTGAAATAACGAAGTTGGGGCCCACTTCCAGTACAACCGGAAGTGCCACAATCTTCAAAATATTTTAGCCGGATTGCACTTATCAACAATAGTGAACTACCAAATTTTCAAATTCGGCCCACCTATGGTTTTCTATATATTGATCGATGCAGTTCCCGGAGGGACACCCTGTATATAGGTACTCCATGATCCCGACCAAATAGAAAACTAAGGGGGGTTCCTCTCATGAACTCAATTCGGAACGTGACCGATATACAGGGCGCTAAACTAAAGTAGATAACATCCCGATCGACATACAGGGCGGTACATTTTTGGGTACCTATCCTGTCCAAATTTTAATATCCACAGAATCCTCTTGAATTATTGAATTCGTTAATACTTCAGTTCCTTCCATGATGTTGTAAATTAGAATAATATAGGATGTGATGAAAGGTTTTTGAAGAAATAATTTTCCTCAAATATTCATTAGGTACTGACCTGATATATATAAACAATTTGTTTCAGTGGAAAATAATCATAGTCGAATGGAAACCATGTAGCTGCTACTAGGCCACAGACCTCGGTTATATTTTTGCTAATATTTTCTTCCTCGCATTTTCCAACAGTTAGCAAAGTTGAAGTTGTGATACCAGTTACTACTAGCATGTGATAGCAAAAGTACCATGTAGAAATTTTGTTCAGCAAATTGTTCATTTTTTCGAAATTAGTTGGCTTTCCATATGACTCGAAATCTAACCCAAAAAAACAACATAATATCATTACGAAATGTCAATCAACACGAACAAACTTGATGTGCAACGTCAGGTATACAAGGTGATTTAGTGGAGAGTAACATAAATTGAAGGGTTTGTAGCCAAAGCTAAATTTCTGAAAATGTATTTTTCGCCGTAATATAAGGTAAAAACTTCACAAACGATACGATTTCCACAAAATTCTCAAACACACGACATGTTTCGCTAACACAGTAGCTTCGTCAGGTGATATACTGGTACAATGAACTAAACTAACGTTGGCTTGCTTAAATTTTATATATCTTACTTTCCCAACCTGTAGGATTAATTACCTGTGGACAGGTACGATAAACCTCCATCTTCGGAAATTAGTATACCGGATTAACTTTGAAAGAGTTGATAGCAAATACATATTATTACTTACTAAGAAAACAAATTCAACAGTGGTGAACTATTGAGGTCTAATTGATCATTAAGTAAAATGTCAAAATTTTTTAGTTTGTTGATTTCTAATGATTCGAAATGATTGAGTTTCAGTCCTTTATTTTCTACATGCAGAATTTCGAAGTTATCATCAAAACTATGGTTTTCTTCTAATATATGGTTGGCGTATGTTGAATTTGTTTTCTTTTTCATGAAATTCATCTAATGTTCATGAATGCGCTGATTAAACGTACGAACTGTCTGACCGATATATGTATACCTTAGGACAAGATCCACAATTGAGTTTATTGTATACCCTTGATTTTTCGAATTTAGAAGTTTTGTCTTTATTATTCTTGATAAACCGTCCCAACGTGTTATTTGTTCTATATGCCACTTTTAAGTCCTGTTTATGTAGAAATGAAGCTAATTTCTCAGATGATGATCCGAAATATAGTTCAAAGTTGAAGCGATATAAGGTGTTTCAGGTTTCCAGTGGACCAATGATTCATTTTTATTCTATATAGTGTGTCAAAAAATTCTGGAATATATCCGAGTAATACGCTTCGGATCAAGAATTGAAAGAAACACGTGTATAATGGTTTAAACAATCTATCCATTAATGTCAAACTCGTTCTCCCACTTTCATTCTCTAAGAAGGGAAATCTTGAATGGAAAGCACCATTTTTAATCGCCATTTGAAACATTTTTTCGAACAGAGCACATTAAAAAAAAATCGATGTTTAGTTTGCCATGCTTTTAGAAAAACCCTGTTGAACTGAATAATATCTGGAGATAACTTACCAGAAAATTGCTTGTACAACTCTATCAAATGTTTCACGCTCATCACAAAGCAAAAGTTGAAATAAGATGCACCATGATAAGATATAATGGCTCCAATATCTCTATCAATGTTTATGTAAGTCCCCTCTGGAAATTAAGAAATTCTATATTTGGTTTCATCCCTAGTTATTTTTTTCAATTCCAACGATTTAATGATTAATATAATTCAATAAAAAATAAAATACAGCCGGAATTTGACAAAATTTCCTACGTTTAATGGTTATAATAAGATGAAGTGCAGCACCGAATGGGAAATAGTATGTCGTGAGAATCAGCCATAAAAATTTGACATGGACTTTTTTCTTAGCATCATTAATTTCAGATGCTTTAGGAAACACGTATGGAATTCTGAGAAAATTCAGAGAATTTTTCATCACTGTTAGTTCATTGATGGATTCCGTTTCCATTTTCCTAAAACATAATAAATTTGACAAAAAAAAACAGGATTACAATTAATTGATTTATATACTTACATCAGAATAACGAGACAAATATTATGCAGTTGCTACGATTAAAGTAGAATCTGAAAATAAGTATCACTAACAGTTGGAATAGGGGAGCATTCAAGATTAAAGATTACTCCAAATTCGTAGACTTAGGTTACGACTGTACTAAAAAAATTGATATTCGATAACGAGGACACTCTGTAGACAATAGTAATTTCTCAAAATATATTTGATTTAAATTTCACATCCAATGTTCCTAATGCAAGATGTCCACTTTTTATATTTATTTTTGGCATTTACCTTGACAGCTTGAAGAAGTGTGAGCACTTTTTCCAGTATCTACTTGACACGAATAAAATGAATATCCGATTCCCAAGATGATTGTTTCAATTTTTTCTTCAACACAAATGTGTAATTTAAACTTGCCAGAGATTTCAACTCCACCATTTTTTGTGTTCTCTATCATTAACATATTTATAATGCACAGGAAATACCTATTTCTACCCATTATACTAATTTACCCGACAATAAGAAAAGATCGAAAATGACCGATGAAGGGAATATTCCTGAAGTAGATGTAATTATCTCCCTAGAGGCCACAATTAGTAATCTTTTATTTGAATGGGACCACAATTATTAAGTATCTACTTAGAATAATGAAAGAAGACATTGATTTCATGACTCGAATTATTTTACATCAAATATTAATGGAACATCAAACATTGTTTATTTTTCTCCATAAAAGAAATCGAAACAATAATCTTGAAAATAAAAGCCAAAATGGAAATTTTCGACCCATGCCGTTGGTTTCCTATAGCTCATTTTTTTCATCACATTTTGTGTGAATGAAACATCTATAATAAGGATTTCAAGATACCTACTTTTTACCTAGCTCATATAAATTAGATTTATGTGATGAATAATTTATTGAAGATATCTGATATTCACACACTATAATATAATAGAGAAAAAGGGCCAAATTATATAGTAAACCTATATAAATGTTAGAATAACTAAAATCAGATACCTACTTATATATGAACAATGTATCTAACTGAGAAAGCCCATCACTATAGTTTGAAGAAGCAATATGAGTGAACATACAAATCTTGTTGTTCTTAAAAATAGCAGAAAATGCCTGCAATCACAATTCGCTTGGCCTAAATTCGAATCCGAAAAATGGTTTGTCTTGAAATATTGTATTATAATGTGTCTTACGGCACCAATACTTCTAGGCAGTTTGGCACATTTCATCGTAGAAATATATGGTAAGCAATAATTCTTGAAAACTTCAAATCACCTCCTTTGGTATTATTGCGACAGAAGTTAGTACAAGAGAGTGAGTTACAGGATGTGTCCATTAATTGATCTTAACATTTACCATTTTCATAGTGAGATTTAAGTAGTTAATGATCCTGTTATATCAAACTTCTAAAGATATAGAGTTGCCCAAAAAGGAATTTTTGTTTTCGATGATTATTATCTTTTTTATTAACGAACCGATTCCATTGAATTTGGTCTTGTTTGGAAGAGAATCGAACAAGACAAAACGTCAACTCCATATTTATTGAATTTCTCCATAAAAGCGAATGGTTGACAAACCTAAACTTGGCCGAGCTTAAAACTTGCTGGAACTTTTTTTCAGTCGCACTGTATATTTTTGCGTATAATATTTTGAGAGCGTGGACTTTTCTGAATAGAACAAGAGGTCAGGGTTATGTGCCAATCCGCCAAAGAATAACTAACATATTATTATGTAACAGGATGAAGACAGGTGTGTTTACATATCTGGATTCCGATTTTCTTGCGTTTGTTGGTTTGCCTGTATTTTCTGTTTGAAAAATAATATCAGAACGAAGATAATATATTCATCGTTACAGATTTGTCCAAAAGAAGGAGAATTAATATAAACAAACACTAATGTTTGCATGAGAACCGAGATGAGAACAAATATCTGTGTATGCTCCCAATCAGCTTCAAGTTCTTCCATTTCTGTGAATCCCACAGAAAATAGTCGCATGGCAGGAGACTGTTGTGAAATCCTATTCAATCTGTAATCTGCATCCTCTCAAAATTGAAAATTTGATAAAAATTGTATAATTAGAAACCACCATTTTGAGTTTGAACCCTCCGAAGAGAAACAAACATGAACCAATGTCAATAAGCGATATTTTGTTATAACATATAAGTACAACTTGATTCATTTTGCAAAATTACAAAAGAAGATAGGAATTGAGATTTGGAAACAAACCTATCTTCATCCTATCATATGTCAGTTAGTTTTTGACGATTTTGCATGTTTGACCTCTTGGTCCACGCTCTCAAAATATCACCCTAAAAAATATACAGTGAGACTCAAAAAAGTTTTCCAGTTCAGCCAAGTTCAGGTGTTTCCGCCATTTTGTTCTTTTTTCGAAAAAATTCAAATAATACGGAGATGACGTTTCGTCTTGATCAATTCTCTTCAAGACAAGATCCAAATTGAAAAAATATATTAATCGCAAACAAAATTCCGTTTTTTTTTGACAACCCAATTTTTAAATAGGTATAGGAATATTCTTTTTCTTCTGATATATTATTTCTAGATATACAGGGTGGGCCACCACTTATCTTCTTGGAATTCTTCCTCTCTAGGAAGTTGCATGTCAACATAGGCTACCATTTGAAATTATTTTGAAACATACAGGATGTCCCCAAAAATCACAAAACACTGAAGTTGAACTTTTTTCAATCGAACACCCTATATATTATTTCATTTTGAGATTCTCACTGGTGAGCTGATTTCAACAATCCATCATACTTGGGGTCTAGCAGTTATAATTACTGAGATATAGGGTGTGAGAAATCGAGATTTTCCAAGTTCAAGAATTTTTTGTGTCTAAACCATTCATAATTGGTCAAAACGGCTCACATGTCCCTATCTCAACTTTTGATCAACTATCTACTGACATTTAATTGAAACAAATACCCTGTATTTGCAGAATTCAGAATCTTGATCACCCGGTATATGTCCCAATTAAATATCAGTAGATAGTTAATCAAAAGTTGAGATAGGGACATGTAAGCCGTTTTGACCAATTATGAATAGTTTCGACACAAAAAATTCTTGAACTTGGGAAATCTCGATTTTTCACACCCTATATTTCAGTAATTATAACTGCTAGACCCCAAGTATGATGGGTCGTTGAAATCAGCTCATCAGGGAGAATCTCAAAATGAAATAATATATAGGGTGTTCGATAGAAAAAAGTTTAACTTCAATGTTTTATGGTTTTTGGGGACACCCTGTATGTTTCGAAATAATTTTAAATGGTAGCCTATGTTGACATGCAACTTCCTAGAGAGGAAGAATTCCAAGAAGATAAGTGGTTAGCCTTCTAGAGACCGAGGCGTTACTGGTGGCCCACCCTGTATACAAGGAGAGTATCTGATTTTATATGAAACTGATTTTATTTATAGAGAAAAATGGAGCGAAAATTGACCTAGACATAACAATTCTAATCTCGATAGCGGGCATTTACTACTACAATATCGGCTTCGTGAAGAACATAGCCGATATCACCGAAGGATGTAAAATGCTATCCGATTTCGAAAAATTCGGAAAACCCAACGACTTCGAAACAACCAACACCAACCTAAACAGATACTCAAAGATACACTTCGTCGTAATACACCTTGGTCTTTTTATGTTCATGCTGACACCGATCTCATACTACCAGCAATGCCAAGAATTGAACCACGAAAAAAATCTGAAAGAAGTGTGCGGTTTACTGCCGCTCTGGCTACCAATCGACATAGACTATTTTCCTGTGAAACAGATCTTCTTTCTGGTTCAGACATTGGCCATCAAGTACTCATACGTCACCACTTCAATGGTGACTATTTTTATATGGGAATGTTTCGAACACCTGGTAACAAGGATGAGGCATGTGGGTGAAACATTCGTGGTAGCTCTAAATCAAGATTGCTACGAAAAGAGAAGGAGTCATCTCAACAGGGCAATAGAATACCATAATTTCTTACTAAGGTAAATACAAGGTAGTCCAATAAATAAAGGGTGAAAGTTAACATTAATTACGCACTATTTTCATCTTCCGGTTGGATGTAGCTTTTGGTACCTCATTAAACTTGAGACAAAGTTTGACTGGAAAACGCGTGCGATGGCGAAGAAAATGGCCCCAAAAGACCAGAAAAATAGGTTTTCAGCCAATATCTCCTAAAATATGGCAGTTAGAGATTCTCGGTTCAGACAAAAATTGAAGTTCAGTTAATTTTATACAAAAATGGTCCTTATCATTTCTCTCGAAAATGTGCCCGGTTTCGAGAAAAACGGCACGAAGCGCACCTCGAATAATGAGCTTCTGTGTTGTATGCCGGAGAGCACAGTCCGTGTATTTACACATCGGCGGGGGGACAAATTATTCAATAACTTTGTTGAAAATGCATATTTTGTCATGATTCAAAGTTCATGTGAAAGAGGAATTCTGCTGCTATCATACCCTGTGAATTGAGTCACGCTTGACTCTTTTGGCCATATCGGAACATGGGTCAAACTTTCTGTTCCCGGTCAATTTTGACCTCGCCAGGAATTTGTTCCTATTTTTTTTGTATTGCACTAATTTACTCAAAATTATCTTGATTATGGGTCCTCATAAGGTCCTTTGTCATCCCTGGAATTTGTATACCCTAATTTTTTTAAATTTTCATTTAATCTTTGTTCATTGAATCCCAATTTTTGCTGTTTTTGGAGCGCGGGGAAATTTTGTGAACAACCATCAATTAAAAATGTATACATGATCCGATTGGTTTCTATGATACATCATTTGAAAGCTAAGAAGGTCTACTTTTCGATTGTGCAATTACTTTTTTAGACGAAGTCGTCCATTTTTCAATAAAATTAGAAAAAGCGGGGTCAAGGAAAAAACGCACTATTTTTTTTCGGTGGTTTTTTTCTCCGTGCTCTTGATTTCTAACATTTTAACACCTTAACTAGTGTAACGGGGGAAATCCCACCTTTCCATCGTTGTATATAAGTCATACCTTTGATATCCCGGGAAAAAACCAGTATATCTAAATGTACACGCTATAATTTATTACTTTCGTTCCTCCGTCGTTCGCCGCGTGTGTGCTCTACGTGGCGCTCGGGTCGTCTGCTACAAACCATGCGGCCACGCAGGGTATGATAGCAGCAGAATTCCTCTTTCACATGAACTTTGAATCATGAGAAAATATGCATTTTTAACAAAGTTATTGAATAATTTGTCCCCCCGCCGATGTGTAAATACACGGACTGTGCTCTCCGGCATACAACTCAGAAGCTCATTTTTCGAGGTGCGTTTCGTGCCGTTTTTCTCGAAACCGGGAACATTTTCGAGAAAAATGATAAGAACCATTTTTGTAGAAAATTAACTGAACTTCAATTTTTATCTGAACCGAAAATCTCTAACTGCCATATTTTAGGAGATATTGGCTGAAAACCTATTTTCCTGGTCTTTTGGGGCCATTTTCTCCGCCATCGCACGCGTTTTCCAGTCAAACTTTGTCTCATGTTTAATGAGGTACCAAAAGCTACTTCCAACCGGAAGATGAAAATAGTGCGTAATTAACGTAAACTTTGCCTTTTTTTCCTCCGTCATTTATTGGACTAATGTACATTTGTTTGAGGTTAAAGTAGTCTTCATTATATTTTTTTCAAATTGTACTCAACCACTGACATGACATTCCATACGAAGGTAACTGAAAAAAAATATTTTCTGACATTTCTGACTTATAATCTGTCTGTATGTGGATGTGTTAAATTTGGGAATCTTTTTTCGAATACTTTAGAAGTGCGATATATCCATTAATGATTTGAATACTGTCAAGTGTTGGTTGTTTTCTGTTTGAATTTTTGCAGATTTTTTTTCTGTTCACTTCCTCAGCTTCAATATGTTCACTTTACAAGATATCCGTTAATATTAATTGCTTTTTCTTCATTTTGAATTTCCAGATGTGCTAATTTGATGATTGAATCATTCAAAGAGAGTATCATTATACATATTGTTCAAACTGGTATGCTTCTGGGATGCATAGGTTATCAACTAATCCAGGTAGGTCCGATATGAAATAAACATGTGGTACATAGTACTTTTCAAGAGCAGTTCTAGAATGAAGATCTAGGGGGAAGAATAGTTATTTATGTAACAAGTGTGTAAAGTGGTAAATTTTTCACTAGTAGGAAATGTTATTGCATCAACAAATTCCTATGAGTAAGAAAACATTTCACGCACGTGTTACATACAATATTTTTTCTACAACTGTCAAAAAAGAGGACAACCTCATTCAATTTATGATGTATATGATTAAAATATATTTCGCGATTATTATCAAGTACATTTACTCATTTCATGTCCTTTTATTTATAACACCTGGTTTCAAATCATACATGAGATGCGAGCATATTATTATCAAATACGCAAGGATATCGTGGCACCTTCTTATCGCTCCCATCTCTATTTCATTGACACTCCATACGAAATACGAAGTCAGCCGCCTTGATTTGTTCGCTTGCTACCTTGATTAATTCCGTAAAGGAGCCCAGAGACTGTGTTGTTGGTGGGCTGTTTTGTTCGTCGAACAAGTATGTTCGTACAAAAAATGACGGAAAACTGAAGTGTGTGGTGTGTGGCTAGCGAAAACAGACTTTGGTTTTGCGTCATTTTTGTTAGAACAGACTTGTTCGTCGAACAAAACAGCCTACCTACAACGCAGTGTATGGGCCCCTTTCACGTAATCATTCATTCCGTCGCTTAGCAACAACCATGGTGAAAAGTGTACTTTTTTCATACTTTTCCGTAAAATAATGAAACAGTATTTTGATATTGAAAAATTGTACACTTTAGGCACCGAGAATATATTAAAATAGTGCAGTTTTACTGACAGTTGTAGGAAACTTACATTTCATAACTAATTCAGGAAAATCAATAAGGTCATATTTGAAAAATCAGAAAGCGAGGGGAAACGGAAGTAAAAACTGTTAACATGCGATGACTTGACTTGAAACTGAAACTGAGAACATTTTCCCAAAAACAAATCATCTTAACGGCATTCAGAAACATGAATAATACACTTGACAAAATTTTCTCTACTCTGAAAACTCATTTTTCCCATCTAGAGTAATGAAATATTTTTAGAGCCCAAATATGGTGAGCTTAGCGATATTGGGCGGATATATCAATTCCTTCATATTGATATCTGTAGTTGGAGAGAAATTAGCAAACGAGGTAAACATGTCACAATTCTCAAAAAATAATGCGATTAAAATGATAAACTCTGTTTTAGTGTCTTGTAATTGGCAATTCTATTTACAAGACCGAATGGCACAACTTAGAAGTCGACATCCAGAAAGACCTGATTTTGGTGATTATGAGGTGTCAGAAACCAGCTTATATAAAAGCTGGACCGTATGCCACTATGACACACCGTACAATATTATCAGTGAGCAATATTTCGAATATTTAATCATACAGGGTGTTTCAGAGTTGTGGTGACAAAAGCCTAGGTCTGAATAACACGGCAAGAATCTTTTGATTCAAACTTAGACTGTATCGCGGAAACGAAGCATTTTCGGACCCATGTTTACATGAGATTTTTTTCATATTTTCTTGAGAGGAATCTCCCCTTCATCACAACACTGAAACACCCTGTATAGTTTCTCAGTTTTTTTTCTACGACTGTTGAGAATGATGCACTTTTTTATGAACATTGTGTACAGTGCATCCCTTTTTGGTTGAGATTAGGTAGGTTTATCGGTTGATATTGAAGAAAACCAAAATGGGATGCACTAAAGATGAAGTGAGTCAGTTTCGAATATCACAATAGGGCATTTAATATGACGATTTCAACTCAGTGATTGTCAATCTTTCCTCCTCTCTTGAAAAAATACCTTTTTACTTGATACACGAATAATTATTTTTTTCAGATTCTCAAGACAGCCTACTCTGTTATGTCTCTGTTGAAAGCCATATCCTAGGATGAGAACTGGAAGTATCTACATTGTGATCTAAACGGACCGGACCTAAATGAATCAGTAAAGAGCAGCGACAATACTCAAGATTCATTATTCAATAAATTAATAATCAAGTAAATATTTTGTGTAACAGTTCTATGTCTATCCATTTTTCAGCAATCTCCTTGAACCCTAGTAGTCCACCAGTCCAGTTTAATATTCTGACTAGTAGAGGAACAACTTCCATAGCCATAATTCAAACTGAGAGCTTCCAGCATAACCTCATGATTACTTCATACCCTATCCACCCTCTTACTATTCCCCTTCAAAATCTTCTTGTACAACTCTTCGTCTCTCTCGCTCTGAGGTACGCTAGACTTGCTCAGCAGCTGTGATACAATCTTTTCCATCTTCAGAAACTTTAAATCATCCACCAACTTCGTCTTGCTACCTTGGATGTTGCTGAAAAAAAAAACTCCTGGTCCTCGGTTAAATCTCTGATGAATCAATTAGAGCTCTCAAACACATTATTTATTGAATAAAACATAATAAGATAATATCTCTTTGAATCCTAGTCGCCCACCAGTCATCTCACTGTCCTAATTCAGACTAGTAGAGGAGCATTTTCCATTCCCATTATTCGAATTTAATTTTCTTGAGAGCTTCCAGCATAACCTCAAGATTGCTTGATATCCTATCCATTCTTCTACTATTCTTCTTCAAAATCTCCTTGTACAACTCTTCATCTCTCTCGGACTGAGGTACGCTAGACTTGTTCAGCAGCTGTGCCACAATCTTCTCCATCTTCAAAAACTTCAAATCATCCACCAACCTCGTCTTGCTACCTTGGATGTTGCTGATGAAAAAAAACTCCTGGTCCTCGGTTTCGTCTCTGAACAGATCCACAATGGTCTTCTTCATCAAATCCTCATTGTCTTCAGTCAACGTATCTTTTTTTAACTTGTTCCTCAGAGTAGTTAGAGCAACGGTAACCATACCATCGAATCTGGTTTTCGGTACTGTCAAACACTTGGCATATCTATGTTCGTCTGCTTTGGGGGAGACCATTGGTTTTGCCTCCGGAATTCGACTATCACTACCCCCTCTCAAGGTCTCAGCTCTTATCTGCAGCAACCCCGTGTAATAACTGAACTGATCTTTCAAATAGTGGAAAACGCTATAGCTGTCATCGTTCGAGTAATAAATCTGAGCATCTCCATAACAAATGGTAATGATGGCGACAAAGAGATTGACTATAAACAAACTGACAACCATGTAGAGGGAGTAATAAAGGTAGTGGAGAGGGGTTCTTAAAACAGACATGTCGAACTTCTCATGCAGACACAAACTCAGCAAGGTCATCGTCATCAGCGTGTCTGGTATATCCTTGAAATCGAAACCTTGGTCTCCGAATAGAATTGTGCCAGCAAAGGTGAACATGATCAGAACCACCAAATGACAAATGAACAGACAGAACAGTGGCACAGCCGACAAGGCCAAGGTTTTCTCCACGATCCTGATGATCACCAAGAACCTCATCAGCTTCCACAACCTCATGGTAGCGAGGAAAACCAACATGGCGGCCAGAGAAGTCAGCACGTTTTCAGCGTAGAATAGATGGAAGTAGTTGATGAACTCGTTGTGCTTAGCGTTTTCTAGTTTCTCTAAGAAGATTTTCACCAAATGGGTCCTGTGCATGTACAAGAATATGCAACAGAGACTCATCGAGATGATCAGGATGTCGACTATGTACCAAATGTCCTTGAATATAAGCTTTTTCTTCTTGGCGATTTTTACGATTAGCTTAAGTACGAACACGAACACTATGAAAACGAATGCGGCGAGAGTGAACCAAATCAAGATACTGGTTGTTTCTTTGACGAATAGCAATCTAGCAGTGCGGACCTGGAAAGAATGAAACACAATTTATTCTTCTTCAGGGATGAATTATTTTTCGGTGGATATTCTCACGTTGAATTTCGACCTAATATATCCGGTGGTGCTGAGTTCGAACCTCACTTCAACGGAATTGAAAAGGTTGCTGTTTGTGCAGTACAAGAGGAATTCCACTGTCAAGCATCTGGTGTATCTGTCCAACCAATTGTTGCGAAACAGATAGTTGGCGTTGATTAAGGAGTTTTTCATGTTCCTACCCAGAGGAGATACGTAGCCTGAGCCAGGGTAAGTCCCGAATTTTCCTAGAAAGGAAATTCACAGCTCAGGTTCAAGTCGATGAAAGAACTGAATCAACAAGAAACATGGTAGGAGTCTACTTATTCAAAATCAGGAGATTTCGTAATAGTCAAATCCATGGGTATGGCCTCTGTATGTGTAGACTGTATTTACCTACTTCATTATAGAATCTAAGTTAGCTATTTTCAGTTTTTTCTTGGCAAAATGAATGAAACTAGTCTTGACTAGAGTGACTTTATATATGGAAGTGCATCCACCTGTCTCGTTTCCTCCATTCAGATCTACGTATTCTATTTCACTTTGTCAATGCTTTTTGTCTCTGTTTCTTCCTCTTTGGACACAAAACATCCAACAATCAGACGTCTTGGATATTAACTATCAGAATCCGTCTTTTGGAACTCGTAAGTCTCAGATTATTTAGATGATGTCATGAAAATAACAAATATTGAAACCTAACATCAGGTGGGCACTTCGAAGGCGCAAATTCGTTACTGCATGGGAGATACCCTTCAGATTTTTAGCTATTCAGTGACTTAAACACGAATGAAATTCCAGAAACGGCAGCCATTTGGAGGCCTATAGCCTATTGTCGTTACTTTATTCCATCTACTCACTCTAGTCTTGACTAATTTGACTTCAAAATAGCTGACATTTTCCTTTAAAGAGTTCACATGGCTTTTCGTCGCGGATAATACATTAAATTATAGAAAGCATTGGCTAAAGCGAGTTTGAAAATGTATCTGACGAAATGTTCCATGCAGGTACGAAACTGTTTGACTTATTCACGAAATAGTAATTTTGGCTTATTTGTCACAAAAAACGGAACTTGTTGTATCCTCTAACCTCGCTTGCTCGCACGTGAAAATATCTCAATTATTAATCGCCCTCATCAATACACAAGATCAGGTGTCGGCATAGTGTGGCTCGCGAGCCACATGTGGATCCTTTGGTGTGAGGTTGTGGTTCTTCAGAAATATATCGAAACAGGAAAGAAAAATGAAAAAAATTGAATATAAGTAAAGAAATAAATATTAGTATTAGGTCGCACATTACCGAACATGAATTATTCCACTCTTGCTCTCGAGAACCAATCAGAATCGACCATTTTCACGGATTCTACTGTATTAGAGCGATAATTTTTGTTTACTAAATTTTGTCGGAATTGCTCTACCAATACAGGAGCCAAATTGACCCACACGACGTGCCAAACCAACCTCGTTCTTTAGCGATAAAATTTTTGACATTTAAATCGTCAATTATGCTGGTAGCCAGAATGATGGATGCAGTGTGCGCAATTCTCGCGAGCCGCTTGTTCATTGTCTCAATCATGAAATAGTCATACGAATACAAAACGTGATACTATTTTTCCTGGAAATATCCGTCGATTGACATACTCCAGCTTCCTGCTTCAATTTCGCTCATGACATTGTTTCAAAACTTCTCGTCTACGGCTCGAAAGTTTTAATAAACAATATCATTCGCGAAATTATTAGGCAACAAGCTGTCGTAACAATCGCCTAATATTTTCGGCAAAATAGAATCACTTGTGGTATTACATATGAATAATCGTTTGAGATCATTTTGAATGGATATTTGGGTTACAAGTCTACTGAGTTGCCGACCACTGCACTAGTTTTTTTTTTAATTTTTTTTTATCTATACATTGTTATGTGTCCCAAGCAATGACAGCTCTGTCTAATAGATGAGCATTACTTGACAGGAAATCAGATGGCTATAAGACGAAGAAATGCCGCTGTTATCTATTATAGTCGTAGGAAAATTATAGTGTATAACTTGCACAGAATACTAATTTCCTACTCGAATGATTGCAGCATTCGCCTATAGCTCATGCTGCAAACTTCATTCTCGAAGGAAATAACTATCATTCCGTGCTCGTTGAACAATATACTATTTTCTACGGCTATAACACAAAATTGCTCTTGTTTTACTGTGTTCGATACATCAATGAGGTACTTAGTATGTCATCAATTTCATTTCCGTATCTGATATCCCAATGATTCCATTGTGTTATTATTTCAAAAAAATCTCATCGCTCATGGAATGTCAAATTGCAATGACTGCAATGTCTAATAGATGAGCATTACTTGACAGAAAATCAGATGGCTATACTGTTACAGCCGTAGAAAAATTTTAGTGTATAACTTGCACAAAATGCTAATTTCCTATGGCTCACGCTGCAAACTTCATTCTCCTAGGAAATCACTATCATTTCGTACTCGTTAAACAATATACTAATCACTACCAAGGTGTATATTAAATGTTTTGTCCACTACCAATATATTTCAATCATTATAGTTCTGTAAAACTGAAATGTGGATCTTTGTCACTATAAAAGCACTTTTTTCTCCAAGCGGCAGGGATAGTGGCTTTCTTCCTTAACAGGTAAAAAAGGTGTACTTTTACTGCTTAGGCAGAAAAAGTTTGTTGCTATGTAACGTTCCACGAAATTCTAATGTGAATTAGCAATCAAAATTGACACTGACATTGGGTGAACACAAAATGAGGGAGTTTTCAAAACAAAAAATTACACGAAATTGGTTTTATATTATTTGGAGAAAAAATTCTATGTTTTACACGGCAGCAAATGTAGATTGACTGCCTTGGCTAAATTCCTAGCCTCCCTACGCTTGGCTATGAACTATCTGCCAATCTACTACTTTTCTGCCTAGTAAAACAAATGACTATTTTCCAATTCTAATTAAAATCTAGTCACCATGACAGATATGACAAGTAGTTATTGTTAAATACCTACTATATTCGAGTGCCATTCCTGTGAATATAGCATCAGAACAGTGAGTTAAGTAATTATAACAGAGGTGGCTATGTCTTTATTCACTAGTGGTTCATAAAATGACGAAAACTACCTTGGTATTAAAAACACACTTCACGCCTCCAAAAGGAGTAAATAATGGTAGGTTCCACAGCTAGTGGTGGAAAAACATACGTGTTTCTTGGCATGCACAATATGATTCGAAATAACAATTTCAATACATTTTTCCCATTTTTTTTTTCGTCACCGTACTTACCCACAAATCCCAGCGTCCCAGTCTCCTTCACCTTCTTGTACCTCCACACGCTCCCCATTCTCTGAACTCGCTCCTCCAACCCCCCCTTCTTCCATCCCTCCCCGAAATCCTCGCGTTCCGGCCCCACGGAAAACGATGGCACGCAACTGACGTTCGCCAGGAACGCCGTCGAGCCAGGGACGGCGCAACTGACGCCGGTCGACCTGGCCTGGCGCAGCCTGACGACGCCGATGTACTTGTTGGCGTTGTCTATGGTCGCGCCAGGATCACGGGTCACGTACCTGCCGTACCACTGCAGGGATTGGGTGGAGAAGATCAGGGTGTCGTGGACGTACTCTTGAATTCTGTGAACCGAAAGCTAATAGCCTCCTTTCTGCGGGGAAGGCGATGCCAATGTAAAGTTGGCAACGAAATCTCTGCAGAGAGGGAGCTAGAAGCAGGAGTACCGCAAGGTGCGGTCCTTTCACCACTACTTTTCTCCATTTTTACCGCAGATATCCCTAAACCCGCGAACAACTCCAACAAACTCGCACTATACGCCGACGACACAGCCATAATTGCCAGATCCAGTAACGCAGACATGACAGTACGATACCTACAAGAACATATCGACACACTAGAAACCTGGTTCAATAACTGGAAGATAGAAATAAATGCAGAGAAAAGCGAAGCTGTTCTCTTCACTAGACGACGGACCAAACCTATCGACACACTAGAAACCTGGTTCAATAACTGGAAGATAGAAATAAATGCAGAGAAAAGCCAAGCTGTTCTCTTCACTAGACGACGGACCAAACCTACAGGACACGTAATACTAAACGACATACAGATACCATGGGCAGACGAGGCAAAATATCTAGGGGTAACCCTAGATAACAAACTCACTTTTAGACAACACATTACAACACGACTAAACCTGGGTAAAGCCGCAAGGCAAAACCTACAGCCTCTAATAGGTCGCAGAAGCAACATGGCTCTAGAGTTGAAGCTGCGCCTATAATAAGAACCATTCTACTTCCAATAATTTTGTATGCATCAAGTGCATGGGGCCAATGCGCTGAAACATACAAAAAGCGAATACAGGCATTTCTAAATGTCTCAATAAGAATGGCAGTAAACGCCCCATGGTATATCCCAAATAGATTTATCTATAGGGACCTGAACATAAACCCAGACTACATAGACAACTACATAAGACAACACGCGGAGACTACATTCGGAAGAACGGAAACCCACGAGAACCCGCTGCTACACGACCTGACCAACAGACAATTAAATCAAGACCCGCGCTTCGGAAGAATAAAGTACAAACGCCCAATTCACCAAATATAAGATAAAAGAACGGAATTAAATCAATATCAATGAAAGTTGCATAGTAATCATCAGATAATTAAACAAAAGAGTCTCTCCTTTGATACCCTATAAAAAAGTAAACCAATAATAATAATAAGACATAAACTCAATTTTGCTTCCCATTAGGGTAGGGAACCACCATGCAAAGTCAGGCTAGGAAATACACATTAGACAAAAAGGTTTAAAAGTCGGAAGACTGAAACCAAGTTAGGGGTTTTATAAAACATTATGCAGATTGCCAAATGCATAAGGTTGAAGTCCACTCGTTAGTGAGTGGGGGTGGATGGACATGGGGATGAGGAGCTATCATATAACGTGAGCTAGTTATATGGCGGCACTTGATCCTGGGCATTCAACCTTTCGGGGGGCGGGGTGGTGGTGGTACTGAATGTTGAAATAGTGCCGTTCTATAATGTTGTTTATTTCTGACAGTGACATTATAAGCTTATATCGTCATAGTTACGATATCTATAATGAGGGTCATAACTCCCTTGGGATGTTATAGATGCTATAATTCCCTCTAGCTAAAATTAAATAAAAAATGCATAGCAACAACCCCGCAATAACGTAGCAATAAGGAATTTCCTATTCGCGGTAGTCAAGATCATCATCTGACGTTCTGATGACATTGAAACTATACGGAAAAACATGTCTAACTTCCAATCGGGAAGGTATCTAATGAATGAAATCAGTCAGAAATAAAATTATCTATGTATCACGGGAATTATAGAGCCTTAATAACCTCTGGCAATTGCTGTCCCTCGGGCCAGAGGCCCCCGGGACGCAAACTTTGCCATCGGTAATTAAGGCCCTCATAATTCCCTTAATACATAAATAACTATTACCGTTATTTCCCCATGAGGAAAATTGTGCTACCCTTGTTGCACAATATACTTCCATCATAAAAAATAATAGAATGTGCATGTACGTTTATCAGTTCAACGATCGATTTTCTCTCATTGTTTCCATAAATAACAAAATAATAATATTAGTATTAATTTGTGGTGAAGGCAAATCACGATTTTTATTGCAGTTACATTTCGGGGAGAATCATTCCGTATGAAGAATCATAATTTTTGATTTTTAAATTATTTCAATACCGAGTCGACAGTCGATAATATACATTGATACATAATTCTCGAAAGACATTCATGTTATAATAATAAACAGTGCATCTTTGGTTGAGACAGCCAAAAGTTTCTCGGTTGTTATTGAAGATATATAGAACCTCACGATTTTCCAGTTTCTGTTCTACTTTTGGTGAAACTCAAGATGGCCTATAATCAGATTTTGCATAACTGTCTCCGTTCATGAGATACAGGGCAATTTTGAACATTTAGACCTTTAGCGCAACATTATTTCCAATACCTTCTGTATTTATGAAGGTATTGGAAATAATGTTGCGCTAAGAAGTACATCTAACTTAGAATTCTGCGCAGAAGCCAGTGATATACCCAATTTCTTTCCAGGTACCTATGGTTCAGGAGATATATGAAACAAATTATTTTGAATATCTTTCACAACAAGTACTTATATTGAATTGATACTAATATTTTTCTTTAATATATCGAGACAAGGAGAGAAACTTCGATCAATTTAGAGACATGAATAAAAAACATTTCATTTACAGACTAATCTATAGACAGTTGAAACTTTTCAAAATTGAAATGTAATTTCTTAGAAAAAAATCAAAGAGACTTACTCTCTCCTATTGGTAATATCCTTTTGAGTCCTAGAATGCAGACCTGTGACAAGATCATTGACTTCCTCATTACTCATTTGCATCATAGGATCCTTGTCTTTTAAAATGACCATATACAGCAAAATCACATAGACCAATATCATCATCAGATCTTCGACTATCTCTATAATTTTCTGTTTCATTTCAACCTGTTGCTTGATTTCCTAGAAAAAATGGAAGAAGCAAAAATTCCAACAGGTGATTAGAAAACTCTCAAGGTACCTACTTTAATTCTCGACTGATCCATAGGTTTATAGAGATGCTCGAAATATGGCCTTAGAGCGATTTGACCAAATCTACCATAGATCCTTACTCGTTGAGCCTCGATAGAGGCAATGATAACTTCTGCTCTACGAATTATATTATTCACCTAGAATTCACTGAGTGAACAAAAAACTGAAGACTCAAAAAACCCAGAGGCGCACCCAGAATCATATTATAGGGGGGCACACGGAAATAAATTAGCACCGTAGGCGTTTTTCAAGGTGAAGGTCATAGGAACTTCAGCATTATGACAGACAGACACTTGCCCTTTCCAGCTTTGCAGAGAATATAACACTCTGTATACTGCGATCCCTTCTATACTTTTTCAACTTCAATTTCGGAATCGGTGAGTTATATTTCGGAAAAAGTAATCTCGATTTCAGAATTGGTTAGTTCAATTTCAGAAATGGTAAACGTAATTTCAGAATCGGTGAGATGAATTCCAGAAAGAGTCCATTCAATTTCAGAAATGGTAAGTATCATTTCAGAATTGGTAGGTTCAATTTCAAAAGGTGAATCCTTATATATGTTTGAAATGTTCTCAATTGCAAAAGAGAAGATTGTTTAATGGACATCCTGCAGATACCATAGTGGTAGTTCTGGATAATGCACCTGCACATTCAAAAATAGAAGAGATATGCATGGAGGAATGTTATATTTTGCAGATTGGCACCTTACAGCCCTATGTTAAATTCGATTGAACATAATATGGAGTGCCTTCAAGTCAGAAGTGAAGGGCTTTTTCAAGAGCATCGCCAAAGGGTCATAGCTGGGGATCCGAACAGATTGCTCAACCAGATAGAATTCAGACTGCGATGTCTTGAAGAATGTGCAGATCATTCAATGAAAATGATAACACCTCAAATGTGTTTGCATTCTTAAAATCATCTGCAACGCTACTATCCTTCTGCGATTTGGATGGCAGACATCTGTGGATTAAATTGAGACTATAATTATATTATTGAATTGTTTTTGAACAGTTGAATATTGTAATATGGTTTGTTAATCACACATGCAATTGGAAATATTTCAAACAAACAAAAGGATTTATTTTCTGAAATTGAACCTACAAATTCTGAAATACAACTTACCATTTTTGAAATTGAATGGACTTTATCTGAAATTCACCTCACCGATTCTGAAATTGAGTTTACCATTTCTGAAATCGAAGTAACCAATTCCGAAATCGAGATCTTGCGGAAATTTCAGCCTGGGGAACCAACAAACTAGTTGAATTCAACGCCACCAAAACTCAAGCCTGTATATTCTCTAGAAAGGCAGAGCTCAGTATGTCTGATATATCAATGTCTGGTATCACCATATTCCCACCAAGACCACTATATTATCTATGCTTGGTATTACCATCAGCAATACCCTCCCATGGGAAAATCATGTTCGATCCATCGCAAAAGCTGCTTCACAAAAACTCGGTTTCTTGTTCTGTGCGAAATCTACTTTACGCCAAACAGCTTCTCCTGATCTACAAAGCACAGATCCGGTCAGTTTTAGAATAATGTTCTCATGTATGGGGTTCAGCACCCAAACATACGCTGATGCTCTTAGATTCCATCCAGAGAAGCTATTCGCCTGGTGGGTAATGCCACATTCACCAATACTCGTTGACCCCAGCAGAAAACCGTAGAAAAGTTGGCGACCTTTCACTTTTCTATAGATACTTCCACGGGAAATATTGTTCTCCAGAAATCTCTCTTATAATTCCATCACAATACAATACAAATGAACTCGACAGACCCAGTCAACACATCCTTTCGTCGTCAACCTTGAAAAATGTCGAACAACACTATACCAAAACTCTTTCGTCTATAGAACGGCGAAGCTTAGGAATTCTTTGCCGATGGAAGTATTTCCAAGAACTTATAACCTCCGAAAGTTAAAGAATAATCCCTCTCCCTCCCTGCCCTCCCTACAACAACAATATAGGAATTTCCTTTCGTGCTCTAAGAATAGCAAACTTGAGGTTTCTTGAAGATGGATTTTTTTCAACAATGAAAAATGCAATTTGATGAAGAAAAAGATGATGGACCGGAGATGAGTATAAATGAGTCTAATATAAAAAATATATAAAAATATTCACAAAAGAAAATTAAGCCTTCTTGGTCCATTATCTTCTTGAATTGCCATCACATCCTTCCGGTCAACGTGGATTTCCCTATGAATATTCAAATGTGCGGCACATTTGAATATTAATATTCATAGGGAGTCATGCCAGTCCATTTAATATTTTCACTGGTTGCATTTCTCAAATAGGACTAATCGACGTAATGTCGAGAACGATCTTCTCGGTGAACAAGTCGATACCACCGACTTATGACTCTATCTAGACTGTTAGTAGTCATATCGCAGCAACCCGAAAATGCAGGTTGCTCGCCTGAAAACGTTTCTGCTCAATACGCATGAACCCCCAAGTTTTAACGTGGTATAGAAATCGACCTAGCATCCATTTTATTCATAGGCGGTGACAAGGTGGATGGCATTGGCTTAAGTGTTTTTTTAATGTCATCAGGGGCCGGCTTTATAAAATTGATATCAAAATTGAGTGATGATATTGATATTTTCGTTTTATTTTCGCCAATCCTAGGAAATACTTTGTTTTTTGGTGTAAGAATTCCACGATTAATAATACTAAAGATGTTTCTTTCCATCGGTGAGTTTGTGGGAAATGAATAATTTTTTATTTTAACTTGCTCTCATCAGTTGAACAAGTATTTGAATCAAATGGAATCATGCTGTGAAGAATTTGAGTTCAGGCGTGAGGTGCCAAACCTGCTCATCAATTTTAGACGATTTTGGATTAACATTTTACTCATTCAATAATGATTCGAGAATTCATAAGAATAAGAGAGATGAATGGTTTCAGGCTATAAGGAGACCATGGGACCTAAGCCACTCAGGAAGGATAATTATGCTCAGACCATTTTGACGCCAGCAGACAGCTTTCTGATGCTTCCAGCAAATCCAGACAATGAAGCCACATGTAAATTTGCCGTTTTTTGAAATGAAGTTCTCATATCTGAGTATTTGGAAGCTATGAGACCTGAATACGGCATATTTCATTCGCTTCTCACTACTTTATGTATGGTTCATCAACCTTCTATAGACAGATCCTAAATGCCCTTGAACCAGTTTCACCAGTTCGATCTTCTGAATGGCTCACCTTTTTCCTTATAGAATTGGCGGTCTAGATTAGCACATAAGTCGGTGGTCGATACCGACAGAGTCGCGAATATTTCAAGTATTATAAAAACATTCGGATATACAGGGTGTCCCACTAAGGTTGCGATGTACGATATTATGGTAACCATAAACATTACAGCTTCCGAAAAAAAAATCAATTGGGGAAATTAGCCATGAGAAGTTGATTCAAATCATTTTCAAGTTTCTAAAATGACCGGTAGGGGCGAACTTACTATTATACAACGACTTGTTTTCGTATCTTCAATAGTAACGGTGAGGAAAGCTTGTGAACACAATATTCTTCGAATTGCTGTATCTTCTTCATACCCCTCATCCAAATTCAATCAACTTGGGCTCATTTGAAAGATAGTTTCTAAGGTTTATCATTTCCATAATATATATACCTCGCCGACCTTTATATCTGGATTACATAGTTTCATTGCATCAAGAGCAGTTCTTGGTCTTTGTATATGATTTATTTTCTCTATGTTTGGGGAGAGGGGCGTTCCCCTGTGCCCCCCCTCTGGGTGTGCCAATGGAAAACCTCAAATTTCATACCATTTGGTCTGCCTTCGAAGAGAAATTGTAGACAATCCTTGTTATATTCTCCACGAGGAAAATATAAGCTACGATGCTGATGACGCTGGATGTTAGCCACAGTAGGCCGGTGATATGAGGGATCCAAAATCCCAAAATAATCAACATTGTCATCGATACAGTTATCAGAAAAGTTATGGAACACCTATATGAATATCAATAAGAACCGGTCAAGCATCAAAATGTACACTACCAATTGATAAGAAATCACGAGTCAGTCAAATAAAAATTTGAGTAATGATGGGTAATAAAAAAATATTTAATGAAATTTTAACCACGAGTTATATTTGGAAAGGTTATTTTCTAAATTAATCACTAGCGAATTTTACGAGTCAAATTAATTCTGCGTCCTCTTCTACTATGATCGATCAAATTGTTCAAAAGCCCAAAAGGTGATGTGCAAACATTTGCGGTGACTACAAGCACAGTTTAAGGAATGAAACTGTGCTACAAGCGAGGATGCATACGTCGTATAATAATAATTATAATATTCGAAAAAAATTAAATTACGTTTTGTTTTCTAGGAGAATTAATAATAGATTTTATTGTAATTGACACATAAGATAGGTCAAAAGAAACAATATGGCGAACACGGGTAAGTCAGATCAATTTTGACAGTTCAATGTAATGAAGGCTTTATCGAATGATTGGCTAAAATTACCCATTGTGCTATTGGTTGGTTCAAACGACGAAAACGTCACATTTTGACATATGAAAAAAATAATTACTCAGTATAATACCGAATGATTCGCTTGAATCACACATTGGTATTGATCGAAATCACCAAATGTTGGATTTCTCTATGTGAAAAAGAATCCTGTTTATTTACCAACATGCCAGATTGATTTTGCGAATTTTTTCAAACCCTGGGTCCTCATTTCTGGTATTCTCACGGCAGTATCTGAAATAATAACGTCATTCCCCAACCGAAGTTTTTCGTAGGTTTACCTGAAGAAATGAACAATGGGAAAGTGTATAGAGAAAGTCGTTGCTAAACCACCAAGGGAGGCCCAAATGACTAGGGCGTGGAATCCGTATTCTTTGTACTGCCCTAAACTGTCACTCGCCATCATTTTCGGACAACCGTAAATAAACAAAATTGCAGAGTATGTGGTTAGGAAGATGGACAGCATAATTGTGATCCGTTCGATTCTAGAAGAAGTTAACTCATCGGATCTGGAAAATAATGTTTCAACAACTTATATCAACTTAAACTAGGTGATATGACTTTTGAATATAAAAATAAATAGATGCGTCCATTATGTATTCGAGAATATGATTTAAAAATAATATTCCGTAAATCATTTTATTATCCATCAGCATCATTATTCTTAGAAAATAATATATTGAATGTAAGGCAATTATTCCGACAATAACCAATATAATCAACCATAATTATACAAGAAACAAAATCAACGATGAACGACTTGAAAAATATGAGCTTAGAATTCTAGAACAACATTCTAGTTTAATTGAATCTAAAATTTATAATGAAATACCATCAAGATTAAAACGCCTTAATATCATAACTCTCAAAAAAGAAGTTAAAAGTCGGCTTATGGAAAATGCGAAAGAAATCGATGATCTTTTTTAATTAACTCAATTTTTCTTTATTTTATTCTCATCATTGTATGAATTGATTATTTGTTTTCAGTTTGAGTATTTATATTATGGAAAAACAATTTTATACGTAAAATATTTCATCTCTTCCACAGATAGGTCACTAACCTATGTGAAGGAGATACGATATGAAATATATATCATACATGTAATTGATATTCGATGACAAAATGTAGATTTTATTCGATTAAACGAATGGATGTTCCTCAAAGATCTGTTTTAGGACTAATCTTCCATTTATTATATATTCAAAATATCACCAAAATTGAAAATGTAGAAATATGTTATTTTATTTTTTTTTGTAAAAAATCAAATCGGTGCATTATTTTACTTGGGAATTAAATTCTATAAACAATATTATCGGATTCATCATGACAACTGATGAAATATAAAAAGGAGGAAACTCAACAAAATTAGAGGAAAATTGTACCGGTCAATTTTGAAAAGATATATAATATACAGGGTGTCTGTAAAAGGTCTTTACAAAGACATACCACATATTCCTTAGACCAAAATAAGTCGATTTGAGTAAAATTACCTCGGTACAAAGTTGCATCGTTTGGGCTCCAGAGGGCCTTGGAGCTACAATTTTTAAATCGTTTTTCCCATATAAATTTTGAACGGCATATGCGATTTTGCTGAAATTTAGTATATTGATAGAATTTTAGGTGGCAAAAAAATGGTGTCAAAATTTTGTCCGATAATAATACATAGGCGTAGAACTTGATTTTTCAAATAATTGCACCTTTCAAAAATTCTACGCCAATGGAAGAAAAGGAGTTTGAGTATGAAATTTAGATTGCGCAACTCGTTTACTTTAAAAAAGGTACTCTTGATAACACTCGATTGCTCTCATGGTTTTGAAGAAATTTGCATTTTAGTAATTTTAGAACATAAAAAATAATTATTAAAATACAAACTTTGTCAAAACCATGAGAGTGAATCGAGTGTTATCAAGGGTACTTTTTTGTAGTAAATGAGTACCCAATCCAAATTTCATAGACAAACCCCTTTTCTGCTATTGGCGTAGAACTTGATATTTTAAATAATTGCACCTTTAAAAATTAAATGAGTTGCGCAATCTGAATTTCATACTCAAACTCCTTTTCTTCTATTGGCGTAGAATTTTTAAAGGTGCAATTATTTAAAAAATCAAGTTCTATGCCTATGTATTATTATCGGACAAAATTTTGACACCATTTATTTTGCCACATAAAACTCTATCAATTTACCAAATTTCAGCAAAATCGCATATGCAGTTTCGAATTTATATGGGAAAACGATTTAAAAATTGTTACTTCAAGGCCCTCTGGAGCCCAAACGATGCAACTTTGTACTGAGGTAATTTTACTTAAATCGACTTATTTTGGTCTGAGGAATATGTGGTATGTTTTTGTAAAGACCTTTTACAGACACCCTGTATAAAAAAACAGATGATTAAGACCCGGTTGCATGAAGTATTCAATAGACGAGTAAATATTCAATTTGTTCATATCCATGGCAACGTATGCATTAGTTGATGACTTAGGAGAGTAGTTGATTCCGTGTTAAGCTAACAACTGGCCCTAAATGTCTTACTCAAATATATTCCACATGTGAGGTCCTTGCAAACCCATTGAAATTTTTTCAAATATTAAATTAGCTTTCATGGGTTTCTGCTCTTTTTTTGTGGGATAAGCTGTACAGAAGAAATTTTCTTTATTTTCTGATATTTCGAATAGGTAATCGACGTTGAAATACCAATATTTTTTCATTTGGAGGTCAATTATGCTTATATCCCGACAATACCTAGAATATTAAAAAAAGCTTCCGAAAAATCTCGTAAATATTCATGTTTACCAGCAAGGTCTTAGACCTAGAGAGTCGAACCACAGCTCAATTTTTTCGATATCTCCCAAATAATTCTCAGTTGCCATGAAAAACCAATCTTCCTGGTTTTTCTGCAGGAGTTTTTTATCAGGGTCTGGAAAGTTCAGAACGTGTTCCTGGAAAGTAACGATGAACAACTGAAACTAGTGGAAGATGCAATTTTCGTGTTTGGTACCAGACTTTTCGTATTTTCGCCGTATATTTTCAACATCACATTCGAAGTCGTTCCTGCATACGTTTTATTCGCAGTTTGGACAATTATGAGATATCCGAATCTACAGAAACTAGGCACGTCACTCAAGAAACATATACTTTTTCCTGGAAACTGCAAAAATAAACTTCAACATCTACAAAAAAATCGGCGTATTTTAAACAATTTTCATGAAATATCTGTTGATCGTTTCAATGTTAACTGATGCTTTGAAATACCAAAATTCGAATTTTGTCTCAACCATGAGAGTAATCGAATTTTATCAGGAGTCCCTTTTTTGTAGTCAACAAGTCGAAATTATATGATATTCAAACTACTTTATTTCCATTGGCGTAGAAGTTTAAGATGTTAATTTACTGAAAAAATCAAGTTCTACGCCCATGGAATGGTATTCATCATAGTCATAAAGGTTTCATTGCCCAATGAAGCTATGCCAACGTATCAGATTTGAGTAAAATCTCATGAGTCGTTTCAAAGTTATGAAGCAAAAAGATTTGAAAATTGTAACTTTAGAACCGTCTAGCGCCCTAACTAACAACTTTGTACTGAAATAACTTTGCTTGTATCGAATTGTTATGGTTTGAGGAGTATGTGGTAAGTTTCTGTGAAGTTCTGTCATGAACACCCTGTATACGCACAGGGTTCCCTTCTTGAAATAAAAACCCACTTCAAATTTTTGGTGAGATTCTAAAAAATGTCAACACGAAAGTTGATTGAAACGACCGCATCCACGAACATCAGGAATTTTTCATAAAAGAAGACAAATTCAACAAACGTTAACCATCTATCAAAAGCAAATCATAGTTTTGGTGACAATTTCAAAATTCTGAATGTAAAAAATAAAGGACGATACCTACTTACCTTGTTATTTTTTGAGGTAAAAGAAAAATAGGTCAAGGTCACGCAGTAAATAAAAAACACAACTGCCACAGACAGAAAAACAATATAGCTAGCTTGAATTTCCAACTCGTGTTCAACAAAATCGTCATCTTCTTCTTCTCTAACAACGTTATTCATTATTCTTCCAGTCAAAATAGACGAATGATAGCACAGACAATGAATCTTTTCTTTCGAAGAAGATTCAGCTGTCTAAAAAAATCCACTCTTGCTTTTGACATAGAAAATTTTATATATTTTACCCCGCACGAAAATTCCCAATCTCTCATGGATCCATTCCAATGGTAACATGATGTGGTGTACACCCCAAACCTGAATTCCACCTGCGAATCGCCCTGTCAAAATCAATTGATGCGTTAAATACACATTGTATCCAAAAAGCCACTAAATTTCGTACCATACTTTCATTCGGCAATATCGTCAAATAATGCCAAGTGTCGTGATCAAAGTCGTTGGGAGTGAAAATAATGTTGTTATCCTTCCTTATTTCTGTAGATAGTTTTTTGAACTTTGCAACTGTAGGTTTTTCAAACACTGATACATAAACCTATAGAAAAATTACGCAAAAGAAAACGATTATATTATACAACATGAAATCACTATAACTCAAGTCAACTGGTTGACCAGATTCAATCCACATTGACTGTTTATTGTTCACCAACACCTTGGCTTAGTCTGTGAATTCAATTCACCAATACGACACGTGTTTAAAAATGACAATAGAGATGTTCTGTAACGGCATCTGAGAGCAGAGTGAGAGGAAGAAGATTTTCAGTCATTTCACCTCTGGAGCGAACAAATAAATAATATAAAAAAACACTCCTGGCACAGATTAACATTGTTTACTCTATGCTCCTGGGGACTGGAGAGTCTACAACTGCTACTGCAATGTCAATAAAAATTGGATCAATATGTATTCTTTTTCTATTATGGCACGTCTTTTTGTGTGTAAACTATACTATATATCATTCGATCACATTTGGCTTTAATATTTGAGTAGTTTATCTATGACTCATACAAACTGTGCTGCTTATACTGAACAAATGAGACTCAAACCTAACTAGAAACCAGTGCTCTAACTCCAATTACTGACCTTCAGTCTTCAGTCATTCAATATAAAGCTGTCAAAGTTGAAATATATCTGATTCCTCTGAATTCATAATCCGAGCAAAACAATTTCATCTTTTTTCTGGCTGTCAAATTACAGAACGCTCCAAATAAATTGTGTCTTGCTCTAAATGACATTGAAAAACGACTCCGGAGGTAAACAAGCAGATAAATGTGATTGCAGAACATATCTCATGATTCTTTTATATGTACTTAACTCTAAAATTCTGACAAATATCTATCAAATAGCCCAAGAACTTAGATATTCGCGAAGAAACCGATACTCTGGCCAACTAGTCGACCAAATTTGGATCATAGGGACCACTACTCACATCCAAGCAAACGCCTTCTGCCAGATCTTGAAATTCTATGAAATACCCTCGTTTTTTGAGAACATCTAAACGGAAAATTACGAATTTTTCCAAATCTTCCGACTCTTTATTGTTGCTATTGGTATTAACTAAGCGGGGAGTTGTACTATTATGGTAAATCAAAGTCTGGTTCGTATCGCAATTTTCGAAAATTATGGAAACCGGATCATTAAATTTGTCAATTATCTTCTGTTCTGCTTGAAATTGTAGAATTGCCACAGATGTGATTGTTGGTTGTTTTTTAATCCACCAAAATGGATTCTTCGTACTCGTGCACAGCTAAAAATACCTAATTAGTTCTGTAATTCTTTAGATATACCGTGAATTCGAGATAGCCTAACGAAAAATATCAAGTGGCATCCGGTCTGGAAATCTACTTGGCTACTTCTATTAGGGAAAATGATATACAGTGTGTCTCACTTCTGATGGAAACACCTCCGTATCTAACGTAATCGTTGGGTTAGGATCCTGAAATTTGCTGGAGCGAGAGATATCCCAAAAATGTACTCTATGACCAAGTGGGGACATCTTCAGTGATATACACTACTGGCCAACAGCCGTGGAAATACACACATGTCTGGAAAAAAATCAAGAGATGAGATATGTTGAAAATCACTTCGGATTCGAAAACAGGACGACCAATTCCTTAACTTACTATATTTTGACGCATTCTTATCGGTAACGATTTCCTCATACTATCAACGAATTTATTTTATCATTTCAATTACACCCGTCATGATTTCTGATCCATTGGATCACTCCTGATAATCTATTCGATTGTACTAGTTCTAATTGTTATTCCTGTATCCCTGGTGAGAACTGACTCCATGATTATCAATTTCAGAACAACCATTGAGTGAATTTTCCGATTTAATACATTTTTCCTCCTGGAATGTCGGTGGTTCTGTGGCTGCTGGCGAGCAGTGTATCATTAAAGATGATCCTACTTGGTCATTGGTCTCTTTCTTGCTCCTAAGAATTTCAGACTTCTACATCAATAATTACGTAAGATACTGGGGTGCTTCCATGAAAAGTGAGACAGAATTTATTATTCCAGAACTGAACATTTTTCAAAATAATTATGAGTACTTAGTAAATTACACATTCTGTTTTCTGTTTTCGAATTCGCCGACATGTAGGTGGTTTCATGGCTGCTAGCGAGCAGTGTATATCACTGATGGTAATTTCAATTGGTCATTGATTGTATCTTTGTAATTTTTCTTGCTCCTCGAACAATCCTAACTCGATAATTACGTGAGATACGGGTGTTTCCATGAAAGGTAAGACAACAGAGAAGTTTTGCAAATTGACATTTTTTTTTTAGGAAAAATATGAATAGTTAGAGAATTGGGCGTCCTGATTCCGAATCCGAAGTGATTTCCAACTCATTTTGCCTCCTAATATCATTTTCCGGAAATCGGGGTGGTTCCATAGCTGTTGGCGAGCAGTGTATATCACTGACGATGACCCCACTTGGTCATAGAGTATATTCTTGGTATATCTCGCGCTGGCAGCAAATTTCAGGATCCTTACCGAACGAATACTCGAGATACAGGGGTGTTTACATTATAAGTGAGACACACTGTATATGTAGAGTATTCAATGAGATTTGTTTCACTTTGTACGTGCTTGCACAGGGTATTCATGAAATGTACAAAATGATACTAGGTGACACCAGAATGAGATGATTGAATGATCAGTCTATACCCAAATGCTTCGTTATAGCACCTACAGGGCATTGAGATTTTTGAAATTTATGGATTTAGATTTCATCGCAAGATCGTTGCCAAGTATCCTATAGGTACCGAATTCTACATAATGAGAATACCTACAAAGGAAATTACCAGAATTTCAACTTCTTTTTTACCAAATTTGACAAAATCTCCAGACGCGAAAAGTTCAACGTTCTGTGACGAAACTGTGATATCTGGGACATTTACACCGTACGCTTTGGTAGCGGTAACCTCAAAATTTTGGTAGGCCACAGATTTTCGTACGTCTTTCACAGACACTGACAGAGCCAGAGTTTTCGAGTTCAGATAGCAGAGTTCCACCAAACTTTCGCTCGATTCCTCGTACTAAAATTAATGAGAAATGTATTATGTATTAAATGTATTACAGAGTCAAAGTTTAGTCTTCAATTGTCCTCATAGTAATAACATTCATGATGACCATTTGAAAACGAAACAGAGGCTCTGTAGGTCGCCAGAACCAGGTTATAAAAAAAATATTTTCAGCGCTGCGGCGTTGCCGCTTTTATCGAAATGTAGAAACAACTTCGTTATTTCAAAGGAAATACTCTGTGTACTAAAGTTGAAAAAATCTCGATTTTGAACATCCTATATATATCCAATATCTCTATAATAATTTTCGCTAGACCCCAAGTGTGATGCATTGATGAAATCAGCTCTTCAGGGAGGATCCGAAAATGCAATTAAATACAGGGTATTCTATTTGATACTTTTCGATAGAAGTGGGAACTCCGCAGCACTGAACAAATTTGAAGTTGATATGTTCCAGTGTTTTTTTATAATTCAATTCTGGCGACCTACAAAGCCCCTGTTTCGCTTTCAAATGGTAGGTATGTTGTTGGCCAATCGATTATACAGTTCATTCAACCGTTATTGAAGACCATCAAGGATAATATTGAGTTAAGGAAGATATTGTACCTAACATACTAACAACATTCATTGAGGCTAAAATAGTGGACATTCCTTCTCAAAGAGTTAACCATAGACCCGTGTTTCGAACTTTCGACCCTCATCAGAACGGTAGAAAAAAGGGCGAAAGATAGGCAACACTTGAGGTGCGTTTTGTTGTGCCATAACTCAATCTGGTTTTTGGCATTGTACACGTTTTGTTGTGCATTCTAACCCAATCCCATTCCTTCTCACGAGAAGGGTTAAAAACTGGAATGACAAATAAAAATGACTTGTGATTATTATTGTGAAAGTTAAAAAAAAAATTTCAGCATTTATCGCATACAAGCTAATAATAATGAATAGAAATTGAAGAGAACCACAGAAAAACGGGAATTTCTCCATCTAAGGCATTGATGTCTTCCAAAAATTCAATCATTATTCTCAAACGTTGGTTGAGAAACATGGATATTAAATTAGTCTTCATCAATTTTTGATTCATGGGAGTAAAAGAAGAAAGATGGTAATGATTAATTGTTGATTGGTACATACCAGAGACAAATACGTGGACAAATATGGGTTGCGTGCAAGAACTGTCAGATGACCAACCCTGGAGGCACAACATTGAAACACAACCTCACTTTTCTTATTTGTTCACAAGTAATTGGAATAGTTTTCCACAATTATTTTGACATAGGAATCGTGGTTTTCGGCTATTTATTAATTCGGTCATGCCATCACATTGTGCTGTTGTACAATGCACAAAAACTGCAGTAGAAGACGAAGGAATCCGGTTTACATTATGATTTAAAAGTAATTACCTACTATAGTCACCCACATACTTGGTTTTCATTTTTGAAATTTGGTAATTTCTCTGATTTTCCATCGGAATTCCTTCTGCAATAGGACCTAATAGAAATACTCGTGAAATTTCTAAAATAATGCAAGAAGATTGGATTCATGCATTCAAACTGGAGTACTGGTCTGACATGCTGACGAAATATGATCGGGTGTGTTGTGGACATTTTCAATCTATTAGCAGTATTAGCTTGTATTGCAGAAGTGGCAGAAGGAATTTTGATAAGGAATGACAACATTTCATGATGAAAACTATGTGAGATTGCTATTTACCTGAAAAATCATATTCCTTCGTCTCTTGCTGCATTTTTGTGCATTGTACAACAGCCCAATGCGAAGGCAGCATGCTTGAATTAATGAATAGAGCAAAAAACGCGATTTGTATGCCAAAATATTGTGAAATACTATTTCAATCCTTTGATTCCTCTGTAACCAAATGAAAAAGTGAGGTTGTGTTTCAATAATTCACAGAAGAGTGAGGTTGTGTTCCAATATTTTGCCTCCAGGGTTGGTCATCGTGCACCGATCATGCGCCGACCCGTTTTCTTGGGCTCAGTTATTCTATCACCTCCGAAATGGCACAACAAAACGCACCTATTGTTTGTTGACTCCGTTATTTTGTTGTTGCTTCTTCCACCAAGTGTTGCCTATCTTTTGCACTTTTTACACTGTACTGATGAGGGGCAGAAGCCCGAAACACGTTTCTACGGTTAACTCTTTATGAGTACTAACTCCACTATTTTCTTCTCTGTCGTTTAAAACAGTCCCCTCAATATCCCTTTCATCGTTTTTCTTTCACAATCGTTTGATGCTTACTTTTGACAATATTTGCGAAATGTTTTGGTCATCGACATAATCTGGATAATCCTCAACGATAGCTGGGATATCCATGACAGGAAAAGGAGTGGGAGGCTCGGATATAGTATCATTTACCTCCAATATCTCCATGTTCGGAGCTGTGCCAGACTGAGAACATTCGGCATACATCCTAAATAAACATAAAAAAATCAACAAAAAAAACATGTTTTCATGGGATTGATGATGAATAGAGCCACTATATTCCTCAGTGACGAGACTCTACTGTTTCTGTCTATCAGCTCTCAACAGTTTCTCTCGGTTCGCTAATAGTTCAATGTTTTCGTCACCTGGTGGCTCCAGACCGAAAGACAATATAGGTTTTTCTTGAAGAAGTGCGGAAAGCTTCAGGCGGGATTCCTTGTGATTTTTTAGGAACCAAAGTTCATATAAACATGTATCCTAACTTGCTTCGTTTTTGAGATACAGGATGTTGAGGTTGGAAGTATTACTTGTTTTTATTTATAACCTTCCTGCATAATCTTTCATTCAGTATGGTTGGAAACTGACAAAGCCTCGGAATTTCAAAATTATTCTCATTGCGGGGTTATTGAGTAATCTCGATGGACGTCTGGAAAATTTGGAGTCAAATCGGATTTTTATTGTTTCCTCAAAAACTAGGATAAATAAAAAAAAACACAAGGAGTATGAGAAAGTTATTATTTCAATAGGTCACTCTAATAAAAATATGGAACTCAGAAAAACCAGTAGCGGACCATGACATTCACCATAAATATCGATGAATTTACCCACTGTGACGCCACTGGAAATACCATTTCGAATATAATTGCACCAAATGAAGCTCATTGTTACTATTAACAAAACCAGAAAGTTTTTATTGAGGTTGATGAAAAGACATTTGAGTAATGAATAAAAATAAAAATATTAATACCCTGTATCTCGAAAACGAAGTAGGTTAGGACACATGCTTATAAGCACTTTATTTCCTAAAATATCAAAGGTATCACCCCCTGAAGTTTGTTGCACTTATTTGGAAACACCTCGTATAAAGAGATTCAGAACTGACTTTGAGTCTTCTAGGATATCTTCTTCCAAACTCTTAGGATATTTTTCTTCCTGAAGAAGCTCTAAATTTTTAGCAGCTGCTTCTTCACAAACTTTACTAGCGCTTCTTGCTATGTCTGGATCAGACTTCAGCTCGACAGATTTAGCTATTTTTCTTGCAATACTAGCTGCTTGCTTCGTTCTTTCTCTAGACAACATCGGTGCCTGCAAATATTTTTCTAACACTAAGTAGGTACACATTTAACTTTTCACTCCAGGAACACAAAATATCTTTTTTTCTACAGCTATAACACAAGATTGCTCTTGTTTTACTGTGTTCGATACATCAATGAGGTACTTTGTATGTCATCAATTTTATTACCGTATCTGATACCGGGTGATCAGTTATATTCTGACCCATTCAAATGCTCATATCTCTGAAACCATTCAAGTTATCGTTGTGCGGTTTGGTCTATTTTGATGTTTTTCAAGTCTTTTTTGACATGTTCATCTTCTCACTTGAACTTCCGGTTCTACCGGAAACAAACAAGCAATAATCCAGGTATAGGGCGACTATTTCATTTCATTGAATCACCCTGTATATTTTTGCACATTCAGAAAGACTGGTCTTTTCTTTATCTAACAATGTATTACAAGTTATGTTCTCCTAGAAAACTATTAGAGTTATAACTCTTTGAAACAACTACGACTGCTTGTGGAATGGTTTAATGAGATTATGCAATGTTATCAAAGTTGCCCTATACCTGAATAATGGCTCGTTTGTTTCCGGTAGAACTGGAAGTTCAGGTGAGAAGGTGAACCAGTCGAAAAATTCGAAGAATATCAACATAGAGAAGTCCAAACCGTACAACGATAATTGGAATAGTTTCGGAGATATGAGCAGTTGAAATGGGTCAGAATATAACTGGTCACCCGGTATCACAATGACTCCATTGTGTTATTATTGAAAAAAAAACTCATCGCCCATGGAATGTCAAATTTCAAGCAATGACAGCTCTGTCTAATAGATGAGCCTTACTTGACTGGAAATCAGAAGGCTACAAGACGAAGAAATCGAAAATGCCGCTGTTATCTATTATAGCCGTAGAAAAATTGTAGTGTAAAACTTGCACAGAATGCTAATTTCCTACTCGAATGATTGCAGCATGAGCCATATTGTCGTAGGAAATCACTATCATTCCGTGCTCGTTAAACAATATACCATTCTTATCATAGTCACATGTCTACCAATGGATTTTGTAGAATGATTTGTAGAATGTACTACTTGTCTTTGTATACATGAAGTGCTATAGAGGGTGATACACGGTGAATGGGCTATTAGAATTATCTGGAGAACGAAAAGACAAAACATTCTGAAAATTAGGATGCTTTGATAATTGAACATTCTCTATCCGTCTAAAATATTTTCATCGATACAGTGTTGCCACTTCTATCAGAAACAACTAGCAACTTCGTTATTTTCAATGGAGCACCCTGTATTTCATTGCATTTTTAGATTCTTCTTGAAGAGCTGATTTCATCAATACATCACACTTGGGGTCTATCAGGAATGATTACAGAGATAAAGGGTGTTCAAAATCGAGATTTTTCAATTTTAGGATTTTTTTGTGTCGAAACTATTCATTATCGATCAACACGGCTCACATGTCCCTATCTCAACTTTCGATTCACTATCTACTGGAATTTGATTGGAAAAAATACAGGGTGCTTCAATATTCAGAATTCTGATTACCCTGTATCTGTACTTACCTCACCCAGGATATTTAAAATTTCGATTTGATATTTTTTGACAGTATCCGCACCGTCAACAGTTTCCGAGATTTTCTCTAAATCGTCACAGAACACATTGAGCACTTGCAATAGCTGATCGTAATTTTGGGATTCGATCAAATTTGATATTGAATCTGGCGAGGATGAATCGAAATATTGTTTCTTTATTTCGAGTTCCAATTCTTTTTCAGACGTTACAGGTCCCAATACCGGATTAACCTAGGAATAAAGTCATTTCGGTAGAATTGAAATACATATTTTATTAAAAGTTGAAGAGAATTTTTACCGTGACATCAACAGTTTTTGAATCGAAATACTGGTACTCATCTATCATCTTCACTTTCACTTTTTTTATTTCGCTGCTCAAGTATAAAGGCATTTCACTACATCTTCCCCCTTTTTGTAACAGAAATTCTGAAAAAATTCAAGCCAAATTTGAAAGTTTTGGGTGACAGATTTTATTTCAACAGTTGTAGCAATAAACAGGTATTTTATATCTTCACATACAGTGCATAACTTTTGAAAATGAGATATCTTCATCATCCCCCAAACCAAAAATATTTACAAAAAATAAGGTATTATTCCATTCTCATTACTAAGTGAATAAAAATGTTCATCACTATAACACCAGGATTAGAGATCAATTTCATGTACCATTTGCTAGACTAAGAGTAACCTCCAGATCACCTGAGCACATCGGAAGAAGAATTTTTAATAAACTTCCTGACCACACAAGGAATGCAGAGCATCTTGCTCTTTTCATAAAGACGCTTAACAGTTTTTTGATGCAAAATAGTATATTATTCAACGAGCGCATAATGATGGCTATTACCCACGAAGATGAAAGTTGCAGTACGAGCCGAAGGCGAGTGCTGTAATCATCTGAGTGGGTAATAGTCATTATGCGCAAGTAGAATACTATACTTTATCTACAACTATTCAAATATCAAAGCAACTCTGAGAGTTCAGAAATATCTTTGAAAAAAATGAAGGTTATTATATTGCAAAATCACTAAATCTGATTTTAACTACTCATTAATTCCATCGAAAATTTATTGACAAAGATTCCATTCAACGAACAGCTCATAACTTATTTCAATAATTTTGATTGTGAAAATTTGATATACAATGTTGGATATAACTTTTATTAGCAGGAAAAAAGTCGTGCAATCACATATCAGTCAATCTTACCAGGTATTATATGATATTTCACTTTTCAATTGTAAAATGAATCATATACTATTGCAGATTATTCATTTTTTGCTTCCGCTGTAGCGTTCCCCCACCGCGATGATTGATTGTAGTACCCTACTGTCTCTAGAAGCTAGTTATCAACAATGAAAATCCATGGTTCTGATTGGTCTGTACTAATCTATTCCAATAGCCTGTAGCCATATTAGTATTAGTGTGTGCCTTAGATCATACAGGATCTAAGGTGTGAACAAATCTGCAAGTGTCAAGTCCTATTTTATGGTTAAGGTTACTCATGATGGTTACTCATGATGATAGTCACTGTTGAGGATGGAAAACAGTGAATTCTTATTTTTCCGTGTATTTGTAGAATTAAGATGTTTAAAACTACGAGAACAATGGTACGGTGGATTTGCGAACTAATAGAACGAATACCTACCTAGTTGAATTTGACAAGACGATGGGATGTCAAATTATTACGCCACCCTACTGTCATTATTACTCTTATTACTCGATTCATCATAATAATGACTGCCATTAAATGTCGAAAATCGAGTAAGCAATGTATGAATGACTCCATAGTTGTAGATAAATGTTATTATTCGCTGACAGAATTTTAGACTTGATCTTCAAATCGTCTTTTCTACATTTTCTGTATTTTTTCTTCTGTTCTATGTTCTGACAAGTTCCTATACAATTTGTAATATTCTCTGATTGGAAAATAAAGTATTATTATTATAAGCATTTTCTCGAAACATTTTTGGTTCGGGAAACAAGAAATTAATTCCATTCTCGAATTTCACACTGTATACCAAACCTGATTTTTCTGATAAGGCGTATATCTCGAACACATAAGGTCCATTTCCGGGTTCACAAGCCAGAATGAATTTCGTCCTCAATGCATCCCCAACATTCGGAGAAATTTTAACCGAAAGCAACTCTGGACCTTGATGCGTCATAAGCCATGTACTAGCTTTACTAGTCAACTGCCCTAAATGGAAAATCAAATTAATAATCGCTATGCCCTTGAAACGTTATAGTGCATTTTGAAACATACTGTATATTGAAACCCACAGTGACTTTTTCCTTTTCAACTTTTTCCTCTGTATTTCGTTGAATGAAGAAAAAAAACACAGATTCAAAAAATTCGTCAAAAATTATTCCAGAAACGTTTTTGAATGGCCAAAATAATATGTTGAGGATTACGAAGATAAAGGGGGGTGATACATTTTGGTGGGACACCCTGTACGTAACACGTTAGAAAACGCATTTTATGTAACTCTGTGGAGAACAAAATGACACCGTTTCATAACTGGTCAAGTAAATATCTATTCTTCTCTATTTCTTAGTTTTCATTCTCTAGAATCTAGATGGATAGAAATAGTTATTTCTTCATGCACAAATGAGAAACATTATTTTTGTAATATTCCAATATTAAAAATGATGAAAATCTAGTATGCACTTCTACTTTGGATTAAATATTACTAAAACCCAAATTTGAACACGACTCAATCGGCCCTTTACGCCCGCGAAACCCGGAATGATAATTTCAATTTTTCTAATTTTCATCAAGTTGTTGTATTGATATCTAGAAATTGAAAATAACACAATAATTCAGATGTGAATCACCCTGTGATGAATATCAGCTTTGGTTGATTCTGTACATGGTTGTTCTACCTAAAGGTTAAAAACTGCTAGCAGGAAATTCCGACTCATTTGTCGTCTCTTGGAGATATGGGTAAATGAAAAGAGGGCATTTCTCAACTTCAACACCCTGTATCTCAAAAACTGGTCATAGGATCGGATTGGGACTCGGCATATTTGATCATTAGGCCGAGTACTATAATATACCAGAAATTCAGAAAAGTCGACAGAACGCCATTTTTATATAGAAAAAGTGCGGGGTCCTTTTAGTGAAATATTTTCCAATGTTGCTACTTTTTCAGTTATTCCGGAATTATTATTAACTTCCTTATTCAAAATAGAACACCCACAATGACTTGAAATGCTTTTGAATGCCATGAGATATCTTGAAATGCCATGACATGCCCTGAAATTCCTTGAAATGCATTAAACAGCTTGGAATTTCATGAAATGCATTGAAATGCCTTGAAATATTTTGGAATGACAAAATTAATAAGATTGATTGATTGAAATAAAAAAATGAAATGCTATAAGGAAATGGAACGAAATATTCTGAAATCCTTGAAATGCTTCGCAATACCTTTAAAGTCATGAAATGAAATGCTTGAAATATCACAAAATGGTTTGAAATGCTACTGGGGTAGGGACCATCTAGGAACATAAGGTATCCAAGTGTTCAGTTTATGAGATATATACGGGGTGTTGAAGTTGAGAAATATTTTTGATTTGTAATTCAGTCAATTTTTGACCTGAAAATCATTTCAGACATGCAATCCAGGGTTGCATTACAAGAGGTTGTGATCACTTTCTTGCCATATTTATTACGCTACTGATTAAATTTAGATTAATTTTGATTTTTCGAATTCCCTGTAAAATTTTGTTGGAAAAACTTAAAACCTTCAACTGAGCTATAATAAACGGTTTTCGAGATATTTCACCCAAAATAGGCATTTTTCATCATTATTAGAAGCAGATTATTACAAGAATATTTTCCCGAGTTTTTTTGAGAAAATTGAAAAGGGAAATCGTAGACCCGCAAATTATAATAACTTCATTATCAGTGTCTTATAGTTTCACGAATCAATCAGCCACCGGGCGATAAAGTCGTCCGCGGGCTCTAAAGTGCCACTTCACGTCTGAAAACCGGGCTATAAAATGCTACTTTACGTCCGATCGAGTAATTCCTGTACCTGTGAAAACTACTTCGACGTGATACGACTTTCCAGCTTTCAAGGCGTTCTCGTTTATGATGAATATATTCATATTCCTGCCGAATTCGTTGGCGCCAGAGTCGTAGTCGAATTCGTCATCGTTTACGGTCCACAAAAAGTTGTCGTTAGTCATGCCCTCGCAATTTTCAGTGCAAGCAGCCTCGATTATGACTTGCTGGTGAACATCACAAACTGGGACGAATGGAGGACAGTTTTGCAGACACCTGATCATTGACAATGTAAAATATAAACTAGTGAAAAATACATATACGGTGTGTCCACTCTAAGTGTAATCACTCTCGTATTTTGGAGTAGAACGAATGAACAACAATATGAAAAATTTGAAAAAAATTGAATTGTTCATTTCAATTTAATAATAATAACATTGATTATTCCAGAATTTTGAGATTTTCTCTCCTCGTCCATAAAATAAAAATATGAATACTATTTCAATATACGTGTAGTTAGGACAAATCAGATGATTTGCCCCAAAATGTCACTGCGTTTAAAGAATTTTCCTATCAGAGAGCCTAAAAGAAAAATTCACTAGCTTGTCAGTGACAATTTGTATTGAGGTTTGGAGAAGAGAAACAAAGGTATATAGAAAAAATATCAAATTTTTACTTATCTTTGGACGTTTCGGGAACGAATCTTATCAAAGAAAATTCGATGACCAGCCAAAAATACGAAATAGACAATTAAGTGATGAGAAATAATGCATATTCGCACAGTATTAGTAACGAATTACTTACTCTATTATTAGAACTGGATCTCCTGCTCTCTTATGGACCGAATGGTTGAATTGTGAGTCAAGATTGAGAACTCCATAAGTGAGGTTCGACGAATGGCCAGTTCGAAAATTTAGGCAGACCACTGAAATTGCTTCATCTAGACAAAATACTTTCCAAGAGAGATTCACAACTTACATAGACATAATATTATCTCAATTACCATTTCGATAACTGAAATAAGAACTCTTCTATGACAGTACCAATCATACATTTTTAACCTAATCGTTTATTTCCTAGGATTTTGACTATCATTGAAGTTTGATGGACGTAATTGAGATCACTATCGTCGCGATGGCAACCGATAAAAGTAGCTGAAAGGTTTTCGAGAAAATTTTAATAGTTCTTAAAACTAAGTATGCATTAGATATAATAATAGGGACATCAGTTCACTGCATTATTTCCTTCTCTCCTTGTTGATTTCACTTTCGCAGACCGTTCGACATCCTCCACAGTCTTGGGCAGATCACAGTCCAAAGTCTCTGGTAACAAGAAACACACCCCAGCGCCAACCAAGGCGAACACCCCGAAAATCAAAGGCGGCAGAAACAATCGAACCGCGTCCAGCCCCACCACGAAAGGCGCCACCATGGACCCTATCCTAGCAGAAGTGGACGACAGCCCAACCCCGAAATTCCTCAACGTAGTAGGAAACAGTTCGCCAGAATACACATAAACCGTGGAAAAGGCGAGCATAGCACCGAACAAACCAATCACGGCCACGGCGCAGTCGTAAGGCTCTATCGACGTCACCATGGTCAAGGTCAAACAGGTGGCAGCTACGATGAGGTTGGCCGTTATGAGGCTCCACTTCCTACCCCACGCCTTAGTGCACCAGCACGAGAAGAGGGTGCCTGGTATTTGGGCGAGCCCTGAGAACCCCACGTTGAGGAAAACGTCACCGCCAAACTGCGACACGTACTGGCACAACCCGAAGAAGTACAAACCCACCACCAACCAATTAAAGCATATAGCCAGCGTGTACTTCCTCATGATGGGGGTCTCGAACAGCTCGAAGATATGTCCGGTTTTATGGACTTCTGTGGAACGACTGTCGTGGGATAAGTGCTTGTCCACTTCTTGCTCGATGTGTTCGGTGGGCATCTTGTTGTGCTTGGCTCCACTCTGAAGCACTTTGACAGCTCGGTCGCGTCTTCCGATCAACAACAACCATCTCGGTGACTCTGGTAGCATCCAGTAGGTACACACCATCAGGGCAGACGGGGCTGATATGGCCACCTGCGCCCACCTCCAATCTCTCAAAGCATAGCTGATGGGAGCCAACAGAGCGTGGCCCAAGCTGGTGGGTATCTGGTACAGGATTCCAGCGACGGTCCTGCGCTTCCAACCGATTATTTCCATGATGAGGACGAAGCTGGACACCATGGTGCCTCCGGTCGCTGCGGCTGTGATGAACCTCGTGGCTAGGAACAGCCAGAACCATGGCGACAAGGCCGTAGCTATTCCGGCTACGGCTTGAATGACCACCTCGCACATCAGCATTTTTTTCCTGCCAAAGATGTCCGAGAGATAGCCGAAGAGGAGGTTGCCTACCAGGATGCCCAGCATCGTTATGGTCTGTGCCAGGCTGACTAGATGCTCTCGCTCGCACACCAGGTCCCACTGCATGGTTATGGTGTTGGAGAAGATGGATTTGTCGTAAGTGTAGCTGGTGCAGTTCTCTGAGCACTTGTCTGTGGTGTTATCGGCACACTCGTAGTTGGTTTTGTGACCGATAAAGATTATGCAAAGCTGATGGAAACCTACTGGGAACTTGCAGAGCAGTACCAGTAAGTAGACGCCTAGGTGCCAACGTCCGAATACTCCGATACATTTTTGGATGACATCGACTGGATGATCCGCCTCTTTCTTTTTCCTGATACTCTCTAGGATTTTGTGATTTTTCCAGAATCCGAATTTCGTGATGTAATCCGCGGGAACTTCACGTGGTATTCGTTTGCGAATTTGTAAGTTGGTAACTTGACCCCCTTCGGGGTATCGGTCGAGGTACAGCAGTCTAACTGCCTGCTGGAAATACACTTCTGTGAAAGCGGCGTCTACCAGCATTTTTTTAGCTGTTTCTTTGGGTAGTATGAAAAAATGGTCTTTGCCGTTTATGTGCAATGAAACGATGATCATTGTATCGAGCAACTATTGAAGGAACGGTTGTCAACTTATATGACGGAAGGTTGATGGAATTGTCAGGAAGGTGAAATTTTGAATGGCAACAAAACTCGATAATTACGATTTTTCAATAACTCAATTATTTTAATGAGGCAAAATATTGAAACACAAACGTCACTTTACTTATCTGTTTACAAGTGATTGAAATAGTTTTTCACAATTATTTTGGCATACGTATCGTATCGTAATCCGGTTGGTACAATATGATTTGAAAGTAAGTACCTACTATAGTCACTCACATATAGTTTTCATTTTTGAAATTTGGTGTAATTTCTCTGATTTCTCATCGGAATTCTTTCTGCGATATAGAAGCTAATAGAAATACATCTGAAATTTCTAAAATAATGCCAGAAAATTGGATTCATGCAATCAATCGGGAGGACTGGTCTGACATGCTGACGATCGTGTGTGTTGTAGACATTTTCAATCTATTAGCAGTATTAGCTTGTATTGCAGAAGTGACAGAAGGCAGAAGGAATTTTAATAAGGAATGACAACATTTCATAATGATAACTATGTGAGATTACTATTTACCTGGAAAATCATATTCTTTAGTCTCTTGCTGCATTTTTTGTGCATTGTACAACAGCACAATACATCGCTAACTGTCCTGCAGCAATAAGAATAGATCCACAGGGTGATGATAATCGAAATTCAGAAAAAATATTCAAATGCAGATATATTCATGAATCCTGCGAAAAGTTTTATGCATTTTTCAGGCGAAAACTAGGAATGACGCTCGAGGAATAAATCAAAACAATTTTCACAGTTTCTTTATTAAAACATTCTAGCATGCGTATATTCTGCTGAGGAAATCAACAAACCAAGTACCCTACTAGGTGATCAAAGTTTGTTCTAACAAAACTAATAGGTTTTTTTATTATTATTTCAATACGGTCTATTACATAAATCACACTGTTTATCATTCTATAGATAATCACACATTAAGGTTCCCAATTTTGCAGCTATTTGTATGATATTGTAGAAACTAAAATCGTTACATCCAGACAAGCGATCTATTAAGAGAATTTAAACTTCATCGAAATATGTTTTAGTTTATAAGAAGGGAAAATATGAAAATATACCATTTATGTGTAGTCAGTTGAAAATATAACGATGAGCTCTTATGTAATAATATATCGATATTCTATTTTTCTGTCGACCTCTGACATTTTACGTACTAATTTCCGAATGAAAAATCGTCTATTTTTGAAGTCGAGTACGTACTTTTCGTCCGCAGACGAGAACTTTTCCGCTGTGGTCACTACCCAGCGAGCACAAACATCCCTGGGATGTTTTGGGATGTTTTGAAAATGTTGGCATGAAGATGTTATTTTGAGACGTAATATGCACTGACCAAAGAGGTCTTTGAAGGATATGGAAGTATTGTTTTTGTTCTTCTGTGGCATTTCTTTGTTTGCCTACTGAGAGGTATCCCTGGGATGTTTTGCGATGTTTTAGAAATGTAGGCATAAGGATGTTTTTTTTTGAGGCGTAATATGCAATTCTCAAAGAGGTCTTAAAAGGATATTGAAAGTTTTGTTATTGTTCTTTTGTGCCCTTTCTTTGTTTGCCCCACCACAACGTCTCATGCTTACGTCACAATAAGATGAATTCTGATTTGTTTTCAATTTTGTTCTTCTTGTTCGCAATTGGTATTCGCGTTTGCAGCGTGTCACGCTTACATCACGCTGCTAACGAACAGAAAGGAATTTGGTGAAGTTTATTGTGTTAGAAGACTTATTTAGTTTGTAATAATGACCATCAGATGCAAGATGTGTTGTTCGGTGCCTCAGTGTAATCAATATATAAAAGTACGAATTTATCAATACACAGCACAAATTATGCATTGTGGAGAACATTTCAAAAATTGGGAAACCTATTTCCAATTATATGTTTGCGTGTAGTAAGCACTACTCAGAAACCGATTAAGAAGGTAATTTCATATCAAGAAAATATTTTTATGTTCAATCTATTTTTAATGCATTTTTTCATTCAAGGGAAATGGAAAAGTTCATTTTGACAAAAGGCTTCAGAAAAGTACATCGAAAATGTTTTTTTTACAGCAATTTAATGTGCGCAAGACGCGTTGAAAATGTTTTGTTGTGTCCATGAAAAGGCTTTAAGAAGAACTAGGGAGAAGGTAGTTTTGTGACATATCAAGGACATCCCGATAATTGCCGCCTGCGGCGGACATTGGCTGTTCTATAATAGTTCTATTCATGTGTGAACAGAACATCGCAGTGGAGGTTCAATGTCTCGAGATCTCGTACTTTTAACATCTCTGAGATGTTTTTGTGCTCGCTGGGTACGATACGGCACCATGCGAAAGCGGCGGTTGAGTTGACAGCTGTCAACTATCGTTCGCTGTTGTGAAATTCATTCACGAAATTCGACTGATTGAATAAGACCATGGTGTAAATATAAGTGTTCGAAGTCGACGAAAAAATTTTATATGCACCTCGGCGAAAAGGTGTCTGTTGTCTCGCCTGATTGCTAGCCTCGGCCGGGTCTCGGCTATGAATTTGCAAGCTCGAACTATAACAGTGTTTCTTCCTCAGTTCATAAATAGGTAGCTATTATGCACGACCGGAAGTAAAGTAGCACGACCGGAAGTGAAGTAGCACTTTACTGCTCGGTTTTGCAAGCGTAAAGTGGCACTTTACCGCCCACGGACTACTTTATTGCCCGGCGTATAAGTAACCCGCGATAAGCATTTCTGTGTAATTCAGGGTAGTTTGTTTAGTTGTTATCTGTAATAACATTAATTGACAGCAAATATAATAGTCTTTACGTATTAAAAAAAATGACTGAGTTACCATGGTAACGTTGATTCCATCAATGATATTTCTCACTGCAGCCGTGATGTATTTCTATCGTTCTTGAGAGGTGAAGAAGATATTCCCAATGAAGAATCAAATATACCGGTCGTGCATAATATACAGTGTGTCCCACTTTCCATGCTCACCATGGGTATCTTTTTAACGGTGAGAGATACGAGGTCGGTTAAATGACACCAAATGTGGAGTTTGTCAAGGCCAACTATAATGTGAAAAAATATTTTGATAAAATCTATTCGTTTTTGTTTTATACGCAAAAAACAGATTTTGATCATTTTCATGTCTCCCCCGTAACTTCTTTATTTATAAAAATATTTAAATAAGAATTTCACATTCTCATGGCAGTTTCTCAAAGTGATTTCTAAAAAAATATGAAATTCATACCAACTCTTCTAGAATTTGAGATATCAGCACCAACTTTAGTTTTTCAAATGTAGGTCATAGCTCAATATGACTTAGTTACAAATAACTTTTTTTTCTCTCACAGATGATATGTCGCAGTAATAGTTTTGTGTTGATAACAACGGAGTTATTGTCATTTATACAAAAACAAAAAATTATTTGGAAGCCGCCATCTTGAATTTATGAATTTTAACAGAAAAATCATGATCTCCGACCCCAAAACCTCTACTCACCAATTTTGAATAGAATCTGACCAAATATTGTCCGACATCTTGGAGCAGCCATCTTTTTAATTTCAACAAAAATTCCATAATGTATTGTCACCGAAATTATGAACACTTGCCAAATTTCAAGGTAATCGGAGTTATGGAATTTTTGTTGAAATTAAAAAAAATGGCTGCTCCAAGATGGCGGACAAGATTTGGTCCGATTCGGTTCAAAATTGGTAAGTGGGGGTTTTTGAGGTCGGAGATCATGATTTTTTCGTTGAAATTCATAAATTCAAGATGGCGGCTCCCAAATAGTTTTTTGTTTTTGTATAAATGACGATAACTCCGTTGTTATCAACACAAAACTATCACTGCGACATATCATCGGTGAGAGAAAAAAAAAGTTATTTGTAACTAAGTCATAGTGAGCTATGTCCTACTTTTGAAAAACTAAAGTTGGTGCTGATATCTCAAATTCTAGAAGAGTTGGTATAAATTCCATATTTTTTTCGAAATCACTTTGAAAAACTGCCATGAGAATGTGAAATTCCTATTTGAATATTTTCATAAATAAAGAAGTTACGGGGAAGACATGAAAATGATCAAAATCTGTTTTTTCCGTATAAAACAAAAACGAATAGATTTTATCAAAATATTTTTTCACATTATAGTTGGCCTTGACAAACTCCACATTTGGTGTCATTTAACCGACCTCGTATCTCTCACCGTTAAAAAGATACCCATGGTGAGCATGCTAAGTGGGACACACTGTATTGTATGTATTTCGGACGTAACTTGCTTTTATTGGCGCTCGGGATTTTAAATGCACGCTACGGTCCATGAAAGCTTATTTTACGCCCTTGACACATAATAGTAGATTGTTTTATTAGGATCAAAAATGACACTTTGTTTGACAAGCGAAAGCAAAATTTGCCAGTCAAACAAAGTCACTTTTGATCCGAATGAAACATGCTATTTTTTCTGCAACCGAGAGAATTAACTAAGATAAATATGTGAAGTAATAACCAATGGGACTCACTCATTAACAGATTATCATAATATAAGTAAGTAGATAGAAGCAAGACCTCAGACTACTTTACTTAGTTACAATTTTTGCATTCACAGATCAGGTTTATTAAATTTTCAAGGATGTTCGATTTGTAGTTGCAATATGAATATAACCACAGAGTGACCCACCCATTTGTGTATTCTATCAAATCGATGAATTCATTTTTGAACATAATAGCAAATACCGCGCCAGTGCTAAATAATTAAATAAGAAGTGGAAAATGTTAGGTTAAAATGTTGTTTATTCTTGATGACCTAGTACATCCTTTTCAGGTCCTAAAGTTCAGTTTTAGCTCCTAGGAACTGGAAGTGTTGCCTAGCAACATATCTATATGTTTGTGTCAGTAATAGAAACGTCAATTCGAGAGCTCATCCAAATATTCAAACATTTTAGTTTATAAACGTCAAGTAAATTTTCTTTTGTATTAAAATGGACGACTTTTCTGTCGGTTGCAGAAAAATAACAATTATTTGTTGCTTGTCCAGATGGAAATATCAAATATGTACAAATACATGCTGATAGACATTCGTTCCTCTATTCGATCATTTACATGGAATATTAAAATATCTGCATATACAGACTGTTCAATTTTAAATGTCCTCATTTCTCTTCATCCATCTCGATCCCTCTTTGTTAGTTATTTTAGGCCATGTGATTCCGAATAAATTTTAATTAGTATCAGGAATCTTCAATATGATACTATGTTCAGAAACGGGTATCATTTTTGACAGTGCCGTGCTTTATACAGGGTGTTTCACAGGTAAAGGGAAATATTTCAATGGTAGATAGGGGTCAACAAGGTGGTTCTGAAAATACTATATTTGATAGGTCTTAGAGTTTTCATAACGGAGATACAGGGCGATTTATCGATTTCGAATAATTATTCATTCGTCTATAAGTATTGAACTACCCAGTATATTTTTCCAAAATTTGGTATGGAGCTTAAACTTGGGACGATGAATTCATTCACCTATCGGGCGAAGAGAAAATCCAGTTTCGGCTTCAGGAAAAATTCACATTTATTCGAAATATTAAAATAACACACTGTATGTAATAATTGACAGAGTTCATCAAAGGAATCGTAAAGAGAAGGAAAAACTGAACTGGATTTGATGCTTTTTGTTTTCCCGCCACCAATTCTCATCGTAACAATCATAAACAGAAAGCTGAAAGTATGTCAATTGAAGAGTATTGAAATTATGAAACCAGTGTCAATTATGATTATTCGATATATTTTAGTCAAAAAATCGCTCGAAAGAACTTACTAAGTCTCACAGTTTTTATAACAGAGATACAGGGTGAATTATCGGTTTTGAATAATTATCCACTCGTCCATAAGTATAAAACTACTCAGTAACATTTTCTCAAATATGGTATGTAAGACGATGGATTCATTAACCTATCAGGCGCGGAATTATAATTCGATAATTCACCCTGTATCTCTGTTATAAAGACTATGAGACTTTTCCTGAAGCTGAACCTGTATTTCCATTCTGCCTGATAGGTCAATGAATCCATAGTCCCAAGTAAGCTCAATACCAAATTTGAGAAAAAATATTACTGCGATGGGTAGTTTAATAATACTTATGGAAGAGTGTTAATTCACCCTGTATCTCTATTATAAAGACTGTGAGACTAAGTAAGTTCTTTCGAACGATCATTTAACAAGAATATATCAAATAAACATAATTGAAAGTGGTTTTATAATTTCAATACTCTTGAAATTGACATACTTTTAGCTTCCTGTTTATGATTGTTACGATGAGAATTGGTGGCGGGAAAACAAAAAGCATCAAATCCAGTTCAGTTTTTCCTCCTCTTCACGATTCGTTTGATGAACTTTGTCAATTATTACATACAGTGTGCTATTTTAATATTTCGAACAAATGTAAATTTTTCCTGAAGCCGAACCTGGATTTTCACTTCGCCCGATTGGTGAATGCATTCAACGTCCCAAGTTTAAGCTCCATACCAAATTTTAGAAAAATATACTGGGTAGTTCAATACTTATAGACGAATGAATAATTATTCGAAATCGATAAATCGCCCTGTATCTCCGTTATGAAAACTCTAAGACCTATCAAATATGGTATTTTCAGAACCACCTTGGTGACCCCTATCTACCATTGAAATATTTCCCTTTACCTGTGAAACACCCTGTATTGAAAAGGGATTGATTAGTTCAAAATTCAGATAAGGAATTTTGAGTTGTCGCCATACTTTTGAATCTCCAAATGCAAATTCTTACATAATTCCTTTGGAGGGTTTTCAAAATGATAGGAACACGAGCGACAACTGTCACTACGATGAAGTCGAGGACATTTAGAATGAGACACGCTGTATAAAATAGTTTATATACATACGTTCTAAGTCATGGTCCTGAAATATATTTTCGAAAAATCACCATACTTGGTGTGACGACACCCGTATTCACGTTACCTACTCAATTTTATTGTTCCCATTGCTGAAAATGCAAGTTTGCAATATTGATAGTTGTTATCGATATAATCATTTCAAAACAACTACAATTAGCATTTTTCAGAATTTGTAATGTTATTTATTTAAAGCACATTTGACATGTTTTGGTGTTTCTATATTGTTCAAGTTGTATTAACGACAATCAGGATATTTACACTAAAATAAATAATTTTCATGTATACGCAAAGAGAACTATTCATTCGAATCGAACAAAATATTTTCAGATGTTTCAACCTACTTTCAGGTTCATTTTCATCTACACAATCATATATTCGGGTGTTGAAGCGAAAAAATACAAGTCCCCGCCTTCCTCCTCATAATATCACAATTATTAATTATTATGATAGACGATATGATCATATTTTTCTTCAAGTTCTCCATTTAGGTACCACAAGGCGGACATTGCGATCTTTCACTTTGTTGTCTAACATAATCCTGAACACTAAATGTATTTGAGTCCTTTTGACCATTTTGGCGATACTTCAGTTCCCTGCAAAAATAATTCATAAATATTCGTCCATCCACAGATCTCACACAAAACGATCACTAAACAAAAACAACAACCACGATTAAAAAGCTGAGTTAGGATTGACAGGGTAGGCCAACAACGAAAAAGCGATTGCATAGTGCTCAGTGGGATTTTTTCTTCTATGGTGCAACCTCTCTTGCCTGCAAGCTTGTCTCTGATACCATCTCAATTTAAGAAACCCATGCAACGCCCACCCAGATAGCACAGAACCGTCTCAAAAACGTCCTCAAGTCGTACACCTCGGGCATTGGAAACGTCCCCAGAACGTCCATTTTAGGTATGGCGTACGTTTTCAGGACGTTTTGGGGACATACGATGTTACACAACCAGAGGTCCCTAGGACGTACGATGAAGGTCCTGTTCAGGTCTGAACGGGACCATTAATACCTGGATCAACGTTGATCCACCTTTTTTCTACTCAAATAGTTAACATAGAGACCTAGATAGGTTAAAAAAATATTATGTTGACCAAAAAAAAAAAATAATGTGCTACTACCGGGGATCGATCCCACGACCTTCAGATTACCGTGCAGATGCTCTACCTATTACTCTACAGAAGACTTGATTATAATTATGTCAGAGTATACAACAATATATTATGTGTGAATGTTGATTGATCCTTATTCACATCAATATTTGCATAGAATTAGATGCTCATGGCAGAGAATACCTGAATAGATGTTTTGTGATCAGGTACGGCTAGTAAAAAAGAATTGTGAGAATTGTATTATGTTCATGTTTGCAAGGTTCCTAAATGAATAGATATCAGAGATCGAGGGTAGAATAAATTATGTGCAATGATTTCAATTATCATTATATATACAGTTTTATTCAATCTCGTCCCTTGAAAGTCGATAAAGTCCAGAGTTGGACGTACCCAGTACATCGTAATCGTACGTACCCAGTGCGTCCAGAAACGGACGTTTTAAGTACGTCTTGTAAAGGTCTCGGACGTTCAGACCTAAATCGGGCCTAAACTGGACGTCCTCAGGACGTCGAGTGCTATATGGGCATGCAAGCCTTCGAAATTTCAAATGAACTAATGTGTTGAATATGAAGAAATAATAATATAATTTCCTTGTGTCCACCATGTAGCACTAATCGCAATGGCAAAAATTACTTTGTTATGTGACTGACGTAGTTCCATAATTCTGGACAGATGTTTCATTTGTCGACATTGCATGTTTTCGGAAAATATATCGAAAATTTGCATGTTTCTCTGCAAAATCACACATCAACACACCCTAAGAGCGCCACTGGAAGACAGATCGACTAAGATTATTTGTGATTTATCAGAATAGCGTCCGACAAATCATGAAACACCCTGTATAAACTAGTATGTTCCTAATATTGCTCGGAGATCTATCGCACCCTTCATATAAAAAAAAAAATCACCCTGTATATCCGTATTTAATGGAATTTATTGAGACTTATTCAAATTGCTAGCAAGAATATATCATCTCGAATTTTTTACGATACACCTCGTAGATATAAAAGAAAATGCAGTCCACATCAGATACATGGATAGAAAGGACGTTTTAACTAAACCACAAGAGTCCGGACACAACTATACTTCTGTCCTTTTCTGTTTTCAAAAAATGCATTGATGATTGAATAAAGGAATAAGACATATATATCGAGCTCTGTCTTTTCAATTCCCCTAGTATCAATGATTGTCAGAAACAATTTTGAGGGTTAGATTATTTGTCAAACCGTTCATAGCCGTAGGTAGAAGTGAGAAATAGGGCTATTTTAACTAGAATAACAGAATAACTATTAGAATTTCAAATAATGAACAACAGGGTGTTCAAATTTCGAATCGATAATTTTCGTAATCAATTCCTGAGATGGCTATTGCAAATTTTCGTCATCAGATATTTCTTTCCTTCATTAGATATAAGAAAGATAATTTAAGTGTTCTACGTAGTATCACATATAGCCAAGAAAATATAGTTGTTTTCTGTTGGGATATAAAAAAATAGAAGATATATAATTGTTTCAATATAATTTTAATTGTGTCGGTTTCCCACCTCTTCCTGCAGTCTACATTCACCAGTAAATTTTTTAATTTGATCTGAATTAAAAACACCGTGGACTGATGACATAGCACATTGCAATTTCCCTAAATCTTCTAGTTTTGATTTCAAACTTTCAATTTCTCTCCGCATCATCTCATTCTCATTTTATTTCTCTGCGATCGTAGGTATTATTCAGTAATTCCCAATACGATGACGACGGAACTCTTTTTTTGAAGAGATTGACGGCACAGCAGACTCTTTCAATTTGAATTCCATCAGCTTGAAAGAATCTCTATCAAAATGGGCCTGAAGTTAATCTTTTTGTACTGTTTTTACAAGTGAATTAGAATATTTACCTCACATATTGTGGATTTCTTGAAATTAATTTTCCATTCTGGACGATTCATTGCATTCTTCCATGGCATCCAATAACTCGAATCCCATTTCTAATGAATTATCGCAATAATGTACGCAGCAGGACATTGAAATAATTTAAAATGCAAAATTTTGGCGGTCATAAAATTTCAAAGTGACAGTGACAGAAATTCGAAATAATTAAAAAAAGTGGGCGAGACGACTATGGTGTTTCGTCACATTGTCAGGTGGGCAAACCAAATGAAACAAAATATTAAAAACCCCAACGGCTGTCAGTTTTGTGTCCGGACTCTTGTCTAAAGTATATACAGGGACTCTAATTCCCATTAGAGAGGATGCAACTTTTTCTTCAACATTTCCTCCAACACTTCAGCACTGGATCATATAAAAAAAAGTGTCTCATGAATGTTATTTTCTTCTATTTTTACAATCAACCACATTATTCATAGACATGTCGGAGTAGAAACATTTTTTTTGGTTTATAACCTCGTAAATAAGACGATAGCAAAATGTCGTACCAGTCAGGAAATTCGTCACAAAAAAAAGGATTGAGACAGTCAGTTCCATTTTTTGTATCTCCTCTATTTACTGATTTACCCTATACAAACTTCAAAATTTTGCCACCCTGTAAGGCCACTGGTTGGGTATACACTCCACAAAACAAAAACCTGAAAACATTTTCTCTAAAAACATTATTAAATTTTTCCTCCGGTCTCTCGGAACTTCCATAGTCTGTATTCAATTAATTGACTAACACGGCATATTTTTCAAAGCGAATTCCTAATTGAAAAGCTCTCCGTGAAAAACGAGTACAAAATAGGAACAATAAGAGATGAAAGGATATTTTAGATCCAGGCAACTTTGAAGTTCAAAGCTATACCTACGTTTAAAACGGAGTTAATGAAGAATCGATCCACATTATCTTTCAATACTTTCATCGTAAATGAAATCGCTGATTGTAAGAAAGCTCAAGTCGGGTAATCTTGATGGCCACATCGCCCTTTATACGCATAATCTGCTTCAAATTGTTCACTAGTGTTAGATATTCTTATTTATACCACTTGACTTGCACTGACATCTAATTGTTTTGATAATAACTTTCAAATTATTATTAATTATCAAAATTGAAAGCGTTTGCTTGCTTTGTTGTCTCTGCTACAAATCTTGCAAGTTATGCACATGTTTGTGTTAATCGATTTGGCTGAAATTTATCAGGAAACTGTTGGATTCTGTCAAAAAAGGGCAATTCGTCTCGTGGGTGATGCCTCGCTCACAAACTCACTCACTTTTCTGGAACACCCTTATCGTGGGAACCAGAACATATAAAAAAGGTATAAATAGTACCGGAGATAATGAAATCTGACACTTCACTCAACCAAAAAAAATCGAGACACAGCCTTCAAGATGGCGCCTACAAGATGGCGGACGAGTATAATATTCTTCGTCCGAATCGCCTGATAATTCATATTTTGGAGTTCCTGCGGTTGATGTATATGAGTTTCTAGGCAATAATTTTTGTTTGTCAATCCTGGTAGAGTCAAAGCAACACCAAGCAAACATGCAGGCAACCCAAAAGAGTTTTTTCCACATACCTTGCCACAGCTACGAATGCCAAATCCACGTTTTGACCGCTTTTTGCCGACGTTTCCATGAAAGCTACATTGTACTCTCTAGCCAGTCGTTCCCCTTCCTCTCTTCTGACAGCCCTGTCAGTGCCGCAATCCGCCTTATTACCTAACAAACATACTGTATAATGAAAAACTTCGAAATTACTCGATAGAGCATATTCGTATTAATGATCGTGTTGAAAGGTCAATATTTTACACTATTTATTGTGTGATAAGTTAAAATCATTAGATCTATGTTAAAATCAGTTTCCAGTTGTCAGATCTAAAGAAACCTTATCAGTTTCGTTTGAAAACTAGTGTAACACCCAGATATACAGGGTGTTTCAAAAAAACCTAACCCCCTTGCTAGGGTAGGTAGAACATTGCAAAATAAGTTGGGTTTGTTCTGTAAAAAAATAACGTAACGGCATCCGTTTTCATGATACAAGGTGTTGAAAAAAATACTGGCAACATTGTAATGAAATTTTGTATGGATGTTTCTTGAAATCTGACACATCGCATGAATTTGTTTTTATATCTGACTCTCATAGAGGGCGCTAGTTCGTACCGAGTAGTTTTGAACATAACTTTTTTGAGGTTAGATTTTTCAATCCAATAATGATATGAACTTGAACATCATTCAATTTTACACCAAAAAGGTACTCCTGGTGAAACTCGATACTATGTTCCGTTTTCGGAATATTTCGATTTGAAAATAATGGAGTAGTAATGATGCTGGTATAAAATGAATTTTATTGAGTTCAATTACCTATTTATTCAGGTTCAAAAACACTAAAATTTTTCTTGTGCTGAAGTTATTGATGGAACGAAGAATCATAAGTAGAAAATTAAGAGATATTTGACTAGAAACATGAAATATTGAATCAGAGTAAGTGTTCAAAATGTCCTACGTTTCGAGGAATACACGATTCTATATTCTTTTTTTAAGAATGTATTATTCTTCTGAACAGTTGAGGATCAGCTGTTAGGTCATTTAAGTGATGTTCAATTATGTCTCACAACTCTTGACGTGAATTTACCTATGTAGCATAGACTGTCTGCTCAAGATACAACAAAACTGTGTAATCCATGTTCCTCGCCATGTTCTTAGTCAAATCTCTTTCGATGTTATTCTTGTGATTCATTGTTAAATCGATAAGTTTCGCATCAGAAAGGTATTGTTGTTTTCGGTTTTCAATAAGTAGGTGATAATTTTTCATAATACCCACTGTAATACATAGCTTTATACCAGCAACAGTTACCACTTCATCATTTTCAACTCGAAATATTCCGAAAACGGAACACAGTATCGAGTTTTACCAAGAGTACCTTTTTGGTGTGAAATTGAATGATGTTGAAGTTCACATCAAATTTGGATGGGAGAATCTAACCTCAAAAAAATCATGTTCAAAACTACTCGGTACGAATCGTGTAACAAGCACCCTCTATGATAGATATAAAAACAAATGCATGCGATTTGTCAGATTCCAAGAAACATCCATACAAAATTTCATCACAATGTTGCCAGTAGTTTCAACATAATCGTAAGAAATGTGTGAAAAAAATATTGTTTCAACACCTTGTATCTTGAAAACGGATGGCGTTACGACATTCTTTTACTGAGGAAACCCAACTTATTTTGCAATGTTTTACCTACCCTAGCAAGGGGGTTAGGTTTTTTTGAAACACCCAGTATAAAAACACAGAGTTGTGGTGACAAAATCCTAGGGGAGATTCTTCTCAATGAAATATCGGAAAAAGTCATAGGAACATGGGTCCGAAAATGCTTAGTTTCCGAGATACAGGATGTCCAAATAAAAAAAATAGTTTTTTATTGATATCTTGAAAACGCTAACTCGATTTTTGAATGGAATTTTCATGTTTTTTTTTTGTATATCGCTACTTCAAATTTGGGAACCAACTCCCCAGAAGTCGAAACTTGTGCGGGGTTCATTAACACAATTATCAGACATTCACTGGACCAATTAGATATGATCCAGAATTTCCAGAGGCGTACCTTTCGAGCAAGTCGGCCTTTTTTGTAGAACAAAAAGTCACCCTGTGTTTTCTTCGGGTTCTTCTTGAATATTCAGATGAACCCACTAAAAATACAACATTTCTGTGTCCCGCTATTTTTTCGTTTCTTGCTTCCTTTTCGAGAAAAACAGACAATACCATACCTCGGCATATCTCCGAACTCCATGAGGAATAATAAAAATGCTCGGATATTATCCAGAAATGTATTGCACATTACTATTTATCAAAACAAAAATGACATAAAATTTAATACCCTCTCTAAAATTCATACGATTTTCAAATTTTGTGAGAAATATTTTTTCAAGATATCAATGAAAAACTCATTTTTCTTCAATCTTTGACACCCTATATCTCGGAAACGAAGCATTTTCTCACCCAAGTTCATATGAACTTTTTTTATATTTCATTGAGAGGAATCTCCCCTAGACTCTTGTCACCACACCCCGTATACTCTTGTTTGTCGAATTCATTGCTTTGCTTCGATCCCTACATGTTTCTTTAGAGTCTGTCCTACATTAAGGATCACCCAGTATGTTCCAGGAATATTCAATGAATATATTTTCTCTACGGCTCACACAATTGCTCTTATTTAACTGTGTTCGATAAATCAATGAGGTACTTTGTATGTCATCAATTTTATTTTCCGAAGGTATATGAATATGTCAAATTTTCAGCAATGACAGCTCTGTCTAATAGATGAGCATTACTTAGGAGAAAATCAGATGGCTACAAGCAAAAGAAATCAATATCAATATTCATTTCCAACAAGAATGAAGCTTGCAAATCATACGAATGGAAATCAGCATTCCGTGCGAGATATTACACCATAATTTTTCTACGGCTGTAACAGATAACAGCGACATTTTTTATTCCTTCGTCTTGTAATGCTCATCTAGTCATCTATTAATTAGACAGAGCTGTCATTGCTTGAAATTTGACATCGCATGAGCGATGATTTTTTTTTTAAATAATAACACAATGGAGTCATTGTGATATCAGATACGGACATGAAATTGATGACATACAAAGTACCTCATTGATGTATCGAACACAGTAAAACAAGAGCAATTTTGTGTTATAGCCGTGGAAAAAATAACTATTTATATCTCTTTGAACGCAAGAAAGGGAATTCCCTTGGAATGATCGTCTCCTAACCAAACACCTGGTATAATTCCGTGTCCATTCATCGTTTCGAATATTGCACCTCAGAATTCGTTTCGATCCACTGAACACAAGTAATTATATTTTCAACTGAACCTTCAACCGAAATTGGTTTAATTCGCCCTGGCAACTTTCCTAATCGAATCATTCGCCACCCCCGGATGCATGCATTTGGAATAATTCGATTGTGAATTTATGTTCGAAATAACATGCAGATGACTAAGCTATCCTTCAGTTGAAATTTAACACCTCCAAATTTCCAAAAATGAGGGATGCCTTACCTATATTGTAGAAGGCACCGAAAGTAACATAAATAAATTAAAAGTAAAAAAGAACTTGAAAAAAAAAGCTTTCATCGAAACTCTCTAAAATGAAGAAAATTTACTTCTCAAATTTTAAACATCAACTTATAACCTCATTACTTAACAGATTTTACATAATTGAATTTAGTACTAGTTCATTTACAGAAGTAAATGTTGAGAAAGGATGACACTTCAATCCAAAACAAAATGAACTCAAGGTTGGTAAAACTGATGATAATTTCTATTGGTACCTAACATTTTTCCAGATGCCAGAATGTGAAATTGAAACCATGAAGAACAACAAAAATTTCATTTCATCTCCAAAAACAACAGAGCAAGCACCATATATTGGAACAGAAACATTGCATGATTTAACTGAAAGCAAATCTTCATGGACAACAAAATTCATTGAAGATGGCAAGTAAAAATAATGGGAATAGTCTCAGGTCTCAGAGTGAAAGATTATTTCTATTCATTTTCTGATGTATATTCTCTTCTTATGCTATTTAATCTAGGATTAGAAGAAAATATATGTTTCCTTAGTAGGGAATGAACAAGCTGGAAAAGGTGAGGAAAATAATGATTGAATACTTACTTCCCAATAGGGAATTACTTCACTTTGGAATAATAATTATTGTAGTAATAGTGAATGACCAGAATAGACAAAAAAAAGTTGCCTGGCAAGAAATATATTCCAAAATGCAATCATCAGAAATAACATTATTTGTTTTATTATTTCTAAGTAATAGGTTTTTTCTTGTCATGATTACTTCCTTTATTAGTTGCAGGTACCCATCTTCAAGAATCAACTGATGGGCCAGAATTAGAGGAGAAGTAGACGAATATTCATACACACACAGATCAATCATTATCATTATAACTCGTGTTATAAAAAACTAAATTAGTATATAACAATATTATAAAAAGTAAACATAGTGAAGGATAGTTAAAGGAATCTCCCAAACAAACATAGCTCCTCTTGCTCAACGTGAAAGCGCCGCGTGTGATATCCTCTGATGTCCATTTTACCCGTTCAGCGAGAATCTCTGAACATTCACAACTGGGCTTTAACTGTATCTTCTGATCATTTTTCTATATCCATCAGTCCATCACCTGTTTGTCCTGAGAATAGTCATATTGGGAATCGCAAACTTCCATACTTATTGTGCTTCTTCTGTTGTATTTGATATTGATGGGATTCCTACCTTGAGTTTTCTTCCCTTTTTCGTGTGTAATTCAGCAATTCTGCTTGTAGATTCCATTCAAAATCCTTGGCGTCAAACTGGGCAGAACATATTCGTCGATCCATCATTCGGAAATTAATCTAAACCAAATAACTAGTAACTACTCTTCTAGTCTCTCTGATCTCGAAAGAATTGAAACAAGAAGCGACTGAACAAAATATAAGCAGAATTGAAAAAGTTACAGGGCGACCAATTTGGTTGATATGTTTGGTGGACGTTTTTTTTGCCGGTGACTGTGTCTTATAATATAAAACTACTAGTGCCCAGAAAGAGAGAGAAATGCGGGATAACATGTTCAGTTTTACCAGTTGGCGTTCCTAGAGCGTGAGGTCAATGGGGTCGAAAGTCAAGTCTCAAAATGTTGTCGGCTTGAGGCCTGTTTTCTGATTGAATGATGTGGCCTATGTAAACAAATAGGAAAACTCAACCATATGTTGAGACTTGAAGAGACTTGAGTTCTCTTTAACAGAGAAGAAGATAGGGTAGGAACAGGTAGAATGACACAAAAAGCCTATCAGCGCGATCTGGTGGATAATCTAAACATATTAGCCCACATTGAAAGCAACATGAAAGTGAGATGCAAGAACCCACATGACGCAATGAAATCAGCTGTTGGTTTCTGTTCAGTCGCGATGGAATGGGATTTCAAGTCAATGAATTTTAATTCAATGAGAAAAAATGCTGGATGAAAACGTGATCCTTCTATTGTGAGAACTGAAAATGTTTTCTACAAGTAATACTAAACACGCCTAGAAGATGATAGAACTAAACAATGAATTCGACAAACGAGAGGCCATGGTATTACATAGTAATTTCAAAATAATGTCATTCCTTGCACTATCTTGCACATAAGATCAATTCGAGTATTTCATAGAGACCTGGCAACAGCGTCGCGCTTCTCATCAGTCGTCACAAACTTCAACCAATGAAATTGCAAGGAGACAGTGACATCACAGCTCAGTAGCTTTTGAATTCCCTAGACATTGAAATAGATTTTTGATAAATGTGTGGTCAGGATAAAGTTTTTGACTTCTCTTCATAACATTATAGCGGAAAGTGGTCGAATTTCACGATACTGGAAGCCTATTATTGAAATTCACAGAAATTTGAAGATGTGAAGTTTCAATTGTAGAGCAGTTTATTTCGGCTCACCTAGCAACATTATGACCACGTCGTCCTGTGCGTATTCTCGTATTTCTCCCAGCCAAGCACGGATATTGTCGAAACTTATCTTGTTCGTGACGTCATAGAGTAGAAGGAGAGCTGTAATGAAAAAAATACAATAGATCATTCTACGCAATATTGGTTTTCATTAATCATTAGTTTTTCTGTTTAGTTACATATTGAACTGTTGTTATCGCAAAAAAAGGTATGCGAAACATATACAGGGTGTCCCGAAATTAGCCTGCTAAACTTTATCAGCGGCTTTTACTACCAAAAATAAAAAACATTTCTCGACTCATGTTCATTGAAACTTTTCTTCCTATTTTTGGTCGAAGAAGCAGCTGCTGATGTTTGGAAGACTAATTTAGGAACACCCTGTATACCGGGTGAGCGAAATTCGAGTAGATGCATGGGGATCTCGGAAACGATAAGAGCTACAGGGAGGGCCAAACGGATGCAAAGTTACGTATTATCACAGTTTATGAAATCCATAGGCTTTATTCCGAATTCAACTGGAAGTATTGAATCTGCTGATTATATCAGTGATTATTCATTCCGAAATCAAAAAAATTCACTGAAAGTGACAGATACTTGTGAGCAGACATACGTTTCATTCCAAATATTTCGACTCAACACTCTGCTGACTATCAAAAGGTAGTGTGGCTTCAGTGAACTGTCATTATTTTAAATGGGAAAGGAATGTCACAATTACTTCCGTTGTTTTTTCAACATTGAGAAAACAAGTCTCGTCTTATCAATAATAAATTAATAATATCATAGTTAATATCAGAAAATTCCTGTTATTGAAATATTTGAAGCTGAGAAGAGAATGATATTCAAATTTCACCAGCTGACCAACCGCTGCTGATTACTGATGAAAACCATGAAAACGTTCTCCGAATTACAGCACTGTATTTTTGATTTCATATTTTGGAACACAGATTTTCAGTGGTAGTGGATTTACTGATAAAACTGACCAGCTCAAGAAAGCCATCGCATGATAAGTGCACTTCTAGCCTCTTATTTTATAATATTTCTATTTGAAATTGGAACAAAATTTTGAATATGCTGAAAACATCAAGATTATTTGTTGCGTCCTGTCTCTAGATGATTCTCATCAGCTATTATTGAATTCGTGCATCATCAACGGGACTCTTCAGATTCCGAAAGAAGGAGAACACATCATTGAAAGTCTAGTTTAACTGCATAATAAGATTCGAAACGCATTTTGAAAAATATTCAAGAAATTGTCCATCGTTCGCGCCATCTATCATCGAATATGAGAACCCCACGTTCCAAACTCGCATTCAATTGTTCATATCGAGAGCTAGTCTGACGGAAAAACGAAGGAATTATAAACATCTCACTCATATGCATTACTCCAATTTCACTCACCCGGTATTATTGTCAGTTCACACAGGAAAAGGAGGAATATACAGGGAATTTCAGAATTCAAATTTGCACAGTCACAAGCCTTGGGGAAATTCTGATTCGTTTTCGAAATACAGGGTGATAAGTTTATTCAAACAGTAAGTAGACAATCACTGGAGCAATTATATTTGATCCAGAATTTCCAGCTAGTCGAGTTTTTTGACAGAAAAAAGATATCATCGATTATTCAGATGAACCCACTAAAAATATAAGCATTTTGTCTTCTGGCTTTTTTGAATGTCTGTGTTCGATTACGAGAAAAAATATAAGTACATAGATAAAAACGTTTAGGAATGATCTCAGTGTGTGTTTATATTGTATAAAAACAAAAAAACATCATATACAAATTTTCAGAAATACTTTTTTCTTTTTTTGGAAATACGTATGAATTATAGAGGACATTTTATTTGATGTTATTTTTACTACTTACCATGAGCATCTCGATAATAAGCATGAGTAACGCTTCTAAATCTCTCTTGTCCGGCAGTATCCCATATTTGTAATTTCACTTTAGTTTGATCCACTGAAACAACCTTTGTCTAAAAAAAAAAGAAAACATGTACAGCTCATCAACAAATATAGAAATATAAAGAATTATTTCCGTTAATCATTTGCCATTCAATGTCAACAATAATAGATTGTTTTATTAGGATCAAATGTGACACTTCAGCTGTCATCCGATACACTTTTGTTCCTACGATTTTAAATTCAAATTTTGTTCCTATAGACACTAAGCATGGAACAAAAATGGACGATTTTTGAGTCGATTGCAGAAACAATTTTTTTATGTATCTTGACTTAATGACTCATGAAACTTAGGATGCGGTGCACAATATCTCAGAGATTAATACTCAGGGCAACCGATACTCATTCACACATTCGATTTGAACATCATTAATCCAAGATATCATGTGAGAAGGCACAAAAAATCACCAACACTCCTGGACAGTCATTTTGATTGCTCTGAGCAGAAATTAATTTACAAACACAACAATGAGGATTAATTAGCATTCCCAAATTTCCATGACTTATTATCAGATTGTGAAGTAATTATAGTATATTTAAATAATAATCAGTATAAATGGATAGCTTCCACATTTCATCGCTATATTTCGTATCGAATCTGATTACTGGAACTGAATAACAATTATATTCATTATCTATATGATAATACATCCGATTGAACAATATAGGTATATATTAATATGGATATTAGGTACTACTGGCAGACTGATATACGGGGTAGATATATTTATATTTGATATGGTTATTGGTCAAATCATCGTAAAATATAATATAATAATAATAGTGTTTTGAATCAATTGTAATACTCTGCAAGCCCAGGGGCGGATCCGGACGATGTTTGAGGGGGGAAGGCATGGTCACGGCTCAAAGAGGTTAGCACGGAAGAGAAATTATATCGTTACCTTCTGGGACAAATGCTTTTTCATTAAAAAAATTGATACTAGTAAACATGAAATCTTTAGTTTCCTTTCAAGTATCGAAATTACTGGTGTAAAAAAACAAGTTCAAACTATTCGATTTAATCCATCAATATATGTAGAATTCTGCAATAAATCATATTGGATGAAAAAAGTAAATAAAAAATATTCCTCTTGAAATACTTGGGTACAAAAGTAGAAAAAAATATTCCTCTTCAAAAACAAAACAAATGGAACAGACAAATATAAAATTATATGAAATAAAGAATCAAATTTTAAAAACTAAATAACAAATTTCAGTCTTCTATTCTTCTGACTAGCGTATCTTTGGATGATATCATCAACATTCAGACATTTAACCTGTCTTGAACCATTCTGGATCTTTCAGCCTTCTAAGTGCTGAAGAACTCCTTTCAGAAGATGCAACACTTACAGGCAGGCAACATAATAGTTCCAGAAGAATGTTTATGTTATGAAAAAAATGTTTGCTACATTCCTTCAGAACAGTTATACCATTGTCTAGTATATTTTGCTTAGTATCCCACATTTTCTTTCATGTATACATTTCAGAAACGATCTTCTGAAAGGAGGACATTTCATCATTCTCCTCAAAAATGGTCGGAAACTGTTCAAGTATATTTCTCATACCTTGATATATTTCCTCTTTTGTTTTGTTTTGTTATTGATGGTACACGACATAGGTGAAGGATCAATAATGGTCATCCACTGAGGAAACCGTAGGATTCTCCCTGTTAGCCCAGGGCAACACCATCATTATTGTTATATATTTAGTGTGGGTCGCGGGTGGATAGCTATAAAGACATACACTAATTTTTGAGTTATTCAAAAAAACTACATTTTCACATATCCCCCTGGATCCGCCCCTGTACAAGGCTTGAAACAAACATGCAATCTTTCTTTTCGCGAGCCTCGGTGTCGCGTTTAAACACTTTTGAACGAATTAAATGCTATGAATAACTATTATTAATTGCGCCAACTTTCTTTCCCATCCATCGAACGGTGTCGACTATATCAAATGAAAACCATTCTTAGGGGCTCATCCTTCCCTAAGAAGTTGTGGCTCCAAGTCAATATCAACTTTTTTTTCCCTTATAGTACGAGAACCTGACGACGAAATGATATATTATGTTCCAAAGACATGTTAAAACATTTTCAGTCGGCGGTCTTAAGACTGCTGGCTGGAGACTGCCCTGCACTGATGAGAGTCAAAGAGCTCGAAACGGGTCTGTGAGTGTCTAACGTGGCCTGGCTAAATCGGAATCAATAAGCATCTAGGAAAGAATCACTTGAATCAGTATTTGTTTATACGAGTCGCGAGGCCTAGATTTCGGGAGAATATGTAATTCAATGTTTTGCGTGGCATTTGCCCGGAAAGTAGTTGTTTTTCTCCCGAAATCTACCCATTTTATGAACATTGTGTGGAAATGACTTCGAGCTTTTTGTATTTATTTAATATTCAATATTTATAAGGTAGGAAGGTAAGGGAGAAGTTGAAATGTTATGTACATTTTATGTACATATCATTTCGTTATCAGGTGACGATAGAAATTTGCAGCCGGCTCTGGACTATAATATACCCGTGATATTTCGGTGGAGTTAAGAAACAACCTGCATAAACAACTACTTTCGAAATGGAGCCCCTGACGGGCAAAATATAAGCCACTACTCAAAAGTTTGCTAGACTTCCTTCCGTCCGAATAATCCATGTATAGTGTGTCCCACTTACCATGCTCACCATGGGTATCTTTTTAACGGTGAGAGATACGAAGTCGGTTAAATGACACCAAATGTGGAGTTTGTCAAGGCCAACTATAATGTGAAAAAATATTTTGATAAAATCTATTCGTTTGTGTTTTATACGCAAAAAACAGATTTTGATCATTTTCATGTCTCCTCCGTAACTTCTTTATTTATGAAAATATTCAAATAGGAATTTCACATCCTCATGGCAGTTTTTCAAAGTAATTTCGAAAAAAATATGAAATTTATACCAACTCTTCTAGAATTTGAGATATCAGCACCAACTTCAGTTTTTCAAATGTAGGTCATAGCCCACTATGACTTAGTTAGAAATAACTTTTTTTTCTCTTACCGATGATATGTCGCAGTAATAGTTTCGTGTTGATAACAACGGAGTTATCGTCATTTATACAAAAACAAAAAATTATTTGGAAGCCACCATCTTGAATTTATAAATTTTAACAAAAAATCATGATCTTCCACCTCAAAAACCCCCACTTACCAATTTTGAATGGAATCGGACCAAATCTTGTCCGCCATCTTGGAGCAGCCATTTTTTTAAATTTCAACAAAAATTCCATAATGTATTGTCACCGAAATTATGAACACCAGCCAAATTTTTAGTTTATCGGAGTTATGGAATTTTTGTTGAAATTAAAAAAAATGGCTGCTCCAAGATGGCGGACAAGATTTGGTCCGATTCCATTCAAAATTGGTAAGTGGGGGTTTTTTGAGGTCGGAGATCATGATTTTTTTGTTAAAATTTATAAATTCAAGATAGCGGCTTCCAAATAATTTTTTGTTTTGTATAAATGACGATAACTCCGTTGTTATCAACACGAAACTATTATATCATCGGTAAGAGAAAAAAAAGTTATGGGGGTTTTTGAGGTCGGAGATCAAGATTTTTTTGTTAAAATTCATAAATTCAAGATGGCGGCTTCCGAATAATTTTTTGTTTTTGTATAAATGACGATAACTCCGTTGTTATCAACACAAAACTATTACTGCGACACATCATCTGTAAGAGAAAAAAAAGTTATTTGTAACTAAGTCATAGTGAGCTATGACCTACATTCGAAAAACTAAAGTTGGTGCTGATATCTCAAATTCTAGAAGAGTTGGTATAAATTTCATATTTTTTTCGAAATCACTTTGAAAAACTGCCATGAGGATGTGAAATTCCTATTTGAATATTTTCATAAATAAAGAAGTTACGGAGGAGACATGAAAATGATCAAAATCTGTTTTTTGCGTATAAAACAAAAACGAATAGATTTTATCAAAATATTTTTTCACATTATAGTTGGCCTTGACAAACTCCACATTTGGTGTCATTTAACCGACCTCGTATCTCTCACCGTTGAAAAGATACCCATGGTGAGCATGGTAAGTGGGACACACTGTATAATATGATTTCTGTGGAATAATCGCGAAATTCGGACCAACACTAGCGATCGATTGCGATGCGACTAGTCCGCTACTACCTTAGGCTTGGGCACTTAATTGAAATTACTCTCATAGCTCGAGCTCACCCTAAAGTCCACTCCGACCGTCGATATGAAATTCCCGGAGAGGAACAGGCCTTCCCGGAACCGCATCAGGATGCAAGTCTTGCCGACCCCGGAATCGCCCAGCAGCATCACCTGGTACGTCAACCCAAAATTTTCATGAGTTTTTCATCGGGGAATGTCTGTACGGGTGAGCAAATCTCGTGACCAAACGAATTCAACTATTGAAACTTCATACATGACATATTCTCTGGTTCAACTGATTGTAAAATAGTCAAGATCTTTCCAACTAAGAAAAATAATAGTATCTACCAAGCTGTAATTCAAATTGAGAGACATTGTTATGATAGAATAATGAAAGCTGGCAATTTGTTCATCGGCTTTGATAGCTGTTGTGTTTTTGATGCGATTGATATTTCTCGATGCTTCACTTGTAACGATTTCCATCATTCCTCTAGAAAATGTGACAAGCCCCTAACTTGTCCACTGTGTGGTGACAATCATGACGTTAAAGCATGCAAGTCCCAAATACGAAAATGTACTAATTGCGTTAAACTAGCGAACAAGAATATTTCAGTAGATCATGCAGTCTGGGAAAAAGAGAAATGTACTGCTTATCGAACTGCATTAGGAAAATTCAAAAATAATCTACTTAGCTGTTCATAGCAACCATCTGAAACAACTGACAGCAACACCTTTTCAGACTCTCCAATGAGTGATTATAAAATCAAACTGTTTTATCAAAATACTAGAGGTTTACGTTCTAAAACAACACAATTTTTCAATTCAATATCAGTGAATGAGTACTCGATTGTTGCATTGACT